TAAGGAAATTATTATTAGGTTTATAATTTCATGATTGAGGAAAATCAAGGAGAGGATTGCAGGCATATGGGCTCAGGCCCAACGAAATACAACAAACGTAATGTGATAGGCCCATCAATGAAACTGGCTAGTGATCCAAGCCGAAATCCCATGGATCCATAACAAAAGTGAAAATGTTTGAGATTTTTTTTATTATATATTTTCGAGTGATATCAAGTGAAAGACAAGAAAACTACTCAGGAATCCCCTACAAACGACACTCCAGTGAAACACTCAAAAAAGTTGAAAGATTCTAATTCTAGAAAAGACAAACAGTGTTTTAAGCGTCACTCTATAGGCAACGCTATTGGCGGCTCCAGGAACCACCCTAAACTCTATATAAATTAACAAAGAGTACTTTAAGAATTGAAGACACTCCCGACACCGGACCTCCAAAGGAACCTTCTATAATACCTTGTTGAATTTGGTTAACGACCACTTTGAATCACCTTCCACTTTCACGTGAGTCAAGGAACTTGAGGCAACGATGGCGATAATAACTCTTACTGCTAAGAGCTCTGCCCGACTTGACTACTCTTTGGTGACACATACCGGCTGCCATCACCACATGCCCATCTGACACGCGTATATTAATACTCGTGTTCATTTGACCAATCTTCTTTTTCTTATTATTATGTTTTTTAATTTAATCATAGTTTCTTACGAAAATATGCTCCGCGACAAAAATTCCAAACATGGAAAGCAATCAACGGCCTAGTGCTTGTTTCCACATGGAAAAGGGTTGAAGGAAAGACCTTCATGTCGGGTTTTAATTAGTCTATAGTCTATACCAATATTTTATCATTGGTTGCCAATTCGATTTAGTTTTAACGCCATGTTTGAAGAGAACAAAAGGAGGGTTAATTCTTTAAATATTATTTTTTTTAATTTATCACGAATATAGTGTTTTGAAAAGTATTTACAAGAATATTGTGTTTTGATGGAGGGAAGTTGGCGACGGCGCCCGAGACTCAGCAAATACAGATTTTAAGGGTAAAGCCAGCGACGGCGCCCCAGTCTCAGGCGTTGGCGCTATTTGAAATTTCAAACTATTTGAAATTTTTTGAAATTTCAAATAGCGCCAACGCCTGAGACTGGGGCGCCGTCGCTATGCTCCTTTGTTTTTTTAATTCCCCTCCTCGCCCTCTCGCTCAGACCACTACATAAAAAACAAACTCACTAATTACTAACTAGACAAAATCATTATGATGAATACATGAAAAAAAAAATACGACTCTTACCTGTTATTAGCCATCTTCCCAGCAACCAGACAGCAACACCAGAGCTTCTTTCAGAACTTCTTTCAGTTTTGTTGGTGATGAAGAACCGAAGGAAAGGTGCAGTATATATGGTGAGGGGTGGTGCTGGAGTGGAACAAAATGGCAGCGACAAAGCCCCAGTCTGGGGCGCCGACGCTATTACCTTCTTAAAAGCGACAAAGCCCCAGTCTGGGGCGGCGCCGCTGTGTTTTGTTTGTTAAAAAAGCATCCAGCGGCAGCGCTTGAGTCTAAGGCTTCGGCGCTTTAAACATATCAAAAAACACAATATTCTTGTAAATACTTTTCAAAACACTATATTCGTGATAAATTAAAAAAAAAACAATATTTAGGGAATTAACACAAAAGGACAATCCCCATTTACTCTCTTTAACTTTTGCCTTGGTTGTTGCAGAGAATCCAAAACTCTGCTGCTGCTGCTGTTTACAATTGACGTACAGTCAATCCCACTCTCTTTTCAGTTTCAGGCGCCCAGTAACTTTAACTCACACTCACCACACCAGCAACAACCTGCCCCCTACGCGAAATGTCCTTGTTACCCCCCATTGGCTCACAAATTATTTGTTGTTTTTAAGCATTTTCTCTTCCTGGAAAGCTTAGGCCATTGATTAATTATTGAAGAGGATTTCGATCTGTGATGCACAATTCCTATAGTGAAATGGTATGATGGAACCCAATTCGGTTCCATCCCTACCGTTACCAATTATTGGCTCCATAATGATGTGAAATGATGATGTAAAAGCAAAAGCTGCAATAGGAATATGTTTAGCCTACATATAGAAGGAAAGATTCTCTTAATGACAAATGTCTTGAGGTAACCTTAGAGAAATTTTATAGTAAGTTGTGGTTCTTTAGCGTATCGAAACCTGGAAGAATTTCAATTACTACTATGAATAGCCGGGTGAATCAATAGAGTTTAGTGTATAAAACAACAACTATCAGTAGGTCTTGTACGCTTAACTGACTTCATAAATAAGACTTGTGGAAAAATATTCAGCTCCTCCATCATTTAACTTCAATTGCTTTGACAAATGTCCCATAAGGTGATTCAGCGACGTCAACACGTGTTGGCTACCCCCCACGTCGATATACAGTAGCAAAATTGCAAATCTCGTGGACGAAATTAAATAAATGATTTGCAATTCACATAATGATGTGCTTCGAAAACTACTACCGTGACAAACTCAACGACGGACAGAAAATGCCACGAGTGATTAGTTGGCATTTGTTTTAGCGGTTGGATCCACTAGGTGTCATCAATTCAACGACTGAAAACATGCAGTCGAATGATGGAACGATGTCAACAACACACCAGTTGCCCTACTTTGGAACACTAGTTGAATGGCGAAGTGTGTACGATTGAAACGTCTAGTCCAACAACCCTTAAGTCAACAATGATTGTAGCAGAGTTGGGTGAAGAATATCCATCCACAACCACAACCAAGAACAAACCCCGTTGTTAGGCTAGCTAATCGTTTGTTGCACCTTCTATGCAAATTGTGAAAAAAATGCGATGATATAGTTAATTATAACCTAAGCATGATCATTAATATTTTTTGAGGGAACTAAGCATGATCATTAATCATCAGGAAGAATAATAGGGTTATTTAATAAGGAAGGTTTGGCTGGGCTGTCATTACCCAGTAAAACATGAAACCAGTAGTTGTGTTAAACGTTAATTAATTGAGTTGCTAATAACATGATTCGTTTCCTTTATTAGTTTAATCCCAAGGAGCCGGCTATCTGAGGTGGCCCAAATAAGTTTTATTTTTAATAATTGACCGGTGGGTGGTGGGCTCCAAAGGCCCAAACAAACCGCAAACCATGTATTTCCTCATAAGTCAGAACGGTGGGAACAAGGGGAATTAAGGGGAAAACAAAACAATGGATTTAATTACGCTTAACTCCTTGATTTTTATTTTTTGGTGAAAATTAACTCCTTACACTTCCAGTGAAATAAATAGGTGTATAAATTGCTCAGGCGGCCCATGCCTATCATTTATTGATTTGGATAAGAAGCTATCCATATAAAAAAAAGTTATTGGTAGAGTTGTTCACGCTTAGTAAGCATGCATGTATTTGATAATCGATCATGTTAGTTGAAAAATCATATTCCGGCTTTCAACTTGATCTTTATAATAAATTTGTGATGTGTCAGATCATACTGGTATATATATGAAGATAAATATGAATTTTCAGCATACACACAGCATATGAATTTATGATCATTCATGATGTAATTACGAAAAAATTTATACTTGTAACGAATTTGAAAAACTAAAATCATGCGGACACTATCAGTGTTAAGATATAACTCTAATTCACATTATGCTCTCACATTTCGTAGGAAACCTAATTACATATCTATTTCCACCGCCTTTTACGCTTACGCTGACAAAAGCAAGATGAAACAAAAAAGAAACTTGCGAAAGCCAAACTTTTTTTCCATCGACGGCGACATGGCGGTGAAGGGCACATCACTCGTTCAGTAGTCTTTGTCTCCTTCTTGGCCCGAGCTCTCTCAGCTGCTCGTGGTTTCGTGGTTGTAGAAATGGAACGTTTAATGTCCTATCAAGTAGTTTGGGCAACAAAAATAAAAGTGTTAGTGGTTGCGGATCAACACTACTAAGTTGTAAGTTCGAACTCAATTCATACCCGACAACTCGGAGTGCTTCAACAAGGATGACAGTAGAACTCGAGCTCATGGTGGGTATCTAATCTAGCTAATTAACTCGATCCAAAGGGTTGGGAGTGGGAATTTACTTACTTTTGAAATGGTCGGGCTAGGCCGGGTTTAAATTTTGCACTTAACTCTCACTCATAAAATAAAACAATATAATTTTGCATCCAATCCAACTCGTTGTACCTTTCCGGTGTCAACCAATTCATCTTGTTTAGTTGTATGTAGGGGTGTGCAACGGGTTGTTCCGTACTGGACATCATTGGTCCGAATCGATGCTTGCACTAAACAACATTGAACTGGATATAATATGATTCGACCCTTATTGTGTGAATTTTATAGATAATATAGAAAAATAATCTCAATTCACATTTGGACATGACCAAACTAAATAAACGCAGGCCAAATTCAATTTTGCTATGATCTTTTGTTCTAAAATATTTTTCACTATTAAATCATTGTTCTTGTGAGTTTGGTCCAATACAAATTGCAGACCTATGCATAATGCATGCATGGTAATTTTGATCGCGCAAACATATTAAAAGAAACCAAAAGGCCATTTTGGTAAAACCTCATGCCAAAAAAATATGGTTGCTAGCTAGCCTTTCTTTTTCCTTCATATCATGCCTGTAAAAAGAAAAGAATTAAGATCTGAATTTTTTCCATTTTTTCATCTTCCCCTCTGCCATTTCCTCCTCCTCCTGTTCTTCTCCTCCTCCCTCTCTCTCTGTCCTTCATCTCCTTTCTCACACTACCGCGTCTCGAAAGACGCGAACACAGTCACAATTCACCGTCATTTCACCGTCCAGGGGGGAAAATTCTTGGACCTCCTCAAATCTTCCTAGCTTGCAAAACTCTGAGATAATTATACCTGACTGCGATTCCCCGGCGAAGTTCCTTCTTCTTACGGCATCGGCGGCTTCCTCTTCCCTGATCTCCGGGTTCTATTTTGAGGTCTGGATTGTGTCCGGAAGCTCCTGCTGGGGGAGAGACAAAAGGAAAAGATGGCGAAGCGTGGATATAAGCTGCGTATCCTCTTCGTTTCCTTCGTGATTTTTGCGCCGAATTGTTTGATTAGTTGAAGCCTGAATTGCGCATTTAGTGTTCCCCACTGGACGGTGAAATGTGTTATGGGAATTAGAGAGCTCTGAATGCTGCCGGTTTTATTTATCTATCTGGGTGATCCTTTAGCTGCAAATGTTCGTTGGTGTTTTCCGGGAGTGAGATTCTTACTAAGAGTCGGATTAGTGTCGCTTGTTGGGGAAGGATTAGCTGCAATTCTGCGTTGAAACCGAGCTCTGAATGATGACGATTTGTTCTTCGTTTTTTTTGCCTTTGATTCTGGTGATTTTGGGCCGTAAATTCGTTGGTGTTTTGGCGGCGTTGAAGTTTCATTTTGACACAGTGAGATTTGAGCTATCTTTGAGTTTGATTGGCGAGATTCTGTGTTGAATTATAGCACCGAATGCTGCCGCTTCCCTCTCTTCTTTAGGTGATTTTTGAGCTGCAACTTTATTCGGGGTTTCAGTGAGTAAGATTTAAGCACTTTTTAAGGTTGGATTAACGGGAATATTGTGTTGATTAGTTAGACTATTGGCGACCGTTACAGGGAGTATGAGATTTGAGCTATCTGAGCTTCACTGGATTTTGATTTCTGGTTCAAGCTTGTGAGAATGTATTGTTTAATTACTATTTCTGTGGTTTCTTGACCTAATTAAAGTTGTTTCCTCCAGGAATCGTCTGGATTTATGATTTATGATTTATTCTTCTGCTGTCTATAGCTCTTTGGCTTCTTCTTTTATCATGAGATTTGTCCTTGACTTGAAATGGCATAGAGGAATTTGTGGCGCATTCTACCAATGTAAATTGCCTAAGCATAGGGAGAAAGGCGGGTAGGCTGTTCGTAACGGGCGGCGATGATCATAAAGTGAACCTATGGTCTATTGGGAAGCCTACTTCTTTGATGGTTTGTCTCATTTCTCTTAACTTCAATCTTCTTCAAGTTATCTAAAAGTAGTAGCGTATATGTTCTCTGCCCTCTTATGAGGATTTGCTCTGTATTTGCTTTTTACCCTGAATTTCTTTCCCCTTTTGACATGCCAGCTGCATAATGCAGTTAATGGTCTAATGACTATATCTGGATGAACTTTTGGTCCGATGTGTGGCAACAACTATTATGGTATGGTCTGGAGCGTGGTGTTATGTATGAAGTTTTGAGATTGTTCTTCTAATTTCTACAGAGTTTATGTGGCCATACAAGTCCAGTTGAATCCGTAGCTTTTGATGCTTCTGAAGTTTTGGTGCTTGCTGGGGCTTCTAATGGTGCAATAAAGTTGTGGGATTTAGAAGAAGCAAAAAGTAAGTTGGTTCACTACCGACTCTCTTGTTCGCCTTGTTTAATGTACTTGTATGCTGAATTGATATTGAAATGCCGAACAGAGAAGTGATTTGATGCCATTTTCTTGCTGTATTTGGTTCTATTGTAGAAGGTAGTAGAGAATGCAAACCCTTCCCCCACTCCACCTTTTAGATCCTTGCAAATCAAGCTCTGATTTATTCCTGTACAAGATTTGATTCTTCTTATCTGGAACCCTAGTAATGTTTCGGTTATTCTTGAAGTGTAGTGGTTCGCACTGTTTCTGGACACAGATCTAGCTGCAATACTGTTGAGTTTCATCCATTTGGTGAATTCTTTGCATCTGGTTCTGCGGACACGAATCTGAGGATATGGGATATCAGAAAGAAAGGATGCATTCACACGTACAAGGGTCATAGTCGAACCATTAGTACCATCAAATTCACTCCTGATGGCCGCTGGGTCATGTCTGGTGGATTTGATAATGTTGTAAAGGTGCGTATCAATTTTCTTTTTGTGGTCTTATCTTTCTTTTTGGGCCTCCAATGTTTGATTCATGGGAACATTTACTGCAATGCTTGATTTGGGAGTTAGTTTGTACCACTTGATTGATTTTGTCTTACTGCTTCAATAGGTGTGGGATCTTACTGCAGGAAAGCTTTTGCATGACTTTAAATTCCATGAAGGACCTATCAGATCCTTAGACTTCCATCCCCTTGAGTTTCTCTTAGCAACAGGTGGGTCCTTTGCTGTTTGGTTTCATATTACTATCTGCGCTGGAAGAAGAACAATAAGCAGAATGATTACTTGTGAAGTAAATTGTCCTCTTGGCAGCTGACTTGATGTCTGATCTCTTTGATTATCCCTTTCCTTTTTGTTGATGACCCTTCGTATTAAGTCATTAATATATGCATTTTATGTGCAGGTTCTGCTGACCGAACTGTGAAATTCTGGGATCTGGAAACGTTCGAATTAATTGGATCCGCAAGACCCGAGGTATGTAAAGTAGACGTCTGAACCAATTTAACCAGAGATCTTGTTAGAAGTTTTTTTAGCCATCCATGTAACAAGTCTTTAAGATATCTCTTCCTTCAGAGGGTGATTTATTTCTTTCGTCTTTGCTTGGGTAAATTGGGATAGATTATCCCTTCCAACTCCTGTTAATTTGAGGCAAGCAACAATTTATGTGCTGGTGCTAATGGAAGTCCAATTCCTAAAAATTACTTGCTCTTTTGCAGGAAAGTGGAGTACTTTCTATGGCATTTCATCCTGATGGAAGGACACTTTTTTGTGGATTAGACGATAGTCTCAAGGTTTGGGATGCTCTCCCGTATCATACTTCTTAAGTTAATCGATGGAGGACGTTAGCTCAAGCTTTGATTCTTGGATTACAGATATATTCTTGGGAGCCTGTGATTTGTCATGATTCAGTGGACATGGGATGGTCTACACTTGGTGACCTCTGCATTCAAGATGGGAAGCTTTTGGGTTGCTCATACTATCGTAATTCTGTTGGAGTTTGGGTGGCAGATATTTCGGTATTTTGTTTACGCTTCCTTCCATACTTTGTTTACGTGCTGTTTTTTATTAGTAAAGTTTGATGCATTACTGATTGTGTGATTCTTCAGTCAGTCTTTAGATAAGTTAAACAGTTCTTCCTTTTTTGTAGCTTATTGAGCCATATGGGACTGGTGATGTACATGAAGAAAATGAATGCACAGAGCAGATGTTCACTTTCTCAAAAAATCACTCTGGAGACATAAGTAGTGATATAAATTCAGTTGTGAGTTTGCGCTCTGCGTCTCCGGAAATGGACACTAAAGAAATAAAGAACATATATATAGATTGTAAGTTTTTTCCTGGGACCGTTACATGCTCATTTTATAGGTTAGTTTCTTTGGTTGACTGCCCTAATATCTTGCAATACTGGTCAAGCTATTTTGTTTTGCATTGGCCACTTCAACTAGTTAAATTTGGAAATGGAATTTGAATCAAATAGGAAAAACGTTGATTCAAATTTCTGGTGATGTACATGAAGAAAATGAATGCACAGAGCAGATGTTCACTTTCTCAAAAAATCACTCTGGAGACATAAGTAGTGATATAAATTCAGTTGTGGGTTTGCGCTCTGCGTCTCCAGAAATGGACACTAAAGAAATAAAGAACATATATATAGATTGTAAGTTTTTTCCTGGGACCGTTACATGCTCATTTTATAGGTTAGTTTCTTTGGTTGACTGCCCTAATATCTTGCAATACTGGTCAAGCTATTTTGTTTTGCATTGGCCACTTCAACTAGTTAAATTTGGAAATGGAATTTGAATCAAATAGGAAAAAGTTGTTTACTTCACGATCTAATGTTAAGATTATATATATTACCCATCAGGATTTCAAATTCTTCTAATCTGGTTTCTGCTTATAGTAATAGAATTACTTTCAGTTCTTATGTATAACTTCTTGGATTATCTAACATATTTCTTGCTACTTGGTGGGATAGTTTGTTGCATACCAAGGCTATGTTTGTTTGACCTTGACCCAAAACTTTAGATTTAGGTAAAGAACATACTTTTTAACTCTTACATCTAAACTTCAGATAACATGGGGGCCCCTACATAGTTTATAAACTAAATGATAATTTTATTTATTTATTTCCGACTTAGACCTCGAGAAATATAATTCATCTCTCTATTCTCTAAAGCTTAAGTTCTAAGAAAAAGAAACACAACCCAGGATTTTGGCACACCTCGCTCGGAATGCCTTTTGTGAAGATCTTTCCCATTTCTGACTGTCTCTTCATTTATATTTCAGCTGGTGGTGGAAGTCCTGTTGTTTTGCCAAGGGCTGATTCACTGAACTCTGCCAATGTTGTCTTCTCATTGGACTCATTTCAAGCATGTAATCCACAGATGGAGAAGCAAAGTCATTCGGTGGAACTGAATACCAAATCTGGTGGTCAGACACTTGATAAATCTTTTATTGTGCCACCAGTAGCACCTCAGGAACCTGCCATAGAAAGGGGCTCTGTTGATATTAAAAAGGAAAAGATCACCTTTTCAAAGACTAAACCAGGAATGCTACTTAGACCTGTGAGAAGAGCTTCCAAAAGTGATATCGAGGAACTCTCAGTGAATCTTGAACCTATAAATGTTGCCAAGGTAGCTAGCGAGAAAGAGCTTATAGTAGATGTGCCCATGCAGACTAAGATTGTGCGCGAAGAGGGAACTCTGAGGTCCAGTGAGGAAAAAGGCTCTTTTGTAACCGAAACATTGCTGTCTCCAGAGAAACCCTGTATTCATGAAAATTGTAAGTTTTCTATACCAGAAGCTTGCTGTCGTCTCCAATTATTGTTTTTTAATTGTGCACTAATGGTCCCAACATGATTTATGAGAAATGTCTCTTGTATGAATACGGAACAAAGAATGTTCAGCTTGCATAAAAATCTTCACCACTATTTTCTATCTTGTATTAACATCTATTAGCCTGCTTTTCAAGGTATCCACTTGTACCAAAGGGGCATACAAGCGACACACCTACTACCTGTTTGCTGCCTTTTTTATATTCTCATTCGCAGGGCATGCCACATGATCATCTTGTTCTTCTGCATGAGAGTTATGATACTTTCTCTTGTGTGATGTTATGTTGTAATGCGCACTCAGTAGATTATTTTGGAAAATGTCTCGTTTCTGCAGGTGATGATCCTGTTAAAACTAAAAGGATCGAGCCGGTTAACAATGCGAACAGAGGTAATTATGTAGTTTGCTCATTCTATACGCATTCAGTGCATACAGCTTAAACTTCTTACTCTGTTGCTCTTTTGTACTCCCATGCACAAGTCATACCACATATTCTTGTTGCTCATTTACCCTCCCATAGCTAGGCTCTGAAAATGTATGTTTTTGGCAGGTGATGAAGCTGAGAAATTTAAAAGAGTAAACTCAGTTAAGATTGTCAATGGAGGTCCGTTTCTTGTTGCTTATTATTAACTCTTCAACAGCATAGAGATCAGATCGCACTTAAAAACTTATTATTTCCATTTTTACAGTTGCAGTAGTGGAAGGCAGAACTCGTTCTCTTGTTGAGAGGTTCGAAAGACGAGAAAAACCAAGCACGGAAGATCAACCACTCAATGGAGATCTTCATGTGCCAGAAACAATTAAGACTGCCATAGTAACTCCTGATATCAGCCCTCATGTAACTGCTGAAACAGATAAAACACCTGTGACTCCTTTTTCTGAACCCAGACCAGCTTCTAGAGGTAAACCTGAGAGTGGTGGAAGTCCAATTCCACCATCAAATACAACCTCGCCTGCTGTATCTGAAGCAGATAAAGCTCCCATTCGAGTACGGAGGTCTTCTTCTCACGGATTACCTGGAACCCATAGAAATCTGACTCCTCCATCTGCTACACCCTCTCGTGCTATAACTGAAGTGGACCGCCCTCACCGCAGGGCATCCAGCGTAGGAACCATTCGGACTCGCCTGACCTCATCTGCCCCAACATCGATAAATCCTGTCCCTGAATCAGAAAGCACCCTTCCAGTGACATCATCATATAGAACCCTCCGTCATACCACTGAAACAGATGTATCGCCCTTCGCCACAATTCATAAGATACCACGTGATCTACCTGCAACCGGTAGTAGGACGACAAGTGCAGTGGTATGCTCTATCATTTATATTCAGAGTTGCTCTCTATCAGGTTGTCTTGTGTATTGCCAATTTATTTTCTAATCTTAGTGATAATTATGTGCCAACACATCAATATTTTGGTACAAGGTTTCTTTTTCTTATGTGATTTTTTTTGTGGTTGTAGAAGGAAGAGCAGAGGATTTCTTTGAGGGACTCAATCTCTGCTGATTTTGTACCTGCTGTAGCATCTGATACAACCCCTAATAGTACACCGGAAATTGAAAAATTGCCCTTATCCACAGTTAGTAGGCCCCGTCGCCGAGTACCTGGGATGGATATAACGCCGCGAACCATGGTATGGTCTTTATTTTGCCTGGAGGAGTTTAATATGTCGGTTTTACGTCTGCATATGCAATTTACCACTTGGTTGAAGATGTGAGATATTAGTTGTAATTCATATAGTTGGATTCCTTTTATACTAGGTCACGGCGGTTTCTTATAACTCCTGGTTGCTCTTTTTTTCTTTTGCTACAGAAGGAAGAGCCAAAGATTTCTATGAAGGACGCTATCTCTGCTGGTTATAGACCAGCAATGGCATCTGACCCACCACCTAACAATACTCCTGAAGTTGAAAAATCAGCACTCACGTCAGTTAATAGACCCCGTCGCCGCATGCCTGCAATGGATCGAACACCTATCATGGTATGGTAGATATGTCAATTCAACTGTTTAGCATGTTGTCACTTGGTTGAAGATATTAGATACTCTGAAACTGTCTTTTCCCATGATAATTTAAGGATGTATGCAATTTCAACTTGGTCAAACAGCTTAATTACGCTTGTAGCATAGTATCAACTTATTAGGCTGAAAGGCGCGCCTGTTGATTTTGTTTCCTTTGTTGCTATGTGATGGATTGTTCTATTGCTTTCCTTTTCTTGGTTAGGTAATTAAGGAAGAAAAGTCGGCAAAATATTTCTGGAATCAATGACAATGATATCTTGTGATCTAGCACCATGAAAGATGTTGAAAACCTGATAGAATATTTAAGAATTCTATGAACGAAGAGAACTGTGTTGTTACTGTCTCAAAGAGAAGTATTGAATAATAACGAATTACAACCCATCCAGATGTTCAGACTTCAGTATTAGTTTTCTGGATATTCAAGTCGAATGATATCTGTACAGAGTTCTCAACATTTTATTTTGAGTAGGTGGTATTGGCCTGTTAATTGCCTTTGGTTCTTTGTCTACATCGGCAGAAGTCACCATCTCTAAACAGTCTTTTTGCATCTTATTTTGTGGTCACAGAAGGGAGAGCCACAGTTTATGGAAAGGGAGTCTGTCTCAGCTGATTATGGACCTTCAGCAGTATCTAATACTAGCCGTAGTAATACACCTGAAATTGAAAAATCTGCCTTCACTACAGTTAAACAGGCTCCTCAGGTGCTTGTGATGGATAAATCACCTCCCACTGCAGTATGCTCTTTATCCTTTCCTCAAAGAGTTTACTGTTTTGCCGTCCATTGTGCCAGTTCAGATTAATTTGGATTGGCTTTTCCTTTAGTAATATTTAGTACTTCTGTACTGGATGGTTTGGTTTTGTATGTGGGTTTTCTGCCACAATAACTCAAGGAAATATTTGTTCAATTGCCTCATTTGGGGAGGGAAATTAAAACCAGACTTTTGGAGCATCAGATTGTTTAACTTGAACCCATCCATAAGGGTTTGTTTTAGTACAAGGGCAGTTCAGTATTAACTTCCTTCAATCTTCTTTCTTTGTTACAGGAAGAGCCTCAGATCTCTGGAAGGGACTCTGCTTGTGGGGACGTGATTGAAGATCTGATGCAAAATCATGATGCCTTTTTAAGCACTCTTAAATCTCGATTGACTAAATTGCAAGTAAGTAATTAGCCAGCTTCAAGGATAGATTCTTGCAACTTTCACTTGCCGAGGTGCATTCATCTGAAAGATGCTGGGATGTGATTCTATTATGTAAAGTGTAGGGGATTAGTGGCACACGAATGGTTTGTGTAGTGTACCTCGATAGATTTCTACTATGCTATCCTTATGCTGCAGATTATCATAATACGGTTAATTAAAACAAAAGATAATTACCTAATCAGGAGCCGAAGCCATTACACTTCTACTATAACATATTAATGCTCTTTTTTCCAGGTCATTCGACATTTTTGGGAGCGGAATGATTTCAAAGGTGCAATCAATGCCATGAGAAGACTAGCTGATCACTCAGTCGGTATTGATGTACGGAACTCTTCCTTCCTGTCTCCGATGTTTGCTTTTTTTGTAGAAATCAGAAGGTTTGAATAACTATTCTTGGGTGTTTTAGGTACAAGCAGATGTGGTCAGTGTTCTAGTAGACAAAATAGAAATCATCACCTTGGATTTATTTTCGTCCTTGCTTCCTGTGCTGGTGGGCTTGCTCAATAGCCAGATGGAAAGGTAAGCATTTATTCACGTGTAAGCCTTTTTACCTCCAGTAAAGAAGAGTCTGGACCACAGATCTAACTGTAGCTTCCAATTAGGCATGCAAATATATCACTGGAGATGCTGCTTAAGCTCGTAGCAGTCTTTGGACCTACAATTCGTTCTACCGTTTCAGCTCCTCGTCCAGTTGGTGTTAATCTTCACGCAGAGGAGAGGTTTGTCCAACCACGCAAACTCACATTCCATGCTGCAAGTTGCCCTCCATATTCTTCTGTGGCGTATATTGACTGCCTATTTCATAAATCGGATTTACAGGATAGAGTGCTGTAATCAATGCTTCGTTGAACTACAGAAGATTCAACAAATCCTTCCTTCACTCATTAGGTAAGCAGTATGTCTGCAAGAAAATCTCATTTCCATCTTTGCCGGACAGCTTTGTTGTGCATACATATCCTTCTTTTCTTCGCCATGGCAACAAAAACTGGAACAAAAAATAATTCATTAATCCGTGCTTTGATTGCAGGAAGGGTGGTGTCCTGGCTAAGTCTGCCCGGGAGTTGAATCTAGTACTTCAACGACCTTGATAGGACTCCAACTCAATCTGATCCCTCCTTGAGAACCATAGGGTCCTTCCAGTCCCTCTCCGTGCGGGCATGTGGTTCATCCATTTCCCACCTGGCAATTTTGTCTTACTGCTTTCGCTCCTGCCGGAAATGTCTATATATAAATATCGGCTCTGGTTACAGTACCAGATTACGACGGGGCTGAAACAGTCGAAGTCAGGCGATCGGTCAAAGCTTCAGACCAAGATTTGACGTTTCGTACATCAGGGCGTGGATGTTAAGGCAGGACGTGAGCAGACCACTGCAGAACCTCGCCATCTTTCCTTCCATTTTAAAGGTACTAACTCAGCAGCTCTCTCTTTTAGCCTTCCTGGGCATTCCAGCCATAATGCGTAGCTGCATTGTATGTAATTGTTTTGGTCATGGTCGGGGTGCGTATTTCAGCTACTCCCCTCTGTTTTGAACATCTTGTATATTACGAAAACAGTTCATCTACTCTTCATATTGATCCTACATTTACATGATCTGGAATCGCTTCACATGTCTCCCCATTTCTTAGGTCTGGCATTAGAGTTGAGCTTTCATAATCTGTTGTAGACCTAACTTGTAATAGCTCGCAATCCGAAACGATACTCTACCCGAACCTTACTACCATATGCTGTCGTTCTACTGGTCGATGATAACCTATTCGTTAGTTGATCAACTATGTCCTAAGTTTACATCTCGACTTGTGTTCTGCTGAGACCGGGATGAGAATCGGGACAAATGGCAGGATGCCACGTGGCAGACCGTCGTTACCTCCTTACCCGCCAATCAAGAATTTGGGTCTGGTTTCTCAGGCTAATGGGGAAATGCCACATCATGTCACATCTTACTCTCTTTGTGATGGGAATTTAGGCAGTGCTTTTGCCAAACCATTGTCGCCTCTCGCTTTCTTGAGCAGAAAAGGTTTCAGGCGGATGGAAATGGAATGGAACCCCGTTAGCTGGGGCCCGTTTATTTATGTATGGCTCCTGAAATGTACGATGTCAAACTTTCTTTCCTCGTCGTGAACGTCTTCTCTTTGAGCTCAGCTCACTATATGTAATTAATGTAATTAGTTAGACGGCCCCCACTCATGCCAAATTCTCTCTTTACTTTGTTCTCTGAAGTGAGATTAAGATATCTCTCTGTCGACTTTCGGTCATTCGGTGGTTGAATGTAACAACGCTAAACCTAAATTATTGGAATAACTAACCTCAAAATTACAGTTATAGGCACTGACTAAGGTAAACAATGCCTAGTTTAACTCGTGCATACGTATATGTGACCATTCTTCTTTGTTCTTTCAATGAGTGCAATCTCTCATTGGCAATGGTTTGAGGCATACGGATAGTTTTTGCAAAGAGACTCGCGTAGATTCTTTTGAATGTGTTCGATTTGAAATCACACATATATCCGTCTTATGTGTTCGCGTACATACATATAGACTACGTGTTACCTACTCTCAAAGCTAATTAGTTGTAAGATCTTAAACGCCTTAACTGTCAATTCCCCGATTCCGAGACCACTTCCTATTTAATGAAATACGGAGAATAGAAAAACCAAATTGGCGTGCTCCGGGAGAGATGAGGGTGGCAATATCGTCATTTACCCACCAGCAGGAATATAAAAACGCAGACACAGGATAAAGGCAATCCGCTTAGTAAAGAGAGAGAGAGAGAGGAAATTTTTTTGAAAACCAATCCCATTCAATTCAAAGTTCAAACTTAAAACCAAAACCTCGCCATATCTCTCAAAAATCAAAAAGCGCTCTCTCTCTCTCTATCAGAAACGCGCCTCCGCTTCTCCATTTTATTATTATCCGCCAAAACCAGAAGAAAAAAAATCATTGAACAAAACCCGCCCGGTAAACCGCCTTTCGTCTCTAACCTAATCCCCCGCCAGATTCCCTTCCCGCTTCAATAAATCCCATCCTCCCGCGGATTTCCTTGTCCTAGAATTCCTTTTGCGCGTGCCTTCACGCATTGAAAGGGAGAAGGGGGATTCTAGGTTAATCTTTACCCTCCCGGCTCTCGAGAAATTGAAATCAGCTAGGGTTTTTCGCTCCGGCGGCGGGAGACGGAGGTAGATGGGCGCGGTGGTGGTGGCAGCGGCGGCGGCGGGGTGGGGGACGTGGGAGGAATTGTTGTTGGGAGGAGCGGTGCTCCGACATGGGACCAGAGATTGGGACGCCGTGGCCGCGGAGCTCCGTACCCGATTCGCCTGCACGCCGGAGGTAAACTTTTTTCTTAAGTTTCAATTTAATTTTTATCTAATCATCGTCGTTAATTTAATCCGAATTCTCTTTTAGTCAAATCAGTTTTGAATTAAGTAAACTAATTATTAAATTACCCGGTCAATGTAAATTATATCATTTCCATTTCTGCGTGTATGGATTGGTTGCTGCTGTCTGTTTCTTTTTCTTCTTTTCGGTTTCACATTTAATTAAGTTTCCCATAAGCTGTGGGCATTTTGGTATTTTCCAGTTGTACTACGGTGTCGATTCCACGCAATGTTTCACGTACCATTATTCTGCGTTGCCACTCCGGTTTCCCTGAAGGGTTACTGAATGGTCGAAAATGCCCCCGCCCCGTTATCGGAACCAAATCCTAAACGAAGAGGAAAAATAAAACAATTGAGTGCTATCCAAACTCTTTCATCAATTTTGTTACAGTGCTGATGCATAATGTTCAACGCGTATAGTTACCGTTGGATTATCTATAACGCATTTTCGGTTATATGATCGGCGTGGTATTAATATTTTTTTGATCTAACGATCGAGAGAGCACATAGAAGAACAATCCAATAGCGTCTTTTTTTGGTGTCTTTAGGGCAGACATACCTAATTTTGGTGGCTGGAAGGGGGAATGAATTGGCCGGTGCCGGAAATTGGTTACCACGTGCTATGCATGTGAACCAGACCCGCCATTTTAACTTTGTGATCTAACGCCACTTACTGATTAACGACGTCGAAACATAACTGACTTGAAATATCTCCGGTAACTAGGGAATAGGAATTCATAACGGGAGAAAAAAAAACTAAACAGATATGTATATATATTGGCTAGGATCTGACTGTTTGCAGTTGTTGTTGTGTTTAGGGTTTGTCAATAAATGAAGTTGGTCCCCAAATTTGCTCAGTATCATCAAGGCAAAGCTCGTGTTTTGTACTTGAAAAATGTCAGCTACTTGTTTAGAGGCGGTTTGGAGAAATGGGGATTTGGAGTTGTGGTTAAAATTTAGAGATTCGGAAGAAACTTTTTGTTTTTGTTTTGCTGTATTTAGGGCTCATTTGGTTTCTCCAATGATCGATTGAAGTATGATGATTAGTACATGTATTATATTATACATGATAGATTTGGTATATTGTAGATTATATTAATTGGTATATGTGATTTTGTTTTTAGCAATGGTAACAAAGTAACTTTTTTTTAACGGAAATGTAACTTTTTGTCACTTCTTTTCAATGCAAAAGATACTTTTTAAAGGATAAAATTGGAGTTATGGAAACAACAATCTCGACTAAACAAGTAAAACTTTTATTTATTTCTCTAATCTGCAGGTCTGTAGAGCCAAGTACGAGGACTTGCAGCAGCGTTACTCTGGTTGCAAGTAAAACCCAGCTCTCTCTTTCCAAAGCTACCACCTTGAATTCTCTTAATTATCCTGCTCAACTCTTTTTCAAAAATAACTTAGCTGATGACATTTCTTGCTCTGCCATTGCTGTAGAGCTTGGTTCGATGAGCTTCGGAAGCAACGGATGGCGGAACTCAGACGAGCCCTGGAAGTATCTGAGGACTCGATAGGGTTAGTTAAACCTTCTCCTTTTTACACATGACCCTCTTTCTAAAGTTTTCATCTTTCGCATGGGCTCTACTTAATTGAATCCTTATCTTCGGAGGATTCCTCATCAGGTCGCTTGAATCAAAGATAGAGACTCTCAAGGCAGAGAAGAAGAAGGGTGATTCTTCTCCTGCACCATCAGTGAAATCAGAGGGAATCGTGGAGGAATCATTGAGCAAAGAGACGTCCAAAGATGGACTCTCGGCAGGTAGCTTCACTCAGGAGACCAGATCAAACTGGTCTTCTGAGCCCCGCCTAGTACCCAAGCCAGAACCCTCGACCTCTCCAGACAATGGGAAGGTCGTCGAGGAGGAACGACCGCTAGGGTTCCTGAAAGGCCTGAGAGGGAAGAGGAAGAGGAAGGTCTGTGGCAAAGGTAGAAATGAAGGCAGCGCTGAAGAGAGTGCCGATGCATTGGGATCATCCTCGATGTCTGCTCGGTTGAAGGATAATTCGACAAGCACTTGTGGTGAAGTTGTTGCCAGAGGTTCAGGTGGTGACGATCAATGCAGAGGAGGTGGCTCGAGCAATGAGGAAGCTTCTGTTGATGATCTTGTCGGGATTTTTGACACCATTGCGGAGAACAAATGTACCAATGTCTTTCGACGGAGGCTTGATAGCCAGGTAATGGTGTAAATGCACACGCTTGCCCACCCAATCTGAACTAACCTTTGCTTACTACGAATTCGATCCTGTCCTTTGCAGAAGAGGGGAAGGTACAAGAAAATGATATTGCGGCACATAGATGTGGACACCATACGAGGCAAAATCTCCAAGGGCTCCCTTCTATCAGCCAAAGAACTCTTCAGAGACTTGCTGCTGCTGGCGAATAACGCACTGGTCTTCTACTCGAAAACCACCCGAGAGTACAAATCGGCGAATCTCCTTCGAGACATTGTCACCGAGAGTTTGAAGACTTACATCAGCAGCAGAACTGCCAGTACTGCTGCTGCCCTGGTCTCGATCATGCCTCCAGCAGCAGCAGTACTTGATCCTCCTCCTCCGGCAACAAAGAAGTCCCCAAGTGCTCGCCCGGTTAACAAGAAGACACCATCCAAAGTGTCTAAAGCTATTCCAACCACAACCAAAGCTGCTACTCCTGTTGCTGCTAAGAAACCTGACCGGAATTTGGGATGTAAGGCACCATCCAAAGAGTCGAAAGCTAGCCAAACGACTGCCAAAGGCGCTGTTGCTGCTGCTAAGAAACCTGCTGTGAATTCGGATGGTCAGGAAGCGACGGAGGAAGAATCGGTTAAGAGGAAAGGAGGGCCTGGCAGGCAGAACAAGGTTGGCCGGACGGCTAACGAACGACCGGAAGGTGGTCAGAGTAAAGGAGGAAGGAAGAGAGCTCGGGTGAAATGAGTAGTAGTAATGTATAATGTATATTCATGTAGTGTTGCCTTTTTGTATTGCAAGTTGTAGCTCTTGTGTAATCTTTTTGGTCAATGTTCTCAGGTGACATGCTTGCGTTACATGTAACAGTGAATATAATCGCCACTCGGCGACCCTGAAAGTTATGTTTATTGGGAAAAAGGCAATATCATCCTTCTACATTAAGGATTTGGATTGGCAAAGACTATTTATGGGACTTCGATCTCTTTCCTTAGTTTCCTGTCTTCTGCTGTTGTGGGTCGGGAATCGTTTTCGTAGTTCCAGATTCCATCCATGGCGGCCTGTAACAGCACCTCGGCTTCGGATCGGCAGCTACGCTCGCGGATTTTGCCATGCAGCTCCGCAAAACGACGGCGACTACATTCAACGGGAGTAAACTCTCCTCTTCCTCCTCCTGATCGTTCAACTGGGAGACGATCTCCTCGTAGAAATCCTGATTCGCCTACCTGACCCTAGATCCGCCTGTCGCTGCAAAGCCGTATGCAAGGGATGGCAGTTCCTCATCTCCGATCCAATCCGCTTCAACCGCCGTTTCGTTTCCCACCACCAAAGCAGGAACCCGCAGCCTAATTTTCTCCTTCTACCCGCAGAGGACCCACAAGCGATCATCAGAAGCCGCAAGTTTTCTTCCTCCGTCATTTTACCTACTCCGGTGATATCTGTCTCGTCCTGCGATTTGGGGACAGGGGGAGACCTCGAGCTCTTTACCGAAGTGAGAGGTTACTTAAATTATTGGTATTTGTTCTGAGTTGAGCTCTCTTGCTGGCTGACTTCGATTCCGAGGTACAAGCAATTGCGAGATATGTATGATGGAAGCTACGACTGTTGGGTTCAGGGCAACATGGAAACGGCTAGAACTCCTCCTCCCATAGATGGCAATTACTTTGTCTGGCACTCTCTTTTGAGGCCATCTTCAAAAGCTTAGATCCCATCTCGTTTATGTTGTGGTTGGTTTAATTGCTGAACCAGCAGAAGGTGATGAAAGGCTCATGAGATCATAAGACGGACCACCGCCTCAGATGGTGACTAGAGCTTCACCATGGTTGGATTCTGAGATATCTTCAAGTTGGGGTGGCAGAACGGTTTCCGGTTAGTTAGTTTATATTAGATATTTGCACTCCTCATCCAGTGACGTAACGTAACCAAAAATTAATGTAAAAAGGTAGGTCAAACATGAAAAAAATAAGTTTCAAAATGTGTTCATCTTTTGAATTTTTTTTAAAATATAACCATCATATAAATTATGAAGGATGTTAAGATGCCACAGCAAAAAAAATAGTTTATGATTCCGCAACTCATCTTATTTTGAAGTATTTTTTCACTTTGTTCATTATAGTAGGTGATCTTTCAGCACTTGCAATGACAACCGATGACAACAAACATCTATAAATTTTGAGTTTTTGTTTATATTAAACTCACTTACAAAATATATGAATTAAAAGTTATCTACAATGATATGGAAATCATGTACTCAATCCACATTCACATAAAAAAAAATTACTCTAATATTTTTGGGCGAAGGTGGTGCAAATGACTCACCTTGGCCTTGAGTGGCTCCGCAACTATCCTCATCTCCATGCTATTCATTAGATTCTGAGATATCTTCAAGGCACTCCAGACGTTGGGATGTTACCGGTGCCCCATCTTTTAGGCTTGCGTTGATGTTATATAAGATAAAGCTATGTTATAGAACATATATAACTATGCTAAACCGATGTTATATAACACATATAACAATCTAAAAGTAGAATATGGATGTCATACATGATACTAAACTTCCCTTACACGTGTATATTCTATAACATCTTATATGTACAATTAATGCAAATGAAGGGTCTTTTTGAAACAATAATTTCATTTAGGTTCTTACAGTTGTCATACTCATAGGCGGAGGGAGAGCAGTTTGCCCTTGTCCCCTAGGATAGGGGCAAATTTTGGGAGGGAAAAAATAATCTTATATATGTTTGAACGGAGAATAATTCAACACCTACAAGTAATATAAGGATATGTTGGCACTACACTATAATTCATTACTTGTTCATTAATTGTCAAAAAATAATTAATTTATTGGTTTCATTCATGACACTATTATTCGATAACACATTGTTGGGTATTATAATGATTTTATGGCTGATGAGAGGTTTGTTGGATTGAAAGAAATTGATAAATGTCTTAGATCATGGTGGAAACAAAAGTGCATAGGTTATATCAGTCAGTTTATTTGCTTTTGAAATTAGTTTTGATAAAAAAAACGGTTTTTTACTCTAATATTTTTGGGCGAAGGTGGTACAAATGACCCACCTTGGCCTTGAGTGGCTTCGCAACTATCCTCATCTCCATGCGATTCATCAGATTCTGAGATATCTTCAAGGCACTCCAGACGTTGGGATGTTACCGGTGCCCCCATCTTTTAGGCTTGCGTTGATGTTGACTGTGTTGAATGCATTGATATACGTTGTTTTACTTCTGGTTGGTGTGTGAAGTTTGATAATTCCTTCATTTTTTTAGTGTTGTCGATAACAAGACAAAGTCTTCAAAACCAAATCCGAACCAACCAAGAATATTAAAATTAAAACGGCAGTTAAAAAAAAACAAATATATATTTCTTTTGAATACTTTTTCATCTCTGTCACATTAGATGGTGACTTCACCTGGTTACCAAATGGAAGGTATAGTGATGGCTTTTAGAGTGGGAGTGACACGTTTGTATTTATTGATTCCTTTTTTTTCTACACTTTGATCTCGGTTTGTTTTTTCCCCCTATGTATCTTTTTTTCTCTACCACGTTAAATTCTCACGTTCTTTAATTTTGTTCGTATAGTAAATTTGACAGCCACGTTGTTTTGAATAGAGGTGATAATTGTCTTTCAGACGGCTTCAAATAATTTCATGTGTTGATATCATTTTCGAAACTGCAATGACCTAGGCAGCTGCCTAATTAACACATGAAATCATGCATGCAGTTAAGATTATTGGAAAGAAGTTGCGGGCCGGGGCATTAGTTACCGCGTTTCAAGCCCCTACTATAAATCATGTTGAAATGAAGCGCCAAGCTGATATAAGAACAAAGAAAGTTAGAGAAATGGCTCAATCCAAAACAATGGCGGCGTTGAAAATGATGATGCCATACCTGGCAATGATAGTCCTGCAGTTTGGGTATGGTGGAATGTCCATCATCACAAAGCTCGCTCTCAACGAAGGGGCTGAGCCCGCACGTGCTGGTGGTCTACAGGCATGCGGCGGCGGCCGTAATTGCTCCCTTCGCCGTGATCTTCGAGAGGTTGGTGTTACTTTCTAGGTTCATGAACTCTCGGCCCAACCTTTCTCAAGATAGCTCTGCTGGGATTGCTATAGTACGTGTAATGGTATTTTTTTATTATATCCTTGATTGATTAAGATTAGTCTACCTTAAGTTGCTAATGATGACTTGTTATGTTGATAATAATAGGCCATTTCTCAAGATAGAGGGGCATTTGATTCTTGATTGGTTATACAAAGTATCAAGTATGTGTTATATTATATAAATATATTAGTTATATGGCTACTTGCCTGATTGGTTTGAATGGTTAGCGGTGTATGAAACAAAACCACCTATAAAATTTAACCAAAATCAAACAAATTATTCAAATTAACCAAACCAAATTAACAGCGGTGCGGTGAATATAAGATAAAGCTATGTTATAGAACATATATAACTATGCTAAACCGATGTTATATAACACATATAACAATCTAAAAGTAGAATATGGATGTCATACATGATGCTAAACTTCCCTTACACGTGTATATTCTATTTCATCTTATATGTACAATTAATGCAAATGAAGGGTCTTTTTGAAACAATAATTTCATTTAGGTTCTTACTGTTGTCATACTTTGATCGGCATATAATACATACATTTCTGCAATCTTATAGAGGTCACCCGTAAGTAAATTCTACATCTTAAAATTAAATTTTGAAGTGAAAAATGATATGAATACATGGAGCTATCGAGACCTGTAGATACTTAATCCATGAAAAGAGTCTTCCTGGGACCAACTACCATTTCTCATGCACCAATAACCGTACACTATTAGACGAGGTGCGAAAATTTTATCGCAAACTCCTCCGAATGAGTGAGTTAATTACTACATACACATCTCTAAATTAAATGAAGATCGGGAGGTGACAATATATCTGTGGGTATCCTTTTCTTCTGACCGCGTGAAATGCCTCTTTACATGTGATCACAAGTTCACAACCCTTCGTGTCCTTATTACATGCATCGAGTCCTAAAACTCTGAGGATATAGTCTGTCGAAACATTGTGCTTTCAATTGTGAACAGATGATGCCTACTCCATGTTCGGATTGAAGAAGGAGAAGTCCAATATGATCAAGGTAACAAAGGAGAAGAGTCAGAAATGAGAAGAAAATAGCTGGTGGTACTATAGAATAATCTTCATAAATGCATCAATCTCTGGATTCAAAAGAATATCTCTTTCCTTTCCCGCTGCATCGTATCCTTCAAGTACCCTAAAAAGATATCAAATACACTCCGACAAGAGTTAGTGAAGTCAGTTTCATTCATCAAAAGAAAAGTGGAGAGGTTAGCTTGACTATCTCTAAGGAGTTGGAAAAACAACTACCTCTCTTTATTAAACCTATGTTGAATATATTAAATCTGTTACTCTTTAACAATAAAAAAGTCATATTAATTACATTCTTTTTATTTCAAAACTAATTCGACATTAATTACATTTATCTCACTATTTCTCACTATTTCTCTTTTCAACAACTTTATAAGACCAAAGTACTGAATCTAGGACTAGACGAAACCTGAACGGGGGAAAAATGTCAATCCCTCCCTCTGATCTTTCTCCTCTGGCACCGGACATGTCTTTGACTGGACGGCCGCCGGATCCGCAAACCTCTGCACATCTCCCAGACAATCTACAAGGGAAAGCGATTACTACAGCAACATTACCTCTGAATTTCAAATCAGCGCTCACAGGTCGTGATCAGGGGAGCCCCGATACAACCAACCAATGGCTTTTCGTCGGTGAACAGGACCTCATTCCTGGCACCTTTGGGGGAGAGCCATCCCTGCAAATATCAGACAAGTTTAGAGAGAAGCTATGTATTCCATGGAAGAAAACTTTGGTCATTAGGCTCTTAGGACGCTCCATCTCTTATGCTTACTTGTGCAGTCAAATACGGTGGAAGTGGAGACCAACAGGACATCTAGACATCATGGATCTCAACAATGATACATTCTTAGTGACCTTCAGCAATGAGCAAGACTACCTAACAGCCCTAACCGGAGGACCGTGGGTGATTCTAGATCACTACTTAGTAGTCCACCAGTGGTCGCCTTCGTTCCGCACGGGGCAGAAACCTCACCGCTCAGTTGTTGCTTGGATCCAACTCCCAGAATTTCCGGTCCATTTCTATCACAGGGAAGTTTTGTTTGCCCTGGGGAATCTTATCGGCCGCACAGTGAAGCTTGATTATCACACGGAGCACCGGCAAAGGGGGAAATTTGCTCGAATTGCGGTAGAATTGGACATGTCCAAGCCGGTGCCAACTCGAATTTACCTGGATGGTTTCTGGCAGGCCGTGCAATATGAGAACCTTCCACTGATTTGCTTCGAATGTGGCTGTGTTGGGCATACGGAGGATTCGTGTTCATCGAGGAAATCTCAATCGGCCATGGAGATAGTGGTGGCCCAAACCGGCGACCGCAGCTCCATGCCGGAGGACTCACCGCCGGAACCACCGTCGGGCTATGGACCCTGGATGCAAGTTACGAGGAAATCACGGAAGCAATCTGGGAAAGTTACCCCTTTGGGTGAGCAAAATCAGAAAAATCGAATCAACGGACATACGGATTCGAGGCGCCCGTCTAGCAAGGCAGCCACAAAAGGAAATCTTCATACAGCAACGGGCGGGTCGAAAGAAGGTAAAGGGAAGGAAACTGGTAAGCCAGAGCAACGACATGGAAGCCAGAAAGGGAAGGCAGTTAAAGAGACAGAGTGCAGCAAGAATTTCCACCAGAATTCGTCGAAACAGACGTGGCGCCCGATTGGGCCGAATGCAGCGTCTTCCTCCAAGGATGGTCAGGCCATCATAAAACCCACTTCCAAGGAGACAACTAACCAACTGGACTCGGAGACCATTGGGCCTGTTACCCGAATTTTAGGCCCAAACAATACCAATATTCAAGTGGTGGCAGTTCCATCTCTTCGGCTGCCAGGGAAAGAAAACGGAGACCCCAACCAAACCGCTTCGTCGATCAGACACCACTACCAGAAAAAAACAGGGGGAAAATCGCCGACTCAAGAGAAAAAGAAAGGTTTAAACCTCAAGCCGAGCAAAAAGTCGGTGATAGTCCCTTCCACTGCTAGGCGAGAACTCAAACGAGAGCTGAACAGGAATGTGAAGAACCCTTCTTTTCCGATCACCATCCAAGCCATTGAAGCCCTCTTCAACAACAATCCTGAATTAACATCTCTCGCAAACCAACAAGCCTCTGGGAACAGCGATGAGCTTATGGAGGAGGAGCCGGCGGCCCGGGACAATTCGGGGACTCTGGTGAAAAATGCGAGCCAGCAGGCCCTCACTCCGAATGCGACTTCGGCGACCTGATTGCTTCTGTTTCTCTTTCGCTTTTGCTGGGGTTTTTTTTCCAGTTTTTCCTCTCCTTTAGCTTGATTATGTCTATGTCCAGTTACCCAAATTTTAAAGTCCTGTCCTGGAATGTGTGTGGTGCAGGAAGCAAAGATTTCCAACGGGCTATGAGGCTCCTGATTAAAGTTTATTCCCCTGACTTCCTCTTGATCATCGAGCCCCAGATCAGTGGAGATAAAGCCACTACTGTTTGCAGCAGCTTGGGTTATGGGGATGTTCTTCGGGTGGATGCTGATGGTCGCAGTGGAGGCATTTGGTTGGCTTGGCGTTCTAACGATTTCCAAATCCAGCTAATTGATGCTAGTCAACAACATATTTCTGTCAAGGTCTCTAACAACTCCCAGAGAGATTGGATCCTTACAGGGGTCTATGGAAGCCCCAAGTACAGATTCCATCAACTTCTGTGGAGTCACCTTATTCAATTTGGCCGAGATTTGGAGATTCCTTGGCTAGTGACAGGAGATTTTAATGCCTATGGATCCCTGTCTGAGAAGGCTGGACCTCCCTCAAGCGCTGCTATCCGACGTTGCCAGCAATTCTCAAATTGGATAAATGATGCTAATCTTCTTGATTTGGGTTTTTCAGGGCCACAATTTACTTGGTATAGGGGTGACTCCAACAACACGTTCAAAGCCAGCCGCATTAACCGTAGTCTTTGCAATTCAGCGTGGAACACCACCTTTGCCAACACTTCGATCCAGCACCTCCCAAAGCTCCATTCTGATCACCTTCCCATCCTGACGACTTATTATGCCCCTCACTCAGTTAATTGTGGAGTCAAACCGTTTCGTTTTGAGGCTGCTTGGCTTCTGCATAACAATTTCTCTGAGTTCTTTGCAGAAAACTGGAATATTGATGGTGATCTTGATCAAGGGCTCAAAGACATCTCCAACAAACTCCAAGAATGGAACAGACTCACCTTTGGAATTATTGGGCACCGCAAGAAAAGGCTTCTCGCGAGAATGCAAGGAGTGCAACTCCGAATAGCCACTTCACCTTCACCTGGGCTGTTCAAGCTGCAAGCCAAGCTGGAAAAAGAATTAGATGATCTTCTAGCTCAGGAAGAGGTCATCTGGTTCCAACGAGCTAAGGAATCTTGGGTGAAGCTGGGGGAACAGAACACTTCCTACTTCCACCAACAAGCCAATCGGCGTAGAAGAAGGAACAAAATTCTTAGTCTCCGGAATCAGAATGGAGAGTGGGTTGAAGATCCGACGCTCCTTCGGAATATTATTGTGGATTTTTTTGCTCTTCTGTATACGCAGGATGATCCAGTGTACAGTGATTGGATGCCAAAAAATTGCTTTCCGCGGATCAGCAGTGAAGAACTCCTCACCCTTTTGCGTCCCTTTCAGATCAACGACTTTCACAGGGCTGTTTTTGACGTGAAACCTTTTGCGGCCCCTGGGCCGGATGGTTTCCAGGCCATCTTCTACCAAAAATTATGGGCTTTAGTTGGAAAAAGTTTAAATAACATGGCTGTGAAGTTTTTTGAGACAGGTGAAATTGAAGAGGAGGCGCTGGAGTCAACGGTAGTTCTGATTCCTAAGATGGAGAGTCCAGAAAGCCCAGCTCAGTTTCGACCGATCTGTCTCAACAATGTTCGGCTCAAGATCATCACCAAAGCTATCACCAATCGCCTTAAGCCGCTGATGAGGATGTGGGTGGCGCCGACGCAAAGCAGTTTCATTCCTGGCCGTCAAACTACTGATAATATTTTGATTGTGCAGGAAGTTCTTCACTCGCTCAGGAAGAAGAAGGGTAGAAAGGGAGGCCTTGTGATCAAGATAGACTTGGAAAAAGCTTATGACAGACTCAGATGGGACTTCATCAGAGATACCTTGGCGCAGCTTGGGCTTCCTAGCACATGGATTAGCCGTATCATGTTCTGTGTTGAGAAAAACAAGATGCGTATAAACTGGAATGGAGAGCTTACCGATCAAATCATACCTTCTAGAGGGGTCCGTCAGGGGGACCCTCTCTCCCCTTACCTTTTTGTTCTCTGTATGGAACGCCTTTCTCACAGGATTCAACAGGCAGTCTCAGATAACCTGTGGAAACCCCTTCAGCTCTCGAAAAATGGTCCTAAATTATCTCATTTGTTTTTTGCTGACGATCTGGTGTTGTTTGCAGAAGCGGAAGGGCGGCAGATCAACATTATTCGAAAATGTCTAGATGACTTCTGCACCAGCTCTGGCCAGAGGGTTAACCTCAACAAGTCAGCGATGATGATCTCCCCTAACATTTCTCGAGAGAAGAAGCAAAGACTTGGAGACCGCGCTGGTATTCCTATCACTGCAGATTTGGGAAAATACTTGGGAATTCATACTATTAATGGTAGAATTTCCAAGACCAGATACAAAGATCTAACGATCAGGATCCAGAAGCGTCTGGCCAGTTGGAAGACTAGACACCTCTCCATTGCAGCCCGGATGACCATGGTGAAGTCCATATCTTCTTCTATGTCGATTTATCCTATGTTCACCGAGCAACTGCCTGCTTCTGTGTGCTCCTCGCTTGACAGGATCAACAGGCAATTCATTTGGGGAGATGAAGAAGGGAGAACGTCTTTCCATCCCATTGCTTGGGAGCAAATGACTATACCTAGGAGTCAAGGGGGAGCTGGCATTCGCCCAACACGCCTTGCTAATCAAGCTATGCTTGCCAAGGGTGCGTGGAAGCTAGCGACAATGACCAGTCTCTCTGGGTTCAAATCATGAAGGGGAAATATGGCCAAGCTAAGGAGGGGCTGGACATCCTTAAAACCAGAAAGGGAAGTTCCTTTGCCTGGCGTAGTTTCAGCCACTCGGCTGAGGTACTACGCAAAGGTTATGCTTTTAATATTAAGAATGGGATGAAAACTAAATTCTGGACGGATGTGTGGTTGATGCAGGTTCCCTTAATTTCGGTGGCCACCCAATCTATTCTCGATGAGCTCATTCCCCTTCAGGTGGCGCACTACTGGGACCAGGACCAAGGCTGGAAGTTTGATGATCTGGAGGACTATCTCAGCCAAGAAACCATTGCAACCTTAAGGGCCTTCCACTTCCATCCGATGACGCGGGAGGAGGACCAATTGCGTTGGAAACTTACAACTAATGGCGCCTTCTCAACTAAGACGGCTTTTCAGGCTATTTCCCCTCACTTTTCCACATCTGAGCAGCCTGCTGTTTGGAAGAGTATATGGAGACTTCACGTCCCGGAGAGGGTCCGAGTTTTTATTTGGATGGTAGTCAAGAACAAAATCACCACCAACAGTATAAGGAAGTTCAGGCACCTCACTTCTAATGACAGCTGCCCCAGCTGTGAGGGTACAGAGGAAACGGCCATCCATTGTCTTCGGGACTGTTCGAGAGCACAAATCATCTGGTTCAAGATCATCCCGCCCGATCATATTGGTCAGTTTATGGCGAGTGACAGAGATACGTGGCTGAGAAGCAACTTGATGAACAACGAGGCTGGTTCTTGGCCAGGTGAGTGGGGAAGTTTCTTCAGTCTTATTCTTTGGTTCATTTGGAAGCAGCGCAATGAGAAGGTCTTTAGGGGGAACACCCTTTCTGCTTCTTCCCTTTGCAATTACGTCGTGACCAAAGCGAAAGAGTGGGCTCAAGCTTGGGAATCGGCGAGCAGATCTCTTGACAGGAGTGACAAACCAACCAGGACTGAAATGCTCATTGGATGGTCGCCTCCCGCAACTGGCTGGTTTAAGCTGAACACTGACGGGGCAGCTCAAGGTCACAGTGGGGACATTGCAGCGGGAGGGATCATTCGGGACAGCGATGGAGAGTGGATAGCAGGCTTTGTGCACAGGATTGGTTCAGGTACCGCGATTTTGGCTGAGCTTTGGGGCATTCTCCAGGGCCTGAAACTCGCTTGGAAGCACGGCATCCAGTTTTTGTTCTTGGAGTCGGACTCGGCTTTAGCTTTGGAATTGATTCGGCAACCTCACGATCCTGTTCATCTACATGCCAGTACCTCAGCGAAATTCGGCATTTCCTTGGTGAAAACTGGGTGGTTCAACTGGGACATACATATCGCGAAGGGAATAGAGCCGCGGACTGGCTCTCGAAGCACAGTCTCGTCTATCCCTTCGGTATGTATGAACTGGAAGTTCCACCCCTGGAGTTAGCTCGGATTATCAGAGAAGAACTCATGGGGGTTAGCTTTCCCCGAATGGCAGTTAGGGAAGTATAGCCTCTTGCCTCCCCCCTTGGCCTATTTTCTTTTCCCCTGTTCCTGATTCCTGATTTGTTGTTTCGGCCTGCGTGCGATGGGCTGGGGCGCTAGGTAGCGGGGGCTGGTTGCTCGCCCTCTGGCTGGTTTGTTTTTTTTGGCTGTCTCTGGTGGAGCCATTCGGCTTCTCACCTCCAATCAATCAAAAAAAAAAAAATAAGACCAAAGTACTCTCCACATGTGCTATTACTTCTTTCTGATGGGCTTAAGTAAGACACTGTGAAGTGTAATGATTTGTCACCCATCTGGCCCGGCCCAATACAATGTAAAGAGGAGCGACGAAGCGAGCGTTGACGGAAAGCTTCTCTCCGTCCTCATTCCCTCCCTTTCTCCCTGTAAAAACGAATCCCTAATCTTCTCTTCGTACCCACTGAACTCTGCATACTCTGGTTTAGAAATCGCCTTCTCAAAGCTAGTTTCCTGCCGGTTATCGGAAGAGAGCGGAAACGTGTAGCCGAACCCTACGAATTCATCTGAGTCTAGGCTTTCGATGATCTTTTATGAAGTTTGAAAGCTATTTAGATATTTTTCCTTTGGTTTCCTCTCACAGTATATATCCTAGCGATCCCAATCGCTTCGTTCAACTTGCGTCCTCATGGATACTATGCGGGGAAAGAAGGAGGAGGAGTTGAAGAAGCTCGATGAAAAGTGAGTGCTCCCGGTTGAATTACGCTTCCTCTTGCTACCTGTTGATTTCATGGCAATGCTCTTACTACCCGCTGATAGTTTTAAGCTAGCTTTCAGGTTCATTGTGAATGAGTGACATTATGGCTGAAATTTGGGTTTCCCATTGGTTGGTAGCGTATTTTCTGTTGCCTTATGCCTCCATGTTTCAGTAGTTCATGTTGATCTCTGTGTTTCTTCCTAGTGGGCGCACAGGGTGTGGCAGGCCTTTGCCTAATGGCATTCCTTAAGTGCTTTATGGTTTCCATTGAGATGCTCTGAGTAGACTAGCGACTCTAGGATTAGGACTAACCTTACTTGCAAAGTATGCCTACGTCAATGATGCTTCTACCAAACCCATTAATCTGTTGTCTATGTTTACAATGTACTGAGTAATGTTATCCTATCGTGGGCATTGTCTCTTCTAGGATTGCAGATGCTGAAGAAAACATGGGTGAAAGTGAAGTTAGAGAAGCCCATTTGGCCAAATCCTTGTTCTACATCCGTATTGGGGACAAGGTGACAAGCTTTACCCTATTGCTTAATGGTTATATATCCTTGTTGTGTGTGTCTCACTGTATTTTTCAATAATGTTTCTTTTCTGGTTGCAGGAGAAGGCACTGGAACAACTAAAAGTGACAGAAACCAAGACTGTCGCAGTTGGACAAAAGATGGATTTGGTGTTCCACACGTTGCAACTTGGCTTTTCCTACAAGGACTTTGATCTCATTTCTAAGAGTATTGAGAAGGCGAAGAGGTGAGTTCCAACATGCATGGGCCTGTCTGTTGTTTTCTTTTCCCTTGGTTTCTGTGCTGCCAAAGTTAATGTAGTGCTTGAGGTGATTGTACAACTATTAATGCTCTTATTATGACAGCTTGTTTGAGGAGGGTGGTGACTGGGAGAGGAAAAATCGTCTCAAGGTGTATGAAGGCCTGATTTGCATGTCTACTCGGAACTTTGAGAAGGCAGCTAACTTGTTCTTGGATTCTGTTTCAACCCTCACCTCATATGAAATTCTCCCCTATGACACTTTCATATTCTACAACGTTGTAACTAGCATCATAGCCTTGGATAGAGTGTCCCTGAAGCAGAAGGTACACATTGGTGATTAAGTTGGTTTTGTAACACCCGTAATTGATTTCTATAAGTTTGTGATGCCTGCTGAAACCTGTATTAATCAAGATTGAATTTTGTAGGTGGTGGATGCACCCCCCGGCAACGGCGCCAAAAACTTGACACGCCAAAACACAACACCAATCTGCGACCAAGTGTAATCGCAGACCGGGAATGCAGTAACAGGCAAGTTATATTATCAACCCGGGCTCTAGATCTACTGCTTACTCAGTGATTCTCTGTTATCTAGCCAACTAGAGTAAGTGATTGTTGTTTAAACTAAAAGCAGAAATAAAGCAGGAAATTAATCGGTTTTCTTAAGCAGGAAAGAGTCACTCGGGAATGAATCCCCCTAGCTCTTTAGTTAGGTTTCAATTGCAATTTACCCTGGGTTGATTTACTGTTGATTAGACTGCGGAAGATCCGGCAGTAGCTTGGAATCTCTTAAGCTGACCAAGCCCTCTCAGTCTAACTACCCGGCAGACGACTAGTCTTCACTGGGATAGAAAGCTGAAGCAGTGAGAACAGAAATTCACTACTGGAATTAGATTCCAGTACAGAGCAGTAAACTGGCTAACTCTCGTATAACCAGTCTCCTACTATCGAATGATGAGACTCTAGCAACCTAATTAGATTCTATCTATCTCAGATTGCAGCAGGAATCAGGAAAAGTTGATCAGACTTCAATTGACTCAATAAACATGCATCATTCGATTATAATCAAACAGTAATATCATCCCAAGTCATTGCAATCAATCCCCTAACACATAGAACTAGGGTTCTTCATCCCCAAGTGAGAGAGAGGTTCTACTCCATAGAGAGAGAAAAGAAAACAGTAATCGGAGTAGTCATACTCATAATGATGAGGATAATCTGCTCCGGGATGATGATTTCCACTCCTAGGACGATCTCCAAGCTTGATTTGATGAAACCCAGCTCCAAGATGGCTTCTAGGGTGAGTTCTTCGCACTTTCTCTCTCTAAAACTCTGTTTTTGCTCCAGAAATTCGATCCTCCTCCTTTTTGCTCGGAATAGGCTCTAAAACCAGATTTCCCGACTCGCACGGCCAGGGTGCACGGCCGTGCATATCACCATTCTGGCCGTGCAACTCAAAACGCAGCGTGTCATTTAGTCGAACTTCAGCCCTCTCGCACGGCCAGGGTGCACGGCCGTGCGAGCTTCAGGGGTTGCCCGTGCGTGTCCTCGGCATAAGGCTCACGGCCATATTGCTCACGTGCACGGCCGTGCAGCCTCCCTGGTCTGCCCGTGCAGCTCCCCAAAAACCTCGCCATTCGTCCGTTCTTCGTCCAATCGACCCCAGACTCGCTCCTAAGCCTTCATTCACGTACTAGGACCTGAAACATCACAAACAAGCACAACCTATCGTGAAATCGGCCTAAAACACGAGAATCAACACCTCGAACGGTGTAAGAATGGGGGTAAAAACATGTGTAAATGACGGTCTATCAAACTCCCCCACACTTAACCGTTTGCTTGTCCCCAAGCAAACCAAGTCAGACACTAGGTAAGCTTACACATTTCAATCAACCAACATTGGGGACAAGTCATAAAGGCACAGAACACGTGAATCGCACTGGTTTTCAAACATCAATACATGCACAACCTCAATAACAACCTGGACAACCACCACAAAGGACATTCGAGTGCAGCAAATCGAGTAAAGGAAGAGTCTCCCTTCTGTTCACTGGCCAACCTAGACTTGATTCAACCACTTACTCAAAACAGTCAACTCATGCATCCAACTCAAGACATCAGAATAGAGACCGAGCAATCTAGGTCCTCACCGGGGTACAAGAGCCTATAGAAAATGAAAATGAATCACTCACTCTCGACCAGTGGGGTCAGGACAATTTGATGCGAAAGATGCGCATGCTATTTCTCTCAATCCCTATCATCTCTTCACCATGATGGCAGCCTCTAAATGCTAGAGTTCACATATGGGGTGTCACCACTAACTAATCAGGAGGTCTTAGACACAGGTTCAAATGACTGGCTAGGGTCTTGGACATGGGGAAAAGGCCTTTTAGGTGGTGGAAGTATTCATAGCAAAAGGTTCCACATTTTCCAAACACACAATCACAGTCAAACAAACCGGTATTTTCTTTCTGCTATTCTGCATTACTCAATATCTTAGGAACACAAGAGCGAAGGAGGCATAAACATCAGCATTTCCAAGCCAGACTGCTAAGAAACACTACTTACGGGGCATTATTCAGATTTTTGGTAGTGGCTCTCTTTTACTTTCAATTTTTTTTTCTTTGTTTCACTTTCATTTTTCTTTTCATTTCTTAAGAGAGCCACCACTTCTGCATAAACTTCAAACACCTGCTCAACTTTTAAGCACTACCTCCAACACTCACATAGACTTTAGCAGAAACAGCAGAGAATATATAAAAAACCACTCTGTGGAACCTTCTAAAAGATGCAACAAGGGTGATTTTTTTCCATTATAGACCAAAAGAAAGGATGACACACGGCTCAAAAAGGGCTGACTAGGGGATATGACACATCAGGACAGTCAGTTTTGGGCGTGGGCTAATCCTATGCCCCCATCATCTTAGCTAGTGACAACGTGAATGCTACACATCATGGAAGAGGGATCTATCGCACAAGAAAGAAACGAGCAGGCTCAAATCTCACATGGCTACCTATATGCTCTATCTCACATTCTGATACCCTGAACTAGATGCATAAACGACTGTCAAGGACAAGTAATCAGAGCAAGTCAGATCAAGTCACAGTTGTCAAGCAAACAGTTGAAAAACTGAACCCCTACATCGTTCTACTGCACATCTCAGTCCTCATCATAGGTTGTCCTAGTCGCAAACAAATTGTCATGCATTAATCCGAAAACCAATCAATTCATCCATCAAAACACAGTGCCAATATGATCAAACAGCAGGTACTTGGAGCCCTCAAATCGTAAGATTCGGACAGCGGACTAGGCTCCAAGCACCATCATAAATATTCCAACCGATACAAAGCATCCTCCCACACTTAAGAACGACATTGCCCTCAATGGAGCAGAGGGAAAGATAAGGGGAACGATGTTACCGGGTAGGAACACTGCTGGGGGACTGGAAGTGGACCAGTCAGCGAGAAACGAACGAGAGAGTGGACAATGCTGCACAAATCGAACATCAGAAACACACTAGCACACTGTGCGTTAGGGATAAGTGTTAGCCCAGACGGCTACATCAAACCACAAAGGAAAAACCAAAAACAAAAACAAACGACACTAAGTTCAAGCTCCGCACACATGGAGCAAACACACAAAAGTCTAAAATGAAAAAGAAAACACACTGAGACGGGCAATGAGTACAGCCTACTCGTCGCCAAGATCGTCGAGGTCGATGTCGTTCATGAACGCGTCATCATCCGCAGCGCCAGTAGCACCGTCATGTGGAGGGGAGTCATCCCAGGGAGTCCTCCAGACAGGTGGCTTGCCCGGGAGCAGCTGGAGCAGGTGCTGCTGAACCTCCTGCATGCGCCGGGAACGGCGCTTCTCCCGCTCGATGTGGGCAAGAGTCACGCCCTGCTGAGTCGAGATCGTGTTCAGCCGCTCGTCATAAGCATCCATCCTGGTCCGGTACTCGGCCTGGTCGGCCGCATACTGCTGATGGAACTGCATCTGCTGATCGAGGAGCAGCTGGTTCTGGATCCTCAGCTGCTCGAACTGCTGGGCGAAGTAATCCTGGCCCTGGAAAGCGGAGCTGCTACCCCCGAAATGGAAGTCAGTCTGTGGGGGATTATCAGCAGCATCAGCAGCAGCATCCACCTCCTCGGGATCCACCTCATCGGCAGCCTCCTCCTCCTCTGGTACGGGCTCCGCGGGGATCGGAGGCTCCGGAAACCCATCGACCCATTGAACACCGTTCCTCTCCCGCAACAGCAGCATCTTCCTGATCGTCGTGCTGCCAAAGATGAGGGTGTCCCCCTCCTCGGTGCACCCCTGCAGTGAAAGGCCAAAGAAGGTGGCCAGGCGGGTGATGAGGGGGGCGCAGTGGAGGCTCTTCAGCTCTGTGGCCGTCTTCTCGAAGGTCTTGGCCACCACTGAACCCAGGTGGAGAGGATGGCGGCACTGGCGGATCGAATGGAGGAAGTACAGGGGCCTCTTCGTGATGGCGCCGGCGCTGTCAGCTGCAGGAGTGTAAGACTTCGCCAGCAGGTGGTGGAGAAGTCGGTTGTCGATCTGCAGGGTAGAGGCCTTCGTCCTCCCGGACCGGAAGGGACGCGTCTGGCCGAGCCAGGCTGGTGTACAGCCTCCCGAAGTCCACCTCCGGTGGCTCATTCACCTCGGTGACGTAGTCCTCACGGTCGTCGAGGTCGAGGTCGAGAGCCTCGGCCAGCTCGTGGTAGCTCAAGGACCGGGGGACCCCGCCCAGCCTGAATTGGACGGCCGTACCGTCCTGCCAGTTGTTCGTGGTATTGTGCTTGAAGGTCGTGTAGAACTCCCACACCGGCTCGTAGTAGACCTTCTCGCAGAGCTGGAGCAGACGGCGCCAGGCGGTGTTGGCGACCGCGGCGGAGAGCTGCTCGTAGCAGTGCAATCGCCGAAACTCCCGTTTGGACCAGCAATGGTGTGACCCAAACGGGGTTTCCACGACCTCCTTGAAGCGCTCTGCGGTGGGTCCCCTCCTCAGATCCCGGATGAACGGGTGATGGAAATTAGGTTTCGCCATTGCCCTACAAAACAACAACCCAAAGTGGAACCCAAAAGAGCCAAAGAAAAAGGTCAAGCACACCCCCACACTTAAGAACAGAAAACAGCCTCCCCTTCCCTACTCGGTTGCACAAAGACAGGCTGGAGGCAGAGTTCGAGAACTTCATGGCCATGCTTAGGAAGCTGAATGTTCAAGTGCCTTTCCTGGAGGCACTATCTCAAATGCCTAAGTATGCGAAGTTTCTGAAGGAGCTTCTTTCAAAGAAGCAGAAGCTGAGCGAGCTGGCCACTTTAGAGCTCAGCGAGGAGTGCTCGGCAATTCTGCAGAACAAGCTTCCGCAGAAGCAGAAGGACCCAGGTAGTTTTACTATCCCGTGCTCTATAGAGAATTTGCATGTAGAGAGGTCCTTGGCGGATCTAGGTGCCAGTATAAATGTTATGCCATATAAGCTGTTTAAGAAACTAGGCCTAGGTGAACCCCGTGCTACTAGGATGAGTCTTCAATTAGCTGACCGATCTGTAGTGCATCCTAGGGGCATAGTGGAAGACCTTCTGGTTAAGGTTGGCAAATTCAATTATCCTGTTGATTTTGTGATTTTGGACATAAATGAGGATGTGAATGTGCCACTGATACTAGGAAGGCCTTTCCTGGCCACCGCCAAGGCCCTCATAGATGTGCATGATGGGACCTTAGTTCTGAGGGATGGTGAGGAGCGAATAACATTTTCAATTTCTAATACACATCCTGCTTCCTCGCCTTTGCATGCTGTATCTCACCAGGAGCACGAGTCTGTCGTGTATCCTCCTGTGCTGCCTATTTTGCAGGATCCGCCTCCCATACCTTCGCCGCCACTCCCGTCCAATCCGTCATCGAAGGAACAAATCAGGGAGGAGTGGCGGCCGAAACAACAGGCAGCTAAGCCTGCTCGGAAGAAAGCCGGAGACCACTATGAGATGGTCCCGCCCCCACCTTGGCGAGGGCAGAGGATTCCGGCGAGTGGTTTTGGTTTTCTGACCACAATGGCCGTGCAGGCCATATAAATATGCCGTGCCTCGGCTGCACGGGCAGGGGCGCACGGCCGTGCAAGGCTGGTTTTTGCCCGTGCAGCCGACACGGCCTGGCCGAGGAGAAGCGCACGACCGTGCACCTGGCACATATGGCCGTGCCATCCTTACCGAGAGCTCGCACGGCCAAGGGGGAATACCCGCACGGCCATGCGAGGCATTATGGTGCCCGTGCAAGACGCACGGCCAGGCCAGGACGAGCGCACGGCCGTGCAATAAGCGCTTTTGGCCGTGCGCTTTTGGCCGAGAGCTCGCACGGCCAAGGGGGGTGCCCGCACAGCCGTGCAAGTTGTGGTCCTGGCCGTGCGACTTGTTGGAGTCCCGAAATCAACCTGTTTTCCCTCAAAAACGACATTGTCTGGATCAACGTCTCAAGACTCAAAAACACACAAAATCAAAGGAAAAAGAGTAAGAAAATGCAAACCTCAGCGGGGTTGCCTCCCTACAAGCGCTTCTTTACCGTCTTTTAGCTGGACGCCAGTCAGTGGATGCTCAGTGAGGTGAAGGAGCAGGTGCCTTCAAGAGCGGATCCACCTCGCTCTTGAGGTACAACTTCAACTGGTGGCCATGTACCCGCCGAATGTGGCCACCAGCATTTGCCAATTCAACTTGGCCATCCGGCAGGATGCAAGCGAGTGAATACTCGGATGGCCAAGGTGGGGGCGGGACCATCTCATAGTGGTCTCCGGCCTTCTTCCGAGCAGGCTTAGCTGCCTGTTGTTTCGGCCGCCACTCCTCCCTGATTTGTTCCTTCGATGACGGATTGGACGGGAGTGGCGGCGAAGGTATGGGAGGCGGATCCTGCAAAATAGGCAGCACAGGAGGATACACGACAGACTCGTGCTCCTGGTGAGATACAGCATGCAAAGGCGAGGAAGCAGGATGTGTATTAGAAATTGAAAATGTTATTCGCTCCTCACCATCCCTCAGAACTAAGGTCCCATCATGCACATCTATGAGGGCCTTGGCGGTGGCCAGGAAAGGCCTTCCTAGTATCAGTGGCACATTCACATCCTCATTTATGTCCAAAATCACAAAATCAACAGGATAATTGAATTTGCCAACCTTAACCAGAAGGTCTTCCACTATGCCCCTAGGATGCACTACAGATCGGTCAGCTAATTGAAGACTCATCCTAGTAGCACGGGGTTCACCTAGGCCTAGTTTCTTAAACAGCTTATATGGCATAACATTTATACTGGCACCTAGATCCGCCAAGGACCTCTCTACATGCAAATTCTCTATAGAGCACGGGATAGTAAAACTACCTGGGTCCTTCTGCTTCTGCGGAAGCTTGTTCTGCAGAATTGCCGAGCACTCCTCGCTGAGCTCTAAAGTGGCCAGCTCGCTCAGCTTCTGCTTCTTTGAAAGAAGCTCCTTCAGAAACTTCGCATACTTAGGCATTTGAGATAGTGCCTCCAGGAAAGGCACTTGAACATTCAGCTTCCTAAGCATGGCCATGAAGTTCTCGAACTCTGCCTCCAGCCTGTCTTTGTGCAACCGAGTAGGGAAGGGGAGGCTGTTTTCTGTTCTTAAGTGTGGGGGTGTGCTTGACCTTTTTCTTTGGCTCTTTTGGGTTCCACTTTGGGTTGTTGTTTTGTAGGGCAATGGCGAAACCTAATTTCCATCACCCGTTCATCCGGGATCTGAGGAGGGGACCCACCGCAGAGCGCTTCAAGGAGGTCGTGGAAACCCCGTTTGGGTCACACCATTGCTGGTCCAAACGGGAGTTTCGGCGATTGCACTGCTACGAGCAGCTCTCCGCCGCGGTCGCCAACACCGCCTGGCGCCGTCTGCTCCAGCTCTGCGAGAAGGTCTACTACGAGCCGGTGTGGGAGTTCTACACGACCTTCAAGCACAATACCACGAACAACTGGCAGGACGGTACGGCCGTCCAATTCAGGCTGGGCGGGGTCCCCCGGTCCTTGAGCTACCACGAGCTGGCCGAGGCTCTCGACCTCGACGACCGTGAGGACTACGTCACCGAGGTGAATGAGCCACCGGAGGTGGACTTCGGGAGGCTGTACACCAGCCTGGCTCGGCCAGGCCAGACGCGTCCCTTCCGGTCCGGGAGGACGAAGGCCTCTACCCTGCAGATCGACAACCGACTTCTCCACCACCTGCTGGCGAAGTCTTACACTCCTGCAGCTGACAGCGCCGGCGCCATCACGAAGAGGCCCCTGTACTTCCTCCATTCGATCCGCCAGCGCCGCCATCCTCTCCACCTGGGTTCAGTGGTGGCCAAGACCTTCGAGAAGACGGCCACAGAGCTGAAGAGCCTCCACTGCGCCCCCCTCATCACCCGCCTGGCCACCTTCTTTGGCCTTTCACTGCAGGGGTGCACCGAGGAGGGGGACACCCTCATCTTTGGCAGCACGACGATCAGGAAGATGCTGCTGTTGCGGGAGAGGAACGGTGTTCAATGGGTCGATGGGTTTCCGGAGCCTCCGATCCCCGCGGAGCCCGTACCAGAGGAGGAGGAGGCTGCCGATGAGGTGGATCCCGAGGAGGTGGATGCTGCTGCTGATGCTGCTGATAATCCCCCACAGACTGACTTCCATTTCGGGGGTAGCAGCTCCGCTTTCCAGGGCCAGGATTACTTCGCCCAGCAGTTCGAGCAGCTGAGGATCCAGAACCAGCTGCTCCTCGATCAGCAGATGCAGTTCCATCAGCAGTATGCGGCCGACCAGGCCGAGTACCGGACCAGGATGGATGCTTATGACGAGCGGCTGAACACGATCTCGACTCAGCAGGGCGTGACTCTTGCCCACATCGAGCGGGAGAAGCGCCGTTCCCGGCGCATGCAGGAGGTTCAGCAGCACCTGCTCCAGCTGCTCCCGGGCAAGCCACCTGTCTGGAGGACTCCCTGGGATGACTCCCCTCCACATGACGGTGCTACTGGCGCTGCGGATGATGACGCGTTCATGAACGACATCGACCTCGACGATCTTGGCGACGAGTAGGCTGTACTCATTGCCCGTCTCAGTGTGTTTTCTTTTTCATTTTAGACTTTTGTGTGTTTGCTCCATGTGTGCGGAGCTTGAACTTAGTGTCGTTTGTTTTTGTTTTTGGTTTTTCCTTTGTGGTTTGATGTAGCCGTCTGGGCTAACACTTATCCCTAACGCACAGTGTGCTAGTGTGTTTCTGATGTTCGATTTGTGCAGCATTGTCCACTCTCTCGTTCGTTTCTCGCTGACTGGTCCACTTCCAGTCCCCCAGCAGTGTTCCTACCCGGTAACATCGTTCCCCTTATCTTTCCCTCTGCTCCATTGAGGGCAATGTCGTTCTTAAGTGTGGGGGGATGCTTTGTATCGGTTGGAATATTTATGATGGTGCTTGGAGCCTAGTCCGCTGTCCGAATCTTACGATTTGAGGGCTCCAAGTACTGCTGTTTGATCATATTGGCACTGTGTTTTGATGGATGAATTGATTGGTTTTCGGATTAATGCATGACAATTTGTTTGCGACTAGGACAACCTATGATGAGGACTGAGATGTGCAGTAGAACGATGTAGGGGTTCAGTTTTTCAACTGTTTGCTTGACAACTGTGACTTGATCTGACTTGCTCTGATTACTTGTCCTTGACAGTCGTTTATGCATCTAGTTCAGGGTATCAGAATGTGAGATAGAGCATATAGGTAGCCATGTGAGATTTGAGCCTGCTCGTTTCTTTCTTGTGCGATAGATCCCTCTTCCATGATGTGTAGCATTCACGTTGTCACTAGCTAAGATGATGGGGGCATAGGATTAGCCCACGCCCAAAACTGACTGTCCTGATGTGTCATATCCCCTAGTCAGCCCTTTTTGAGCCGTGTGTCATCCTTTCTTTTGGTCTATAATGGAAAAAAATCACCCTTGTTGCATCTTTTAGAAGGTTCCACAGAGTGGTTTTTTATATATTCTCTGCTGTTTCTGCTAAAGTCTATGTGAGTGTTGGAGGTAGTGCTTAAAAGTTGAGCAGGTGTTTGAAGTTTATGCAGAAGTGGTGGCTCTCTTAAGAAATGAAAAGAAAAATGAAAGTGAAACAAAGAAAAAAAAATTGAAAGTAAAAGAGAGCCACTACCAAAAATCTGAATAATGCCCCGTAAGTAGTGTTTCTTAGCAGTCTGGCTTGGAAATGCTGATGTTTATGCCTCCTTCGCTCTTGTGTTCCTAAGATATTGAGTAATGCAGAATAGCAGAAAGAAAATACCGGTTTGTTTGACTGTGATTGTGTGTTTGGAAAATGTGGAACCTTTTGCTATGAATACTTCCACCACCTAAAAGGCCTTTTCCCCATGTCCAAGACCCTAGCCAGTCATTTGAACCTGTGTCTAAGACCTCCTGATTAGTTAGTGGTGACACCCCATATGTGAACTCTAGCATTTAGAGGCTGCCATCATGGTGAAGAGATGATAGGGATTGAGAGAAATAGCATGCGCATCTTTCGCATCAAATTGTCCTGACCCCACTGGTCGAGAGTGAGTGATTCATTTTCATTTTCTATAGGCTCTTGTACCCCGGTGAGGACCTAGATTGCTCGGTCTCTATTCTGATGTCTTGAGTTGGATGCATGAGTTGACTGTTTTGAGTAAGTGGTTGAATCAAGTCTAGGTTGGCCAGTGAACAGAAGGGAGACTCTTCCTTTACTCGATTTGCTGCACTCGAATGTCCTTTGTGGTGGTTGTCCAGGTTGTTATTGAGGTTGTGCATGTATTGATGTTTGAAAACCAGTGCGATTCACGTGTTCTGTGCCTTTATGACTTGTCCCCAATGTTGGTTGATTGAAATGTGTAAGCTTACCTAGTGTCTGACTTGGTTTGCTTGGGGACAAGCAAACGGTTAAGTGTGGGGGAGTTTGATAGACCGTCATTTACACATGTTTTTACCCCCATTCTTACACCGTTCGAGGTGTTGATTCTCGTGTTTTAGGCCGATTTCACGATAGGTTGTGCTTGTTTGTGATGTTTCAGGTCCTAGTACGTGAATGAAGGCTTAGGAGCGAGTCTGGGGTCGATTGGACGAAGAACGGACGAATGGCGAGGTTTTTGGGGAGCTGCACGGGCAGACCAGGGAGGCTGCACGGCCGTGCACGTGAGCAATATGGCCGTGAGCCTTATGCCGAGGACACGCACGGGCAACCCCTGAAGCTCGCACGGCCGTGCACCCTGGCCGTGCGAGAGGGCTGAAGTTCGACTAAATGACACGCTGCGTTTTGAGTTGCACGGCCAGAATGGTGATATGCACGGCCGTGCACCCTGGCCGTGCGAGTCGGGAAATCTGGTTTTATAGCCTATTCCGAGCAAAAAGGAGGAGGATCGAATTTCTGGAGCAAAAACAGAGTTTTAGAGAGAGAAAGTGCGAAGAACTCACCCTAGAAGCCATCTTGGAGCTGGGTTTCATCAAATCAAGCTTGGAGATCGTCCTAGGAGTGGAAATCATCATCCCGGAGCAGATTATCCTCATCATTATGAGTATGACTACTCCGATTACTGTTTTCTTTTCTCTCTCTATGGAGTAGAACCTCTCTCTCACTTGGGGATGAAGAACCCTAGTTCTATGTGTTAGGGGATTGATTGCAATGACTTGGGATGATATTACTGTTTGATTATAATCGAATGATGCATGTTTATTGAGTCAATTGAAGTCTGATCAACTTTTCCTGATTCCTGCTGCAATCTGAGATAGATAGAATCTAATTAGGTTGCTAGAGTCTCATCATTCGATAGTAGGAGACTGGTTATACGAGAGTTAGCCAGTTTACTGCTCTGTACTGGAATCTAATTCCAGTAGTGAATTTCTGTTCTCACTGCTTCAGCTTTCTATCCCAGTGAAGACTAGTCGTCTGCCGGGTAGTTAGACTGAGAGGGCTTGGTCAGCTTAAGAGATTCCAAGCTACTGCCGGATCTTCCGCAGTCTAATCAACAGTAAATCAACCCAGGGTAAATTGCAATTGAAACCTAACTAAAGAGCTAGGGGGATTCATTCCCGAGTGACTCTTTCCTGCTTAAGAAAACCGATTAATTTCCTGCTTTATTTCTGCTTTTAGTTTAAACAACAATCACTTACTCTAGTTGGCTAGATAACAGAGAATCACTGAGTAAGTAGTAGATCTAAAGTCCGGGTTGATAATATAACTTGCCTGTAAGCAGTAGACCTGAAATCCTGGCGGTGATAGGAAAAATTCCGTATCTTTCAGAGCTTTTGAACTCTCTCTACGAGTGCCAATACAAGTCGTTTTTCTCAGCATTTGGTACTTTTTCAGATTTTCCCTGTTCTTGTCATGCTGTGTACTACCTGAGTTAATTCATTCAATACATGAAACAAGAAGCTTGGCTTCCTCTGCATTCACTGAAACTTGTTCTCTTGTCTCATGGGCCATTAATTGATCACTTGCTGTGGAATGATACTTTACAGCTGGGCTGACTGAGCATATCAAAATGGACCAATATCTGCAGCCACATTTCCGGTACTACATGAGGGAGGTCAGAACAGTGGTCTATTCTCAGTTCCTGGAATCCTACAAGAGTGTCACCATTGAGGCCATGGCAAAGGCTTTCGGTGTGACTGTGGAGTTCATTGATCTGAAAGCAACTTGATTTACTTCCAGTTTTTAACTATATTGGTCTTCGCTGCTTGAATGTAGATATTATTCACTGCATTTTGCGAGGAGGCTGTGTGTCTATTGCAAGTCTGAACTTGTTTTGTGTTTTCTGTTCAGGGAACTGTCATGCTTAATTGCATCAGGGAAGCTTCATTGCAAGATTGATAAGGTAGCTGGCGTCCTTGAAACCAATCGGCCCGATGCAAAGAATGCTCTGTACCAGGCAACTATTAAACAAGGAGACTTCTTGCTGAACCGCATCCAGAATTTGTCACGTGCGATTGAGGTGTGAAGTAGGTAGCTGTATTTAGGTTGCATGGTTCGTAGGGAAAACCATGAGCGTGCTGACTTCATCTCCATTGTAGGGAAGACTGGTTTCGTTTATGTTGATTGTGTTCCAACTATTGGGGGTGTATTCAGCTAGTGGGCAGTTCCGGGTTTTTATTTGAATCGACCCAGTGATGCCTAGTTAATTAGATTATACCGCACTCTGCTTTTTCAAGAGGTTGGTACTTGGTAGTGCAAAGCTTTGTTATCCCATACTTGCAATGCAAGCTTTGTTACATGAACTAAAGCACGCAGCCACAGTGCATCTCTTCTGATACTTGCAATTCGAGCTTTGTTACGTCAAATAAAGCACGTTGTCACGTTGCCTCTCTTCTGATTTGATCTAAGGCCATCCTTGGATTGATACTCTGCTGTTGGTAGGGATGACAATCAAACCCATGTCCACGGGTATTCGCCCGTCTCCCGACCCGGTCAACGCGTGGAATCCCCGCTTTGACTGGGTATGGGGCGGGTATGGGTAAAACTCGCAAAATGTTTGATGGGTACGGGGCGGGTATGGTTTTAGCCTCCCCGCCCCATACCCATACCCGCCCCACTAAGAATATTTGTTCACATATAAAAAATACATGGATAAAATAGTAATCTATCAATGATAGTGAGGGTAAATAAAAAAAATAATTAGTAGAAATGCAATTGAATGGTCACGCAAATCAAAACCTAATTCATTTTCCTCAACTCTCTCTTCACTCTTTCACTTTTCCCTCCTGTTAGCAAGATTATATTAGTTCATTATTGTTTAGTATATGTATTAGAATCAGATAAATAATGATTTGGATTACATTGTAGTACTCTATTTTATGGATTAAGGGAAATTTTAGGATAAAATATTTTGAACCATATTAAGATAGGTGGCAATTGTATTTGCCTCTAAAGATTATTTGATTTGTCTCAATATGACATGTTATAAGTAACATTTGTATGTGTTTCTAAAAGTAATTAGATTTGTCCCTATATGTATCATTTATATAATATACAGGTGCAAATAGAATAAATGTCTCTAAAGCTATTATCTTTAATTTATCTTATGTCAATTATAATCGAATTTTGTCAAATAGAGACAAATAATTTCACCTCCGAGACAAATAATATTTTTGCTCCTTAAGCTTAGCTATAGAAACTACAATTTTGTCAAATCAAATATTGGATACTTTTTTGAAAAATATACAGTTCCACTTGTGTATCATCCTAATAAATAATGCAATTTGGAAAAGGAAAAATTCTCATGACGTCTTTTTAAACAATTTTGATTCCACACCAATTTTATGCGATTACTATGTCAATATGATAAGCTATCATTGTAAATGTTACATGATCATTGCAAAACAACGCAATTAGAGAATTTTCATCCCTTCATCACTTTAGTATTCTAGCCTATAAATTGACCAATGCAAAGAGATTTTTCATTATGGAGGAAGGAAAATGTTATTTATATCAATCGGGTGACTCAAACCAAATAAAAATTACTAGATCTCGAATAAAGTGGATGAATCCAAATGGAAGTAATCAAATCTTGAGTAACAACCTTAAAAAAATGATTTTGATAACCATACAATGGTTGTTCTTTCAAAACTCAAGTCTTCATTTTCCAGACCTTATTATTTTAATCTCAATATTGTTATGAATTGTATCGTATTTAATACTTATTAGTTTTCTGCCCGCCCGTTGGACGTTGCGTTTTATTTTGTTGTTTTATTTTACGGTCATTTTATCATATTCTTTCTTATTTATTTTGGGCGTATGCAACAGTACTTGTATTTTATATGTCTTGTTTGTTTTTCTTTCGCATTAGTTGTCCTTCCTATTTGAGTTTAGGACTTAAATTGGTTTTACACTTTTACTATGAACATATGCGTTGCGTTGCGTTTGAAACTGAGGCATAATGTATTTATGGATTGAGTTCAAAAAGCTCATATGACAGATGTAGTAGTTAGCTGTTGTTTGCACATTTTTTTATATGATTTTTTATACATTGTTAATCTAATTTGTCTTGTTCATGTTATTATTTCACGTATTTGTATTTTGAGATGTTTATGATGTAGGTAATTGAATTAGATAGCTCTTTGTAGGAGTTTTTTTTTTTTTTTTGTATTTAGAAGTTTATGTATGTCATTTATGATTTAAGTATTGAAGTTTTTGTCCTGTAAGGACGACATAAGAGCGCGAATGTGAAGAAATGTGAAAATCGTTATTTGTATTGATTGCATGGTGACGGTTCCCAGTTTTTGTCTCTGTTTGATGAATGTATAATTGAGCCAACTTCGTAGTTGAACCTACCACCGCTAATAGACTGCCAATTTGATCATAAATTTGACATCCAGTAGAAAACATATAATCCCGACACCCTCAAAGCGTGATAAATCTTTCCACCCATGGAGCTAAAACAGAGGACACCATTATATATCCTGATATAGTCACAAAGTGCTTGGCAACTTCATTGTTTGACTGCAATAGATCTTTAAAAATTCTGGAGGCTCTCAAGTCGGAGAAAATTTTACTTTGCCTTTCTTAAAACAAAGAGTGAATTTTGAAGCCCTGAATTTAGAGATTGGGATGTGCTTACTTCTTTCCATATAACAACCTCACAATATATACATTTACTGGAAAGAGGGCAAAGAGAAAAACCTTCAACATGCTTGAACAACGATAGAAAATGATTTTTTCTTACTTTTTAGCAAAAAATATTTGGATATTTCTATCCATGCGTTTAGCTTTAGCATTTAGCTTAGCAAGTAGTTGCAACCTAAAAATAATTATAGGAAATGATATTATCCAATCATCAAGAGAAACACCCAATATATAGAAAATTTCAAAATTAAAGGAAGTTAAACTACCAGTCAAGTAGCAAAATATTGGTAAAGTCGTCCTCTTTGAACAAAACACCATCTATCGTTTCATTCTTACTGTTCTAGTAATTAAGGACTTGATTGGCCTTCACTGTGCTTGAAAATGTTATACCAAAACCAATCTCAAATATCTATTTGAATAGTGGTATTTGTCGACTACAATACAACTCAATTGACACTGTCTTGCAACACCTTATTCATCGACCGAGTCTGATGCCTCAATACAAACAACAATTGGTAAGAAATCAATTAGGCTAAAATCAAAGTTTGAATTAACGATCCACTTAGGCGAAAACAACACAACCAAAACCAAAATAATATCTTTTTTATGCAAAAAAATAATAACTTTCATTTTGTACAAATTGAAAGAACTTCAAAATAGAAACCCACGGCAATTGGTAAGAAATCAAAGTGTAAGAACTTCAAAATAAAGATAATCTCATGCATAAATACAAACATAAATTGGGAAGAAACCAAATTGGACCGTGTCCATTAAGGGACATCTGTTGGGCCGAGAAGAAATACAAAGCGTCCCAACGTAGGGTTTATTTATTTATTTTTATTTTTTTTTGTGAAAGAAGCTAACCAATTTTCCATTTTTCCTCCGATGATGGGAGATGATGAGGAGCAGCCGTGTGCTGATGTGGCAGTAAATTGGATTTGAATCTCTATAATATTAAGTAAGGATACTACTACGTACTATATTTCTAAAACTCAATATCGCTATTGCAAAACAATTCAAAATTCATAGAATAAAATAAAAACAACTAACAAGTCTTCATTATTCAGACCTCATCGGGGTGGGATACTATGCTAACCCCTAAAGGGGTAGTGATTTTCAACACCCCCTTTATGATTGGCCAATTTTATTTCAATCATTGGCAAGTATTAATTAAACTGGTTTTTTATTTTTTTAATCTTGTAATTTGGGGTCTCTCACCCACATTGGAAAGGGAAAGAATATGGGGAATCTGAAAAAAAGCTCCCCCCCAAATGTGCAATTAATTGCCTTTTTTTCTTCCTTTCGTCTCCTTCTCTCTCCATTTGGGCCCTCTTTTCATTTTGATTTCATTTTAACCAGAACCCTCCTCTACTCTGAAACGACCAAAACCCTCCAGCGCCTTCCCCCACCACCATCCTCCTATCTCCAGCTGCCGCCATCCTGGGATCGCCTCTGACTTACCTTGTGGATTGCTCGCACCAGTGGAGTGGTACGTGTACCAGTGGAGTGGTACGTGTACCAGTGGAGTGGTACGTGTACCAGTGGAGTGGTATTTGTACCAGTGGAGTGATACTGCATTGTTGCTCCGTTATTGTTTATCATTGTTATGAAAAATATCATTGCACTGGTATTGTTCTCACTCTAACCTACCTTGTGGATTGCTCGCACCAGTGGAGTGGTACGTGTACCAGTGGAGTGGTACGTGTAATTAATGTACCAGTGAGAGAAATTAATTATGTAATTAATGGGGGTGATTTCGTTTTTCCCCAGATTCTTTCTCTTTTCCAATGTGGTGAGAGACCCCAAATTACAAGATTAAAAAAAAATAAAAAACCAGTTTAATTAATACTTGCCAATGATTGGAAATAAAATTGGCCAATCATAAAGGGGGTGTCAAAAATCACTACCCCTTTAGGGGTAGTCAAGCTAACCGATCCGACCTCATCACTATAATCCCAACATTTATTATGGATTGTATCATAGTTACACTACTACCATATTTTTAAACCTCGATATCGTTATTGCAAAACCATTCAAAATTTTAAAAAATTAAATCAAACTACACAAAGGTCATTTTTTTTATGTCACACTCAACCCGCCGTTGCCGCTTGAAATTTCTCAATCCATATCCCCTTTATATTTTTTGTTGTCTCCTTTTCCGGGTTTCGCACCGAGTGGGCTGGCGAATAGAAAAGTCCGAGAAAACAAATTCTCCCCTCTCTCTCTCTAGCCCGGACCGCGTGACCAGCAGTCGTACAACGTAATCTTCTCCCTCTACACACCCAAATAGAACTTTCATTTCCTTTGAAATTTCCACCTCTCTCTGCTCTCTCGCTCTTTAGTCTACTCCGCCTCCATTTCGAAAACTCAAATTCTTTTGGTTTCGTTCCCAAGTCTCTCTTCCCAACTTCTCCTTCTCTTCCGCATCTAGCTCCACTTCGCGCCATGGCCGGACGCTTCGACCCCAATCCTTTCGACGAGGAGGAAGTGAATCCATTCTCGGTAAGTTCCCTTCTCCCTCTCTCTCTCTCTCTCTCTGCCGGTGCTCGAATTCAGCGTTTCCGTTAATTCCGAGTTCGATCTGCAATCGCTGGGGACTCCTTCCGCGTTGCGGCGGGGATTCGTCGGTTTCTGGACTGATGTGAATCTGGAGGGAAGTTATCCTAGGGTTTTAGCGGTTTTTTGTGTTGCTCGGTAGTTTTGACTTCAGCTTAGTTGTTATGGTCGATGCGCGGTCTTGGTTTGGCTTGAATCTGGTTCGTTCAGGGGCTGAATCGAAAGGTTTACTGGAGTCTTGTAACGATTTGACTTGGAAGTCGTCGGAGTTGATTTCTTTCTCTGTGCAACTCGTCGTTTGACGGTTTTTGATCTTGGATTTCTTCCTGTACTGGATAATTGCTGAACGTTAGTCGATATTAAAATTTTGGTCTCCCGATCTGTGAACGGACGTGTGCATTTGGCTGTTCTGGGAGATGTATGGCGGATTCCGGCCATCCCTGGTGGAGAATAGACCGCTGTCCTCGGGTTTGAGAATATGTTCCCAGTCTGGATCCATCTAGCCGAAACTGTTAGGTTTGGCTCTCAACTAAGCTAACCTGTCCGATGAAGAGAGAATATGGGGAGCGATTTGGGAAGAAGGAGCTAATCGTCTGAATTCGTGTTGTTTCACTGTTTTGAAAAAAAAAGTGAATTGTGAATGCTGAAATGAGCCTAAGGGTGGAAAGTTATGGTGTTCTCTGTCTTATCTCATGTAGTACTATCATGATGTTGAAGGCTTGATGATGATATCCAGTTTTATTGCTCAGTTTTTTATAGTATAAAATTTAAATGGTAGTAGGACCTTCTCCTGTAGTGTTTGTGTGTTCCAATTGTTGTCATATTGGTCTGGATATTAGGGATATGCTAGGCGGTACCCAAAATTAGGCCAATCTAGCTTAATGGTATTTTTACCTTCACTAGTAGTGTTTTTGTGATCCGAATTGTGTCATATTGGGCTGGCTTTGACGATGTTGTAGGTGATACTTACGATGAGGTGATTGTTGCTGCATGGAATTAGTCGCAGTCTCTTTTTGAATTCTTAGGATGATTGATGTTGAGGTGTGTTCTTCCTTATAAAATTCTTCTATTTCTTAAACCGAAAATTATTACAAGTAGGTAGGTGTTATAAACGGGGTCATAGAAGCCCATCTAAGGTGGAGGTGTCTTTTACAACTCAGTAAGCGGAACCTTGAATTGATTTTAGAGTAAAAACTAAAAACATAATACTTCCTTGTACTCTTGTGAATATATTGTGTCTGATTTAATACAGATGGGTAGTGGTGACTTCAAATATACCTACTGTTATTTAGAATTAGTCTTATTTTCTTGAAATTCTACTTCAGTGAATCCCTTAATGCTCTATTACAAGTGTTTTAATATCATTTCTCTTTCCAGAAGCCTGCAAACTCAAGATTGTCGCCGCTTCCTCCAGAGCCTGCGGGTTTCGGTGGCTATAATCATGGGGCAACAGTTGATATTCCCATTGATTCATCTACGGTATTGATGATATTTTGATTTAGTTTGTAATGCGACTTTATCAAACTGTTCAGTGTTGTTTTTCAGTCCTTACTGTTTAAGTTTTTTTCTCTTCTTCCTGCAGGACTTGAAAAAGAAAGAGAGGGAACTGCAGGCCAAGGAGGCTGAACTTCGCAGGAGGGAACAGGTACATATAGTTGAAGCGAGAGACAATAATTTGACCAAGATTCATATCTACAGAAGTGATATCAGAGATGCTTCTCTCTTAGCCTTCAGTGATTATAGTTGTTGATTGTTGCCATGTTCTTGATATTATGCAGGATATCAAAAGACGGGAAGAAGCAGCTTCCAGAGGTAACATGTTTCTTTTGTGTTGGATCTTATCATTCAGATTTGATATGTTATTCCACTTGCCATAGATTTCAATCTGCGGAACTCGCTTCATATTTTCGTGCATATATCATGGGACTGTTGTAATAAGTGATGGGTGTTTAGGTTTCTTCATTTTGCTTATGTGAATTATAATTGTTATGTCCAGTACTTATTCAGCTGTGATTGATACTTTGCATTCATTTTCAGCTGGAATTCAACTGGAGGAGAAAAATTGGCCACCTTTTTTCCCAATCATCCACCATGATATATCCAATGAGATACCAATTCACCTGCAAAGGATTCAGTATGTTGCTTTTTCGACGTTCTTAGGTATGAGTATTTTGTTTTCATGTGCTCTTCTTATTATTTTTTTTGAAACCCAAGAAAAGAATGTAGCTTCGTTCTTCTAAGATCTATGGATTCTTGGTCTGGTTTTGCATGGAAACTGCCTTCTCCATAGCATAAGCAAATTTCATGTGGCTTATGTGTCTATTATGAACGAGATGGCCATTTTAACTTTCCCCTTCATTTTGATTTCGTACAATCCATCATCTATAATCATGTTCTTGTTTTGCAGGATTGACTCTCTGCCTTCTGTGGAATATAGTTGCTGTGACAACAGCGTGGATCAAGAATGAAGGTTGCTTTTCTTGATTGTGGAGCATCTTTTTGTTTATGCTATGTGTGTTCGCTAGTTCTTGCTCTTAACATTTATATTTGATATGCAGGTGTGAAGATATGGTTTCTTGCCATTATCTACTTCATATCAGGAGTTCCAGGAGGCTATTTCTTGTGGTACCGCCCACTGTACCGAGCATTTCGGTAAGTAATTCACTTGGTGTGTATTGAAATCCCCATGTTCTCTCATTACTAATAGCTTGTTGCCAGAGTTGCATTCCGTAATTCCCTTAATGAGTCTGTATTTGCACAACTATCTTACAGGACTGATAGTGCTTTGAAGTTTGGGTGGTTTTTCTTCTTCTATCTGGTAATAAGTTGTCACCATTCAAATGTTTGACTGCCCACCATAATCAAATGTCTGACTTCTGGTTTTCATTCCTGTCCTACAGATCCATATCGGCTTCTGCATTATTGCTGCGGTTGCTCCTCCCATCTTTTTTAAAGGAAAATCTCTCACGTATGTGTCCAAAATACTTACCCCTCTGTGCCGAATCTTTTTGCTGCTTGTATGATTGTAGCCTTGAAGGCAACTTCCCCCAATTTTCACTGATGATATTTTCTTCTGTTTTCTTACTCATATTTTTGGAACAGTGGCGTGCTGGCTGCAATCGATGTTATAGGGAATAGCCTTCTTGTTGGGGTAAGTTCCATGACCCAAAAGTGTGATCTCTCTTCCTCCCTTCTCTGCTTTTCTTATCCATACCAACACTATTCTTTCATGCCACTATAGATCTTCTACTTCATTGGGTTCGGGCTCTTCTGCGTTGAAATTGTTCTCAGCATCTGGGTTCTCCAGGTCCATTCTTGTTCCTTCATTCCCATTTCAATTCCGTTGCCAATACCACAGCTGCCACCTCTGAATTAGTCAGTCTTTTAACATATTTGCGTTTATCTAAACCATGTACAGCAAGTATACATGTACTTCCGCGGAAGTGGTAAAGCAGCAGAGGTCAGGCGTGACGCTGCGAGAGGAGCAGTGAGAGCAGCAATATGATAACATTATCTCCCAACGCTTTCAGAGAACAAACAGGTTAAGACTGCCATGTGGATAGCTTCTACGTACATGTTTCCTTTATAGAGAGTGATATGCCTCCCCTGCCTGCCTATGCTTTATCCGAGAATCAGTCTCTTTGTTTAACAGACGAAAGTTTTCATTACCTTTTGCAATTCCATTTCTCGTTGGAGTGTTCTGCTCACCCGTTTTGTACATCTGATTGTACCGAAGAGATCGAGAGATTTATTTTCGTGCTCTAGTATTAGTTTTCTTCCGGGTGAAAGTTGATTGATTGTGATGCTACATGTATCTCAGTATTCCAGCAAAATTTTGAATCATGTTGCTTTCTTCCTGCTGCTCCAGCTCTAGTTTTAGAGACCCATATGGCAACTCTTTAGCTTGCTCTTTGGTTCGTATTAGCAAGTCAAAACCTCGCGCCCTTCAGTTCTCTCTTCACTTGTTGCCCATGGAAATGTTCGTTCCTTCGAAGCTACTCTTCTCTCTGGGTTTTTACTCCAGCTATCTGAGTCTTTGAATTCGTCATCCTGGGAGGTCCTTCCGCCTTGTCAAATGTTTAAGTTTTCACCAAGTTCATGGGCAATTGAAATCTGCATACAGTCTGAATACGGTAGGCTGGATACTACAAGATCAAATGTCCATCCAGTCTCTGCCTGCCAAATGGCGAAGATAGAAGGTTGACCTGAAATTTAATGTACTTGGAAGTAGTTGAGATACATTGAAAAGTTCACCGTTAGCCGACCAGTGTGATTACCACAAGTTCCACAACTACACAGCTTTCAGGACAGCCCGGAAATGGTTATTTGGTCATCCATAAGTTTATTGCGAGCATCTACCATAATTAACCTAGTAAAAACTGCCATAGTGAAGTCAAGTCAGATGACACTCTGGGAAAACTTCTATTTTTATTTATCAGGTGTTATCCAACTTAATCTGATATCTACTAGTTGCAATTTTGCAAATGATCCGACTTATATTACAAAAGCTACAGTAACAAGCAACAACTTCGAAAGTGATGTTTCTATCTTGCCTGGCTTCTGTGAGCGCCGTCTAATTGAGGATCTTGCGCGATTCTAATTGTACAATGATATGGCGGCATTTCGTACATAATAATAAGAAAAAGGAAAGAGAGAATACCATCCCATAATCTCATAATCTCATTTCGTACATAAGAAGATCACATATCATCATATCACTATCGTGTGATCATCCCCTTAGTAGACACTACTTCAACATCCATACACATAATATCAGTGTGGGATTACAATAAGCAAACCGCCAGTCACCCCGGCGGCAGGCACCGTACAGGAAAATATACTTCCCCGGCGGCCACCTCACTCAACAGTAGGCCACGCACTTCTTCTTGCAATCCATGGTGCACCCTCCGCCGCCGCCACCGCCGCCGTACCCTTTCCCGGAGCGGCCGTAGGCGGAGAAGCACTTGGCCGGGCAGCGGAGCTTCTTGTTGAAACATGGGCCTTTCTCCTTGCATACCACGGACGGCCTGTATGTGCCGCTCTTCGAGTACCCGCCCTTGGGCCCACCGAAGCCGGACCCGTACCCGCCTCCGATACCCGGCCCATTCCCCCAGTACCCTTTGCCGAACTCCGGGATCCCGGTACCCGGCCCGAAGAACCCGCCCGATGCGGCTGCGGCTCCTCCGTCGTTGCTGGACTCCGGGTTGGGCCGGGCCGCGGTGGAGAGTGTTGTGACGATGAGGAGGAGGAGGAAGAAGCAGAAGATCTTCATTTTTGTTGTCTTTGGTTTGAGATTTAGAAGAAAGAGAGGAATGAATGAAGGAGATTGGGGGGGATATATAATGGGTTGGGGGAGAAGGTAGGGAAGAAAGCATTGATTGGGGTAGAGGTGGATGACGGTTGAGGATGGTCTCATGAATGTGTTTTTAGGAGGGTAGGTTGAGTGCAATTATGGCACTTTGGTTTTCATCCACTACTATGACTCATTTTAGATCACATTAGAAGTGTTTTCTTTTTGTTTGTTTTGGGTAGTTTGATGGGATGACTCATGATAAGAGGAAGAGTTCAAAGGTTCTTAGAAAGAGGAGGAGGAGAGAAAGAATCTACGAGATTGAGATTGAGATTGAGATAGCTCAAGATTGAATTTGTATCGTTATAATTTGCTCGTAATTTGACTGAGTTATTTTGATACGTATGGACTCTTGAATTCCGGGTTTTTTTAAAAGTTTTTTTAGGGTAATTTCAGTTCGATATGCTAAATAGCTTAATTTGTGCGTAGTAGTTTTTCGGTGTGTAATTGCAATTGTTAACATGTCGGTTGAAATTATGAAGAAAGATTATTATTCATTGATAAACGTAGATACTCGAAACCAATCGAGTATGTATATAATTTTGATATTCTACTCGATTTGTATTAAATAAAAAAATTGTATGGGTAAAACCCAACTTCTTTTGTGTAAGATAATGAATGTGTACCATCCACTCCGACCCAATACGTTATCATTCCTACTTTGAAGTTTGAACAACACTGGTTTATAATTTGTAGGTCACTAGTTAGTTGTATTATAGAATAATAGAGTACTTGCAAATAATGATAATTAACTCCACCAGAATTGCGTATGCAGACATTGCACTTATTTTTTTTTTTAAAAAGTTTGAGCATACGTGTACCTTAGCTAGCTACCTCCACTGACTGATAATTATCAGGCCATGCATGATATGTCTTGAGGCAAAAAAGGAGCCTGCTGCCGGTCCTTCTAATTAGCCATTTTTGTAGTAGAAACGTCAAGTCATTTAGGTTAGCTAGAACTGGAAAAATGAACGAAACTCGAAGGAGATTCCCATGTCTGAAAGCTTTATGATTGTATTGTTAAATATCCAAACCTATGTGATTTTTTTTATCACTCCCATAAGTAAAAACTTGAATTTCGAGTTCACCACTTACAGACAAACAAGTGTTAAGGTAAATTTTAAACAAATTTATTGTAAATTGGTGATATTTTGGATGTGGTGGTCTATACTATGCCAAGTGCCCATCTGTCCTAATCTCCTAGGGCATCATGCATTAAACAGAAACACAGATCAAGTGGGGGATTATTTCGGTTAATTTTCTTAATAAAATTCGAAGCTCTAAAATCATGTTCCTAATTTGGTTTAAACTAAAACAATATCTTTTTTGCCTACTCATATCAATGATTTTGATGGTAGGCAAATTGAATTGAACTAGCCCAACAGGTGTTAAGGTCAATTGTAAAGTGAATTTATATGTGGGGTGGTGGTGATATTTTGGAAGTGGACTATACTATAGCAAGTGCCCATCTAATCTCTTAGGGCATGCATTAAAGAGAAACACAAAACAAGTGGGGATTATCAGTACCACTACTGTACCAGCCACATTCAATCATTCATTAACAATGGAGTTTTGAAGTTTGGTTGTCCCATAGGTGTAAATAAATGCAGCCTAGTACTTTTCTTATGGATTAAACATTTTAAGTACTATAACCCAAAGTCATACATAAAAGATCACACCTATCCTGTAATCTGCTGTACAGGTTAGAAATCTACTTGTCTACATTCCATAGCCCTTGTCTGTAGCGATCCAAACTACGGATCATAGTGTACTGTGTACTCAAACTTTTTCGATTGGTCTACCGAGAATATTTCGTGAGCGGTAACAGTGACAAGCTTCTCGCTTCATTTTCGCGCTAAGCAATAAATAATTGGTTACAGAGAGATATCTCTATAGATAATGATCAAATCTTCAATCTTATAATCAAAGTACGGGGCGGAAGCAATAAATTATTGGTTACAAAGTGGTAAGTTATATTTCTATCAATAATAATCTAGTCTTCACACCCTCATGAGTCATGACTCTCTTGCAATGTTTTTGAGTAGGTATTGAAATGAAAATTAATTGTGAGGAATGAGTATCACTTTTAAGATTGTTTTTATTGGATTTTTGTAGTTTTTGTGTGATTAACACGCATGGCTAAGGTTAGGCCAATACGTGGTAACATACCATGATGGCGCTATATCTCTTACCACATTGGCGATCCAGGTGGAGAAAAGAGCTCATAAAGTGAAGCAAAAATGCATGCTTGAGGAACACCACCTTTTTGTTTCAAGGTCCAGAGCAGCTTCGTCAAATCCGACTTAATACGATCGATCGAATCTCTCAAATAGCAATTTAGGACCTAAAAATACAACTCATATGATTATTTCTTCGAACCCCAATTCAAAAGGGAAAAGAAAATCGAACATCACTATCAGATATCTAAACAGTACTCGACTTATTGCTTTGATTATTTTTAACAAACTTACTCTTCTTGATCAACCCCGAATTAACCCCGCTGGCTTGAGATCAGACTTGCCACCCAATCGTTTTACTCTTCTTGATCAACCCCGAATTAACCCCGCTGGCTTGAGATCAAACTTGCCACCCAATCGTTTTACTCTTCTTGATCAACCCCGAATTAACCTTGCTACCTTGAGATCAGACTTGTCACTCAATCGTTCCGCTCTCAGCCGACTCATTTTCGTCCTGACAACAGTGGTTCAGAGACCACCCACTTATGGAGCAATCAGAGGCAAAGGAAATTCAACGATAAGAAGGGCCAGCCCTACCCAATTGCAAAGCTCTTGTCCATTTGACTTTCATGTGCCTTTCCACGAGGAGTACAGCAAATGTTGTTCCCCTTATCAAACATACATGAATTCTACTTGGCATTAATCCCATTTGGGAGACAATATTGAAAATGCTTACATTTCTCTTCCTTGATATAATAAATGTGACGTTCACAAGTCAATGATACTCGTTTTCTGGCTCTGATTTGAACCCTAGGTCGGCCCAATCGCAGTTAAGATCAGAGCTTCACTTGACTTTGGTTTTCGCCCACCAATTCTCCCTTGACATGCTTGCGAGGTTATTAAAGGGTTGTTTTCTGGCTTAGGATTTTCATTAATTTTGGGCGGTAACCATAACTAGTGCCCATTACGCTATCAATTCTACTAGTAACGTAAAAATCGAATTAGAGAAGGCTCTGTTATAGGTGTACGTCAAATACTAATTTGAGGTCCTGGATGAAATGTTATTCGAACTAAATTGGTCCTGATCGATAGAATATGTTCATGTTTCGTTTCTGAACTTTTTTCCTATAAGTACATTTTTTAAACTTCATTTCGATTGTGACACTGTAAAATTAAGTGAATAAGCATTTTGATAAAATTCGAAACTAGAGAAATGTTTCGTTTCTGAACTTTTTTCCTATAATTACATTTTTTAAACTTCATTTCGATTGTGGCACTGTAAAATTAAGTGAATAAGCATAATGATAGAATTCGAAACTAGAGAAATTAAGGTATATATTATCAATTCTTCTCGTAACATGAAACCGAACTAGAGTGAAAGCTCTATTAAATGTGTTATTAATCCAAAACAAATTCAGTCCTTTTCCCACCATTTTTATCCGCTCGTATGGTATTGACCATGGTCAAAATGTAATTGGATGTTGTTCTCTGGGCCTGTTCCAGCTATAAATTTGAAAGATGTGAAAGCCAAACCCAATACATACTTTCCACAAGGGTTCACAGCCCAAATTATCCATTAGGCCCAAGGAAGTTCCAACTAGCAAAAAGAATTGGGAGTCTGTCAGAAAGACACATGACCATCCAGGCCACCTCAGCAGCCAAGAACGATCATCTACAGCATCAATCGTCCAAAGACAATCTCGGCTCGGCCGTTAATCACGCTCTGATCATGTGGCCATAGTTCATCCACCAAACTTGGATTCCTGTCTCCTTAGTGCTAAAGGACACAGAGGTACGAGCCTATAGAACAGATCCTGTTCAAGTAAGGTCGTGCCAAATAAGCTCACGCTTCAGTAATATAAAAAGCAGCATGTCAGTCAGAATAAGCGATGTGGTATACAGTAGAAGTTATTAGCTCCCGTTTCAATAGTGTAAAGTCGTGGGCCTTTCTCGGCCCAATAACTCAAAAAACAGGGGGCCTGCTAGTTTGGAACTTCATGGAAGAGACGAGTAACTGAAAGCTTCATTTCTTTCCACCATCTCTTCGTCAAGGGTATTAGGGTAATACAACAGCTTGATTTTTCTGCTTTTCTGTTCGATCTGTTCAAATTCTTGACTGGCTTGGTAACGTAACGATGATGTGATTGCTAGCGAAGGATGGAATTAGGCAATCAACAGAAGATTGCATCATTAGTGCGTCATGCCTAAGAGAGAAAACAATGAAGATGTCTTCCAAATGGGACTTCAGAGTTTACTAGTTTAAGCTTGTACAAATTGCACAACTGGACCTCTTCTAATAACTCGACTGATTTAAACGAGCTGATTTTAGGTATGGAGTTAGAGCCTTTAATCAATATGTTTTGTGCTCACAAATCTTCGCAACCCCATTGCGAACACCTGATTCAAACGTAAGATAGTGTGGTTATTGCGAACTTCGAACTTGTGGGATTACTTTCATGTAAAGAAATATATAAAGAAATTATACAAATTTCGTAACAGACATATAGTAACTTCAGTTATTGCGACGAACTCGATCAAATAATCGTTTTTGGAATGACTTACAAGTTAAAAACATCGTTGCTTGCCGGTGTACTTATCGCCTGATGTGTCCAAATTTTGCAATTATGGGATGTGATTTGATGAGAACTAATGAGAAAACCCAATTTCCAAAAGCGGCCAAACGAAAGTGTGCCGACTAACTACAGCGGCAGGCATCATCCCATTATTACTCGGATGGAAAAAAAAGCAGAGCCCTCAAATCTTTTCTTTCTGCTAATGGGGGAAGGAATGGAAAAGGAGATGCAAAGATATTCATTCACCCCCTTCGAGTTTATCTTCATAGATATGATATCTTAATTAGTTGGGTTATTGCTTTTACCTGGAAAACGTACAGTCAGTGGTATTGGTAATACTGGTAGACTTGATTTTGAGTGGATCTGCTAAGGCTTAATTCTTCGATTTTGAGATGGAAATTATTACGTTTTACTATGGATTTAGAGTGAATTTATAGTGTAGTTTACAACAAGAACGAAGTTGTATATATGTACGCTTGATTTGTCATGATAAAAAGAAATTGAAGTTTGAAAATCGTTCACGTAGTTGAAGTTCGGAATTTGGTTGATGATTGAGTAGCACTTGCATGAGTATAAAAAAAGAAGAGTTTATATGATATAGTGTTGTTTCCTTGTTAGCATCAAAATTCACTTGTCGTATTTGCGAGGTTGTGGTCTTGAATATATTGAACATTATAATTGATGTGTCAGTTGGTGCTTTTACATCTCAACTTCAAATTTTATAGGATGAAAAATTCCTTTTATCGAAGTCAGGATAAATTCTTATTCCTATAATTGTATGTTCAACCGTTACGACAATTGAGTCAATACACTGAGTTTAATTGTTACTGTTTAAGAGTGCAAATATTCTCGATAAATAACCGTACGAACGATTCGAACCAAAAATTTCGTTTTTCAAAGCCAATATCTTTGTCCTTGAACCAGTCGCGAGTGTATGGCTAGTTCACAAAATTTCAACTATGCGAATGATTGGCACATATATTTTTGTGATGTTTTGGTTGCTTTTTAATGGAGTAGGGGTTAGATTACTTCAACCAAGGCGGCGTGCCGGTTTGATGCGCTTGAGAGGACGACGGTTGCATATATAATAATAAGTCGTGATATGTGAAACTTGATTTCTGCCTAAAACCGTCCAAGATATTGATGGCAATGGAATGGACAGTCAATCCAATTTCATATGTTCTATACAATTTGGCAACTTGCTATTGTTCATCAACTTTGACACCAAAGTGCTTGCCTCATTCGAACGTCATTGCCACGAAATCCACACAGCATATAGCTTGTATTGGAGAGAGAAATAACATAGTTCGGCGGCTATTTCAATTATTAGCATATTTAATTCATAAGAATAATGAGTTAGATCGAGTAATATTTGATTATAATACGAGTGTAAATAAGTCGATTCGTTTTGACATATGATATCTTTATACAGACATGGGTGAAACTAGTATTCTCATGGAGTATGTAGTACTTCTATTTGATCCATTTGGTGGATATACTTCATGTAGTACGATCGTATGATCTTATGCCCTAAACACTAACGAGTAAACACAACTCATAAGTCTTTAAATTATATATTATAAATTATTTTAATTAGAAACAATTGATTGATGGTTCTAATTTATCATAATACACCCAACATACTAGATGTACCATAACATTAAAAGTACAATTTCAAGTTGTAATATAAAGACAAAAACCTATAACACTAATACTATATAACATTATATATATAACAGGTGGCCTTCCGCATTTGGTTATTCCAGTCATTGTATTTCTACCTATCTTTTCACAACATTTATAAAAAAAGATAAAAAAAAACAAACAAATGATGTGAGAAGGGAAACCCATGCCGTTCCTGGGCCTGTTTGTTGTTGGTTTGGATTCTTTGCCCAGATAAGAGTTTGGACCGAGTCATCTTGGGCTTTTTATCCCCACTCACCGGTATGGCGAACTGCGAACCTTGTTTCCCATACCCCAGAATCCCAGCGACTGGACTGAACTACAAATAAAGCAAACTGTTAAAAATTCAAAAAAAGCTGGCTAAGGTCTTAATCTTAATCAACCAAAAAAAGGATAATCACTCTCCGCCATGGATGCGACAGCATCAATCGATAATCCACCAATTCCCAAAGCGGACAAAATGAAAAATTCCCCGTCAATCCCCATTACCATTTCCCCCAATCGCCACTCTCCTCTCTCTCTTTATAATCCCCTCCTCTTAAATCAACGTCACGACCCACAAAAATCACACAGCAATCTTCCAGCAGCGAAAATGCCTTTAAATTGCTGGAGCTTGGCCTCCAGAGCCCCACGCTTCCAATTCCTCGGGCAAACGACCGACACCTTACGACACCGAAGATACCCGCATACCCAGTTCAATCCTTGTTATCGGGTCAAGCCGAAAACGACCCACCACCACCACAGCTACTGCTCCCTTCACTCCTCGGTCTCCACTTCCAAATTGGGTCACGACCAGGGGAGATTTTCCTCGTCGACGACGATGGAGGACGGCGGGAACTACGTCCGTGGTGGGTTTCCGGCGGTGACTGGCGAAAGTTACACCAAGGAATTGGAGGTTGCCGTCAGAGCTGTGCAGATGGCTTGCTCTCTCTGCCAGAAGGTGCAGCAGAAATTGATCTCCAAATCCCAGGATCAGGTCCAGGCAAAGGAGGATAATTCTCCGGTCACCGTTGCAGGTTAGCTGAAATTATCGATTGGGTTTGTTTCGTTTGCTGAATTTGGTTAATGGGTCGGTGTCATTTCGTCGTTTGTATATAGAGCGAGCGAACACTCATAGAGCCAGTTCTGAGTGTATCAACTGTTTGATTAAATTCCCCTGTGAACACTTTTGTTCATTCTTAATTCTTGCTTTCGTAGACTGGAGCGTCCAAGCTATAGTGAGCTGGATACTGTGCGAGACACTAGGGAGAAGTAACGTCTCGATCATCGCCGAAGAAGACGTCCAATCCCTCTCCAAAACCAGAGCAGCAGGGCTGCTGGAGACTGTAGTCCAGACAGTGAACTCATGCTTAGCTGAAGCGCCATTGTTTGGGTTTCAACCTCCTGAAGCCCCCCTCGACGCCCTGCAAGTCCTCGAAGCCATCAGCCGTTGCAGCTCAACCATGCCACCGTCATCCAAATTTTGGGCGCTTGACCCTGTTGATGGCACGCTGGGATTTGTACGTGGAGATCAGTATGCTGTTGCTTTGTCACTGATTGATCATGGGGAAGTCGTGCTCGGAGTCCTCGGCTGCCCCAATTACCCCATGAGGAAAGAGTGGCTGAGCTACCACCACCGCTACCATAGAATCGTGTCGAGGCTGACTCCATCTGCCGAGGCTTCTTGGGACAAGGGGTGTGTGATCTATGCGAGAAAGGGCAGCGGCGAGGCCTGGATGCAGCCTTTAGTGCAGGAAGGTAAGAATTTGGTGTGGCCGAACTCTGCTAGAAGGGTGAGAGTTTCAGCCGTTGATAATCCTGAGATGGCCACGTTTTGTGAACCTGTTGAGAAGGCCAATTCCAGCCACTCCTTCACTGCTGGACTTGCTCACAGCGTTGGTCTCAGGTATGTACAATTGTCATTGATAGTTATCAACTCATATTTGAACGAATAAAGACATGATTAAAATAAAAATAAAAACTTTGCAGGAAGCAGCCATTGAGAGTGTACAGCATGGTGAAGTATGCAACCATAGCTCGCGGGGATGCAGAGGTGTTCATGAAGTTTGCGCGAACTGGCTACAAGGAGAAGATATGGGACCATGCGGCAGGCGTCGTCATTGTACAGGAGGCAGGAGGGGTGGTGACTGATGCCGGCGGCCGGCCGCTGGACTTCTCAGGTGGTCTCTACTTACAAGGGCTCGACCGTGGGATCATCGCCTCAGCTGGAGCTGAACTGCATGAAAGGATCATCAAAGCTGTTGATGCTAGCTGGAACTCATCCAGCCTGTGAAATAAAATGTGTAAACTAGAGCGTGTGTGTGTGTTTTTTGTGTTCATACAACTTCTTGGAAGGCAGTAAAAGGATGAAAAGAAGGAAGTCGATTCCAGCTTCAGACTTCTGAATGTTAATAAAGGAATGCTATATAATTACCGTGGTGAGGGGAAAAAGCTTTTTGATGATGTTCCAGCAGCAGCATGCCATATTTTGAGTTAATTGGGCCGGAAGAGGCCCACTCCGTTAGCAGCAGTAGGTAGTTTCTTCATAATACCACATTGCTTGTTCTGGCTATTTTGCTGTTCTTTATATTACTGAAGCGTGAGTTTACTCGACACGACCTTACTTGAACAGGATCTGTTCTATAGGCTCGTACCTCTGTGTCCTTTAGCACTAAGGAGACAGGAAACCAAATCTGGTGGATGAACTATGGCCACATGATCAGAGCGTGATTGACGGCCGAGATTGTCTTCGGATGATCCACGCTGTAGATGATCGTTCCTGGTTTGCTTAGGTGGCCTGGATGGTCATGTGGCTTTCTGACAGACTCCTATTCTTTTTGGCCTTCTAGTTTACTATGTTGGGCCGACTTTAGTCTATGTGAAAAAGGACTGGTCCAGGTATTCGTTGGGCTAAGCGAACGCATTGGATCTGTTTGGGTGGGCCTTTGTTGAACAAACAAACTCATCAGCTTGGTCCCTCACATTATCATTCCAGGTCGAACCCCAATAGAGAGTTGCTGTAAATATATACATGAAAATGATTGAAGATTTAATCAAATTATAATTGGGATAGATAAACTAACAATTCTCGAAATTAAAAATTTGAACTATCTTTGAGAAATATTTTGGAAACTGATGGTAGTTATTCGATATGATCTAATATAAAATACAATGGCGATAAATGTTTGAATTATCTAATAGAAGTATTGTCTTTGATACCACCTTTTCAATGATATATTTTTGTTGGAAAACACATTTTCATCCTCATCCTTATCAGTTGAGCTGACGAGTATTCAAATCTCCACCTAGAGCCGACAAACAAGAGTACGAGACATTGCCTTATACAGTAAGGACATTTCACATCGATTCGATTTAAAAACGACTTAATTTTGTTGAGAAATAAGAAAAGAACTCATACTTGGCACCGCAACAAATTAAATGGACACATCAACAAAAAGAGAGTGGGATTTATATAGATCCCATAAAAGTAAAGAAAACCCCACAAAGAAGCAGGAGAGAAACATCCTACAAGAAGGGGAAATGATTGGGATATATGGATGCCTGTTGGCCGAAACTGATAATCTAATGCCACTGGCGGGGGGGATTTTAAAGACAACTATTAGATTAGATCGTTAATTACAAAAGATTTATGGTAGCTTTAGAGAAAGAAGAAGGGGATAATACAATGCACTAACTGATTATGCCAACAGTCACATCCTCCCCACTACTGAAAGTGACAAAGAAAAAGGAGGGAAAAGTTGGTGCCTTAGAGCAATGGATATGCAATTCATAGCGATTGAATTCTTTTTTTTTTTTTACAATCATTGTGGAGCATTAGGGCTTATAACTAAGGCATACAATAGAGCTATATCTTATCGCGAAGTGAAACGCTTTTTGTGTATTCTCTTTATATTATAAAATAATCCGATTGTATAATGAATTTCAGACCACATTAACACAAATTTCGAACTCTATTCATCTGTATCAAATGATTAGGAAGCTGTATAGTATGACTTACATCCAATCATAACGATCATTATCAGTAATGTAAGTTATCGTATAATCAATCTAACACATGAATTGTTGATGTTTACTATTAGATAGTTGCACGTTAACCAGATATTCTAACTGCAGAGTGTATATGAAGATCTAACTTGATATCCTGCATAGATAGAGAAAGTGGTTCTTGTCGGGCAAAATAGTTTCAAATGAAGAGAAAGCACCAACAAAATATGCCCCACAGATGACTCATCGGGGTAGCGACATTATGTTTAGGCTGCGTTCTATGTTTACGTTCCTGGGCGGCCAATTCCCACACGTGAATTTTCTGTTGAAAGTTGAAACCCACCAAAGAAATTATTATATTACTGCTAGTGACATATTTACCCTAGTGTTCAGTCAAACTTTACTATTTTTATGTTAAGTTATTTCGTTATAATGATAATTTCGTACGAATTTCGTTCGATTTGATTTGTTCTGATTCCGTAACATCTTTGTAAGATGCAAATTTAATACATGAAGAAATAATGCAAGAAGAAAAAGTGTGCATATTTTTTAACTAGTCGATATTATTCTCCCAACTGACCTTCATTATATTGTTATTGCAAACTCGATGCCTTCTCTATAAATTTTGTATGATTATCAGAGGCTCTCCAATCCCAATTAATTCTAAATAAAAGATAAAAATACATTTGAATGAAACTAAGTGTAGTTCTTTTTTTAGATGTGAGTTCAATTCTTAATATTTGCAGTAAATTTATGTTGTTTTCCACGAACAAGATTTTGATCTAGCGAAAACTAATTTCCATTTGTTTATTGAGTAGCCCAACAATGGGGGGGAATTAGTTTAAAACGTGGGATAAAGAGATAAGTATGGTGAAGTAATTTATTTAAAAAATGCCCACAAGGCAAGTTAAGCTGAGTGACAGTCTGCAAAGGGTCCACAGATTTGATAAAAAATAAAAATAAAACAGTCTGCAAAGGGTCAAGCTCGTCAATTGAGAGTTGAGAGTAAAAACACAGTGGCTAACCCCGTTATTTTGCCCCAAAACCATGCCCCTTTTCCAACTCCGCTCCATTATATAAACACCCGAAGACAGAAGGCCCAAAATCAATTCACGCCAAAAACTCAAAACCCCTCCGATCGAAATTCCTTTCTTCCAATCCTCACCGGCGGCGAAGCTAAACACCCAAATCTCGGAGATGGCAGGCTCAGGGTCAAGCTGCGGAAGAAACATTTCTTCGTCGTGGAGGAGACTATCGCGCCGGCCGATCCCCAAGCGAGGGCAAGTGAAGGTGGCGATAGTGACGGGTCTCGCTCACTCCCTCGCTTCCATTTTCTCCTTCGGCCGCCGGGTAGGAGTCGGATCCGTCGCCGTCGGTTCTCCGTTGTCTTGAAAAGAAACCTTCCCTACAAGCTTCGGATGATCGGTTCTAGATTGTAGTTTCTTGATGGGAGTTTTGATGGCGGAAACAGAGGATTTGTACAGAGAAATGGATTTTGATTTTTGAGATTAGTTTAGTTCTCGATGATGTTCAGTTAATAGGGATTTGATTGAGTGTGCTGGATTTCATTTCCCCCCTTCTGTCCGATTGTTGCCGGAAACGGAACTCCGGCGAGGTAGGATATTGTTGATCGGATAGGAATGAATTTGCATTTTTATGTAAACATAGGGATGGCAATAGGGCGGGTCTGTCCGATTGTTGTCGGAAACGGAACTCCGGCGAGGTAGGATATTGTTGATCGGATAGGAATGAATTTGCATTTTTATGTAAACATAGGGATGGCAATAGGGCGGGTTTGTCCGATTGTTGCCGGAAACGAAACTCCGGCGAGGTAGGATATTGTTGATCGGATAGGAATGAATCTGCATTTTTATGTAAACATAGGGATGGCAATGGGGCGGGTTTGCCTAAACCATCTCCATTTTCATATACCCATACTCATCCCCATCCCATACCCATGTGGGTGGAGGATTTGCATACCCATCCCCATACCCGCGGGTTTCGGGTACCCATGGGTAATACCCATCCCCATTTACGCATTACTTCTACACCTAATAAAACAACATGCATTCTTCAATTATAACACTAAAACAACCAAATAAATTATGAAATCAACAAGGTACAATCATTCTTAATACGAAAAAACATCCAATCCTTTGTTTAATTGTCTCTAAAAGATCAAAGTCTACTAGACTACTTCAAAGTTCAAACACACAAAGTCGCATTGCCTCTCCCAAAAGCATTACATAAATCCCTTCTTCATTTCTCCATACCTACAAACACAAAATAAATCATCAAGCCTTAGACATATGAAAAGAGTAATTGAAAACAAAGCACTAAGAAATAGTCCTTATGTGGTCATACTTTAAACTCAAGACAAATTTGGACATCATTCATCTTCAGAATCAACATTTGAATCAAGTGCAATACCTACAACAAAACAAAATAGATTTAGATACACTTCAAGTCACATTATGTAAATAGGCAATAAACATCTTGAAACATTACCAGATAAGGCTCCAATCAAAGCTGGATCCTCGTCTTCATTAACAGTAGCCAAACTGTCTGAAGGTAGTTCATAAAGATCCTCTACAAAATAGAAAACATTTATTGAAATGAATGGAAACAATAGTAACGATATTAAGAGACCTTTTAATAAGTAGTATGAGATTACCTTTCTCATCAATATGGTTCAATAGCCAACTTTGAGTGCACATAAGAGCTTCAACTGTTTTTGTATGAAGTCTACTTCGATGAGAGCTAATCAATCTACCAACAGGAATAGCAAGCACATCTCTTGCAATCAAAGCCAATGTAGGATACTTAGATGCATTTGCTTTCCACCAAAGCAAGATATCAAATTCAGGACTTCTGTGCAGAACTTTCTCCTCAAGATAAGAATCCAACTCACTCTTGCCACCCGGACTTTGTGAAAGAAGTTGTTCCACAAACAAGTCATACTCACTCATCCTCCCTGCACTTGCTCCATCCGAAGTAGAACCAGCAAGTGAACAACCAGAACCCTCTATACTTGCATCAACCCTCATTTGATAGTCATGGACTAAATTAGTTAGCAAGTCACGTACTTTCTTGATTTCATCACTAGATTTGGACCCAAATACCATTGGATAGTAAAAGTTCAACAATATCATTTTGTATCGTGGATCAAGAACAGCAGCCACACTTAAGATACCATGACTTGCACCCCAATATTTATCAAACTTTTCAACCATCTTTGCAGCCATCTCAGACACAAAAGGATCATCACTTGATGCCCACTTTGATAAACCCACTTTGATATCACAAATCTTTTGAAAAAATAAGTTGGCAGTAGAGTATTGTGATCCTGAGAACAACTCGGTCACCTCATAAAACAATTGCAACTTCAGACAAACTTCTTTTGCAAAAGACCAATCACCCTCACTAGGCACCTTCTTATACTTTGCATCTCTATGTTTCAATCTAGGAAAAACATCCTTATACTCCAATGCAGTTTTAAGCATTAAGTGGAGTTCCACCTAGTTGGACAATCAAGACACAACTTCTTGTCAAAATTGATAGGCAATTGACTTGCTGCTACTTTTCAAGCCTTTTAGGTGTTGCAATCCAGAAAGATACACTTTCACGAACATTCTCTACACTTTTCTTAATCACATCAAGACCATCCTTCACAATCAAATTCAACACATGTGCACAACACCTCATATGCAGCAAAGATCCAGATCTCAGTAAATGGCGAGGATTCAACTTATCTTTTAGCATCTCCATAAGAAGATCATTAGTTGAGCAGTTATCCAAAGTTACAGTAGATAACTTTTTGTCCAAGTTCCGCTCCATCAAAATCTTGTAGATTGCCTGTGCAAGAACCTCACTAGTGTGTGGACATGGGACATAACAGAACCTAGCAAAAATTAAAAGGGAAAAAATTAGTCTTTTAAATGTATTCTTAGCATTTGAAATAAACTTCATTTGAGAAATAAAGCATACCTAATAATAAAACATCTAATCTTCCATGATGCATCAATGAAATGAGCGGTAACTGCCATGTATCCTTTTTTTTTGATTGCTTGCAGTCCACATATCACTAGTAATTGCAACACGACTATCATTAGCTGCAATCAACTTCTTCAAATCTGTCTTCTCACTCTTAAACAGTTTCAAGGTCGCTCTTGACAGTGTTTCGAGTTGGACACTTGAACAATGGTTGAAGAATACACAATAGCTTCCTAAAGAAGAAATGATCCACTATAGCAAGAGGATGCTCATGCACCACAATCAAGGAAGCCAAAGCCTTACGCGCCTCTTCCTCATTGAAGTTGCCAAGTGACTTCTGATACATTTGACCCGTCACATTCTTCACTAACAATGGTTGTCTAATATCCTTATTTAACTTATGGTATCTTTTATAATGCTCAAGGAGATGACTAGTACCATTTTTTGAACCTGCCTTCAGAGATTTCTTGCAATAATGACATTTAGCTTTTATCTCTTCACCTTCTTGATACCTTGTGAAGTGTTTCCAAGCATCACTCTTAAACCTATTACTAGGCAAATCACTATCAGTTCCTTCACTCATTACAACATCACCTTGGTTAGTAGGAGGATTGTTGGCAGCATTACCAACAGAAGGAACAACAAGGGGGGTTGAATTCGTTGTTTGTATAGAAGCTGTTTGGGTGGTAGCAGTAGTTGAATTTTGCTCCATGGCTGCAGGTGATATTGCATCAGATTGTGAAGAGTTGCTAGCCATCTAGAGATAAACAGCCGACTTTCTGAAAGAATTAAAATCCAAATCAATTGTAAATTTGTAATCTACCTCGTTGCATATACAATAAACACACAAAAGACACAAAATACAAAGAATTGAATTCTTAAATCTACCTCGTTGATGGCCGCCGATTTTTCGCCGTCGTTGGGTAGTAGGTAGTCAAACCAATGTTAGTCTCATTGATTCGAAATTTGATTTTCATTTTGTATACGATGTGAAGATTACGGTGATAACCTTTAAATAATAGCATTTGAAAGAATCCGTGGAAAACTGTAATGGATAGCTTTCAAAATCGTTGAATATTAGCATTTAAAATAGTCGGTCATAATATGTGATGGGTAGTCTTCAAAATCGTTAAAAATAACAGTCCCAAAAATCGGTTCAAATAGTGATGAATAACTTTCAAAATTGGTGAAAATCAGTATTCCCAAAAATCGGCCAAAATCTGTGATTAATAGCCTTCAAAATCGGTAAAAATAACAATTCCAAAAATTGGCCGGTATCTGAGATGGATATCCTTCAATATTGGTAAATAATGCCATTAAAAAAAATGTATTAAAATTGGTGAAAAATAGTCAAAATATGTGATGGATAGCCTTTAAAATAGACTAAAAAATAACATTCCCCAAAATCCGCCCAACTCGGTGCCTAACGGGCCTAAGCATCAGTGGAGAATGGGATCAATAGAATTCATCATCGGTGGAGAACAGCCTCGGACCGAATCCGTGGTCTCTAGCTTTCTAAATCAGAGGAAAATGACATTTCGGAAAAATCACTTGAAATCTGTGATTGTACCCCTATTGAATCTGCCAAAAATGGGCCCGGGAGAAATTCACACAAATCGGTGCTTGATGGACATAATTATCGGTGACGAATAGCCTCAGGCAGAATGCATGATTTGTAGCCTTCAATATCCAAGGAAAATGGTTTTCAAAAAAAAAAAAGCCAAAAAATTAAGAAAATGTCATACGAAAATAAATCCGCCCAAATTGGTGCATAACGGGCTTAAGCATCGGTGGAGAATAGGATCAATAGACTTCATCATCGGTGGAGAATAGCCTCTGGCCGAATTCGTGGTCTCTAGTCTTCAAAATCGGAAGAAAAGACATTTCAAAAAAATCACCCGAAATCTGTGATGGTCCCTTTGGAATCTGTCAAAAATGGGCTTGGAAGAAATTCGCCCAAATCGGTGCTTGATGGACTTAATCATCGGTGAAGAATAACCTCAGGGCGAATTCGTGATATGTAGTCTTTAAAATCCAAGGAAAATAGCCTTTCGAAAAAAATCACCAAAAAATTACGAAAATGTCATCTGAAAAAGAATCTGCACAAATCGGTACCTAACGGGCTTAAGCGCCGGTGGAGAATAGGACCAATAGACTTTATCAATGGTGAAGAACAACATCGGGCCGAATCCGTAGTCTGTAGCCTTCAAGATCGGAAGAAAATGACATTTCGGAAAGATCACCCGAAAACTTTTATGGTAACCCTTTGGAATCTGCCAAAAATGGGCCCGGAAGAAATTCGCCCAATACGGTGCTTGATGGACTTAATCATCGGTGAAGAATAGCCTCAGGCCAAATCCGTGATCTATAGCCTCCAAAATCGAAGGAAAATGGCCTTACGAAAAAAATCGCCAAAAAATTACAAAAATGCCATCCGAAAATTAATCCGCTCAAACCGGTGCCTAACGGGCTTAAGCATCGGTGGAGAATACGATCAATAGACTTCATCATAAGTGGAGTACAGCCTCTGGCCGAATCCGCGGTCTCTAGCCTTCAAAATCGCAAGAAAACGGCATTTCGAAAAAATCACCCGAAATCTGTGATGGTACCCCTTTGGAGTCTGCCAAAAATTGGCCCGGAAGAAATTCGCCCAAAACGGTGCATGATGGAATTAATCATCGGTGAAGAATAGCCTCAGACCGAATCCGTGATCTGTAGCCTTCAAAATGCAAGGAAAATGGCCTTTCGAAAAAAAAATCGCCAAAAAAATTACAAAAATGCCATCCGAAAATTAATCCGCCCAAACCGGTGCCTAACAGGCTTAAGCATCGGTGGAGAATAGGATCAATAGACTTCATCATCGGTGGAGAACAGCCTCTGGCCGAATCCGCGGTCACTAGCCTTCAAAATCGCAAGAAAAAGGCATTTCGGAAAAATCACCCGAAATCTGTGATTGTACCCCTTTGGAGTCTGTCAAAAATTGGCCCGAAAGAAATTCGCCCAAATCGGTGCTTGATGGACTTAATCATCGGTGAAGAATAGCCTCAGACCGAATCCGTGATCTGTAGCCTTCAAAATCCAAGGAAAATGGCCTTTCGAAAAAAATCGCCCAAAAAATTACGAAAATGCCATCCGAAAATTAATCCGCCCAAACCGGTGCCTAACGAGCTTAAGCATAGGTGGAGAATAAAATCAATAGACTTCATCATCAGTGGAGAACAGCCTCGGGCCGAATCAGCGGTCTCTAGCCTTCAAAATCAAAAGAAAATGGCATTTCGGCAAAATCACCCGAAATCTGTGATGGTACCCCTTTGGAGTCTGCCAAAAATTGGCCCGGAAGAAATTACCCAAATCGGTGCTTGATGGACTTAATCATCGGTGGAGAACAGCCTCGGGCCGAATCCGCGGTCTCTAGCCTTCAAAATCGCAAGAAAATAGCATTTCGGAAAAATCACCCGAAATCTGTGATGGTACCCCTTTGGAGTCTGCCAAAAATTGGCCCGGAAGAAATTCGCCCAAATCTGTGCTTGATGGACTTAATCATCAGTGAAGAATAGCCTCAGGCTGAATCCGTGATCTGTAGCCTTCAAAATCCTAGGAAAATGGCCTATCGAAAAAAATCGCCAAAAAAATTACGAAAATGCCATCCGAAAATTAATCCGCCCAAACCGGTGCCTAACGAGCTTTAGCATAGGTGGAGAATAGGATCAATAGACTTCATCATCGGTGGAGAACAACCTCGGGTCGAATCCGCGGTCTCTAGCCTTCAAAATCGCAAGAAAATGGCATTTCGGAAAAATCACCCGAAATCTGTGATGGTACCCCTTTGGAGTCTGCCAAAAATTGGCCCGGAAGAAATTCGCCCAAATCGGTGCTTGATAGACTTAATCATCGGTGAAGAATAGCCTCAGGCCGAATCCGTGATCCTGAGCCTTCAAAATCCTAGGAAAATGGCCTTTCGAAAAAAATCGCCCAAAAAATTACGAAAATGCCATCAGAAAATTAATCCGCCCAAACCAGTGCCTAACGAGCTATAGCATAGGTGGAGAATAGGATCAATAGACTTCATCATCGGTGGAGAACAGCCTCGGTTCGAATCCGCGGTCTCTAGCATTCAAAATCGCAAGAAAATGGCATTTCGGAAAAATCACCCGAAATCTGTGATGGTACCCCTTTGGAGTCTGCCAAAAATTGGCCCGGCAGAAATTCGCCCAAATCGGTGCTTGATGGACTTAATCATCGGTGAAGAATAGCCTCGGGCCGAATCCGTGATCTGTAGCCTTCAAAATCCAAGGAAAATGGCCTTTCAAAAAAAATCGCCCAAAAAATTACGAAAATGCCATCCGAAAATTAATCCGCCCAAACCGGTGCCTAACGAGCTTAAGCATAGGTGGAGAATAAAATCAATAGACTTCATCATCAGTGGAGAACAGCCTCGGGCCGAATCCGCGGTCTCTAGCCTTCAAAATCAAAAGAAAATGGCATTTCGGCAAAATCACCCGAAATCTGTGATGGTACCCCTTTGGAGTCTGCCAAAAATTGGCCCGGAAGAAATTACCCAAATCGGTGCTTGATGGACTTAATCATCGGTGGAGAACAGCCTTGGGCCGAATCCGCGGTCTCTAGCCTTCAAAATCGCAAGAAAATAACATTTCGGAAAAATCACCCGAAATCTGTGATGGTACCCCTTTGGAGTCTGCCAAAAATTGGCCCGGAAGAAATTCGCCCAAATCTGTGCTTGATGGACTTAATCATCGGTGAAGAATAGCCTCAGGCTGAATACGTGATCTGTAGCCTTCAAAATCCTAGGAAAATGGCCTTTCGAAAAAAATCGCCCAAAAAATTACGAAAATGCCATCCGAAAATTAATCCGCCCAAACCGGTGCCTAACGATCTTTAGCATAGGTGGAGAATAGGATCAATAGACTTCATCATCGGTGGAGAACAACCTCGGGTCGAATCCGCAGTCTCTAGTCTACAAAATCGCAAGAAAATGGCATTTCGGAAAAATCACCCGAAATCTGTGATGGTACCCCTTTGGAGTCTGCCAAAAATTGGCCCGGAAGAAATTCGCCCAAATCGGTGCTTGATGGACTTAATCATCGGTGAAGAATAGCCTCAGGCCGAATCCGTGATCTGTAGCCTTCAAAATCCTAGGAAAATGGCCTTTCGAAAAAAATCGCCCAAAAAATTACGAAAATGCCATCCGAAAATTAATCCGCCCAAACCGGTGCCTAACGAGCTTTAGCATAGGTGGAGAATAAGATCAATAGACTTCATCATCGGTGGAGAACAGCCTCGGGTCGAATCCGCGGTCTCTAGCCTTCAAAATCGCAAGAAAATGGCATTTCGGAAAAATCACCCGAAATCTGTGATGGTACCCCTTTGGAGTCTGCCAAAAATTGGCCCGGAAGAAATTCGCCCAAATCGGTGCTTGATGGACTTAATCATCGGTGAAGAATAGCCTCAGGCCGAATCCGTGATATGTAGCCTTCAAAATCCTAGGAAAATGGCCTTTCGAAAAAAATCGCCCAAAAAATTACGAAAATGCCATCCGAAAATTAATCCGCCCAAACCGGTGCCTAACGAGCTTTAGCATAGGTGGAGAATAAGATCAATAGACTTCATCATCGGTGGAGAACAGCCTCGGGTCGAATCCGCGGTCTCTAGCCTTCAAAATCGCAAGAAAATGGCATTTCGGAAAAATCACCCGAAATCTGTGATGGTACCCCTTTGGAGTCTGCCAAAAATTGGCCCGGAAGAAATTCGCCCAAATCGGTGCTTGATGGACTTAATCATCGGTGAAGAATAGCCTCAGGCCGAATCCGTGATATGTAGCCTTCAAAATCCTAGGAAAATGGCCTTTCGAAAAAAATCGCCCAAAAAATTACGAAAATGCCATCCGAAAATTAATCCGCCCAAACCGGTGCCTAACGAGCTTTAGCATAGGTGGAGAATAGGATCAATAGACTTCATCATCGGTGGAGAACAGCCTCGGGTCAAATCCGCGGTCTCTAGCCTTCAAAATCGCAAGAAAATGGCATTTCGGAAAAATCACCCGAAATCTGTGATGGTACCCCTTTGGAGTCTGCCAAAAATTGGCCCGGAAGAAATTCGCCCAAATCGGTGCTTGATGGACTTAATCATCGGTGAAGAATAGCCTCAGGCCGAATCCGTGATCTGTAGCCTTCAAAATCATAGGAAAATGGCCTTTCGAAAAAAATCGCCCAAAAAATTACGAAAATGCCATCCGAAAATTAATCCGCCCAAACCGGTGCCTAACGAGCTTTAGCATAGGTGGAGAATAGGATCAATAGACTTCATCATCGGTGGAGAACATCCTCGGGTCGAATCCGCGGTCTCTAGCCTTCAAAATCGCAAGAAAATGGCATTTCGGAAAAATCACCCGAAATCTGTGATGGTACCCCTTTGGAGTCTGCCAAAAATTGGCCCGGAAGAAATTCACTTAAGGCTATGAATAGTGTCTCGGTACGGTTTTCCTTCCAATCTAGTTTTTTTTTCTTAGTACTTTTAATTACCTTTTAGTACCTAGAACTTTGAAAAACACCCAAAACATTAACAATTCAATAAATAACATATTATAATGGAAGTATTATGTAATGAAAATCAACACTATATTATTTATTAAATTATTACAGAAGTATTAAGTAATACTTATAATAAAATCAAACACTCAAAACCATTAAGGATAAAAATGGAAAAAAGAAAAACCATGCAAACTTGCAAAGGTTAGAATCGAAGCAGGAACCCAGACGTGGAAAGAAAAGAAATCAACGGAAGCTAACGGGTAAACTAATAACTGGCGTTGCCGGTGCCCATTATTTACTTTTTAATATTTTTTTATTTCCTTGGTTTAAAATTATCTTAATCTAATTTAATGGTCCAGATGTACGCAAATTTACATGGGTAGAGTAGGTGTTTTTTTTAATGGGCGGGTAGGCGTTTTCTGTTTTCCCGCTTATATACATACAGTATTATTTCATCACTACAGTCTACAGTGCACTTTTGTTCCCCTAAGGCAACTGTCACTTCTTTCACTTCTTAAAGGTTGTTAGATTAAGTCATTTTTTCATGCGAATACTATTCTTCTTCTTTATGTCGGGGAAGCGAAGATAGCAGCTGCTTGCTCGTTGTCAGGGTCCGCAAAAAGGGCATTCAGATACATAGCCAACCGAACTCCGCCTTGAGCGATGCGTCTCATCACGATCGGCATTCTGGACTCGAAGTACTCATCTGCCAAAAATTATGTGTTTGGTCAGAAGCATGCAAAGGTGGCAATTGTTTATCCAGATCGGGTGACTTGTTTCTGATAGAGTTAGACCCAAGAAATTAGAAACAAGTTTTACCTGATAGAGTTTGACCTTCCTTGACGCCTTTGTATCCCCATTTGCAAGCTATGGTTATGCTCTCCACTGCATATCTACAGACGCCACAATAAAAAAGAAAACGTAAAGAGACTGCCAAAGTTTTGCAGCTCTGATGTATGAAAATGATGTCATGATTCCAGTGAACGCCAACTTGAACGGATTGAGGAAGAAAATCTTTACTTGTTGGGACATTCCAAAAGATCGTCGCAATCTCTCCACGACAGCAGATCATCATGCCATAAACCCTGCCATTTCCAACATTGCACACCCCCTCAGTTTACTTACAGCACAAGAAACCCAAAAAAAGGGCAACAAACTGTTCAAAAGTTTCACAGCGAAAGTGGAGTATTGGTTACGCACGTCAGTGAAGTTTCCTTCGATTGCTTGCTGGAGGAGGTCGACGTCTTTGTCGTAGTAATCCTTGAGAGCTTGAAGGATGATCTCCCTATCCCATACCTGCCACCACCAATGGATTTAGTACCGATTAATTGGTAAACACTACTATTGTTATTGATCTTGTCAAAGAGAGTTGAGCAGGGGAGAAGAAGATGGCATTGAGATCCTCACATGGTGAAGATTGGATTTATGGCGGAACCAGCGCAGGTCGATGGTGTTGCCGCCTTCATCAGAAGTGAAGCCAACGTGCAGCGGCTGGTGGATGTCGCCCATGAAGTGCGACAAGAAGAGCAACGCTTCGGTCAAGTTGTCTGCGAGATTTAACGAATCCCGTGAGTGACTACTTGATTAATCTTTCATTTATATTGGACTATGGGAGCTTCAAAATGCTTACATCGTCGGTCCGTGCTGCCTTCTTTGTAGTGTGAGAGCTGAGATGTGAAGTTCTGAATGGCACCGGCCACACAACGATCCTTAACGCAGTCCCCTAAAGTGCAAATCATTCGATCATCAAACTCCAAACTGATTTAACCGTAGAAGAGAAAGTTGGTTAGAAGATTGGTTAAGTTGATTACTTGAGTGTTCGAAGGTGCAGGCATCGTCAGGGGTGTCGATGAAGTGAAGTGGGCTGGTCCACCTGTATTTATACCAATGCCGGATTTGGTCCGGCCAGACGCATAGCGCTGACAAGTCGCCGTTCACATTCTCCGGCAACAGTTGTTTCACGGCGTGTGCTGCCTCCGGCTTCAACAGATTCTGTAACATATATAAAATTGCAACACAAGTCTTCGCTTTAGGTAGAGGCTTGGCAGTTGTGGCGTCACACATTGCAGAAAAAGAAAAATTGGTTGCGTACACAATACTTCCAACAATCCAACATGCTTTTGGTAAACAACAGATGATGTAAAGTGCAAGAATGCAACTCCTCGCTTACTGAGGTAGCGATGAATCCAATTTTTATCCAATTCAGACCCGACCAGCATCACCTGATTCGCGGTGATCCATGACCCAAAATGATCCAACCTTCTCGACCGATGAATGATTCAGTATGACCCAACCAACCCATTGTAGGGATTCAAACTAGACCTGTTTATCAATTTGTAACACTTGTGACCCAACCTACTACGACCACCCATCAACTATGACCCGACACTGCCACAAATCTAAACAAGAGGCTAATTCATTCAGACCTGAATGACAGACATATGACTAACTGGAAACAAAGAGGAGAGAGAAGAGCTCAACTGGCAATGAAAGAGTTTGAATAAAAGCATTACCATATAATTCGAAACAAAGGTGGATATATGGCGGAATAGTGCGAAAATGAATCTGAGAAATGAAAGGGGAACAACCACGTACCTGTGCAATTCGACATGTTATCATGTGACCTTCCTTGCTCCAACTCACAGCTCCAGGCACCAAGACGACGGTCAGAGCTATGAACAAAAGTAAACCAAATGGCCGCATTTCTCTTCAAGGGAATTTGCTGTCCTTTCTCAAATCACCAGCTGGCCAAATGCTGCACTGCCACAGTATAACTAAGAAGATGCAACATGAAGAAATCAGGCAAACGAGTTATACATATGTGCAGTTATATATACAATAAGGGTACAGCAATGGACATGAGTTAAGAGAGTCAATGTGTCCTATTAACAAATAGGTTATCATTGAGTACAAGATTCAACTTCCCCTTATGTTGAGTGTCCTTAAAGTTTGACATTCATCCTAAGCAATACAACAGAACAGAGCGTATTCTACAGGAATCTTTCATTCCAAGTGAGATTTTGAGAAAAGTCAATAGATAGTAGCTAAGGGCTCACTAATTAGCCTGCCTAGCACATGAGAGGCGCCCAATAATGCTGCAGCTACATTTCATGCTGCATACATTTGCTTGTTGGGAAATCTAAACTACAATTGTCTAACATCTGTCATCTAATAAAGACTCTCACGGTTGCTTCCTTATCCCATGATGGGCTTCATCTTCGTGACTCAGCAATTTGTACTTTGGAAGCAAATATGCGGTTGAGGGTAGCAGCCAAACGGACACCAGCTTGGGCAACCCGTTCCTCCACAATAGGTAGCCGAGAAAGGAAGTAATCATCTGTATAACATATGCAGAAAAAGAGGAATTACACAATGATAAGATGCACGTTGCCAACTCAAGTAGTGAGATGTTGCTAGAAGAACATTATATCGTATGGAACGAGTATGCATTTTGCAAAAAACATGACTATTTGAGATCAGCATGCCTCCACAACTAACTTGGTAGCTTCAAAAATTATGCCCAGACTTGGTTGTTTCATGTGCGTGGTCAACAATAATTAATTGAGGAGTTACCAGTCAGGGTGCTTCCTGGTGTAGCATTCCTGTATGCATACTTGCACGCCAAACTGATACTTTCAGAAGCAAACCTGCATAGTTCAAAGAAGTCAGGTCTCCAGAATGTACATTCAACATTGCAGTTCATCTAATGAAGTTCCAAATGAAAATTTCAAGTTAAAACTAATCCATACCGAAGAATAGGTCTTACATAATCAGAGGGAGTAACATATGCCTTAACACTAGATTTTCTCATCTCTTAGTAAGCTAGCCAGTTAAGTACGCCGTTAACATTTTTATACATTTTGACCAATTTCTAGAAGGAAAGCAACATGTAAAAATATCTCATGCAGATAGGGACAACTATGAGTGCTACTAGATAGAGAAGGACATACACATTTGGACAGACTGTTTGATTCCCCTCACAGTCACCCCACCGCGGCAGTTCATTGTCCTGTTGAGATTATGAGATATGAGCCACATATATCAGGAAAACAAATGAAGGTGTAAAGAAAATTAGATACTAATATGCCGTTACAGTTAGTGTTGCGTAAGCCTACCGTTATGTTGCTCTGAATCGAGTTAATCATAGTACTGAGATCCGAATTATAGAAATCTTCCATTGCGGATTCAATGATGCTCGTATCCCACACCTGGGAGACAATCATAGCATGGTAATCAGTTTCGAAATGCAAAGAAAACAAAGTTACAGTCTTCTGACAGAACATCCACATGCATCAACAGAAGAAGCTTACATGATGTAGATTAGCCTTTCTAGTGTACCAATGAACTATGATTGTGTTTCCTCCCAAGTCCCCCAGAAAGCCAACATGCAATGGCTGCCAAAAACAGAACACGTCACTGAAGGATCAGAAAAAAGCAACAGAAGAGCACCATTGTTATCAATCAGAACCTCCTGCATAAGCTTGTACAGTACATGAACTCCGGTTCTGTAACGACAAATGAGAGAACGAAGCATTGCATATAGATAGAGAGCACAAACCTGATGAACGTCCCCAACAAAATGTGATAAGAACAACAGTGCCTCTGTTAGATTATCTGCAACCAATCACCAAATCAACACAAATAAATTTTGAACAAACAACAAAAAGGCAAAAAATATTATGATATCAACTCTTGAGGAGCCAAATAAATGCTCACAGTTAGTCACCGCTCCAGGGTTGTGGTACTCCGACACAAGTTGGTCAGTGTAGTTGTAGATTGCTGCAGTCACACATGCGTATCGATGCCCCGACGAGTCATGGCAATCTCCTGCAACAAAAAGCAGTCCAATGGTAGTAACCAATTAAGCAATCGCGTTTGACGTCTCTTTCAAATGGAAAACACCTAATGCAATCGATGGAGCAAAGAATCAAACACTTAACTGGCAAAATCATAGTTGCAGAAGAAGTCCGGTGTATCAACATAGTGGAGAGCGCTACTCCAGTGATAGCGAAAATTCATGGTGTCCGCCCAAGAGCAAAGACTCGCCAGATCGCCGTCGGCATACTCCGGAAGCAGTTCTTTCACCGCCGCCGTCGCGTCTTCGTTCAGATACGCCTGAAATTGGAGAGAACTCAGATTACGATCACCGCCTCAATCAGTTCAATCGAAGCCAAGAAACACTATCACTCGCCTCAGCGATCTTGCAAACGGCGTAGTGACCTTCCTTTCCCCAGCCGAGAGCTCCGGTGACGAACTGGAGAAGAAGAAGTGCTTTCCATATCCGCAGCAGCGGAGAGCTACTCATTCCCATCAGTGAGCTAACCCTTCGATTTGATGAAGTAGAGAAAAATGTAGTTCATATGCAAGTGTTTATTGAAGTACCGGCGAAGAACGGGAACAGAAGGCGGAAACGGTGAGCGATTCTTACCTACAGAAGCAGGCAAGCAGTTGGTTGGGTTTCCGGTGGCGGAGCTGGAAGCCTGGAACTACTGGCTGAGAGATTTCCGAGGAGGCTGCAATGGCGGGAGGACATGTAGCTTTTCAGCTTACTGCGAGTCTGCGACCGAGGAAGAAGGTTTTCCGGTTTACACGGAGACGCTAAACGACAACGTCTTGGTTGACACGTAGGTGTTTGGTTTGTTGGAGGCTTGGAGCATTGACGAATGGCCAATCGCATTGGTTGCCGTGAAGCATTGAACAAGGCGAGAAACATATATAATTATACGTGATGATCAATTTGTTATTCATCCAAAGTTTGGTGGCCGTTTTGTAATTACTTGTTCTAATTTTATTTTTATTTTTCATTTCTAGATAGAAGAAACAAGACTGAATAGGAAACTAATCGTACTCTCGTTCTTGTATATACTCTTGTGAGCTAGTACTACTGTCCAGAACTCCTCTAGAGCAAAAAGTGAAAGGAGGTCTCGAAAATGAAAGCGGTGGTGATCACATCTCCCGGCGGCCCGGAGGTCCTGCAACTCCATCAAGTCGACGATCCACAGATCAAAGACGACGAAGTTCTGATCAAGGTCGCCGCCACCGCCATCAACCGCGCCGATACCATCCAGCGACAGGGGAAGTACCCTCCGCCCAAGGGCGCCAGCGAGTACCTCGGCCTCGAATGCTCCGGCACCGTCGAAGCCGTCGGTAGCCGCGTTTCCCGATGGAAAATCGGCGATCAGGTGTGTGCTCTCCTCAGCGGCGGTGGTTACGCGGAGAAAGTGGCGGTTCCGGAGGCGCAAGTTCTCCCCGTACCCCAGGGCATCTCTTTGACCGACGCCGCCGCTTTCCCGGAAGTCGCGTGTACTGTCTGGTCAACGATTTTCATGACCAGCCGGCTCTCTCCCGGCGAAACGCTTCTGGTAAATGTTTAATCACTCGTTCTTTCTCTCTCTCTTTCACCGGACGGGGGAGAGAATCAGCAAAACCTTTCGTTGAATTTCCCGAAATCCTTACAGGTTCACGGCGGCTCGAGCGGTATTGGGACGTTTGCGATTCAGATAGCGCAACATATAGGGATTCGAGTTTTCATCACTGCAGGTATATGTCCCAATTCCTATTCCAATTCTTGTTTTCAATTCATTTGCAGCTGAAACCCTAGAGCGGGTTTGGAATCCATTCTCGTTTCGGTAGAATTCTACTCTGAATTTCAAATTGCCTGTGTTTGGAGCAAGTCGTATGATTTTTGACGGCCAAATGGAACTAAATTTCTCAACTTGGTACCAAAAATCACAATTAGCAGAAACCAGTATGTAAATAGGGACTGAAGTTGACTTTGCTTACTTGGCATTGCCCCAAATCCTTAGGGAGTAAGGAGAAGTTAGAGGCATGCAGAGATCTCGGAGCTGATGTTTGCATCAACTACAAGACCGAGGATTTCGTGGCTCGAGTGAAGGAGGAAACTGATGGAAAAGGTATATACTTTAGGCTTGTTGCCATAACCTTCTAAGTAGATGAATGAGTCAGCCTTTGCCTTGCCTTCTTGATCTTGCAAAATGCGTGACTGATTTATCGCTCGGCAGGAGTTGATGTAATTCTGGATTGCCTTGGAGCGTCCTACTTCCAGCGAAACCTCGACAGCTTGAACTTCGATGGCAGGCTGTTTATCATCGGAATGATGGGCGGAACCAAGACAGAGATGAACCTGCCTACTCTTTTTGCAAAGCGCCTCACGGTGCAAGGTACGAGAGCTTTGACATTGGTTTGGAATTTGGTTAACTTTCTCTGTGTGAGATATAAATTCGTACAATTAACTGGTGCTGGTGGTGTTTATGTTTCACAGCTGCTGGTTTGAGATACAGAACTGCAGAGAACAAAGCTGCAATTGTGAACGAGGTGGAGAAGAATGTGTGGCCGGCAATCGCTGCAGGGAAAGTCAAGCCTATTGTGTACAAGGTCTTTCCTTTCTCTGAGGCAGCCGACGCTCATAAGCTGATCGAGAGTAGCCAGCATATCGGCAAGATCCTCCTTGTTCCATCCTAACTCCCAAGGCATTTCGTTCTATAGGAAATAGGAATATGAACTGAGCAGGCTAGTGGGATTTGTGCAAACTGATGTTTCGTCATTGGTAGTCCAGTTGGTGTAGCAGTACTGTGTTTCTCCCTGAGGTAGCCGAGGCTCATAAACTGATTGAGAGCAGCCAGCATACCGGCAAGATCCTCCTTGTGCCCTCCTAATGCTTGTTGCATTCCTTGCTTGTTCGTTTGGGACATTGGAGACACCAACGAGCTATGAAGTCGTGCAATCAATAAGAATGGCTTGCAATTTTATGTCGTTGTTTCCTTTAGTTGGTTGAAATCTTTTAATTTGCTAGTCTTTTCTTGATTATAACATGGTTTACAAAATATTATGATTTCGATATTACCGCATGGTTAGAATTTTACATAAACTTTCGATATGGACAACATTTCCACCAACTTTGAGCATCTACAAACTTTCTGTCGGTAACGAAATAGCGGATTTACAAATTGGTTTCAAAGTAAAATCGTGAATCGATGAGAACGATCGCTGTATATTGAAAATGAATGGTGTGAAGTATTTGCCTGTTCTTTCCTTGACAGGCAAGGAATCGAGATCCTTTCTAGCTGCAGAGAGCTTCCACCGCAAACCGTTTTGAAACTCCAGGACAAGCTTCAGCGAGGCTAGCAGTCGCCGATGATAAAGGAATCGAGCATCCTTCTTGCCCAATGCACGCCTGTGAAACAATCCATCACAAAAACCTTCAATTTCAGAGTCGCCACTCTGGCAAATAGAACAGAGTTCTCCAAACCAGACACGAAGAGGAGTCTTTTAGTAATTTACCTTCTGGACAACAGATAACATGTCAGCATGACAAGCCCCAGGTGTAAACCTCCCACAATCTCCTTCAGGGCTGCCGAATCCAGCGAAATTGATGGAGGTAATGCGCCATCCTTGCTCGCATTTCAGTCGAACTTCGGGGCTCTGAGACCTGAATTCCATGTTTGGTCTCCAAGATTCTGGTGGTGTAGGATCGTCCTCTGAAACAACAGAACATATCTCCTGGCCTGTATGCGATAAAACAGAAATCTGCATTGGGTCGCCTCCAAGCTCCTCGCGTAGGACCAATAGGTTGTCGCCAGAATGAACCCAGGACCGAGGAATATGATACAACGTTTGAGAAGGTTGACCGCATTTCGTCAGGCAAGACTTTGCATCATGAGGTCCTCTGTAATCGCAAGTGTCGCTGCAGCCTGCTGCTGGTGATAGATAGGTTGACCAGTATCGTCCTATGCTCTGCCCGTTCACCCATGCTTCACCTTTTCCCATGCCGGCAAGGTCTAGGACCAAGGGTCCATTTCCTTCGGGAGAACGGAATGTTGTCTAAGAGAAGAGGGGCAGATTGGTGAAATGATTCAATGGTTGATAAGCGATGAAAAAAGAAAAAAAATTCCGCGTTGCAATCATATCTGACTAATGACTAACCTTGTACCAAACCAAACTCTCACTGATGGGCATATCAGTTCCCTGAGTCCAGAGTGAGCTATTTGCTGCATTTACTTCTTTTTCAAGTCCAAGGCTTTCTCCATTGAGTCCCACCTGGAAAAGAAAGAAGAACGCATGTGAAGAGCCATGATCAAATGATTAGCGAAACCCAACTCTTGCATGCCCATGATTTACGGAATATGTTTATGAAATGATACCAACCTGGTAATCCCAGTCTCTAGAGGAAAGCATGTTGATACCACTACTGAAGTCAGCCACAATAACGGCTACAAGTCCAGCCTTTTGAACATCGAACCATGGGCCGTAGTTCTGAATAAACAATGTACCAATCATAAGTATGGATTAAGACTTTCAGCATCTATTGTTTCAACTAGTATGGGATAACTAGGATAAGTTAGCTAGTGATTAGTGAATAATTAGCAGGAAAATTTGCAGACTGTTTGATTTCGAGGAATTGATGACCTTTATTTTCCCTTTCTGGGTGAAACATTGTTAAAATTTGTGATGCGATGGTGAACTGAAATGATTGATTTGGGTCACAAAGTCATGGGGATTTCAGAGCCCCAGATAAATACTTAGGGTGCCTATTTGCACCTTATTTGGACCACAACGTTATGAGCTAGTATATACGAATTACTAAAATTGGTGGGTAGTGTGAAAATTGTTAGAGTGTGGTAACCCAATAATGGATCATCATTCAAGGTGGATAATTGCTCTAACCTGGACACCAACCATCATACTCAAAATGTCGAGTGTGTTGGTTCCTTCTACAAGTGTAACTTTCTGAGATAGTGAGAACGCTGCAATGTCATGATTTCCAAACCCAAATGCTGCAAGCAATACATAACCATGTTTAGGATTGACATGCAAACAGATTGTTGGGATGTGATGAAGGAGAAGAGCTAGTTTACTGAGGTACCTACCGACACGATTCTTGTTCAGGAAGACCAGTGCTGCTTGCCCCAAACTCTCGATGTTCAATAGAGCGTCAATGGCTTGACCGTCATTCACAAAACTGGGGAAGAAGTTAAAGCCGAAACCCAACATGACTACACGATACAACTGCACAAGTTCAGGTGAGCAAGAAAGATGTATGATATTAAAATTACTTACCTGGTTGAGTACCACAGGAAATCACTAGTGTCTTCTGTGGTATTAATATGCTCCAACAAGCCATGAGCAGTAAAAGAGTTGTTGCTTCCTGAAATGCCTTTTTCTTCTTTGTGCCAACTCCAAGAAGACTCCCCGAGTGAAACCTCATTCCTCGTTGTATTGCTAGCAAGGGGAGAGTCATGGATGCTTCTTTGAGTAGTGACCTGCAATTATGGACAGCCAAGATATACAAATGTGTGAAAACTGAAAACACTAGTGTATGACTTCCGGTGGCCTTTAATGTAATGAAAGTGCACATGTTTAACCTTTTTCTAACTTAAGTTATACGCACCCAAGTTTTAAATGAAACAAACACACCCAAGTGGTAGAGAGTTTACCTTTGCCGTGTTGAAAATTTCATTTTTGGAGTCTGGCAGTACACTCACAGACCAAGCAGGGAGAAAGTAAGTATTGCCATTGAACGTGACATTTGCATCAGAGCTGCTGCCATAATTAGCAAGAAATGCTGCACAATCATCTGAAGATATGCAGTAGACATGTGCCTAATGAAAGCAAGGTCAAACCGAGGTTGAGAGCAGGAGACAAAAGAACGTCTGAACACTCATTGTTACTCATACTCATACTTGTACCTCTAGGTTATATCCCAAAGACTGCTGAGTGGAATCTCCATCGACTAGGTGGTCTTCACACTGTTTGATTGCCTGGTGCAAGTCTCGCAGGTGTCCCCACTTTGGCTGTCTTATAAACCCTGGTAAAGAGGCAAATGCCATCATATTGCAGCTTTGAAATGGAAGTTTCACATGCATAAGTTGTCCTTCAAGTGCTGAGAGGACTGAGACAGTGAAATGTTTACCATACTCATCAATTGGGGCATCATAATCATAGCTTGTCGCAATCATAGGACCTCCAGCTGTTCGTCCGAAGTTGGTTCCACCAAAGTACTGCATATACAGGGAAGTGAAATGAGATCAGGGTACAGAAACCCAGTCACGGGTTTGTATTAATTTAATGTAGAGAAAGTAACAGCTAAGCATGAAAGAGAACATGAAACACTTGCCATGTAATAGTTCTGCAATGTTCCACCATACTCAAAAAAGCGAGCAACAGCAAAAGCCACATCTTCAACAGGACGTTGTGGAACTGGTGAGCCAAATGCAGCAAACCTGAATGAGCAAGGAGAATGTCAGATGAGAACCTGGTTTCATAAATCTTTCAAGTGAAGAAAAGAAGAAAGAATCATTTTACCATCCAGGGTAATTCTCAGTCCAGAATTTTGGTTTTGATGGAGAATTTGGGGTAAACTGATCACAGTAAAATCCATTGCATGTGTTTATCTGTAATTAACAACTCATACCATGTTACTAATCACACAAAATTCTCAAATTACAAGGTGAAACGAATCAAGGCATGAGAAGAATCCATACGATTGGATCAGGAGCATCGTACTGTTGGCACATCACCCAAGGTACTGATACATTGAGGTTAAGTGCAGTATCTGCAGCCCATTTGACATAGTTTGGTCCAGGAAGCCCATAAGCCCACTCAACATTACCATATTCATTCTCAACCTGCTCTCAAGACATACAAAATATATGATCAAACTTCCTGGATGGACACACAAAGCATAGTGATGGATGCAGACAGAGTAACAAGACTTTTATTAAACCTGGGCAAGAATGACTGGCCCTCCTTGTGATGCAAATAGATTCTCCTCATTCATTAAATTGACAATTTTCTCAAGAAAGCGCTGCATTTCACTCTGCAGAGAGGAAACAGCATACCGAGCTTACAAGGTCAACTGGAATGAATAAGGAAAAGCTGCAGAACGTTCATAACCAAACATGCACAAGAAAATGATTACCTGGAACACACTGTTTGTAGTCCGGAACTGAATCCCGGGGAGGAAATGTAACCACATAGGGAATCCTCTGCACATGTGAAATTAAACTACTCATTATGATGCTACCAATACCTAAAATGAGAGTAGACTACTGTTTAGCTATAGTGATAACATAAAAAAGAAAACGAGTTACTAGCATTACCCATAATTCCATTCAGCACAAGCATATGGGCCAATCCGCAAGTGAACCATAAGACCAGCATCTTGAACCGTTCTCAAGAACTTCACCAGGTCAAACCTGCCTTCAAAGTAATACTTTGAAACACAATAAGGAAACAAAGCATCACTAGTGCCAGAAGATCTACACAAACCAATCTCCATGGACAAAGATTTTTATGAAGAAATTCACCTGTCCTCTCACAGGCTCATGATAATTCCAAAACACGTAAGTTTCAATCACGTCCAATCCCCCTTCCTTCGACTTCCTAATGATCTCCGGCCACATCTGAGAGAGAACCAATCATACCAAGAATCAAGCAGCAGTCCACATTTAACAATGTCTCTACGCATCCAAAGAAAAGGTTAAACAAAAGAGAAAACTAACCTCGGGGCTGGTTCGAGGATAATGAACAGAACCAGACTGCAGAATCCGCCGCTTCCCATCAATAACCAGAGCCCTGTGATCATAAGACACAGAAGCACTATTTGCTTTCTCGATACAACAATAACACTCAAACAGTACTACAACAAGAAGCCAAGCCAATGCCGAACAATAGTTCTTCCTCGTCATTGTCCAACTCTAATTTGCCTAATCTGTGGAATGAAAAGGGACCTGAAGACGGAACTGCTTATAAATCCTTGACGTGATATCGTACCTGTTCGGCAGTGAAATCCTAGGTCGAGAGAAAGCGACGAATCCCAGACTATTTTAACTTCCAAACAAGGAAACAAGAACAGCGATTCCGGAATTTGGCTCAGGTTGAAAATGACGCCCAACGCCTGGGTAAAGACGCTCACAAAAGATTAACGAATTGAAAGCCCAAACCCGGCGGTATCTGCAAGGAATCGGATGGCGGGAAGGAAACGGCAGGGAAGCCATTTCAGCGGACTTTCTATGGATCCGATCAGCTACTTTCCAAACGAGCATTCCCTCAGCTTTCGATTCGACTCGTCGTGTCGTCAAAATTTTCGAGCTAGCGAAGTTGACATAGGGTTTTACTGGATGCTCGCTCTTGACCTGTGCCGCATTTTCAGCCATTGTTCGTCGTTAGAGACGAAGGGGTCGTTTACTTGATGGATTTGGGTCATGGATTTGGGACTCAAATCCCAAGCATGATAGATTTTAGCCAAGTCCATTGTTTGTTGTCAGGTGTTAAATCCGTGGGGTCCACGGATTTATTCCTTTTTTTGGATCCAAATCCGTGGACCCCACGAACTTGTAAATCCCACATATTGGGGTGGGATTTGTAAATCCTTGATGGCTAGTTATATTTATAGCAAATCCATCATAATTATATCATCAAATCTATCATGCAAACAATAGACTCTTCAAATCCATGATGGTACAAATCCCTCATAAATCCAAAGGTTTTTTTGAGCCAAAACCCTCATTTTTCAAATCCAACAAGCAAACGACCCCGAAATAGTACGCAGTGAGGTTAGTGCGTTGGATATTTTAGCAGCGAGCAAATTTGGAGCGAAATGACTAAAGAGGTATTTTATAGTGATTTGTGTTAGTGTTGTGGTATATGATACACGATTGAACCTCTCCCAACAACTCGAGTTATTGGGATCAACTGGTTCTTGACATGGTATCAGAGCTTTCTGTGACCGAGAGGTCTTGTGTTCGATTCCCGGTGACCCCATTTGTTAAGCACATGGTATTCTTGTCTTCAAACCTGTGAAAACTTCAAGCCCTTGTGAGTGGCTTTCGTTTGAGGGTGCGTGTTAGTCTTGTGGTATATGATCCACGATTGAACCTCTCCCAACAACTCGAGTTATTGGGAGCAACTGGTTCATGACATGGTATAGAAACCCTGGAATTAACAAAGGGGCAATCCTGAGCCAAATCCTGTTTTCCGAAAAAAAATTCCTAAAGACAGAATAAAACAGGATAGGTGCAGAGACTCGATGGAAGCTGTTCTAACAAATGGAGGTGACCGCCTTGCGTTAGGGGTACTGAAATACTATATCAAATGATTAAGGCAAAATACACTTGTATAGCCATAACTTTCACGTTTGTGACAAATATAGCCATAATTATTTGAAAACACAAAATAGCCAATTCCGTCCATCTCTTTAACGGTGTCATCTAACGCTATGACTGGACTAACGGAAAATGCTGAGTTGTCAATATTTTATCAATAATGATATAGGGTGGAATTAACTGAAAACAAAATAATAATTAATTAATTTTTTATTATTCTCTCTCCTCTTTCTCTTCTTTCATCTTCCGCCACAAAAAACGCATCCCTCTTCTCAATTCCATATCCGCTCTTCCCCACGGTGGCGGTTGTCATCGCCGGTTTCGACTCCCGTTCCCGGATCCGAACCTCATCAGAGCATTGGCGGTTGAAAACCCAACTCCGATGATCCCGCCGCTTCCGACCCCTCCTCTACCGCCTCCGATGATCCCGCCGCTTCCGAGCCCTCCTCCTCTTGAACCTCCTGTTCTTTTCTTCCCCTGCCTCCGTCGCGTCCCGCCGCCATCCAGATATTCTCCCCTGCCTACCCACGCCACCGTGCTAAGCCTGCACTCTGGCTCCGTCGGATTACCGCCGACGTCTTCCCATTTGCAGCCCCACCAGATGGTTTCCAGTGATCTCTCCAACTCCAAATCCATCCTGCTCGAGCCCCTTCAATGGCTACAACTACTGTCCTCCAACCCAACATTCATCCTCGGGATCTTTGTTGTCTACGACCTCATCCAGGGCTTTTGGGCCTCCTCATCGACGTCTTCCCCGTCGGCAAGTACAGGCGGCAGCCGTACTTCGTGGCGGCCAGGGTATTGGGATGCGCTTCCTCTCTGGCGCTCGCGCTGCTGGGTATTAGGAGGGCATCAATCTTCTTCGCATAGTACTGGTTTCCTGGGTTTTTTGGTTTCCTGGGTTTTGAATCCCTCAATTGCAAGTTAACAATCAATTTCGACGACGATAGTGGATTTTGAAATCAAAATCCCCAATCTATGAACACTAATCTTGATGCAGAGAAATCCCTAATCCGCCAATCGTTGCTGACTCCGGTGACCTCGACGCCGCAAACTCTAAAGAAGAAATCGGTGGCAGAACCAAGAATAAAGAAGACATGTTCTCCATCCGAGCTGTTTGTTTCACCTTCTAAAAGAGGGAAGAATTTTCCATATTTGTGGTCGCTAGAAGAAGAAGAAGAAAGGATAGGAGGTCGGTGGTGGACACGAGGTGAGTGGGGGAGAGAGGAAAGAGAAATTAATTTTTTAATTAAAATATGACATGGCATCTATGTGGCAAGTATGAATGAGTTGTCGCTTATGTGTCCGATGATTTGGCATCCTAGTTACTCTAACGTTAACCTAACTAACGGATTTATTAACACCGTTAAAGTTTGTAACGAAAATGGCTAGATTTGGCATGCAACATTTACAATCCTGGCTATTTCGTGTTTTCGAATAGTTATGATTATATTTGGCACAAACGTGAAAGTTATGGCTATACAAGTGTATTTTGCCAATGATTAATGATAACCCGAATCTCTATTTATTTTTTTCGATTTTCCATTTCTAGAGAAAAAAAGAGTTTTGGATCGATTCCAAATTGAAGAAAGAATCGAATATTAATTGATCAAATAATTTACTCCAAAGTCTGATAGATAACGAATTAATCAGACGAGAATAAAGATAGAGTCCTATTCTACATGTCAGTATTGACAACAAGGAAATTTATAGTAAGAGGAAAATCCGTCGACTTTAGAAATCGTGAGGGTTCAAGTCCCTCTATCCCCAAAAAAGGCCTGTTCGACTCCCGAATTATTTATATCCTATTCTCTCTTTTCGTTAACGGTTTAAAATTCCTTATCTTTCTCATTCATTGAATTCTTTTACAAAAGTATTTGGGGTGAATTTTTTTTCTTTTCACAAGTTAAGTCTTGTAATAGATATGATATACATAGAAATGAACAGCTTTTATTTGAGCAAAACTCGGGACCCCCCGGAAATTGTAATGATTAACAATCAAAATCATTATTCGGACTGAAACTTCCGAGAAACTTTGAATTACGACATTCACTCTAGAAATTGTAATTGTTGTGCTGTCAGATTGATCAATTTGACTAAATTATCTCGAAAAGAAATAATTAAATCAAATTAATCCGTTGAAATTTATCATCAAGACAATCCTAGTCAACTTACTAACAATGGAAGATTTCATAGAGATTTTCACACAATCTAATTAAATATGAAAATTTATCTACATAACTTGTTTGGATGAGGTATGAGAATGATAGATTTTGAAATTGAATTTTATTCAAAAACTTGCAACTCCGAGATTGTGAAATAACTAACTCTTCCTACCAAAAAATAAAAAATAACTAACTCTTGCTATTTTAAAAAATCCCATATTATTTTTTCATCTTTTTATAAAACTATCACTCTTTCATGAAACTAAAAACAACCTCATTACTAGGGGTGGGCAATGGGCGGGTTTTCGTTTCAAATTGATCCACGCGCTTACTAGCGAGTTGGAATAATTGTGACCCGCAATCCACCCACATTCTTCTGCAGGTCGGGTTGGGGTTCGCGGTTAAGTGTGGTTCGGTCGTGGGTTAACCCGCAAAAGCAATTCTTCAACTAGTCATTAAGAAAATTGACTAACATTTATATTAAGTTCATGGTAAATTAGTAAGACGGTATCAATTTAAACACTTCTCACTTTATCTCAAGTGAACCCATGTAGTATTTGCATAAAAAAATTTACTACTCTATTTACCAATTGTGTAGAGAAAACTAAAGCATTTTGTGATTTTGATAAAATTAATTATTTAAAATTTTCATCCCATTATTTAATGGATATTAACAATAATTTAGATTCCAATATCTAATGTCTAATGGAAATGACACAACACAATAACCAATAATAGTAGTCAAAACAACATTTTTGTCATTTGAAAATAGGATGCGGGTCATTCGGGTGACCCGCAACCCACCCACCACCCACCCACATAAGTGCGAGTGAAGATTTATTAATCCGCAATCCACCCACATCAACCACCCACTACTTGCAAGTCGGATTATTTACGGGTGGGTCAATATCAATCCACGAATTAACCACCCACACGTGCCCACCACTCATTACCCTTCCAAACATTTTCTCGTTCCATTCTTCCCATCACGAAGAAACCCATCAATTATGGCTAATCTCTCTACTCTATCTATTCCTTCTCCACCTAAGATGCATGGTCTTAATCCTCATTTTGTATATCCCTCACTCTCCTCGTCGAGCTTACCGTCTGTCCTCCCTCGTGTTTTGCTTTGATCTCTATTTTGTACAATCAGTGAATTAGTCCCCGTCAGTTGATTCCATAATCCTAATCATGAAATGATCTCCATATATATGTAAAAGTGATACGATAGATTTGTTTTAATCCTTATATAATTGGACTCAATTTTTTATTCTGAAGTAATGTATTCAATACGGTTATGTTAATTTAAATAGTGGCCTCCATTGATAACACAGTACTCGATACAAGAATTTTGATCCTGAATGGAAAAACAAAGCCTATCTCTCTAACCTTTCCAAAGAACAAAAACAACTCAAAATTCCACACTAGACCAGGTTAATGAAATGCCATTGCCTCCAAAGTCATAAACACGGATAGTAAATGGTACAAAGAGTGACATCCTAATCCATCTATAAACACAATTAAACATATCCCTAACCTCGCCCAAGAATGAAGTCTCACGTCCTTCTCTTTTTAGGAGCATTCCACATCAGACCCAAACTCCAACTATTCAAACTGCTACTAGCTCCACCGTCACCATTTCCTCCTGCACTCTTGCTTTTCTCGCCGACCTTACGACTGTTGTTTTTCTTCGGAGTCGGAGTTTTGGCAGACTTGTTCTTCGCCTCAGCCTTAGATTTACTGTTTTTACCTTTGCCTTTGAGTTCTGGAGGAGGAGATTTAGACTTACTCTTGTTACCTTCACCGTTGAGTTCTGGAGGAGGAAGTTGAGGAATGGAACTCCCACTGGTAGGGATGGCATCAGTGGTGTGCGGATTGGGCAAGCTAGACATGGTTCCATTCATCACAGGCGCTGCAGCAGCAGCAGCAACTGAAGTACCAGCACCATTCGCCATGGATGATGGGGGAGGATGAGGAGTAGTAGTAGAACTTGGAGCTTCGACCGGAGCAATATGTGGACCGGTTGGTGCATTTGCCTGCACAAGCTCTGGCATTGGGTTCTGCCCGTAAAGAGAAAAGAGGTTATCATGAAATGTTGGACGAACTAATGTTGCAGTCATTCCATTCATGTTCATTCAGTTCCTCATTCCTTTTATTATGAATCCAATCTATTTACCAATTCGGCTTGATTCTGGAACTGACCGGACCAGACTATTGCCCCACCCCTAATAGCAGCTAGATTGGTTATTCCATTCAAAATCTCATTGACACATCTGCTAAAGAGTGGACTTCTAAGTGACAAGATATTTACTAGATGACCATTTTTTTAGGACGCCATGTGAATTGTGAAAAAAAAGTGCAGCTTACCGCAGTAACAGCAGCAGCAGGGGGCATTGTGGATGGAGGGCTCGGCTGAATCACCAAAGAAGGAAACGGACATCTCGGTGTTAGATATCAAAGCGATGAAATGAAAGACGTTAGATGAAGAAATGGAGTTCAAGTTCATCTTACCAAACTAACATTGGCAGGAATAGTGGTAGCAGCAGAATTCCCAAAGCACAAGTTGCATCGCATCAAGTGAAGGGCCTTATGCTTCCATGTTTCCATCGATAGGTTCAGGAAATAGAGTTGAAGCTTCAGTTCCCGTTCTTGAACGTGGGCTAAGGCCGCCTCAGCTGCCTTTGCCCTCGCCTGATAAGCCGCCTTCCTTGCATAGTCCCATACTTCCCTCAAGTAGCCCGGAGGCCCCTAATCAAAGAACAGAGAAAAAACTACTCAGTCCAGGCAATGACTAACTGTTCTTACCCAAAACTTATCGCTCTAATCACAAACTCTTTACTTCCTGCGACTTCAAATGATATATTATGAGAATGCGTACACTCCAATTAATACGCGTTTTCGACACAATCCTCACATCAATGAAAACAATGTGGTCTCCCTACATTCTCAAAGTACATGTATTCTAACAATCATATTGCCACCAAAAGCAGTATACTGTCATGAATCAAAATCAAAATAAAAGGGAATGGCTAAGGTATGATTTAGTTACCGTATGGACACCTGCAGGAAGCTCAGCAATGGTTTCCTCCCTTTCCTCACAAATCGGGTAACGGCAATGCTCGCCATTAGCCTTCACTCCATAGTAGTGCTGCGGTATACTGGGAAGTTTAATCTCCTCCCCAGAGTCCAAAACATGAACTGGGATTCCTTCACTATCATAGTAATCCCTTCCGCAACCATCATCTTCCTCATCATCGCGCTGCTCGTTTCTCTCCGGTCTCTCCTCCGTCACCATGGAGGAAACAAAATCTGCAGTCCAAACAAATAACGGGAAGCAAAATTTCCTCTTTAGCCTGACAGGTACGGAAGGGTTTCTCCTTTTCAGGAGAAATTTGAGATAAAATAGGAATCATAGAAAGATTCTTTCCCTTTTCTATAATCAAATTCCCATTCTGAACAGATAAAGTAGCTAGCTACAAGCCAATACCGACGTCAACTCGGGAATCTCCGGTGAACGGAGACGAGTTTGGCCTTTTAAAAGAGAAATCATAAGATTCTTCACTTTTCGGTCACCGAATTCTCAATTCCGGTTCGACAAAAGGAAGGAGTACCACAATTGGCCAATCTATTTGAGCAATAACGACGAGAAGTTGAGAATCTCCGGTGAACGACGACCAACTTACCGTACCGGAGACTGGAGAGGTTGGGATCGGGAACCTACCGGTCGCCGCCGACGATAGCTGAAACTGTAAGTGAAGCGAGTGCCGGAGTTGAAAGACTTCAGGAACTTCCTAAGCTCCCCGGCACTGTTTTCCGTCGGCGACCGCCCGAGGAAGCCGCGAACTGGAGTGGTGGAGCAGAATTCAAACTCCTAAGTCCTAACAGAATTACGGGACGAGAAACAGGGCAAGGGAAAAGATTTATGAGAGAGGAGAGAGAAACTTCCCGGCGGTGGAAGAATCGGGCGGGTCGTTACTTATATGGGTTCGGATTGGGCCATCAATGCATTACAAAAAGAAGCCCATGGGCCCATCTGAGTAATTTCATGTATTAACATATAACTTTCTGGGAAATCTCAAGAAATTAAACTCTCGCCACGTCATCTGACTCTCGCCACGTCAGTTTGCTTGTTTATCCACTTGTCAAGTCTACTTGTGAACGCGGCTCCATCTGTCAAGTCCTCTGTTTGACTTCACACAAAAGCAGAGGAAGAGAGCAGAGAGAGTGAAGCACGGGCACACTCAAACCGAGAATGTCGACCAAAGAGGAACAAGTTCCCGCCGGCGAGCCCTCATCGGAACCGCGCCGGAGAAAGAATCGGAGCGGCGACCCCGCCGCCGTTCCAGAAGGAGAAAGGCCGTACAAGAGAATCCACATCCCGGAATTCTGCCTCCCAGCAATTGCCTACCTCAAGCGCGATCTGGGCTTCGGAAACGATCTCCAGATCATCCCTTGGCTCCTCGAACAGATCCGGTTCCCGCCATGCGAATCGTCGGCCACCGTGAATTTCGTTCCCAGACCAATGTCCCCGCCAGGCCGCGGGGGTTCGTCGGCTGGGCAGCGGCTTTCGGTGAGAGTGACAGTAGTTCAAGCTTCCACAGTGGTTTTCGATACCCCATCTACTTTAGGTATTAAGCTGAAATCGTTTCAATATCGAAAATTGCAATGGTTGCGCGGGAGTTGATTGATTGCAAAATGAATTGCAGTTAAGGCGGAGCAACTGATCAGCCTTGCTGCTGATAAAGGGTCGCAATTGATTGTGTTCCCAGAAGCATTCGTCGGTGGGTATCCGCGGTTCTTGTTCTCCGATGACTCCGGTACGAAGGAGGTGCCGTTCGGCGATGATGATCGGCTCAAGTATCGCGCCTCGGCCGTTGATTTGTCAGGTAAGGAGACTCATCTTCATTTCCCCTGTTTTGGCTTTAGAATTGAAGTCTTGTTTAATGTCGGGTAGGTGGACCAACTCGAATCAAATGTACAATTTGATCCGGTTTTGCTTAAAAATCAGACTGGATCGAATTAATTCGAATGAATAGGTTAGCAGCGATTATGATTCTCATAACCGGCTCAATGTATAATTTGGTGCCATCTATGCACAGGTTAGGAAAATTATGAATGGTGTTTAGGTCCGGTCACAACGCTTACAAACTTACGTTCAATCTATGCAATTGATAGCTGGTACATTGGTTCGGGTCATCACATCCTGTAAGCAGGCCAGGTCATTGATTACGAGTCACTCGGTTCGAATCATATTCATAGGCATGCAGGTTGGGTCAAGATTGCCTCTAAATTGTATAATTTAGGCCAATGAATTATTTGACAAACAAATTGGGAGCTCCTTTTGCCACTCCCCAGGTCCTGAAGTTGAGAGGCTGTCACAAATGGCTGCAAAATACCAGGTCAGTATGGTAATGGGAGTGGTGGAGAGAAGTGGAACAAATCTCTACAGCACAGTAATCTTCTTGGATTCACAAGGCAAGCTTCAAGGCAGCCACAGAAAGTCGATCATACTGCAATCAGAATCCCCCCTTTGGTCACCCGGAGAAATCCTATCATCATCAACATCATCATCCCTTGTTCTCCCGCTCTATGCCACATCATCAGCTGGCAGAATCGGTGGCCTAATCTCATCCGACAACAGGCTGCCGCTGTTGAGAAGCATGCTCTACGAGAGAGGTATCCAAATCTACTGCGCTCCCACGGCAGATGCCACCGAGGTATGGAAGGCCTCCATGACCCACATTGCAGTCGAAGGCAGCTGCTTCGTGCTCTCTGCCAACCAGTTCTGTCGACAAAGTGATTATCACCGATACTGTATAGAGGAGGAGGAGGAGAAAGATGATGCTGTGGTGTCACCTGGGGGTAGCGTCATTGTTTCGCCACGTGGAGAAATCATGGAGGGCCCTCGTTACCATGGGGAATATGTTCTCTCCACTGATCTTGGTATGTATGTGATCATTCATTTTGGTAATTATTTGAATGATCACTAAAGTTTTGAGGTCACTGCAATGATCAGTAACCAGACTTTGATTGATAACAAACTTACCACAGAACTTTAAGAATAACTAAGATAATAGTCAGTCTAAATTGTCCAAGACTAGCTTGCTAACTCCATAGACTTGATACTTGAAAAGGTCATGTAGAGTGTAGACTCTAATTAGGTGAACTGAAAGTTCATCAATCAGACTTGTTTGTGTCTCCAAAGCTCAGTGTCGCTTCACTTTATGTGATTGACATACTCTACATCATCCAATGTGCCCTTCTCTTGTTGTTCATGTTTATTAAATGCCCTGCTCTCTGTCTAATGGTGGCTAAAATGGCAGATTTCGGGGAGATTGATCGTGCCAAGGCGGAATTTGGTAGAGTAGGGATCGGTATGGGGCCGAACCATGCTGGTTGGATGACTAAAGCAACAGCTAACAGGGACTCCCTGCAGTCTAAATGAAGGGTAGTAAGTTCAAGAAAAAGGACCTGGAAAGTGGAATGTGGAGAAGAACCTTTAGGTGTAGCTAAAAGGCTGCTTGTACATAGTTTTGTGGGCAGCCACTTTTGGGCCAAATCATGGAAAATATAGCATTCTGCTTCAGAAGTTCACTGTGCATGTTACCAAGCAATCTATGGTACATAGAAATTCAGGTTTGAATCCTTCCTTCCTTACCTAGACTGTTTACTCGCATTTGAAGACATGAATGGTGGAAGAATTAGATTAGGGTTTGAAATAGGACATTAGGACTTGGTTTGTGCTTAAATTGGTCTCCGTTCCCTTGAGGGATCATCCAATCCTATATGGCACTAGTTCGTTCCGAGTTTACGTGTTAAACACGCTTGCAACTCCATGTACAAACTCGAATAAACTCTTTCCGACTTGCAAGTTGCAACACCAACTCTCAACACATGACCAAACATGCGTATTAGAGATCCAATCTGTTCACTAATTGGAAATTGTCGGCTCGATCTAACCGACGTGTGATTTTAGTGACATTATAAACGTATTTTGCCGTCATCATATTCACTCGATTATGTAATTGTAGTTATTATGTAAATATTGATGTATGGATGACCAATGACCTACCACATTAGATGCTCACTTGGGAGTTACATATAACCTCTATTTCTACATTATTATCTCTCATTCATATGCATTGATATAAGGATGTAGTGGTTACCAAAGTGTGCCTATAAATATAGCACACCATTGTATCAAAAGAGAAGAATGAATAAGAAGAACTCTTCCCCTCTCTTCTCTTGTGTCTTTTCCTCTCTAATCTTCTCTTGTAGTTGTTTATATTTTCATTAGTTTCATAACACGTTATCAGCACGAAGCTCTGCCAAAATTATCATTGGTCAAATACTCTCGACATAATCTAAGATATTGGAGTAAGATCACAATATGATCAAGGTATATAAATCTCATCTCCTTTCTTATCTTATTGTCTTATTTGTGTTGAGATTATCTCATTTTAATATATCAAGATGGGTGCTACTTCTCATATCCATTGATATTTTATCACGTCGATCTATTTGGATTAACAAGAAAAGTAATATAAGTGATGAGTTAATTTCTCAGTTCTCTGTGTTATCCTATTCTTATCAATCATACATTGATATGTAGAAAATGCAAGTTCCAAGAGCCCATATATTCCCCAGAAGTGGAAATTGAAGAATCCAAGGGCAAAGAAAGAAGTGGACATGGTAACAAGAAGATTGGTTTTGTATGTTACCAATGTAATGGAAAATTGCATTTGTCCCGTACCCGTTGTACGCAAAAGACCTGATTCTACCAAAAATCAAAGGGAAAAGCTAATTCATATACGCTCCTGCAATATCAATATTATGGAACATATTTTTTGTATTATAAGTTGGTATATTCTCCATTAAAGATGAAAATGATATTGCACTTGAGACATTTTCATTCCCAGAAGTGAATGAAACAATCTATTCCCCGAAGTGAATGGAGCTATAAACATGATTGTATATATGCTAAATGTATTGTTTGGATCTTTTCACCAGAAGTGAGAAAAGAGAAGAATTATAAATAAGGATGAAATAACAATTGCATTATCAAAGTCATGATAATGTAATGTACCTGTTGTACATTGAAATGCATAATGGAACGCATATATAAATTTAAAATCACCTAGTTAGTGATGATATTGTTCCAAATAAAGCTTATTTAAAGTTTCACAATTGTAGTATTATAATTCTTGTTTTCTATTATGTTTCATTGTGCCATTATTTTCATGCATAATTTAACTTGATAACTTTTATCTAGAACGATTAACTTGATAAGTTCGTCATTTTTGTCTTAAGTTTGAATATTCTCATTTATTATTTTAGTGTGTTTCTGTAAAGTATGATTGTTAGAAAAATTCCATATAAACTATATGGTAGAGTACATAAACGAGAAAAAAGCTTCCGAAGAGCTTATGTTTGGTTACTTGAAGTAACTAAATTATGTACTCGTGATAATAATTTGTGATGATATTCACTATGAATATGTGTTTACTAAGAATGCATCAAATCATAAGTCCCCAGAAGGGTGGAATATGGTACAAAATATGGTAAAGCTTTAAAGGAGCTAATTTTGTGGCCTGAAGGAACCAAACTAGTGATGATGCATTACCCAATTAAAGGGATATTCGTAAAATGAATATCTTATCAAGAAAATAGTGAAACTAATATTTGCATTACAAATATGTACTAAATGTATATTAGTACAATCCATACACATAAAAGTGTAAACCAGAAGTTTACAAGATTTGATAACTTGATAATTGGTTGGTCCGGTTAGACCATCCCGGATCTTGATGTGAAAAAAAGTTCTTTGAGAATTCATGAGAACATCATATGAGAATTCAAAAAATTCTTCAAGAGTTATTATGCCATGTTTGTTCTCAAGGAGAATAGAACAATTGATCATAGCTTATATAAGAGTTGGCAAATCTCTTAAGTTTTTGTATGATCACTTTTATTTTATCTAATCGCAATCGATGTTTGCGAGATTGATTGCCTCACTATGGATACATTTTTATTATTATCCAATCAAACATCACTTTGCTTAAGAGAACAAACTAAGCCTTCTGATCTCTTGTCGAGGACATGCTAGCTGGCAAGTGATAGTATTGGTTCACATCTAACCAACAAGTTATCATAAGTTCCCCCTTTTACAAATGGTTTTTGTAAGAAACCTAACATTTCTCATATGAGAATACCAGAGTGTGCCGCATACATCCCAATTGCTCCACCACAGTATATTAAATTGATTCTCGTTGGAAATTGAGAATTTGTGTTGGGTATGAATCCCGAATGGGAAATTTGCTTGCAAAATTATTGTTTTGATGAATCACTTTTCCAACATTAAGGGGGAGAAAAAAAAACAGCTAGACAAAGAGATGAGTTGGAATAAGTTATCAGTATCTAGTTTTGATCCTCAAAGTGAGAAACGTGAACCTGAAGTTCATAAGATGAATTATCGTTACCAACTATCAATTGCCTCTACTGGCCATACGAAGTGACCAAGTCACATATACTAGCTGTGAATGCTCCAACTAAATTTGATATCCTTGTTGGATACTCTATATAAAAAAATGTGTATGAAAGAGCGCATGAAGCGTGATAGACCAATCGGTTCCAATGATAAACATCCTCGAGAAAGAAAAGGAGCTGTTGTCAACTCGAGGACATGAAAACTCAAGAAGAGTAACCAAGGATTAAGTATAATTTTAGTTCCAGAAGAACACATGTCTTTGAAAGTTGTGAAAGGGAAGAGATCTCAAAAATATATTAGACTACAATACTGGAACCGAAATGAAGTAATTGTCGACGAAATTTGTTTGTTGTACTTCAGTACTGAATATGATATATACAAGTGAGGATCAAGAGTAAAACTCTATTGATGCATGCAAATGATGATGTTATTGGCCAATATAGAAAGAAATCATGAAACTTGCTCAAAGAGCATAAAGTTTAAGGACCAGAAGTCCTTGCACCTAAAAAAGGGCAAAACTAGCGGGATACAAACAAATTTTTGTGCTACTGGAAAGTATGAAATTGTGCGAGATATCGCACAATGTTTTGCACTGGGTTTCTCGAAAAGACCTATCATTGTTTAAGAGGAGTTATACTCTCCTGTGGTGGGTGCAACTATTTTTCAAATCAATGTTTGAAAATTATTGTGATAGCCTATTTGTTTGAATTCCCCGAAGATGTTAAATATATTTGAAACTCCCAGAAGGATTAATTACTCCCAGAAGGATTAATTTACCTAAAGTAAACAAGTAAAGTTCTCGAGAACATATAATGGTAGACTAAGAATATCCCCTGAATGGGTTGGGAAAATATAGGCGAATGTGAAATACTCGTCTAAGTGAACACCTACAACAGTGGGGTGAATGGACCTTAAAAGGTTAAATCCGGATAGAGTGAATTAGAGCATTTGCATTCTGCATATATAGTTCTGTTGTTTGTATGTGCTTCAAGGATTTTGAAATCTTGGTTTATGAGTTGTGTTTTACTTTAAAGTATGAGTTGTGTTTTATGACTGTGCTTTGTCTAGTTCATATGTTTCTATGATGTGAGTTTTGTTATTATCTTTCGTTATATGAAAGAATTGCTTGCATCAATTTGTGTTAGTTAAGTTTTTTTTACGATCTCATATTATGTTAATGATATATGACTATTATTGGATCTCCTGAAGAGCTTCCTAAAGCAGTTGATTGCTTCGAGACATAAGTTAAATTGAAGGATTTAAGATCCTTTTTATGGGCAAGGAAGGTAATGTTGAAAAAGTGGGAAAGTAATTTTGCATGAACGAATTGTGTTCATCAAATAACATTAGGATCCTACGATCACTAGAAGTGACCAAAGATCCATTTAGAAATCAAGAAAGAAGTGATACATTAGGTCCTGAAGTACCATATGTTGATGCATTAGAGCACCAATGCACCTTGCTAGCCAAGCACCATATAAACTATCATTTTGGTGTTGATAATATTGGCAAGATACAATGTTTTCCTCATTAGAACATTGGAAAATACTTTGTTACCTCCAGGAACAATATATGCGATTGTTCTATTATGGTATTATCAAAGAGAGATTTGGTAAACTATATATCCAAATCCTATATATCATTTGATCCTTATATTGGTTGATCGGAGACGAGCTATCTCTTATATATGGTGATATAAATGTTTCATAAAGAAACAAAACAAACTATAATGGGCAAGTCCCGACTGTCTATCGTTACACTTTGTGATCCACCATATCTCAAGTACTTGTGGTTGTGAACTATTTTCAAATGAAATGATCCTGACGATCATGTATGAAGAAAATCTAAAGATCATGCATCAAATTGACAATCTAGAAGATTGTTCACTAACTCACTCCCGACAACAATTTTTCTAAAAGTTGTTCGTGAAATTTGAGTTCAACGACTCAATAATCTGAGGTGATGTGGTCATGAGGGGGAGCATATACGCACTGCACTCTTTTTCCCTTAACCATGGTTTTTTCCCAATGGGTTTTCCTGGTAAGGTTTTTAATGAGGCAGTATGATATTGCGTAATGCAATCTAGTGGTCATCCAAGGGGGAGTATTATGTAAATATTGATGTATGGATGACCAATGACCTACCACATTAGATGCTCACTTGGGAGTTACATATAACCTCTATTTCTACATTATTATCTCTCATTCATATGCATTGATATAAGGATGTAGTGGTTACCAAAGTGTGCCTATAAATATAGCACACCATTGTATCAAAAGAGAAGAATGAATAAGAAGAACTCTTCCCCTCTCTTCTCTTGTGTCTTTTCCTCTCTAATCTTCTCTTGTAGTTGTTTATATTTTCATTAGTTTCATAACAGTAGTGACATTATAAATGAAATGAATTAAAGTGATTATTTAACTACAAGCAAATTTAAATTTGACCGACCATAAATCACATGAACCCTAATAACATCAACCAACTGGGCCGAAAAATTGTTCTTCAGCTTTATCCATTGATTTTCATAATTTATAAACTACACAATAAAGCTAAAAATATTATTGAGATATTGGTTTGTAGAAATATCTATCTTTATTATCTTAAAAAGACAACAGCGTTTTTCCACCGGCGGGAGTGGCTCCGTCCTCCAAGTTCAGGGTACTTACTGCCAGCTGATTCGACGAGTCACTTCGCCGGAGCGACAGCTGAAGAATTAGGGTTCTTCTTAGTTTCATCAAGATTGTAAGTTTCAGCTCGATGATCCCATTCTCTCGTAGAATATGGCGGGAAAGGAGATCGGTAGGATTCTGGCGGGAGTCTCCCAATTGCCAGGTTTCTAAAAGCTTTTATACGCCTTCCAGCCATGTCAGTATTTGGTAATGAAGTAAATGTAGTTGAACAGACGATTGCGATTTAGAAGAGTGTTCACATTTCGAAATGGCTCTCTCACCGTTTGCGTAACGGTAAAGACATTATCTTGAAACCCAATTGGTCAAACAACGAAAGGGAAATGAATGGCCAGATCAATTTTGGGCGTGGTTTCGACTTTTTGTCGCCATTGATGCTGAACCTCGACGTGGCTTTTCAACCGTTGTCTATAGCCTACGGGGAAGGGAAGAGATAAGAAATTTCGCTAGAGTCTAAATATCATGGCAGAGGGGGATATTTCATCTTACTACGCTTGCCGCTATGGTGGACTTTCCTTTTCCCACCATTTTTGCTCTGCTCGGGAAGATGAGAAGTGGTGCTGGAGCTACACTGCTCATGGGGGCTTCCAGGCTTGCCCTGCTGGCTCTGTTTCTTCTTTTCCAAGGTACAAGCTTTGCTTTCAATGACACAATACATGCTAATGGGTCAATCAAGGACGGTAGCTTTGTCATCTCCGAAGGTGGTACGTTCGCTTTGGGGTTTTTCAGCCCTGGTCGATCGAGGTACAGATATCTAGGGATTTGGTATCATAACAAGCCAGGAAAAGCTCCTGTGTGGGTAGCAAACAGGAACAATCCCATCAACGGCACTTCAGGAGTTCTATCATGCGACGGATATGGTAACCTTCTTCTCTACAGCAGCTTAGATCAAGAGCGCCCAGTGTGGTCTGCAAATGTTTCGAGGGATAAATTTCCTGAGGGGCCATGTGTAGCTCGGTTGTTAGATTCCGGAAATTTAGTTTTGGTCCACCCTACAAGTAGTAGAACTATATTTTGGCAAAGCTTTGATCATCCTACGGACACCTTATTAGCTGGCATGAAGCTGGGTCTGGATAAGGAAACTGGTTTAAACCGTTTCCTGACTTCATGGAGATCACCAGATGACCCTGGAACAGGTGATTTCTCACTTAAGGTAAACCCAAATGGCGCTCCGCAACTCTTTCTGTATCGTGGTACGGTTCCCCATTGGCGGAGCATTCCATGGGCCTGGCGGATATACCATCAGTTTTTTGACGAATCTTATGTTATTAATGAACAAGAGATACATATCTCATTTCGCGCTCGGGATCCTTCTTCTATCCTGTTTCCTACTATGGACAATTCAGGAACGATGGGGGCGGCGATGTGGGACGAAGTTGATGGCCGGTGGAAAGAGTTTTATACGGTAACCCATCAAAAATGTGATGTCTATGGTTATTGTGGTGCTTATGGAAAGTGTGAACCAAGCAACCCTTTTCTTTCTGAATGTGTTTGTTTACCTGGCTATGAACCTAAGTCCAGAAGTAAGTTGCTTCTAGGAAATGCATTTGGTGGGTGTGTCCGTAAGCGATCAGAATCCTCGTCTTTCTGCAGCCCTGGAGAAGGGTTTGTGAGAGTTGAAAATGTGAAGGTTCCTGATACTTCAGCAGCCGTGTGGGTGGACTTTGGAATGAATGAAGTGAACTGTGAGCACGAATGTAGAAAGAATTGCTCATGCTGTGCATATGCTATGACTAATATCACCGACAAAGGGACTGGTTGTTTGACATGGCATGGAGAACTAATAGATACAGCAAACATGCCAGCCCTTGATCATGCAATCTATGTTCGTGTCGATGCACTTGAACTAGGTAATCAAATCAGGAGGTGTTTGATGTTCAAAGACAAGCATGCTTCGTCATGACTTCCCTAAGTCTCTTTTTTTCTTCTTATCTACTGATGTTATATGTTATTTTTTTTATCAGCCGACTATGCACTGCAATCTAGTGGCTTTGGTGAACTTAGGTTGAAGTTAGACGTTCTCATACCATCTGTTGCTTCTGTTTGGCTTGTTGGCATCTTGTTTGCCTATTTGTGGCTTAAGAGGCTGAAGAAGTGGAGGAAGAGCAAAGGTATCCATTGAATTTGTGTTCTTACTCTATCATCTCAGATGGCTTACAGGCATCCTTGCTTCTTATTTTGCAAGGACAGCAAATGAAAGGCGGATCAGAAACATATTTCATCCAGGTGCAGATGGGTCAAATTACTTCCAAGATTCTTTGCTTACCAAGGAGATCGAGCGGAGTGAAATTTACCCAGAACTACCCTTGTTCAACCTTAGCACGATACTAGCTGCTACCAACAATTTTTCCCCTGATAACAAACTTGGCCAAGGGGGTTTTGGCTCAGTGTACAAGGTGATGTCTCCACATAGTGTTTGCAATATCTGAAACCGAACTACACCTCCTTCTTGGACTTATATTGTCCTCTTTGCAATTTCAGGGTCAATTTTCTTCTGGATTAGAGGTTGCTGTAAAAAGATCACCAAACAATTCAAGGCAGGGGCTGGAACAGTTTAAAAGTGAAGTCTTTTCTATTGCAAAACTGCAGCACAGAAACCTTGTAAAGCTCCATGGTTGCTGCATTGAGGAACAAGAGCAAATGTTGGTTTATGAGTACTTGCCCTACAAGAGTTTGGACTCTCTTCTTTTCGGTACGTCATCATTGGATCATGGATGTCAGAAAGCAAGTTGAATGAATCCTGAATTTTGTTCTTTGCGTCATGCAGTTGATCGGAGTAGAAGCTCTTTCTTAGACTGGGGGAAAAGATTTAATATTGTAGTCGGGGTGGCACGCGGGATCTTATATCTTCATCAGGACTCGAGGTGCAGAATAATCCACAGAGACCTGAAAACTAGCAATGTTTTGCTAGATGCAGAGCTGAACCCCAAAATTTCCGACTTTGGAATGGCTAGAGTATTGGAAGGTGACCAAGTTGAAGGGAAGACGAGCAGAATTGGCGGAACTTAGTATGTTATGTTTTTCTACAACAAGTTTATCTTGCTATTTAAGTTACCTATGTGAAATGTGATATGAAGAAATTGCTTTTACATGTTACCCCCATCTGTAGTGGTTACATGTCACCAGAGTATGCATACCTAGGGAGGTTCTCGGTGAAGTCGGACGTCTTCAGTTTTGGAGTGATGTTACTGGAAATTGTGACCGGGGTGAAGATCACTGGGTTTTGTAAGGAGGATCCTCCCTTGAACTTGATTGGCTACGTAAGTTCAGCCTGTTTGCTTGAATTTTGAAGACAACTCAATTCATTACTTTTGAGTATAATATCACTTTTATCGTTCATGGAGAAAATGTTTTCAGGTATGGGACTTATGGAAAGAAGAGAGAGTCATGGAGGTAGTTGATCCATCGTTGAAAGTGTCAACTGGTGCCCTGAGATGCCTCCACATCGGGCTTCTGTGCCTCGAGGAAGATCCTGTTGACAGACCTGATATGCAGGCAGTGGTTGTCATGTTGAACAGCGAAATGACACCTCTTCCTCTGCCAAAACGTCCTGCATTCATTTATGGGATGTCCAGAGTTGAAGCAACTGCGGCAGAGTGCTCAAGGAACGAGATTACTTTTTCCAACACCCTTGGTCGCTGATGTCTGGGACAACACACTAATGTATAGTCTTTCTAACCACTTGCATCTGACAAATGCAGCATGTTAATCCACTGCAAACGGGAATTAAACTCCACTAGATTTAATCTTTCGTTGTTTCCCAGTAGCCAAGCCATCGAGTATAGATTCGTAATGTAAGGCTTTCCTTCTATAGTGACCCATTTACGCTTGACCAATTTGCCAAGTTTCAGCTCGCCAAACCTGTTCTTGTGGAGAATATGGCAGGAAAGAGAAGATCGCAAAGAGTTCGGCGGGAAGAAGCCCTCGCCAGCTGGTAAGCTATGTTACGCTTGCCATCTAGTGGTGTTGGTGAGCTTAAGTTGAAGCTAGTCGTGCTCATACCATCTGTTGCTTCAGTTTGGCTTGTCGGCGTCTTGTTTGCCTACTGGTGGATCAAAAGGATTAAGAAGTGGAGGAAGAGAAAAGGTATACATCTAACTTTAACTTGTGTTTCTACATTCTATTATTCCAACAGTTGAAAAACACCTTTGCTGCTTATTCTGCGACGACAGCAAATGAGAAGCGGATTAGGAACTTTTTTCAATCGGGTGAAGATGGTTCAAAATACTTTCTATATTCTTCAGTGATTAAGGAGACCAAACGAAGTAAAATTTACCCAGAACTCACATTTTTTAGCCTTAGCACGATTCGAGCTGCTACAAACAAATTTTCCCATGATAAAAAACTGGGACAAGGGGGGTTTCGTTCAGTATACAAGGTGAAATGTCCACATAACAATATGCAATATCTGAAAGACTGGATTGTGCCGCACTCTTGCACTTAAATTCTCCTCTTTGTGATTTCAGGGGAAATTAAATCCTGGAGAAGAGGTTGCTGTAAAATGATCACCAAAGAATTCAAGCAGGGGCTAGAAGAATTTAAAAGTGAAGTATTTTTTATTGCGAAATTACAGCACAGGAACCTTGTGAAGCTCCATGGATTGCTGTATTGAGGAACAAGAGCAGATGTTGGTTTATGAGTACTTGCCCTTCAAGAGTTTGGACTCTCTTCTTTTCAGTAAGTCGCCATCGTATCATGGAATGCAAGAAAGCAAGTTGGATGAATCCTAAATTTTGTTTTCTGGATCATGTAGTTGATAGGACTAGGAGCCCTCTCTTGGACTGGAGCAAACGATTTAATGTTGCAGTTGGGGTTGCACGGGGTATCTTGTATCTTCATCAGGACTAAAGATGCAGAATAATCCACGGAGACCTGAAAACCAGCAATGTTCTTCTTGATGCAGAGCCGATGCCAAAAATTTCCGATTTTGGAATGGCTAAAGTATTGGAAGGTGGCCAAGTTCAAGGGAAGACGAATAGAATTGGCGGAACTTAGTATGTTGTGTTTTTCTAGAGAAAATGTTTTCAGGTATGGGAGTTATGGAAAGAAGAGAGAGTCGTTGAGGTAGTTGATCCGTCGTTGGAAGTGTCAAATGGCGCCCTGAGATGCATCCACATCGGTCTGCTGTGCCTCGAGGAAGATCCTGTTGACAGACCTGATATGCAGGCAGTGGTTGTCATGTTGAACAGCGAAATGACTCCTATTATTCCCCTGCCAAAACATGCTGCATTTGTTTATGGGAAGTCCAGAGTTAGAACAACTGCGGCAGAGTGCTCGAGGAACGAGATGACCTTTTCCGATGCCCTTGATCGCTGATACCTGGGACAACACACTAATGTATAGTCTTTCTGCATGTTAATCCGCTGCAAACGGGAATTGAACTCTATGAGATCTTATCTTTCATTGTTCCCCAAGAGCTAAGTGGCCGACCCATCGACTATTGATTCGTAATGAAAGGCTTTACTTTTGAATTGAGCAAAAAGGAATAGTTCCATCAATGGCGCTATGTGATTTCTATTGAGTGACAGATATGACAACCGTTTTCAGTACAGCGGCCTAGATCACAATTCACGAGCTCCTAGTTATATAGCCTGCCAATGCTTCGACTTTCGAGGGTGTTTTTGGAGGGGCCTTGTTTTGCTTGGTTACTAGATTCAGGAAATGTGGTGAACTTCGACAGCAGATCGCTCCTACTTTTAGCAATTCACATTAGATCACTGTTGTCTTCAGCCACTCCCTTCCTAAATTGCTAAACAGTGCAACTATGTAGACCACGACCCGATGCATGAAAATAACGTCACGTACCGCAGCCCATGAATGACACAACCACCTCAATTATTCGGGCGGGGTGGTGTTTCCTGATCTGGCGCCATTGACGCGGACAGCTCGAACGCCGCCTTTCAACCTCAGTCTATATCAAAGCTACGAGGGAAAGAAGGAAAATAATTCGCATGCACAGAAGATTTCTTTGACATTTCAAACGTCTGATGCTGATGGAGACCAAACATCAGGGAAAGTGGCGATATTTCATATCCTCTTAAGCTTACTGCTATGGTGGGCTTTTCCTTCTCCATAATTTTTGCTCTGCCTGGAAAGAAGAAAAATAGTGTTAGAGCTAATATTTCCATGGATGATGATGATGCTGCCAAGCTTGTACTGTTTTCTCTGCTTCTTGTCTTCCAATGCAAAACCCTTGCTGTCAGTGACACTATAGAGGCCAATGGGTCACTCAAGGATGGGAGCTTGGTCATGTCCAAAGGGGATAAGTTCGCTTTAGGGTTTTTCAGCCCTGGTCGATCGAGCTACAGATACCTAGGGATTTGGTATCATAACAAGCCAGGACAAGCTCCTGTGTGGGTAGCAAACAGGAATTCTCCCATCAATGGCAATTCAGGAGTTCTATACAGCAACCTTTTTCTGTACAGTAGCATAGATCAAGAGCTCCCAGTATGGTCTGCTAACATTTCGAGGGTGTTTTCGGAGGGGCCTTGTTTTGCTCAGTTGTTGGATTCAGGAAATTTGGTGTTGTTTCAAGGTACAAGTAACAGAACAATTGTGTGGCAAAGCTTTGATCATCCTACAGACACCTTGTTAGCTGGCATGAAAATGGGTCTGGATAGGGAAACAGGTTTCAATCGCATCGGGACTTCATGGAGATCAGCAGATGACCCTGGAACTGGTGATTTCTCATATAAGCTCAACCCAAATGGCTCCCCACAATTCTTCATTTACCACAGGGGTAGGATTCCGAATTGGCGGACCTTGCCATGGCCCTGGCGCATAGACCATCCGTTATACAGCGATTCTTTTGTTAATAATGAACAGGGGATACATTACTCATTTATCCCGAGTGATCCTTCTATTGTCATGATGTGGCGGATTGACAGTTCTGGAACAATAATGGCGGTCACCTGGGACGAAGTTGATGGTCGATGGAAGGAGTTCTATACGGTAACACTTCGGAAATGTAATGCCTATGGTCATTGTGGCGCTTATGCAAAGTGTGAGCCTAGCAGTCCTTATCTTTCCGAATGTGTTTGTTTACCTGGTTATGAACCAAGTTCTCCAAGCAGGCTGCTCCTTGGAGATTCATATGGTGGGTGTGTCAGGAAGCGATTGAAATCCTCTTCTTTCTGTGAGCCCGGGGAGGGGTTTGTGAGAGTGGCAAATGTGAAGGTTCCTGATACTTCAGCAGCTGTGTGGGTGGGCATGGGATTGAATGAAGTGAACTGTGAGCACGAATGTAGAAAGAATTGCTCCTGCAGTGCATATGCAACGCCTAATATTGTTGGGAAAGGGACTGGTTGTTTGACATGGAACGGGGAACTAATTGATACAGTTAACCTCCCAGCCCCTGATATCGCAATCTATGTTCGTGTCGATGCAAATGAACTAGGTGATCAACTAATCAAGATTTGTTGAGTTTTCGGAGACAGGCATGAGTCCTTTGTGTCTCCAGTTTTTCTTTTTACTCATCCATTGATTGTTTTCTCTTTTGATCAGTTCCACTGCAATCTAGTGGCTATCATGAGCTCAAGTTGCAGCTAGACGTGCTGATACCATCTGTTGCTTCAGCTTGGCTTGTTGGTGTCTTGTTTGCTTACTCGTGGATCATGAGGATCAAGAAGTGGAGGAAGAGAAAAGGTGTACATCTAACTTTAACTTGTGTTTCTACATTCTATTATTCCAACAGTTGAAAAGCATCTTTGCTGCTTATTCTGCAACGAACAGCAAATGAGAAGCGGATTAGGAACTTTTTTCAATCGGGTGAAGATGGTTCAAAATACTTCCCAGATTCTTCAGTGATCAAGGAGACCGAACGAAGTAGAATTTACCCAGAACTCCCATTTTTCAGCCTTAGCACGATTCATGCTGCTACCAACAATTTTTCCCCTCGTAACAAACTGGGACAAGGAGGTTTTGGTTCAGTGTACAAGGTGAAGTGTCAGTTTGCAATATCTGAAAGACTGGATTGTGCCGCACTCTTGCACTTAATTTCTCCTCTATGCGATTTCAGGGGAAATTAAATTCTGGAGAAGAGGTTGCTGTAAAAAGATCACCAAAGAATTCAAGGCATGGGCTGGAACAATTTAAAAGTGAAGTCTTTTTGATTGCGAAATTACAGCACAGGAACCTTGTGAAGCTCCATGGCTGCTGCATTGAGGAACAAGAGCAAATGTTGGTTTATGAGTACCTACCCTACAAGAGTTTGGACTCCCTTCTTTTCAGTAAGTCATCATCGTATCATGGAATGCCAGAAAGCAAGTTGGATGAATCCTAAATTTTGTTTTCTGGGTCATGTAGTTGATAAGACAAGGAGCCATTTCTTAGACTGGAGCAAACGATTTAATATTATAGTTGGGGTTGCTCGCGGGATTTTGTATCTTCATCAAGACTCAAGGTGCAGAATAATCCACGGCGATCTGAAAACCAGCAACGTTCTTCTGGATGCAGAGCTGAACCCAAAAATTTCCGATTTTGGAATGGCTAGAGTATTGGAAGGTGACAAAGTTGAAGGGAGGACGAGAAGAATTGGCGGAACTTAGTATGTTGTGGTTTTCTAGAACAAGTTATCTTGTTATTTAAGTTACCTATCTGAAATGCGATCTGAAGAAATTGTTTTCCATGTTGTCCCCATCTGCAGTGGTTACATGTCACCAGAGTATGCATACCTAGGGAAGTTCTCAGTGAAATCCGACGTCTTCAGTTTTGGAGTGATGTTGCTGGAAATTGTGACCGGGGTGAAGATCACTGGGTTTTCTCAGGAGGATCCTGCCTTGAACTTGATTGGATATGTAAGTTCGGTCTCGTTGCTTGAATTTTGAAGACACCTGAATTCAGTCCTTTGAGTATAAATATCACTCTGAGAGTTCGTGGAGAGAGAATGTTTTCAGGTATGGGAGTTATGGAAAGAACAGAGAGTCATGGAGGTAGTTGATCCGGCATTGGAAGTGTCAAATGGCGCCCTGAGATGCATCCACATCGGACTGCTCTGCCTCGAGAAAGATCCTGTTGACAGACCTCATATGCAGGCAGTGGTTGTAATGTTGAACAGCCAAATGACACCTCTTCCTCTGCCAAAACATCCTGCATTCGTTTATGAGAAGTCCCGAGCCGAAGCAATTGCAGGAGAGTGCTCGAGGAACGAGATCACCTTTTCTGACACCCTTGGTCGCTGATGTTTAGGACGGTACACTAATGTATAAAGTCCTTCTAACAACTCACATCCGAGAAATGCAGCATGTTAATCCGCTGCAACCGGGAATGGAACTCTATGAGATCTAATCTTTCGTTGTTTCCCAGTAGCTTAGTGGCCGGGATACACTGCATCCCTACCACTGCCTCACCCAACTCTACGACATAGAACTTGCGTATATAAGCTTCAGCAATCACTCCGACAAACAAAAGGAGATTTCTCAGACTTCATAATAGCAGCAACATGACCGCTACCAATTACAACGATTGCTCGGGCAGCACCTGGACCTCTAATTAGAGCTACAACGCGGCCTGAACTCCATAACACCACCTCCTGGCCAGTCATCCTCCTCCATGCTCACTGCTGCTAAAGAAACTCGAACGCAATCTTCTGGACAGAAAGGCAGAAAAGGTACCACATATCATCGAGAGACCAACCAGTTATGATATGTTGCACACATTTAATTCATGTCATTCAATCCACACTTGCACCTCTTTTACATCTCTACTATTTTCCCCATCAATAGACTTGCTAATGATAATTCCTGCTGCTGCTTTTGACAGAGGGAAAGCCATTCTCACTCAATCCAGAGTTAGCTGTGAGCATATATGACGATAGAATCGGGCTCCATGTCAAGCTTCCCATCCCACAAGCGTCTTGAAATACAACTGAATGGGATAGGGAAGCCGAAAAAACAAACCGACCCACCAAAAGTTGCCTTACAACCCACGTTTCTTTCCCTCTTCCACCAAAAGAAAGAGCAGAAGAAAACAGGGGAAAAAAGGAAAAAGACCAAACAACTCTTCAAAAATAGAGAACCCTGGTTCTTCCTCCATGCTGCTCTTTTTCTCTCTTAAAATAATAACCTTCTCCTTTCCTTTCTGCCTTCCACTTTTCCTCAATGGCTGCTCCCTTCCTCATATCCCCCCTTGATCCATCTACCTTTCTTCCTCCCTAACTTCCTCATGATACCCTTTTTCCTCTTTGCCTCTCTCTTTCTCCATCTTTATCTCTTTAGGTTATCAGCAGTTCAATTTCCATCCAATTCCGCCCGCCTTTCCCCTGCCTTTTTGTTTAATCATTCCGTCTATTTTCTTCTCTCTTATTTAATATAACTCTGACATGACCACTCACCAAACCTGTCCTTTCAGCAACATTCCTTCTCTTCTCCTGCTTCGTCTTTTAGCCGTCGTCCCCTTTTCATCTCCTTTTCCTCCCTTCATCTTCCCTTACCCTTTCCTGCTGATTCACAGTAACTCTCCCCCTTTCGTTGCTTGCACAATTGGCCTGCTTTCCTCTGGTTCTAATGGTTGTTTGAATTCAGTAAATTTCTCTTCTTTTTTCTAATGGAAAATAACGTTGCGTGTGGAGTTGGTATGGGGGAAGATCAAATGGATTTGCCACCAGGGTTTCGCTTCCACCCAACTGATGAAGAGCTCATCTCACACTATCTCTACAACAAGGTTCTAGACATCAACTTCTCTTGCAGAGCAATCGGCGATGTCGATTTGAACAAGTCCGAGCCCTGGGAATTACCTTGTAAGTTTTTCACCAAACCTCTGATTGTACACAAGAAATTTGGCGAACAGAATGATGATCCGATTCTGCTCCCCTGACTTTCTCCACCTCCGATTAATCTTTCTTGTGTATGTTCCTTTGGTATATTGGATGATGCAGGGAAAGCAAAAATGGGAGAGAAAGAGTGGTATTTCTTCTGCGTGAGGGACAGGAAGTACCCAACAGGGCTAAGAACCAACAGAGCAACCGAAGCTGGGTACTGGAAGGCAACTGGTAAAGACAGGGAGATTTACAGAGATAAATCCCTCGTCGGGATGAAGAAAACCCTCGTCTTCTACAAAGGCAGGGCACCCAAAGGAGAAAAAACCAGTTGGGTTATGCACGAGTACCGATTGGACGGGAAATTCTCTATCCACAACCTCCCCAAATCGGCCAAGGTACATAAATAGAAGAAAGTCTCTCCCGCCTTCCCCTGTTTTTCTTTTCCTCTGTTTTACTCACTCTCCTCTGTTTTTCGGCAGAACGAGTGGGTGATTTGCAGGGTGTTCCAGAAGGCCTGCGGCGGGAAGAAAACTCACATCTCCGGAATAGTTCGATTCGCCGAACTGGGTCCTTCCTCTCTGTTACCGCCGTTGATGGAATCGCCATCAGCTTACAGCAGTGATCAGAAAACCGAGCCAGCCGGGGCCGAATCTTTTTCGGCTTACGTGCCCTGCTTCTCCAATCCCAAAACCAATAACAACGACAGACCAGTTGTTACCAACAATGAGATTCCATCGAATCCGATTCCTTCTTCCCCGTTTCCACTCTACTCAGCTCATTACAATCCCCACTTCTCCCCTTCCAGTTTTCAGTTCTCTTCCACCCTGATGCAGCAGGACGACAACTCGATTCTTCGAGCTCTGTTGGAGAAACAGGGAGGATCATTTAATCTGAAGCAGGATTCCAGAGCTGCTGACAATGGGGATATGATCAGCGTTTCTCAAGAGATGACGGCGGGGATGAGCTCTGAAATTTCTTCTGCCATGTCGCAGGGAGCTTCTCTCGACTGTTTTTGGAACTATTGATTATCGTCTAAAAGAAATCGAGTCTGGGCTTGGTGCGGTAGCTAGCTGGGTAGCCAGCCAACCAACCCAGCCAGCAAACCATCACTCTGAAGAATAGGGAGAATGGAAGTTTGAATGTAGTAGTTCATAATCAGTGGTTAGTTTACTATTTTGTTGTTTTGTTCTTATCATTATCCTCCTTTTGTCATTTACTATGATTGTGATTACTGTTCTCGTTAGACCCTGATAAAGATTTACGTCAAGGAAGAAAGAAAAAAAAAGGTGGAGGGAATGGAAAAGAATTAGTGTGAGCGATACAATGTGTTTCTCAAAAGCTCTCTTCTGCTTAAATAACTTGAGCAGAACTTGTCACATTTTATATATGGGTTGACAACTGGAACAGTGGAACTGAACTCTACAAAATCTAATTTCCAATACGACGCTTAACTGATTAGTCCAAGCTTCGAACCCTACTTGAGGAAATTCGAGAAGTACGTGTTACGCTTTTATAGCGACTTAAAGAGTACAATAGAACCATTTAAACCGTCATAGGTTTGCTGATAGCACGAGCAAGAAATACCATACTTCTCAACATACAAATATTTTCGACTATTACACTGCATAGGAATATACACTAATGTTACATAGAGTTACGAAAAGGGAGATCAGAAACCCGAAACACAAGGAGGAAAAAACGTCTACAGGTGGAAGAGAATAACCATGTAAACTAAGGCGCTACGAAACAGGAGCTAATATACAAAGAATGTGCTGGCTCTCTAAGTCAGGGGTTGGAGGGTTTCTATGATCTAATAAAGTGCTCAGGGTATTTCTGCTGCTTCTTTAAATCGACCGAAGATATACAGTAAGAATGGCGATACCAATTCTGGAGCTTTATGATGAACTCGTTGATGTGACAGTAGATGAAGAAGAGACCGAAGGGGGGTCGGAAGAAGTCTCTGTTGGTGGTGGCTCGTCGAGGTTGAGCATTGGTCTTAGTCTTCTCTCGACCTCATTGCTTTGCAAGTTAATCTCCTCGAGAAGCATTGACAGAGCGTACTTGCACGATTCTTCGTCCCGGAATGCTAGGGTCCATCTGCCGTCGACCAAAGCTTTCGGCTTTGCCTTTCGGGGAGTCCCAAGGCCAGCTGGTCTGCCGGAATCGACGAAGGGTAAAGTGGATGGACGTATTCGCAGGTGTAACCATTTGGAGTGCTTCTCGTCGATTCTTGGCTGGAGAGTTGAAAAGGGGGGCAATAGCTAGTAATTATCCAGATATGTAATGCGTAAGAGGGAAATTGCTTACATGGAACGCCTAAAATCGTAATAAATAGTAAGCTATTGCAAAGTCAAATTTTAACTTCAGAAGATTTTTTCACAAATCGTAAGATCTTATGGACCACAATTTTTCAGTAACATCATACAAAGCTTATCCCTCTGGAACCATTCAATCCTAAGATATTAAGATAACTAAACTGGGATTTTGATAACATTAATCTATAGCATGAAAGGAGGAAAGGAGTTGCAGAGATTATGCGTACCCTCGAGCCCGCCAAAGGAGCTGTGACACGGACAACTCCATACTGCTGCTTTTGAGGGATCTCTTCCAAGAGGAGAATCCACCCAGACGTACCAACCGATACCGCTAGAAAGGAGAAATGGCGTTCTTTACCCCTCTCAAATGCGATCCTACAAGGCACCGTATCAACTGCAGACAGCAGTTTTAAAAAAAGAAAAAAGTGTGAAATTATGTTCAGGCACCGAATCAACCTAAAAAACGAAGAAAAGGAAAATTACCAAGTAGTAACTCTGTTCCCGGTTTAGGAAGAGAACCAGCAATGCCAGCAGTCCTAGCACGAGAAGCTCCAGGTGTCTCGGCTGGAGGATAAATGGGAGGCTGCTCAGGCAAAGCCCTACCGAGGCAGAAAATTTGAAGTTGATGAAGAAGCACAAACACCTATGACACCAAAATGAACAGCATCAGAAACTAGTATGAGTACAGATCAAGGAGCTTCAATATTAAAAACCTAGCTCTATAATCAGTATATTAAGATTCCATTTTTCCTCCCAAACTAACCCTCAATATCAGCAGTGGGGAACAAACGGAGAAGAAAAAATTGCAAATTGAGAAGAGAAATCACTAACCTTAACTCGTTCACACATTTTTTCTCCATAGGAGACTGAGGAATCATTACGAACATCTACAAAAGAAACAATGTTTAGTGTCTATAGGAAATCGCTGTACATACACCACAAGTGAACATTGATGTTTTTATTACTTACCATCAGAAGATGATTTCTGGAGAGGCAACAGAATGCACTTTGGCTCCTTCCTGGGAGAGGAAGCTTCAATTGCTGTAAGCAGAACAGAGCGCTTGAGCAACACACATAATATCACTACAAGAGATATACTATATCTAACATGAAAATTTTAAGGAGTAACCTCTCTTGCATTTTTTCCATTCGTCACTCAATACTGTTACAAGTAGATCTGGCCAGATACCCCTAGTCTCTCTCACAAGAGCATTACAACAATCCGTGTACGAATCCTGAGAAGAAGAAAAAAAATATTACAGACAAGGACAACCAAGTTAACTAGGAGGAAACATTGACACCCGCAACCTTGAACAAAAAGCAATACTTATTGCAATGAAAGGTTAATGACAAAGTTCCATATACATGTGGTTTCCAGTGATAATAACTTACTCTAAGCAATCTTAGATGCTGACTGTTGAATTCCACCTCACTGTAAGGAAGTAGTTGACGCAAAAGCCAACCACCATCCCATAGTATCTCGGCAAGAATACCTGGCCGGCAGAAAAGGCTCACCAATGCATCCAAAACCTACAAGATATTGGATCATGATACTAATTAAGTTCCTACAATAATAAATTAAAAGACAACTAGAAATATGTTAAGTTTCCTATTTCCCTTAATCCCTTGTCCAAATTCTAGCTAACCAAACCAAGAGACAAACAGGAGGCATTCCATACACTAGCTCATTAAGTCCCAATAAAAGGCACCAAACAAAGATTCACCTGAAATCTATGTGTCCGAGAGCTTGTCCCCAACTCTGAGGAAGAACATACTACTCCATAGTCTTCCTGACAAGCATAATTACAAACATATAACTTAAATCCAAAAAGAACATTCTTCCATCTCTTTTTAGTCCCAACAACATGGATTGATACTTATAAGGAATGGATTACCATGTCAAAATATCTGATTAGGGGAAAAAGATATAACCACCAAAGGAGGACAGTATATCAGAAGGGTGTTATAGTATTATGCTTATATTTTCTATTTTCTGTTGCTCTTAACTGAGGAATCAAGAATCACAGAAATTACCTTCAGCTTTTGCAGGTAGCCACCAACCTCATTGCTAGCCCCATCTTTGGTAGAGCAGCTCTCTGATGAGAAGAGTTGCTCTTCGCCTAAACCTTCACCAACCAATGCTTGCTGAAAGAAGAAAGACAAGTTGTCATGTTTTGCAAACCTGATTGCACTCTACTCAAGCTATAACTTTAGAAGGAAACATAAAAAAGAAAATTGGTAGTTGAGCTCTCTGTAACCCACAAGGAAGTTATGGAAAAAAATACTTGAGGGGAAAAAGTCATTACATTTTCCAGAAATAACCCACACCCTACTTAAATAGGCCTTCCTTTGCATCACAGAAGCTAACCAATATTAATCAAAATTTTATTCTGAAATCGAGGTTACCACAGTTAACCAGACACTACTTACCAACAAGAGTTTCTTATGTTGCTTTCGCTGGGGTAGAATGCCAAGAGCATCAAGCATTGCTTCATCTAGCTCTGTAACAGGTGTAAGTTACCAGCAAGATAACGGTAAAGGAACAAGGTCACCAGAAGCTCAATAGAAAAGAACGAACCTTTTGTTTGTAATAATGTGGCAAGCATATTCAATGAACCCAGAACCTGTTGGCTGTTTCCGCTTACAACATAAGATAGCAGAACATCCCTACAAATGCCACAGAAGTCTTAAAGAGATGGGACAAAGGGACTCATTATGTGAATCTTCAATAAGAATTGAGTTTCAAAAACCACAATCAATGACCCTCTTAGATCCAAAACAAGTAATAGACGTGTGCTTGAAATAAAGAATCTGCCCATGTTCTTCCCTCTTGAATGATACACTAACTAGTTAACTGGAGTTAATCATAAGGACTGCCATTAGAGAAATCCTATTGGAAAAAATCAACATGATAGAAGAGCCATAATCAATCTTTACCTGAGACCATGCAGCGACATAGTGCTACTGACTTGCTTGGTAAGATCTTCAGGATAAACTTGTGAAAATTTTGACAACTCTGCAGTTACTCCTACTTGTTCATCAACTGTGGTATTATTGTTTTCCAACTGGTGGTGGCTCTCGTGACAGTTTCCATTAGTCACATGAACTTTGACTTTAGCTTCTACAAACGGAAGAAAAGCCTCCAACGGACAAAACAGAGCAGCAGCAATGGCATTTGCCAAATCTTTCATTTTGACAATGCGCAAGATGCAACAGAGCAGATACAGAGAAGTAACAGGAGCAATAGGGGATTCCTGGATTTAGAAGCTATCAAAAGTTAAGTAAGAACAAGTAATACCATTAACCTGAATGTAGATTAAAAAAAAATGCTAACATACTTTGAAGCTAATAAAAATCACCAGCAAACGAAAGCATGCAAAGGACAGAGATCTTTACATTAACAGCATCTAACCGCAAAGACGGAAGAAGCAAAGGAAGTATCAAAAGTTGCATAATGTTGTCAGTTATCAACCTCCCAACATCAGGAATGCCAGCAGATATAACATCACTAAAGTAGTATAGGTTGTCCTCAATTTCATCAACAGCAGCAAGAATTGCCGTCGTTCTGTCTGGCTCTGTTTTTCTGTCTCGACCATCAAAAAACAACATTTAGGAGCTGAACACAATTTGCTTTAATAAAAACAACAAGAGTGAAACAAGAAAAAGCTCTTACTGTGGATTTTCAGACACCAGCCCATTTAAATCAATGCACTGCTTATGGAAAAATGATATTAAATCTGAAAAGTAACCATCATATGGGGTTTTGCTCACGAATCTATTCACAGGACCATCTCCAACTGAAACAAAGATTATAGAGTTTGAGGTTGCTTGAACAAAAGCCAACCATTAAGACATGTTATTGGGAAAAGATACACAATTTACTCACCATGGTAGATGTTAAGTGTCAAGGCTCGTACTGCAGTGCGGATCATACTCTCTTCATGGAAAGCATACTGGATGGCCTCAACATATAGAGGAAAAGAAACAATGTTCTCCTACAAAGATACAAGTTAAAACCAAATGTCAACATGGCATTACAACAGCTAGACAGAAAATTATGCATCCCCTCTCTATAGTGGGCGGGCCATAGGGAAGAGATGAAAGGATTCATTTCGGAAAGCAACCATGGATTACTGGGATAAAAGCTACACCTAAACAACAGCTCAAACATCTAAAACTGATGGATAGCTGAATAAAATAATGCTGCTGAAGATTTATCATGGAGCAACTTGTACAATAATGCTAGTGGCACATAAATTGAGTTCAAAGATCTTATTATCATAGCAGTAATCAACACCAACAATAGCAAAATAAAAGGTCTTACACTACATCAACAACTAACTCTGTCAAAAATCGAAAGGGGTAAACAATGCAGCTGGCTGTAACTGTGGAAAGAAAAAGGCAAATTGTACTATAATAACAATGTAGGAAAGACCAAGAAAACCTACATTCTGAGTCTTGACTAGGAGAGAAATTGTACTCTTATTGAGCTTTCCACTTATTGCTCTGCATATATGAGAAACAAGCCAACCAAACTCTAATATCAATGTAACTGCGAGTCATAAGTGCTGAGTTGAGAAAAACACAGATCTAAAGCCATACTGAGCAATAAACCTAAATAAATATAATGACACATTTACCTTAAAAAGGACATGTAATAAGACAGTAGCTCTTCATTCCGGAAGTCAAACTTGTAAGTAATTAAGAAGTTAATATATTCATTACTGAACATATAGTCTGCAAAAACTTCCAGAGGTAAGTTGATTAATAATTCCACATTGTTTGGAACTCTATTACTAATAAACTGCACAACTTCAGTGTTTATTTTAATCAACAGAAAAACATACATATGGCATGCTCTGTTCTTAGGTTCTGGATCATAATGCTCATTGTCTGCAGTATCTGAAGTGAAATGATCATAGATTTGCTAATCTGCAGCATTCTTACGAACTCCCCCATGACTTGCTTCTCCATAAAAAATCTGCGGCAAATAATGCAAGCATAAGAAAGTGCGGCTTGCAAAGCTCAAGTCATGTTGGCATGCTCTATTAAACATTTACAGTAATGTTGTTTAGGGAGAAATCTCACTCAAAAAAACTCGAGTTATGTTGGTCGCCATAAGTTATCAACTCGGCTATTGATCTCAACGCCTCAACAACAAAATCCTATGTTAAATACAAACACAAGGATGAGTTACGAAAACAAAGAAACAAATGTACATAAAAAGGCCAACTAGCCAGGTCACAAAATAATAATATTATTATTCAGGAAAGAGAAAATCCATCTCCCACCTTATTGGCCTCATTTACAGTTTCCACTTTCTGCAGTTGATCTGTTAAATACCTGCAGATGAGTCGCGCGTAAGCAGCATAAAGAATTCCATATACCAGAAACTAATATAATGTTAAGGTAGAAAGGCCCAAATCCGCAAACTGAATTCCTAATTTTCTATACACTACATATTAGACATGAGCATTAACCCCCCACCCTCCACATATCAAGATTAAAGTGGTCCTTCATGGCCTAAGAGATCAAACTTAATTCCTTAACATGTCAGATCCCTTTCCATCACCGAAACTATGCTAGGGTACCACTTCAAAGGAAAGTGCAACATCTGAACACTACTTTAACATTTCAAGAAACGGCATTACTTTTGAAGAACTAATCACGGCAATTCAAAAGTCCTAACATGATCTTCGAAACATGCCTTCATTTTATGGTAAACAAAACTGCTCATGCTCAAATCGTCAGCCTTACGAAAGATGAAAGCATCTAATGACCTTTTTCGTGACAATGCCTGACATTCCCAGGAATCCAACGATCTGCTCTAAATTGAATCCACTAATATGATTTGATAAGTCTATGATTACACATTCATAGTCGACAACTGCTATAGAATCCGTGTTCAACGTATAAAAACAACTGCAAAAGAGGCTGACAGGCCTCTGTCAGTAAAAGCCATTAACTAGGCAGCAAGACCATAGAACTTGAGCTAAACTTAATCCAACTAGACAGAAACAGCATCATTCTCATTAAGACTTCTCTTAATGATTGTGACCAGCAAATTCCACTCTCAAGTCTCATCAGAAAGAGGTAAAACACACAGCCAATGCATCTCCTTGGCAGTACTTCGAATTATACTCGCAATGCAGCTACTTGTGAATTGGAACCAGTACAAGCCGACAACCAACTAACTGGCAAGCGAATTACAACCTGAGCCCCAACTCCTAAACTAGAAAGAACACATCGAACGCCATTAGCCACTGTTTAAGTCAAGTGAGGACTTCTACTGCCAGGCAATCAATGACTAGAACTCAAAAACCCTCTCCAACCAACACTAAACCAAAAACCCCTCTCCGTCAAATTAGTAAAACCGACTAGCAGCAGCAGCAAAGAACGGTTCGCTACACACCAAAATCGCCACCGAAGGAATGTACAAAGAGCGAGTGGAGAAAAAGAGAGGGAAGGAGACCTGAGCTCGTCCAAAGAGAATCGATCTCTGGATCTCCAGAAGGAAAACCACATGATTGGTCCCCTCAAAGAGAGAGAGAATCAGACCTCGAGAGTCGGCGTCGGCGCGTCCAGCAACGCGGGCGGGGTAGAATTAATCATCCACCCGAAGCAGAAATTTTGAACAGGAGAATCAGAAGCTGTGTGATTGCAGTAATGGCGCCACTGGCTGGGAAGGTTTGAGGGAAGCAGAGGTGACGGGTTTTAGCCTTTAGGGATCGGTGCGAAGCTTGGAGAGAAGAGAAACCTGGAGAAGACAGCTCCTGAAAAAGTAATGGAAAGAAAAAAAGGAAAACGGATTTCGTTCTTTTTCTTCGCAGGAGGAGAGGAGACAGCCTGAATCAAGATTAAAATTAATTATTTTGGCTGACGCGATTCGGCGAAGTGATAGAGAGTAATAGAAGAGGAGCGATACGACATTTTTTGGGTGGTTTGTAAGTTGCAATTATTAAATAGATGTATTGTCATAATTATATGTATAATATTATATATATATATGTAAGGTCAAATTTGATATATTGTAAAATATAATGTTTGGTATGTGTGATTGTATATGTCACTAAAAGACGGCCCATCGAACTCATGCTTCGTGTCCAAAAAGGGTCAACGCATTTCGAAAGAAGCAACTAGTTCTGGTGGAACCAGTACAAGCCGACAACCAACTAACTGGCAAGCGAATTACAACTTGAGCCCCAACTCCTAAACTAGAAAGAACACATCGAACGCCATTAGCCACTGTTGACTGGGTTGGGTCGGGTGGGTACCCGTGGGTTTGGGTTTTGTTGCCATCCCTAGGTTGGAGTGGCATTGTACAGTGGTTTTTAATACATTTTTATGGTGGATTAATTATCGACCACATTCACATTTCCGATATTACTTTCTCACTCTGTGATTTGCAAGCCCGTAGAATTAGAGGTGGACATTTGGTGGGTTTGGTTCAAACCGAATGAACCGAACTGAAATAATGCATACCAGGTTCCCGAATTTCATTAAATTTCAAACTGACTTATAATCGAATTATAATTTGGTTCGGTCGGTTCAAATCAAATTATAGTTCGCTTTGGTTCGGTTTTTCATACAAATCGAACTTGTGATGTTAGCTTGTATCTTATCTCTTTCAAAATTATTTTTCACCCCTAAAAAATAAATATGCAATTATATGCATTAGCAATGATAAAATCAAACATTTCAACACATAAGTCATAAAACTAACATGATTCAAATATTTAAGTCTCATAATAAGTACAAACATAAAAATTCACCATTTGGAACTTGCAATTATTGTAATTTGGTTATTCGGTTTAGAATTCAAAAATTAGGTTCGGTCAAAAGGATCCTAGTTTCAAAATATGTCATTTTCCTACCGAATTGCGAACCGAATAACATTAATTCGATTTCGGTTCAATTTTTGTTCGGTTTGGTTTTACCGAACCGTATGCCCACCCCTACGTAGGACTCTAAATGACTTGAGTCAAGTTTAATCAAATTTGGGTAGCTAGTTTACTAAGTGGTTGTTTGCTTGATGGATTTGGTGATGGATTCGGATCCATCATAGACTTTGTCGAAACTCTATTGTTTGTTTGATATATTTAGAAGCAACAAATCTGTTGGTCCCACGAATTTTAAGAGTCCAAATCCATGGGATCCACGAACTTGAAAGTTCCACACTTTGTGAAAATTGATCATGGATTTTCAAGTCCATCATTTATGGCAAATTTGGCCTCCCTATCCTCATACTAATGAAGGCAATATAGGTCAATTTCATTTTATTTATACAAATCTAATTAACCAAATCCATCATGAAATCTATGAAACAAGCAATGTTATTTTTCAAGTCCATAATGAACTCAAAACCCTCATATATCCATGGTTTTACAAAATCCAAGTTTTAGTAAAATCTTCATTTATAAAATCCATGAAGCAAACGGCCCGTAATACCTTAACTTGTGTTTGACTCTAACCCAACTCGAGCTATAATCATTAATGAGTTCACAAGTTCTACTCGAGCTCGTTGCTTCTCATCAGCTCGCGAGCTTGACTCAAACTCATATATAGTATTTTTTTTAGTCTGTATATAATTATTTAATAATAACTAGTATATAACCAATATACATTACATATAAATTATCTTTTAAATTATAAATGTGACATATTTACTCACATGCTCGATAGTATTAAAACATATGAATTATCAACAAATTAACATATGTGGCAAGATATATAATATAATAAAAATATGAATTATCAACAAATTAACCCATATGTCATAGATTGATTTTATCAATAAGTCATTAATCGACCTAGTTCGGTAGCCAACCGTGAGCTCCCTCATGAACTTCAAAGAAACCAACTCACAAGTTGACATCAACAACCCACCGAGTCAAATTGACTAATCAGCCTTCTGATATGAACAAGTTATAACTAAAACTCAGCTCTCAGCTCTCAGCTCGTTAGTACATGAGCAGAGTGTCAATCGTCAACCCGGTGGATTCATTTGTAGCCCTGCTTGTGAACAAGGGCGGGTTCCTTCATCATCATTGAGACAATATCATTCATGTTGCCTTGTCAAAGAGTGTTGAATGTTGATTATGGGTTTGAATGAAACATGCGCGTTCTAATATTATTATCGGAAGATGATAAGAGTGACATTGTTGGGATCCTAACAACAATTTTCATTTGGAGCAATTTGCAGGACAAAAGATAGTGAATTGGGAACCGGAGAGGGAGAATGCATGAGGGGCAAAAACTTTTGATGAATGAAGCCGAGCAAAAGCAACAACGAGGCCCGATTTTTTATCACATGAAAACGCATTATATGGCAGGTCGAGTTCAAGCACTGCAACGAGAGGGAGACAACCAAAAGACCAGCAACGTAGCAGTGAACTTGAATATGCAGCAGAATCGAGAGATTGTGCTATAAAAATCCCTCAACACAAACTCCCATTCAAAGACGCCTTTATCTAAAACCGCAGAAAAGCTCATAAGAAACTGCACTAGGTAGTCCATACATTTGATTTCCTGCTTCAACTAGGAGTTCAGACCAATATTTCAGAAGACATCAGAAACAAGAAACTGGTAGCAATGGTTCACCACAGCATATATATATATATATATATATATATATATGACATGGAGGGAACGGACCATCCCATGTAACAAAAATCACATTCCTGGATCATGAAGCTGCGATGTACGCTTTATACAAGGAAATGAAAGTATTTTGTGCTATTCCTGATTGAAGTAGCTCGATATGTTATCAGGTAACCCGAAGCACACAACACAGCAGATACCGAAGTAGTGTTATTCTAACAAACGATAGCGAGGAAATTTGAGTCAGGAAGGAACCATAACGATAAATAATCAGAAGCCAATGCAACAACCATCCCTAGCCAACCAAAAAAAGGAAACAAAAGCCAAGATGAGGGAAACAGCAGATTCTCTCATTTCTCTTCTTTGAAGCAATGCGCCTAAGCAAAGGGTAGCTAAATAATGCTTCTCGACCATATAGAGACAGCCCCTATGTACTCTGTAACTTACTATAGTCTATACATGTATATTGTACTAACCGTCAGAGGTCTTATGCAAGGTTGGTGCTTCTTCTTTTCGAGACGAGTAGTCATGTGTCCTCCTCTTCTTAGGCACATGGAAAGGCCTCACATTTCCATCACCGTCGTCTAGTCCTTCGAACCTCACCCTTCGTACATGGCGTGGCTTCTGAACACAGTTAGCGCTGGAACCCAAGACACCACCAGTAGGAGGCAAAGTGCAAGTCTTGATGGCGTCAGTACTAATGCTAAGATGTTGAATAGATGAAGGGTAGGTGTCATTGTTCATCGCGGTTGGTGAAGCACTAGAGGAGCAACGCTCCGGAGCCCAGGCTATTAATCGTCCGGTGGGTGTGAACCCCATCGATACGCCAGGCCCAGATGGGGGAGTCGTTCGTATGCCCTCAACGAGTGGATTTTCCTTGGGAGTGAATACAGCTCCCTGAAGACACAGCATAAAAATGGTTTTCAACAGAAGTGTTTGAAAATGAGCAAAACATAAAACCATTTTCTTTACCATAGAAATAATAAAGCAAATTCTTACCGTGGAAGTAGCAGCCAAAGGAAGACGGTGACATGGCTCTGCATCAGGTAGTCCCGTCCCTGTGACTGGCTGAATGATAGGAGAATTTTTAAGGCCACAAAGATTAGATTCAAAACCAAGAACATAGACTTGCAAGAACAAATGAACCAAGAATATTACCAAAACGTGAATAGGAGCAAGGGAACTCCCAAAGCAACGACTACGCTCCATGAAACCTAGGGCCTTATGCTTCCAATCCTCCATAAGTTGGTTCAGAGACTGCACTTGAGACTCCAGTTCACGAACCCGCTTTTGAGCCACGGAAGCCTCCAGTGAGTTAACCCTAGCCTGGTGAGCTGCCTTCCGTGCATAATCCCAAACTCCCCTTAGATAGTCTCGGGGACCCTAAAATCAAGGACTAAAAGTCAAAGCGTGGACAAAAGTTACACCACAGTAACAAACGAGAGAAAAAATGTTTTTGTACCCTCTGTACCCCTGGTGGTAAATCATCAATATCCTCCTCCAAATGGTTACCAATTGGGAGACGACATGGATTGCCATCTTTCATCCCCATGAAGTGATGAGGGACCCTTGGTAAAGGTATTTCTTTTCCAGTACCCGAAACATGGATTGGAGCACCTACATTGTCATAGTAATCATCTCTGCATTGGTCCTCTTTCTTTGAAGAATTATTTGCATCCGGACATCTTTGGTTGCAGTGAGGGCTACTCCGCACTGCTTCAGAATCTGCACCTTTAGGCCAATCTTGTGGCTGAACCTCAGAATGTGAAGCTCTCACCTCAGGCTGAGTGACATGCGACTCATGGCAAGGAGAATCCATGGATGATCTCTGTGAATCACCAGAAGATCCATAACTTAGCTTTCTACTCTCTTGAACCCCTTCTGCCACCGGCTTGGTTGAAACATCACGGCATTGTGGTTCCAAAACCCCAATGTGCACCCTTAAATTCTCATTGTACCCATCACCACACCCATCGTCCTTCTGCAAGAATTCATTCATATCCACTGAAACATTCCTTTTGCAATGAGGGTCATACTCTGCTGCTCCCGCATCTAGAACGATAGGTCGTTGATCATGTGGCTGGCTGCTGATAGCGGTGGCAATTGTGGCAGAATGAAGGCCCTCGAACTTGGAATCTCTCGCCTCAGGCAGAGTTCCATGAGACTCATGGCAAAGAGATCCAACAGATGATCTCTGGGAATTAGAAGATCCACCACTTAGCTTTCTACTCTCTGGAACCCTCTGTTCCGCCACCATAATTGAAACATTATGGCATTCAGGTTCCAAAACCTCAACTTGTGCCCCTAATTTCTCATTGTGACCATTTCCACAATCATCACCCTTCTTTATGGAATTATTCAGATCCAAAGGAATATTCCTTCCACAGTGAGGGATATCATCAGCTCCGCTCAAGTTTACATCCACAAGTGGTTCACCATGTGGCTGACCAGTGCTAGCAGTGCCGATGGTGGCGGAATAAAGACCCTCAGAATTTGAAGCTCTCACCTCAGGCTGAGGAACAAGAGACTCGTGACAAGGAGATTCCGCAGAGGCTCTCTGTGAACCACCAGAAGCTCCACCATCAGTTAGCTGTATACTCTGTGGAAACCCGTCTGCCACCACCATGGTTGAAACAACATGGCATTTCGATTTCGAAACCTCAATTTCTGCCCCTACATTCTTACTGTAACCATCTCCACATTCATCGCCCTTCTGAAAGAAACCACTCAGACCAACCAAAATATTCCTTCCAAAGTGAGGGCTATTCTCGGCTCCTCGTGAATCTAGATCCATATGTCGTTCATCAGGTGGCTGACCAGTGCTAGCAATGCCAATGTTGTCAGAATGAAGGCTGTCAGACTGTGAAGCTCTCACCTCAGACTGAGTAACTAGGGACTCGGCGAAAGCAGATTCCGAAGATGATCTCCGTAAATCACCAGAAGTTCTGTCACTTCTACTCTCTGGAACCCCCTCTGCTGCGACCATAGTTGAAACAACATGGGATCCAGGTTTCGAAACCTCAGCTCCCACCCCTAAATTTTTATTGTGACCATCTACACATTCATCACCCTTCTTCACAGTATCATTCAGATTCAATGGAGCATTCCTTTCACAGAGATGGCTACTTCCTGCTCCTTTCTGAACTACTTCCATAGGTCGTTCATCATGTGGCTCGACGACGCTTGCAGTGCCAATGTTGTCAGAATGAAGGCCCTCAGATGGTGAAGCGCTCGCCTCGGGCTGAGTAACGTGAGATTCTACGAAAGGAGATTCCATAGATGATCTTTGTGAATCACCAGAAGCTCCATCACTTAGCTTTCTACTCTCCTGAACGCCCTCAGTGACCACCGGGGTTGAAACATCATTGCATTCAGATTCGGGATCCAAAACCTCAACTTTAGGTGCTGAATTCTCAATTCCAATTTCTGCATCCTTCTGCAGGGAATCATTCTGATCAAAAGGAGCATTCCTTTCACAGTGAGGGCTACTCTCGGCTCCTTTAGAATCTACATCCATGAGCCGTTCATCGTGTGGCTGGCTGCTTGCATTAGCAGTTATCAACTCAACCTGAGTAACATGAGACTCATGGCACAGAGACTCCATGGATGATCTCTGTGAATCACCGGAAGCTCCACCAACACTAAGGTTTCCACTCTCTATCACCACCAAGTTTGAAACAACATGGCATTGAGATTCCAAAACCTCAACTTTCTTCCCTATATTCTCAAGGTAACCATCTCCACATTCGGGATCCATCTGCAAGTCATTGCTCAGATCAAAGGGAGCCTTCCTTTCACAGCTCACCAATCCTCTCAAATCCAAATCCATTTGTGGTTGTTCATCTTGTGGGTTTCCAGTCTCAACGGCATCGACCACAGACTTGGAAGCTCCCGCCATGTCCTCGGTCACAGGCAATCCATCTGAATCAACTAGCTTATCACTCTCCGAAATCATCTCTCTCCCAAAAGCCGAATCAACCAGGCATTCCGCTTCCGACTCTCTCACAACCACCCCAAGATTACCAGCACTATGATCAGTGGGATTAGTATCACTACTCTCCTGAAGGTTCTCTTCTGTTTCCTCCATGGGTTCAGAGTGTACACAGCCTGAAACTTCGCAAAATAGAAGAAATCCACCAAAATTCGAATTCCAATTGATAGTAAACAAAAATAAAAATAAACTAACTACTGGTTCAATTAGAATTCAGAACAGAAGCCGCTGTCCAAACAATTATCTACCGTATGCAACTCTGATGGGAAAAAAAAAATACGAAAAATCAAGCAAAATCGGCATTGCCGCACATTGGAAGAGAATTGAACTACTCTAAAAGATGCCTCTCTCGGTCTCTCTCTCTTCTTCTAGCACAAACTTCAAACCTCTCGGCCCCATGGAAAATTTCCAACTGGCGAACAAAAGACGGTAGAGAGAGAAGAAGCATAATTGAGACTGAGCTTACCTGAATGAGAAACCCCGACGGCTGCCGCCGCAGCTTGTAGTTGACTTGGCCTCAAGACTTTAGAGTCTTCAACTTCCGGAATTGTCGACTTCCGCCGTCGAGCATAGCGAAGAAGCCCTGACGGGGAGAGACTCATGCAAGGAGACGGTGGAACAGCGAACGAAAGCGCGAAGAACACTGAAGAGAGAGAGAGAGAGGAGTAGTTAGAGAAGGAAAAGGAAAAAAACAGCGGTATTTTAACTCTCTTTTTTATCTGTTTCTATCAAACGGAATGTGGGAATTGGGCCCCAGCCCAGCCTGTTTAGTATTGGCTCAATGGGTGGTGAAATTTATACTCGCGTTTCAGCTACAAGCCCATGAATACTCAATGGGTCAGCCCAATAAACAGAACCGAGAGAAACCAAAACGAAAGTAACACCAAGTCACCGACCATAGTTTACCCAGCACCAGCAGTAACGCTCGGCTCGGCAAACCAACACATCCCGCAAAAACGTCTGTATAACGTCAACTTCTCTTTCTCGAAAATTTACGGCGTTTCAGTTTTATGACAGCGTTTCGAGTTTCTAGCGTTTCGAGTTGCCTTGTTCTGTAACTGACTATGGTTATTCATTACTCATTAGCAGTAGTAACAAACGACCTCCACCTCGAGGCTGCAGCTCCCCCGCTTCCCACGTTGTTTCTTCACATGCTCCATTCTACCAATACCGATTTTCCACTAGCCAAGTTCTCCACCAGTTACGTAGAAAGCCGAAAGCATACCTCGGATTGATGAATTCCCCCCATTTTTACTCAAGATCCCCTTTGCGGGAGATCTGAAATTGCTAGCAGAACCCCGCAATTTCCACGCTAGCTAGCTCCTTTCTTCCTCTATATAACTCCTCCTAGCATCGTCGTCTTCAACAACCCAATCCGGCAATCCCTCCTCCGCTACTACCCCACAGAGGCATTTCGTCGAACAGGTTTCCTGCCCCTGCAAATGGCGCCGCCTTCGCCCAGCCATGTAGCCCCGCTGCTGAAAGACGAGCTGGACATCGTCATCCCCACGATCAGGAACCTGGACTTCCTCGAGATGTGGAGGCCGTTCCTGCAGCCGTACCACCTCATCATTGTCCAGGACGGCGATCCTTCAAAGACCATCAGGGTCCCCGAGGGATTCGACTACGAGCTCTACAACCGCAACGACATCAACAAGATCCTCGGCCCCAAGGCCAGCTGTATCTCCTTCAAGGACTCCGCCTGCCGCTGCTTTGGCTTCCTGGTCTCCAAGAAGAAGTACATCTTCACCATTGACGATGACTGCTTCGTACGTTTCCCTCCACTCCATTTTTCCCCTTTTGATTTTAATGCGGGAAAACGGGAGAGAACGATGACGTGGCTCGTGGGTCCTTTCGGTAGAACGTCGTCGTTTTGCTATTTATGAGGTGCTGTTCTGAAATTCTGACCTTTTTGGATTGGAATGCTGGATTTTGTGTGAGTGAAGGTGGCGAAGGATCCGAGTGGGGAAGAGATAAATGCTTTGGCGCAGCACATCAAGAATCTGTTGACGCCATCAACCCCCCATTTCTTCAATACCCTTTACGATCCTTACAGGGAAGGTGCTGACTTTGTGAGAGGTTACCCTTTCAGCTTGAGGGAAGGAGTCCCCACTGCCATCTCTCACGGCCTCTGGCTCAACATCCCTGACTATGATGCTCCTACCCAGCTTGTCAAGCCTCTTGAGCGCAACTCCAGGTTTACTTCTTCCTCCCTTCGCATTTTGCCCTCTCTTCACTGTGTTCTATTGGAGCGTGGAGATATGGGTTTGGTTCTTTTTTATTTGCTTGAACGATTAACACAAATAGTAGTAAGTAGTCTTCAAGTTGGAGCCTGAAAGACCTTGCCTTTTAGTCCAGTGACTCTGCTATGTTTGTCAATGTTGTTTTGGGTTCCAAATGACTGTTTTTTTCTGGTCCAAAAATGAACAATACGAGACATTTCTGCTTACTGACTGTCTATTATCCTGTGTTTCCTGCACCCAAGCAACAAAACTGGACCTTTTTTACATGAACAATGTAGTGAAAGCTAAAAAACTGGATCTAGAGCTAAATATATGGATGGATAGTTATGCTTAACGTGGATTAACTCTAGCTCAACCAGGTATGTGGATGCTGTGATGACGATCCCAAAAGGCACCCTCTTCCCAATGTGTGGAATGAACCTTGCATTTGACAGAGAGCTGATCGGCCCTGCTTTGTATTTTGGACTCATGGGCGATGGTCAACCCATTGGTCGATACGATGATATGTGGGCTGGCTGGTGTGCCAAGGTGGGTGTTTCCGCCATCTTCAATAAGTCTATATTTGCGCCTTTTGCTCTGCAGCTTTTGATCTTGTTTAAAATCCATGGATGGGATTGATTCCAGGTGATTGCTGACCATCTGGGTCTGGGAGTAAAGACGGGCTTGCCATACATATGGCACAGCAAGGCAAGCAACCCATTTGTGAATCTGAAGAAGGAATACAAGGGGATATACTGGCAGGAAGAGATCATTCCATTCTTCCAATCTGCTGCACTTCCGAAAGAATCCAAGACCGTTCAGCAGTGCTACCGGGACCTCTCCTTGCTTGTGAAGGAGAAACTTGGCCCAATCGATCCATACTTCCAGAAACTTTCTGATGAAATGGTGACCTGGATCGAGGCCTGGGAAGAGCTCAACCCTGCTGCAAAATGAGCTTCGTCAAGTTTTCAGCTCATTTAAACATACAAGAAAAACGCTATATGTTTCATTTCTGTCATCTCTTTCAATTTGCTGCTTCTTGCCATATTTATTGTTCTGCTGCTCTGCTTGTTTATCGACTTGCTTAGCTTCCTTGTATCCTTTCTTTGCGCCTCCGGCTATAGAATGTACTACTACTGTATACCGAGATACTTGTCATTTTGACGCCATTATCACCTATAATAAACTGGAATGTTCCTATTTATGTTCTACATCTGTCGTTGTAGTCGGACTTTGTGTGGAACATTTCCATCTTCTAAGCAAATTATTTGGCAATTCAGTATCTCCACCACAAGATGTCCCGTGTCAACAGGTTTAACACTCTTGAAATCTTGATAAACATGAGTGAACCTTAAAGAAACCATCACCATCCATCCCATTGTCGACATTGTTAATTCACACTGTTGCAGGTTTTTTGTTTTCTTTCATATACTAAACGGACACGAAGGCAATCGTACTAATTTGCAATAACTGCATATATCCGAAACCTTACCTGCTAAGAAACAGATGAGGCAGCATGGTCATTAATGTGGATTATCACTGGTAGGACTAGGACCATACTCCATAACCATTTATGCCAGATAAAACAACACTTACTGGTACATCGTGGAGCACAGCGGTGGAGCCTAATATGGGCTATAACTCTTCTTAATTTTTATCTAGGGTTATAATTTGTGTATTGATATTTCGAGAAACACATTAGAAAGTGGTAATAGCCCTCCTCTAACACTTTAGTTCAGATTTAATCATGAAAAGTTGCTGCAGTTTGTCATTTTCAGCCCCTCGCTTTAATTCCTAACTTTGCTATTGGCGGATCACGTTGCATGAAACGAATAATTTCAAACCGATATAAAAAAAGTAAGTAGTTCGAAAAGGAGGCGGAATCATCATTCATGCTAGATCAATGCATCTTATATCATATTGAATTCATATAGGAAATACATTTAAAAAAATCAATATGCGAAATGTATTTCACACGAATAGTTCTACTACAAACGACATAATCCTTGTAATGTCCGCTTACCAATCACACACACTCAAACTACATCTACTTCACAAATATTAGAATGTACGAGCTCCGACTTTGTCTATAGATATCACTATGACAGACAGAGTAGTGTTATTCAAGAGTTCAAGAACTATACAATTTACAAATAATCAAATTCGAAGACTTTTTAAGTTAGATTATCGTAATTTTTCTTTTGCATAATGATTATTTAATTTGAATATTTTCTATCAACTCGAGTAATAAATCAATTTATTGTTGATATTGATTAGAGTTTTAATGGAAAAATAACGTTGTATGTGGACACTATATATTGCTCCCATTTTGAGGGAGAGTCTATTTTCAACACGTGTCAACCAGTCATACATCCACAGTAGTGCCCGGTTTTTTCAACTTATTTTATTCACACTTTCGTTTTCCCCACAGCTCTTCGAGAATTCAGATCCCGACAGTAGACGTAAATAGCAGAAAGAAACGAAAGTCCATTCATCTTACTCTACTGAAGGAAGAAGGAGAGGAAGAAGAGTTCCATTACCAATCTTCCGCTCGCGGGAGAAGAAAACATTTTCATCCCAGTTTCTCTGCGCGCTGGATTGGCCGCCAACGTTCGTTAACCGGTAAGGTTTTCCGTCTCCCGCGCATCATCGTCGATTGTTGATCGTGTCATCCCTGGCTTTTCCATCCCCAATTTGTTCTAGCTGGAATTCGCTGTTCCACCTGAGATGAAATCAGGGATTTAGTGTGTTAAGTTTCCTGTAGCAGTAGTCGAACAATTTCTGGAGCTAGTTCCAAGTCAGTGGGATAGGAATAGGAATAGGACTTACATTGGATCTGTTAGGGTTTTCTTGGTGCCGGTGGAGTGATTACGGAACTATATGATGTGCTTGAATACCAGTTGTCATATCATTAAGGTGGAACTGAAGTTTTCTTTCAGTGGAATTGATGACTTTGGAAGTGTTTTGTGAGTTTGGATTTTCAATCCCAGGTACTCGGAACTGACTCATTGTCCATTTTGGTAGGTCTGCTTGTTGATTAACTGCTGCTACTACAATGGATATCTCGAATTTTAGTCGCGGCCAGCTGACCGTGATGGGGTCAGGATTGAGTGTGATGCTCACGATGCACTTCACGGTGCAGCTCGTATCTCAGCATCTCTTCTACTGGAAGAACCCTAAAGAGCAGAAGGCCATAATCATTATCCTCCTCATGGCTCCTATATACGCTATTGTTTCGTTCGTGGGTTTGTTGGATATACGCGGAAGTGAAGCTTTCTTCATGTTTTTAGAATCGATCAAGGAGTGTTATGAAGCTTTGGTGAGTTACTGATACTGCTGGGTATATATGGGGTTTCTATCTTGTTACTCTCTGTTTGTGTTGTGAAACAGCTTTCTTTTTCCAACTTTTTGCATTCAGGTGATCGCCAAGTTCTTGGCTTTGATGTATAGTTACCTCAACATATCTATGAGCAAAAATATTGTCCCAGATGGAATCAAAGGGAGAGAGATTCACCATTCTTTCCCGATGACACTTTTCCAGGTGTGATAAGCCATCTCCTTCTGCCTACTGCTTCAATGAAATATAAACCAGTTGTGGAATGTATTATATCTGGTTTCTGATTGTATCTACAAGGTCTGCTTTACCATCGCCATTTGTCCCTTCATTCTCATGGCCTTTTTGATTGTGTATATGATGCAGCCTAAGACTGTGCGCCTTGACCACCGAAATCTGAAGCTCATCAAGCACTGGACCTGGCAATTCGTCATCATCCGCCCTGTATGTTCCATCCTGATGATAACACTGCGAGCTCTCCAGATATACCCTTCATGGTTGAGTTGGACTTTCACCATAATCCTTAACGTCTCTGTATCTCTGGCACTGTACTCCCTGGTACTCTTCTACCACGTCTTCGCAAAGGAGTTGGCACCTCATAGCCCACTTGCAAAGTTCATGTGCATCAAGGGTATCGTCTTCTTTTGCTTCTGGCAGGTACATATCTCACTCCCTTCCCGATTCCAAAATGGTCCCTAATACTGCACTTGGGCTTCAACTTCATTAGAACTCGATTATGCTTCCCTTACCCCCCGCTCTATTTCCCTACTCAATTTCCTCTCATTTATTCACAACCCCTGCTCTTCGAATATCTGCAGAGTATTGTGCTCGAGGTGCTCGTTGCCATGGGGATCATCAAATCCCATCATTACTGGTTGGACGTAGAGCATTTGGAAGAAGCTTACCAGAACATCCTTGTCTGTTTGGAAATGGTTGTATTCGCACTTCTCCAGCAGTATGCCTACCCTGTTACCCCCTATAGTGGAGACGTACAAGCCAAGTTGAAGATGAATAAGAAGAATGAATGAATTTTACGATATCAGGCCATTACTACACTACACATCAATAAATGCAGTGTATGCTTCGAAGATCCTCACGACCTCTACCGCCATCTTGTCCCTGATCATTGGAAGCACACTCAGAACGAATGTATGCATTCATTTCGTAAGTACAAAGATGTTGCAGTGTCTCTCTATCTACCTCTCTTTGTCTTACAAATGTGGTTTGGTCTGGTCTTTTGAGTGTTCTATGTGATCTGCGAATCTAGTTTGTCAATCGAACCTATTTCAAAACTTATATCCGAATCTTCGAGATGGTGACTGAGATGGTGACTGGGGGTTTGCATAGCATGGTGTTCTTGTTGCTGCTGTGTGCTGGTTAACACATTGTTTAGCAGTGGCTTTATGTTTCTGCTGATTTTGATATCTGGCAACCAGTAATCATCAGAAATCCTGATTTCTCCTTCTTGAGTGGGCTTTCTTCTTTGTGTGCATATTCATTGCTCAATAGTCGTGGACGGATTGAGTCGAGGCCAAAACCTGAAACAAGATGGCTAAACCAAAATTCATCCAATTCTATTCAGTGCCACACTAAAAGTAATCTCAACTATGGGAGCATAATCTTTTTTTATCGAACTATGGGAACATCATTTACTTTCAAATCAAATTAATTATCTTTTCGTGTGATCACCTATGTCGAGAGGAGTAATCTTATTACCGATTATTGATATTCTAGTAAAATATAAGAAAAGTTAAATCGTTCTCAAATGTATGTATGGCGTGTAATCCCGAAATGAAAGTCAATATTGACCACTCTAATTCTTTGCTACCAAAGTAAGTTTGGCATTCTCAATAAGACTGAAAATATCAACTTTAAACATGTAGATCAAGAAGTAAACTTTCTTTCAATCTAATTCAAATCTCAAAATCCAATTCGAACAAATTGGAAAAGTATGATTACTTAAGCAATATCCCAAAGAGAATGTTGATAAAGACAGACACAAAACTTTTAGGCATTGGAGCCCTTTTCCCAAGTGGAATGCAGAGTTATCTTTAGGCCTACCTTATAGTGAAGCACTACCATGGAAGGATTACAACTTACACGTTGGGAATTAAAAGTCAACCCTTTATAGTCTCAATATAATCCAACGAAACAGCTCTTCCTATTGGTGGCCTAAATCAAAACCAAGAACAAGAAAACTTCAATGGTTTTCAAGCCAAAGCATACCATTCCAGGGTTAGCTGAAGCTAATGTTGACCCCAAAAAACCAGATCAGTCACCAAAGTTTGGGATTAGTTTCCTTTGGTTGGTGTAGAAGACAGGACAGAGAGAACAGAACAGAGGCCGTCAGCAACTTGTCACTGTCGATAAGGAATCCAAAAGAGGGGTGGAAATGTTGAAAAGAGAAGTAGGGAATTTGATTCGAAAGGGCCACCCAAAAAGGAGTTTTGTGTAGTTGTGTTTTGGATCTTGTGAGGGGGAAAAAAGGTAATTTACAGCTTAATGGCTAGTTTGTGTGCAATTTGTCAAAAGGATAATGATTTGGTTGCTTCATTAATGAATGTGGCCATTGGGATGCCTCTAAGGAGTAAATAGGAGTTCCAGACAACTTCTTTAAAACCCATTGATTTTGGGTTGATTGAGAATTTGTTGGGTTATGAATGATTATTCATATAAATAAATATATATAAGAGAGTCCTTAATCCAATATTAGATTTGAAAAAATTTGAGGTCTATAAAAAAGATGAAATGGAACGGAACGGATGAGACATTCACGTGTGTAGTATGAGAACGAGATGATCAAGTTTACCTTGTATATGTTACTCATCCTACAACCAGTTATTCACGTGGTCCTAGTCTCTCCGGAACTCTCTATTCATTCCATATCAAACGGTACATCATCATATCATTGATGAACATGTCAATGAACATGTGTGGGCATCACTGTGGTGTTTGCTTCGTGTTACTTTCCTTGATCTTACAAAATATCGTAAATACCATTATCGGAAGTCAATGTCTATATGACTGCCCAAGCGACTACTAATTTCTCGGATCTCATACCTTAATACAGTGACCAGATGTCCCAAATCTCGCGAATTCTTGTGTCAAACTCAACCTGAAGACATAACTTTCTCTGATAATCCATCAAGAAAACACACATTAACATCTTGGACCATTATTATTCTCGTAATTTAAATATTAAGAAAGGAAAAGGAAAATCAAAGAAGTGTGTGATTTTGTGGTGTCAATTAACTTCTATGACCATTCCATTGGATAGTATAAGAAGAAAATGGAGAGTGCAAGTCACAAAGAAAGAGACTCAAATTGACACATAGAAACCTAATACATATTCTTTATCTTAAATTATAAAATTTTTATGAGAGGATGGATGTGTTTATAATTTTTTATATGCATATATAGATATCCTCAAGAAACAGGCCAAAAGTATGTTGAAATGGTTGGACCAATATATATTGAGTTTGATGAGGTGTTGTTTTAAGCACTTAACTAAAATATTATATATCTTGAAAATGAATAATTTGTGTGGTACACCCAACCCTGAAATGGGAATATAGTCCATTGGCAATTATCATACTCTTGGTCCAGCTTACAATAGTATAATGAACAATTCAAATTAAAAAGTTATGAAAAATTTTACAATTAAAATTCTTGATCTTGACTAACTACAATTAATTTCATCACCAAATAATAGTTAAAAAATATTAATTTGGAAACTATTAGCCCATAATATAGTAATGATGATGTATGTGGCCCTGTTGGTGATTGGCAATACTCTAGGTCTTATATTACCTACTCATTAATTAAGCTTGAGTACGTTTGAATATTTGGAGTCATAACACTTACTAAGATTAGAACAAAGAATAAAAATCAGACATGAATCGTGCATACATGATAACCTTATTTTGGAAAAACAAAGTTTTTACAACACTTAATCTCAAATAGAAAAAGACCAGATAATTAGTTCAATTATCGTCCGATAGTTATTAACACAAATCCTCAAACGATAACTAAATTTTTTTGTGCGAGATTAACAATTCGACATATAATAAAAGTACAATATACGATACAATCATCTTATCTATTATAATATAACGATAATATTGTGCCGACTTCATCACTAATACATAATCTATCTAATATAACCAACTAATACAATGCGACCAAGTGTTAGTAGTCGTATTTTGGCACTTTCTCTTTTCGTTTTCACGGAAAATAAATATGGAAGCAAAGAAAATAAACCCATGCACGATAATAACAATATTTTTCCCGGTGTCATACCTTGGCTGCATTTTTGCGTTTGGAAATGGATATTTTCTAGGCAACCAAACCGAACCTTATATTATATGAAAACGAAGGTCATGAATAGGAAACCACCCTTGTGAGAAGAACTAGGCAACAACCAAGCATAGGAAGAACCACCAAACTACCAACTAACCCAGAAACAGACAAACAAATAGAAATTATTGTCGAATAATATTAGGTACACACTGGAAATTGTGTTCATATATATGAATTCTAGTTAGTTGTAGTAGGTTTTCCATCCATGTAAAAGAAAAAACATGTGTTTTGGTAACTATTTATGTTGAAAAATCATGTTATTAAGATGCGGTCGTATGACAATTTCGCGGATCAACGTTCCGACTCAATAACAAAAAAATACATGTATTATGTTGTTTGTTGTGGGTGTCTTTTGTCGTAAGTGTTTGCTTGAATTTGTTACTACTGCATCTCATCTCTGTTGAGAGAGTAAGTCTACTTGACTTGCATGTCACCTACGTTTTAAAAATTGATCTTATACTGCTCAATCCAACCTAACTATTCATGATAAAAAATCATGTTAGGATGTGGTCGTATGACAATTTCGGCAAATCAATGTTCCGACTCAATAACAAAAAAAAAATCTTTGAATTTGAAGCGGAGGCTTATAACATATAAATGTACTATATTGTTCACCGCGGGTGTCTTTTGTCGTAAGTGTTTGCTTGAATTTGTTACTACTGCAGCTCATCTCTGCTGAGAGAGCAAGTCTACTTGACTTGCATGTCACCTACGTTTTGAAAATTGATCTTATACTGCTCAATCCAACCTAAATTTCAAATCATGAGTTCACGATGAGGGAGATTGATGATGACGGTATTAGGAGGGAGATTGATGATGACGGTATTAGGAGTCGTATCTAGAGATAATAAAATGTTGAGCATATATGAGTATATGACTATGTAAACATTACGTACATGCTTACTAGACATAAACGAACACCGCTAGCAATTAACTCAACATGGTTTTGTAACCAATAAAACTAGACTCGTTGAGACTAGACCGGACTAATCAAGTATTTGCTTAAAATTTTAATTAAGAAATTCTGTAAAAAACTTCTTTACAAAATTTGCTTTCACTAAGTCACCTTTCATAATCTAAATCCAGTTTACTTAATACTCACTGATCACAACTAATTTTCAACGAGAACCTGTCACCATCTCAATCTAATCTTTTTTATGTGCCACATGAAGCAAAAGAGAAATCCGAATGGGTAACTACTAACGCGTCGATTGTGGGTGGCTACACGCTGGTCTTCCATTCAGGGAAAACAAAGCCAAAAATCAAATAAATAATTAATAGTCATAATCAATCAATTATATAAAAACAAAAAAACTTCGTTAGAGCAGTCAAGCAATGCAGAGAATTATTAGCCGGAAAACCCCCCACCAGGAGGAAAGCAAGAAACTCTTTGCAAAAACCCAGAAACCAGAATAAAGGATTACCCACTTTCTCAATCCTTCTAAAAACTCCAATTCCTTTACCCACACAGATTCTCCTTCTTGGGTTCTTCTTCTTCTTGCGTAAAGTTCCTTCCTTTCTGATCTCCTAAAGAAAACCCTTCTCTGTCAGAAGCCAGAATCGTTAAAAGGGGCTCACAGGGGTCAGAGAGGGAAGAAAGTTCTTGTGAAAACAGGGGAAAGGAAAAATAATGAACCAGAAAGCCAACGTTTCCAGGGAACTTAACGCCAAGCACAGTAAAGTAAGGTCTCTTTGTTTTCCCCTTTCATAGCATACATGCTATGTTTATCAGGATTCAGGAGTTTCCTTTCTGTTAAGTTTTTTCAGTTATGCTTGTCTGAAATTCGTTGCTTGTTTATCGGTTTGGCAGATATTGGAAGGGCTGCTCAAATTGCCTGAGAATAGAGAATGTGCTGACTGCAAAAGCAAGTGAGTGACTGAGTGAGGGGGTTTATATCAGTAATCAGTACAGAATCTTATTGAGTTTCTTTCACCATTAGAATTCCTGTTTTGATTCACTGCTTTTTTATTGATTGTTGTGATTTTAATGTATAATTATGTATCCATGTTATATTGGTTGTGTAGAGGTCCGAGGTGGGCTAGTGTGAATCTTGGAATCTTCATATGTATGCAATGTTCTGGGATTCATAGAAGTCTTGGAGTACACATATCACAGGTGGGGCAACACATATATAGTAAATGAATTTGACAGATTATAGAAATCATCATCAAGAAGGCTAATTATGGTTATCTGTACATATGGTGTGCAGGTAAGGTCTGCTACATTAGACACATGGCTGCCTGAGCAAATTGCCTTTATCCAATGTATGCATCCTTTTCTTATCACCTTTCTCTTTCCTGTTTTGAATCAACTCTCACAGTGAATTAAAACTGAAATACAGGTGTGTACTTTTCCTTTTCCTTCTTCTGTATGTGACATTGCTGGTTCTTGCTACTGCAGCTATGGGCAATGAGAAATCAAACAGTTACTGGGAAGCAGAGTTGCCTCCTAACCATGACAGAGCTGGGATTGAGAACTTCATCAGAGCAAAGTAAAATCTCAAGTATTAATGTTGTTTTGATTGATTGGTTTGGCTAGAATGCTGCTTCTGTTGAGCCTGTTAGTGTACTTCTGGAGTCTGAACTTAGGCTGGTGGTCTTTTAGGTATGTGGATAAACGATGGATTCCAAGGGACGGGAAAGCAAGAATCTTGCCATCAAATGTGAATGGAGAAAAGGGTTCGATAGCTGGAGGAGCTAGTAGGAGTAATGAGCAGAGACAGATAACTAGAAGTGATTATGATCGTGCTTCTATGGACAGAAAGATTGCCCCTCCACCCGTTACTACCAATGGAAGTAGTGTTCGTGTCTCCAAGAGTGTCAATCTGGAGCCTGTTGCTGTTGCTGTTCCTCCCAAGAGTAGTCCTCCAGAGCCAGTTAAAGTAGTTCAGCAGCAGCAGGCAAGATGCGATTCTCAAATTTTTATTAAACCAGTGAAGGTGTAATGTTATCAGTAAGCCATGTCGCCTTAACAAGCATGTCCTCATGCTATGGTCTTTAACAAACATGTCGCTGTACTCTATCGTGAATGATAGATAGTCTAGTCTTGGACAATGTGTGAAATGAGACATATTCTGAGTGACACTGAAATTCTGGATGACAGATTGCGGCTCAAACCCCAAAACCACAACAATCTGTGAAGAACTCTGAACCAGCAGTAACAAAGCCAGCACTGCCGAAGAAGGAAACAAGTCAAACCCCACCTGCACCTGTACCAGCACCGACACCAGCACCAGCACCTAAAGTGGACTACGCAACTGAGCTTTTCAACTTGCTTTGCATGGATGGTTCCAGCTTAAATGGCTCTAATGCTCCGACAAGCAGTAACGCTTGGAGTACTACTGTAACCGAGAAAAAAGCAATTGAAAAGGTATAAACTTTGACCAACTTTTGGAGGTTTAAAGGTCTATGATGACTTAATTGTGTTACATGTTATGGCTTATTAGTAACTGTCTGACCTTCGTGGTACCAACTTTGCAACAGCCCAGTATGATCATTCCACTTCCCATGCCTCAACAGCATTTCCAACAACAACAGCAACAGCCATTCCAAATGCCTTACTCAGCAAATTCCAATGTAGGATCCCAAGGTTTACCCACCAATGGGAATACAATGAATTCAAATGGGGTTCAGTTTTCCCAACATAACTGGCAAGGAACAACTGGTCACCAAGCTCCTGCAAGCACATCGATTCCCATGGCTGCTTATCATCCTGGAAAATATAATCAGGTTCTCCTCTCAACTCAAAAGCTTCATTCTTTTCGCATTCTGAGTCGGAGAAGGCCCACATCTAACGACAAAACTCTGTCTACTTTGACGAAAAATGATCGATTCGCTTTAACTTAAACTTACAACTTCACTAAGTCCTACCTTACTAATACGATTTCCCCACTTTGAACAGACTGGAAACAACCCACAGATGCATCCAATAGCAAATGCATATCCTATCCCAATGTCAAGGTATGCCCCCACTAACAGAAGTAAAACTACACCTTGCTTGTGTGTGCCTAATCCTAACTCCTTGTGGAATACGGAAAAGGATAATATTCGAAGTTCATCCCTTTTCTTACTAGAGTAAAATTTCAGCTGCTTTTACTTCGAAGTTACAGTTCGGTTAAACTCGAGTGTGTAATTTTCATGTTCTCGTCGTGCAGTATATACGGGCAAGGGCCGGTTGCTCCCATGAATGGCGTGGCAATGCATCATCATCATCATTATCCAGCTGCTGCTCCTCAACCATATCCAGTTGCTGTAGTAAATCAGCCTCAGGGACAATATTATGATTTATTGAGCTTCACGCCAGGTGTATATCGGACATGGTGAAACAGAGAATTGCTCTCTGTTTTCTTTTTCCTTGGACCTAAACACATTTACCTGCAACTTGTAGACGTAGTTTTGTGCAAAATATTTATTGGAAATAATAGAAAGAAATTGGTTTCCATTTCTTTTCGGAGCAGACTTCGATTTGGTTCAATAAAGAAAAAAAAAAGCTAAATAAGATAGGAATGTTAGGTCGAGGTTTACGACGAGAGCAAATGCGATACATAAATAGCCTAAGAAAGAGTATCCGAATGAAGAAAAAATGTTATTTCCAGATATTTTAATTATTCAAATTCGAAGTAATTTCCTCTTTTTAACGAATGCTCAAAAGTGCCTCTTCAAATCAAATTCAGATTTCAAGATGACGAAATTCTGATTAGTTGATAATATTATTTGATAACTTCCTGAAAAAAGATTCTTCTAATTTGAGTCTATAAAAAAAATATTACCAGATCGTATTCATATTCAATGTAAAATAAATAAGCGTATTAATACCATTATGATGTTATCATTACGAATTGGTGATCAAAATAGTATATTTGCTAAATACATGTTCCAATAAATTTTTTTTTTGCATCAAATGGAGGCTTTTAAGCCAAGAAAGAGACATGTTCCAATAAATAAAAGCCACTGCTGCAAGATCACATTGCATGCACCAAACTGATATAATGCAAATTAAAATGGGTTTGGGCTTTATAGGGTGGATCCAGGCTACTAAGAGAGAGGATCAAATTGTGCTTCTGGGCCTAGATCTAAGTTTTAACTGGGCTAATCAACCCAAAGAAACTAAAACCAACCTGACAATGTCATGACAGACAGCTAAATTGGAAAGATTCCATATGCAAGCTGCTGATAGATTCAGTAGTCCACACAAACTCTGGTTTATTTAGAGATACAACCCATTTAATTACCCTCCACACAATTTTGACTATTTATTTAAAATAGTTGTCATATCTCGATAACGATATCAGTTGATTTGGAATCTTTTATACCATATGAGCCTGAAAACAAACTAGTCCTATTATATGCAAGCCATACAAAGGAATTTAAAAAAAAATTATATACTCTAACAATACTAGAAAAGCAGATAAAGTGTAGTATGACGATACCTAAGACACCATTACAACTCCAAACAACGCAATTTGAGTCATTCAAAAAACGTTTGCTGACAATCTATTTTTGTACATTAGTTTTGCAGTAGAAGCAACTTTCTTATACATAAATAATCTTGTAAGTTTTGAACAATTTGTACTTAAATTTGTGTCTCGCTTTACTTTGGTGTTCCTTCCCCTTTAGACCGTACATATGACCTCAATCTCACCCCATATTAGTTGACACTTGGCAGTGGTCGAAATCTAGAAATATCTATCTATCTATTATCTTCTATTTGTTTAACCTCTAAGCAAACAAATGTTTTGGTCTAGGTTGGTAAATATCTTTGCTTTGATAAAATCATTAGATGGAAAACGAGAAAGCTTGATGATTCCCATTTTCATACACCAAAGAAAACAACAACAACAACAACACACAAAAAAAAAAAGTTAATTAATTAAAGATAAGTTAGATTCCAAGATGTAGCCATAACATGTACGAGGTTACCATTTGGCACCCGCAGGGTAAATGGGCGGTGGTGTATTTGGAAAATAATTTAATTCAGAAAATTGGAAAGAACAGCTTACAACCGCATTCTCTTATCTCGGAGGGACTGGTCTGTGCTTTCACACGGTTTGACTTGCTTGACATTTGACTTCTGGGCCGCCGATTGGGTGACGAAGAGAAGACAGACTCTTTTTTTATATTGGGTTTATCCAATAGCAGCATGCAAACCGTTACGGGTAACGGTGGGTGGGCCTAAGGCCCATCATCCTCGGGAGACGAGACGGAACGAAACGAAACGGGAAGGAGATAAACTCCGTTTAAACTGCATTTGTACGGTGGGGCCGTTCACAACCACCGTCCCGGAATGGATATACAACAAGCAGGGTTAGCGGTGCCATACGAGACACGAAGATATATATATGACAAAACCTAATTAATTACAGTCATTAAATTTAAGTGCTAAGAAAGAAAAGGTCAAAGATAAAAATAACTATTTCTATGGCTGGCTATTTGGTCCCGGACTGTTTGGTTTTTCCCGAAATCGGACCGTATAACCCGGACCGGGACCGGACTGGGACCGGATAGCAAACAATGCAATCTCATATTCGGGCTTAGATTTGAGGTAAAAAACAGGATAAGAGACCCCCAACACCTAAAATCAAGATAAAATTGGGACCGGACCGGATCAAGACCGGACTGTATCCAATCCAATTTTTGGTCCTTATATTCCCGAAAAGACCGGACTGAGACCGAATCAAATTGATCCAATTTAACTGGACCGGACCGTATAGCCACCCCTAACTATTTCAGGCCGAGATTCTTGAAGAGATTCGAATTTAAGACGTTCAAGTTGAAAATCAACGATTTAATTGCTAGATTAATTTCTTGTTCATAAAAATTATATTTAATGATACCAGCTGATTCTTTGAAGAAATTAACAACATACATAAAATAAAAATGAGGACTTTCAACCTAAGCTAATCCAGCATTATAGGGAAAATTTCCCACTGTACACATGTTTTTAAAAAAAATTCTCAAAATACACACGTTATGAAAAAAATTCCCAATCTACGCATGTTTGGGCCTTCACCGCGTCTGACCAAGGCGGTGATTGAATCACCGCGTTAAAGAAGAGCGGTGATTGCATCACCGCGTTAGACGAAAACGGTGATTGCATCACCGCTGTAGAGGAAGGCGGTGATTGCATCACCGCGTTAGAGAAAAACGGTGAAGGCCTGACCTGCGTCGAATCTTTAAAAAAACGTAACTTTGTGCTCGGTTATCCGATCGTTTGCGGCTTGCAAGATCTCGAAAAATTATGCGGAATCAAAAAAAATTTCACCACGATCGGATAACCGAGCACAAAGTTACGTTTTTTTTAAAGATTCGACGCAGGTCAGGCCTTCACCGCGACCGTTGAATGCGGTGAAGCTATCACCGTTTTTGTCTACAGCGGTGATGCAATCACCGTTTTTCTCTAACGCGGTGATGCAATCACCGCTCTTCTTTAACGCGGTGAAGCAATTACCGCCTTAGTCTGACGCGGTGAAGGCCCAAACATGCGTAGATTGGGAATTTTTTTCATAACATGTGTATTTTGAGAATTTTTTTTAAAAACATGTGTACAGTGTGATTTTTTCCGCATTATAGTGTATAACAATAACTCATAAGTCTTAACTATCTTTCTTACCGACTTCGTATTTCTTAACCTAAGCCTCTTAACTTAAGTACAACAGTTTAGACTCTAAGTCGAAAGAGAAAGAGTGATCAACTCCCATTTTCCACCAAAAAGAGAAGTTGTTTTCATCGTGGAGCAGCTTCCACACGTCAAGTAAAAGAGAGCAAGAAGTGCCGAAACAAGCGACCCATAAATTGAATATTATTTGTGTAATAATTATTATCATCGCCATGCACCGTCCAATTTCCCCAGTATTCCCCGCTGCTTTCAACGCAATTACTTGCGTAAAGGGCAATCGACGACAGTTATAAGAGAGACTGAGAGAGTATAGAGTAGTTGGAAACCATAACCATAAACTAACGATATCGTCGGATACTTCCAGCTGGATGCTTCACCGGTCTCTGTTGGCCCCGCTCGCTCGCGCTTGACTGAAGGGAAAAGCTACAGCATTCGATTTTTCCAGCTTTCATGTCAACAATCTAGCTACTAGATCCTCATTTTGTGGCTAAAACGTGATCCAGATATGTATATTAGACCCATAAATAATGACAAAAGTTATACTTAATGAGGGTTGTTTTGTTACTTGTGATGATGGTTACGTGCAGTTTGTGTAGGAGAAAATTTGCATTTCAAAATAAGTTGGATAAGTTGTGTTGAATGTCGATAATCTATTGGTACGAATAAGTTAGAAGTAATATTGAGAGAGAAAGTCTCGTAGTAATATTGGTACGTCGTCTATCATATTTTGTGTTTTGATATCGACCAATTGTGATCGAACACCGTGACACATGTATTTTAACGAGTACCAATCATCTAAATTGTTGGGATCCAGAGGTCTGAATATATGTATAGGGTCACCGATCAGTAAAGGATTATCTTGCCTCGCGATCTCGATAGTGAATTTTGAATGCGAACTTCTACGTAAGCGTTGATGGCAAAACTCATGAGGTAGAAGAACGAATAGGTAAACTAAGAAAATGAACGTGTGGCGACATGCACACACTCTCTAATTCATACGTGTTGGCCGTTTATTCGTAGTATCAATCAAATTTTATAAGCTTATATAATCCAACAACTCGAGTTATTGCAATCAATTGGTTTTTGAATTAATATGGTATCAAAGCTCGTTTACCCAAGTGGGCGTTTTGTTTCAATCCTCACGACCCCAAATATTAACTACACGTTGATCAAAACACAATATATAGTGGGTACTGTGCATGTACAAATTTCAACCCCGTGAACCGACTTAATTTCATTTGAGGGGCGTGTAAGAAAGTGATATATACTCTATAATCAACCTTCTGATCTCAACAACTTATCTCATTGAAACCAATGATTCTTAACAATATGTAACCATATGATTGAATCCACAATTGATCATCATGATATGCGTAAAGTACACATTAACTTCGGTGGCAAGAACAGACCTTCCTAGACATGGAAAGAGAGAAAAAAACGAGATTGAAATACAGTTTGACGAATCAGAAATTGATCATCAACCTGAATAGTTATAACAATCTACAAACCATGCAGCATTAATATTCTAGTCTCTTTACACGTACATATCAAAGAAGTCGCCATCCCAACTTGGCCGTTAGTTTTCAGTTAAATTTGTTGAACGGAAAAGAGAGAAAAAAAGATAGGGAGAGGTGGATCCATCTTCAATCTTTCTTTCTCTTATGGCCCCAACTGTACGCGCTATACATTATCCATAAATAAATGCTGCAATGTCTCTGCAGTTAGATGTTGCCACCCGCACCAGCCACCGCCATTTTTGTTTCTTTATATATTTACTACGTACGTTGTTTAAGCCAGCCAAGTGGAGTGAGAAAGAAAAGAATGGTAACTGTTGAGACTTTCAGATCAAACCCCTCTTTTTTTCTTTATTTGGTTGACTCCTTGAGTACGTAGAACTTCAGTTATATTAATCTCATTAGGTTTTAAAGTCATAGCGTACACACCTAGAGTTGGAGTAAGTTAATTTTGGGTAATAAACTATTTGTAATGGTGGATTATATATGCTCCACCTTTCGTGGAGTTATAATTAGATTTTGTTTGATTGCATGATGCTGGCAACGATTTGATATTTCTACTTCGTCCATTTCAAGAGATTTGTAAAGTAATGTACAAGGTGTCTCTTCCCTTTTGAATGAACCGACAATTCTATCCACAAAGTAATTAAGTGGTGGGCAGTTACAAATTAATTACCATTACTTTTGACTCATCAAGCCACGATACCAAGCGATATTTATTAGTATTTTGGCTACACTCTTCTCTCCGTAACTTCAGGGACAGCGAAGTTATGTAGATGATGATAATGATAATGGCTCCGATCCGATCCGCAAATTCTTAAAGGATATGCAGGAAAATTAACCGATGGAGAGAATTATTGAGACCAACTAGCTGGTGTGATATCAGAGTTTTAAATTGGGAGATCTTATGTTTGGATCCTCATTATCCCATATTAACATTGACTTAGTTGAGAATATGGTACATCGAACGTATGTAAACTCCAAAATCATGAATATATATATAGAATATAAATTCATACTTGAGTTAGTATCACCCATCAACTTGATTATTCACTACTTGACAAGAAGAGTCCCTAGTATTTTGCTCCATTTTGGAATTTTTTCAATACATTGTTGTTTGTTTTATTTATCTCTAGATGCAGAATAATAGTGATTATTGGTAATATTTTATTAATATGTGTGCAGTATTATTTTTTTTTTATTTTTTTTGTAACTGGCTGATTAAGATGCGTGCCTGTCTGTCTAGACTCTAGATTATGACGATAATAGTAAAACTAGGACGACATTTAGCCATCCAGTTTTACAATTGCGACATCCTAATTTGTACGTGTACGCACATGATCATGGTGTGCGACTAATTAATTTCCTAAACCTTTTTCCGGCACATTAATTAATTTCCTAAACGTAGCACAAAAATGAAAGACAATGTTCCTCGGGAGTTGACTTCAGGAGTCTTCATCAATAAGAACGGCCCAGACGTACAGTTTCTGCCGTAGTAGGCTTCTTCGTAGTTTGATTCACAATCGGCGCAGGCGATCTCATCAATCAAGCTGAATCTGTGCAAGATTACCTGCACACAAAGAGCTTAACGGTACTCATTGCTATATATAATTTTAGAACAGCAATTTTATAAAATAAAAAAAATACTTTATCTAATTAATGAACTGCCACGTGTGGTGAGATCGATAGAGGCGCGCAACTTTAAATTCAACAAGTTAAGGGTTCAAGTTTTGGCCGTCTGGTGATCTCTGTGGTGGCCATTGGTAGAGTTGTTGTATCCGTCTAAGTCGCTCGCATGAGCTTGTCAAATGTTTAAGAGAGACGATATTTATTGATCTGACGAATTGCTCTTCTAATAGAAAAGAATAACCTTGTTAGTGTATAATTAAGGGATTAGATTATTGAGAAAATTGTCATCGTCATGACAATACGTTATGATTCCAATCCTATGACTGCATCTGTCCTCTAACTAACCAACCAACACAAGTGTGGAAGTCATAGGGTTACACAAGGTTGATTAGCCAGCCTAACGCAAAATTCTGTATTAATTAAATTACAAATCTAACGCGTAACCATGCAAGCAATTGATATATCTTTCTGCTATAGAGGATATTTCTTTTCATTCATATTGTTTTATTTTAAACAAAATAGAAGTCCATGACATTCGACAAGGTGTCTGTGTCCCACGAACTGGCATTAAGTGCAGGTGTGGGAGGGGTATTGAATTTGAAACAAGTGGTAATTAGCCCATAGTATGCTCCATGACCATTTACGTGCCAACGACAGGTCAACTGGTCAAGGGCGCAAAGCTAGTTTGGTAATCGCATTTACTCAATGAGTTATGTATTCTTTTTTTCATAAGTGTTTATAATACCTATATTGTACACATTATAGTATTACTTTAGAGTAAGCATAAACATATTATTAGACACCGACTATATCATCAAAATACATACAGATAAAGATTCATTCTCGCGCCTCTTTATAGATTTCGTTAGGATAAACGAAAGCCTGAATAACAACCCGGCCACCCCCCTCCTCCATTGCTTCCCCCCCCCCCCCCCCCCCCCCCGGTGTCCTTCTTCAACAGATTTCAGCGCCGTGGATCAACAAAATTAAAAATGGACGACATTAGGGTTAATACCTTAGTTTGGCCTGAACTATACACATACTTTCTACTTTGGCCCGTGGTATTGGAAATTGCTATTCTGGTCTGAACTATGTAGCAAACTTCCTCATTTGGCTTGAAGGCGGGTTTGACAGTTAAATTAGACGGTCAACAAGACTTGTTGACCGTTAGTCAATGTCCACCTCATCTACCACGTCAGCTTTGAGGACATAAAAAAATATTTTTTTTATTTCTGAATTTTGTTTTCTTGTCATTTTTTCTCCTGAATTGATTGGTCCTGCTTCCTACTGTACGTGTATCTCCTTTTCTTGGAGGGTAACCTTTAGATAAATGGAAGTGGCTGGTGGGAACTAGATTCCCTGTCCGGAAACTTTTTCCCGGTACGTAAAAGCTGAAATTAAGCTGGAGACAGCTCAACCTTTTTACTTAATTATCTTGTGTTAGTCCGATGAGTCGTCCAACTAAGAAAGGCATTAGAAGACCAAAATGGTCGGCAGTGGTGAGCCCCCATCCCCAGCCTGTATCCGCACGTGCTTGAGCAGCGTCCGCACACACTGGACCAGCGGGCTCGGGATCTCGTACAGCCCACCGCAAGTAACGGTCGAATCCACTACTATAATATAAGTACATTAACATAACACATAAATATGTGACCAATTGACCGTTGAGGGGAATAATGTGCATATATAAAGTTATAAACTCAAGTGTGTTACTTATTATTAGCTACGACCCTCTCTTTATTTCCCCGTCCCCGCCAAAAAGGGCACTCTCCTTTTGAGCCAGGCCATGTTGCAATGATACAACCAATATCAATGGGATATATGCTAGAAAATAATCGGATCGATCGATCAATCAACTACCAAAACTCTATGGAAACTTCAACATCAATACACTCAATTGAGATCAAGACACAATACTTCCACCATACAGTCATCAACGAGACAATGAAAGTACTGTGTTGCACCTTCAATACACATGGATTCACCCGTCCAATAGTGTTACAGCGAATCTCGTTTGGAGCCAACTCACTAACTAACAAAATTCATTCTTGAATGATCAATCATAATGAATCTACACATCTCGATATGATCGCATGTCGTGGATAATTCATTACAAGTTGAAACTACATAGTTATATAAACGACTCCAAACAATAATATGATCACTATTACGAAGTAGCAAGTCATTAAAATCATAAACCGTTGTTTATACGCATACTTTTTTTTTGGTATACTTGATTTCAAGCTACTATACTGCTTAATAATTTTCTATAATCATTTTTTCAGTTGAATAATTTTTTATTTCTTATAATCATTGTAGGGCGATATTGTGTCTTTTATTTCTTTCTCTTTTTGCATTTTATATGAACAGACTTCAGAAAACTATAGTCACTATAGAGAAAATATTCTCCATAATTAGGCAAAGCGATTATTTTGGCTTTTTTATCCATTGAGACTTCATTCTCATTGTGTAGGCAACATCATTGTAGGGAGTTCCGGAAGCAAAGCAAGTGCCCCCATTTCTCTCCTAGTCGGCAGCTCCTCCCACTACTTCCCAATCTCCATCAACCCCCCAATTCCCATTAATAAAATCATATGCCATCCCTAGCTAGATTGACATAATTTACAGCTAGTCAATCATGATTAGACGCTCTCAATTACTCTTTATTCAATCTTATTATCTTTGTCCTGATGAAATTTTAGGATGATTAAACCTGATCTAGTTGAAAAGTTTATCATGGATGACTCCTTTTATGACTAAAATTAATTGAAAAAAGGTTAGTTTCACTTTCATATATATTGTTGTCGCATTTATTTTGCTCACAATCCTCGCTTCACATTTATTTATTGAGCAAATATCTAGCAAAGATTGTGAAGCGAGTATCAGATACCTTCAAAGTTGCGATACTAAATATTCAAACTATAATAGCAAAAATGCGACCAAGATTTCAATATCGCGAACAACATTATTATCGAAATAAACACCAATACATCATTTGACTGATACAAACAACAGATACGATATGACATCATAAACCAAAACTACATATGTTTTGGGAGCATGGAACCAACAGATAAGTACTAACATGATCTTTTCTTTTGACCGACAGATAATTACATCTCTAGTCTTTCTCATGTTTTCACTTTCACTTTCAGCAAAGAGGTTTCAAGCAATCGAAGGAGCAATCCGTGGCAGCTCAGCTCGCTTCTCACCCTAGTTACAAGGTCCTCTTTTTTAGGAATAATAAGAAAAATCTCAAGATCTTCTAAAGAAGGCTGGTGTAATGGTTTCTGATATACAGAGGGAGAAAATCTTACCTCCGTTTTCAAGTTTCAGTCTTTCCAGTGGGCAAGCAAGTTTCCCTCTTAAAAGATACTTCCATAATCATACTTTAATTAGCTTAATTCTTATATAATTAATCCACATATGTTCAGGCAGTAGGGTCCACCGCCGAATATCCTTGATACCCGAAATCAGCTCTTTGCATGGATGGAGAGCTGCTACACGATCCAACACATCTACCATCCTACACCCGACCGCAGACAGTAACGCTCTCCTCCCATCTCCACCGTCCAGATCAAACTTAACATCCATCCGACGGCTCACTTCCCTCCTCCTTCCTCTATATAAACCCGCTCACCCTCCCTCCTTGCTTCCCTAACCCAGAGCTGGCCTACTGAAAAACTGAACTCCATTTCTGCCGTCTCCTCCTCTCACTTCCCTCGCCGGGAAATTTCTTTTTTTCTTCCGAGAAAACAGAACAAGAAAAAAATGGCGTATCTCACTTTTTCCCTCCGGATTCTGCTGATTTCCACCGCCGTTCTGTCCGCCGGAGTGGCGGTGAAATCCTCTGTTCCATTGCTGAGAGATTTCTCCGCCTACCGAGCTCCGGAGCTCTGGAGCTCGATCTCGTCGTGGCTCAGGCCTCCGTACCTCTACTTCGTCATCAACTGTATAATCATCACCATTGCCGCCACGTCGCGGTTCCACCACGGCGGCGGAGAGGAGCAGCCACGGAAGGTGGAGGCGGTGGCAGTTGTGCGGCCGGATCAGTTCGATTTCGATGAGGTGAAGGTCTCTGATGTTGTTGCTTCTGCTGCTCATTCTATCAATTACGGCGGAGAAGCGGAGGAGAGGCGGCGGGAGGCGGTGGCGATTGATGCGGAATCAGGATTGATGTTCGAGGACAAGAAGACGGTAATGGTGAGCGGCGGTGCTTCCTTTGATGAAGAAGAGGTCGTACTTCCGGCTGAGGAGGATGAATTCGTGATCTCGAGATCCGAATGGATTCCGCCGAAGAAGAATCCGGCGAGGATTGATTCGTCGGAGAAGCTTCTGCTCGAGGCTCTGTCCCCGGCGCCAGCCGAGAAACCCCTCGTTTCCGCTCGATTCGTTCACCGGAAGCCGGTCAAGGTCAACACTCCAGAAGGTAATTCACGTTCCAGAAACTCCCACTCTCGAACTAATTTTTCCCCTTTTGGTCGGTGCGGCGGGACCCGACCCGTTCCCGGCGCCGATTTCCCTGTTGTTGCTAGCCATCCATTTCCTTTTTTTTTCCCTGTCCAGTACCGAAATTCGAAGTAAGCTTAGATTTGAAGTGTTGTCGTTTAGGGGGAAATCGTTCAAAGCTGGTGGCGTCTAGGTGACGCGGGCGGGTGTGAAAAGTCGGGAAAGCCCCTTTCAATTTTGTTTTTCAAAAAATTCTTCCCGTTGAGAAAAGGGATAAAACCAGATTATTTTTTTCATTTTTGTGGAGGGTAATGAATTAATGAGCTGGCAATGCTGATTGGGCAGGTGGAAGGGCGTTGAGGAAGGTGTCGAAGCCGAAGCGAAACGACACGCTGGAGAACACGTGGAAGATGATAACGGAAGGGCGGCCAATCCCGTTGACGAGGCACCTCAAGAAGTCGGACACGTGGGAGAATCACGGGCGTCACATCAACGTGCCGGAATCCTCCTCCCTCGACGGCGGCCCGAGCCCGCCGCCGGCGATGGTGAAGAAATCGGAGACGTTCAAGGACAGGACCAACCAGCTCCCCCCGCTCAGCGGAGGGACGCCGTCGCCGGCGACGGCGGGAGGGGAGAGGAGGCTGAAGAAGGAGCCGTCGCTGGGTCAGGACGAGTTGAACCGCCGAGTCGAGGCGTTCATCAACAAGTTCAACGAGGAGATGAGGATGCAGAGGCAGGAGTCAATAAACCGGTACAAGGAGATGATTAGCCGTGGAAGCAAGTGATAGATAGTATTGAATTTTATTAAAAGGTGGGAAAAAGATCAATGGAGGTTGGTTTTTTTTTATTATCATATATGGAAATTATACCAACAGTGAAAATTTGGTTTTTTTGTTTTCTGAATTTTGGGATGATCATGTTTGAATTTTCATGCTCTCAAGTTAGGTTTAGGGAGGGGGGATGATTGGTGGACTGGAGGATGGTTTATTATTTTGGATTTGTTTTGGTATGTAAATTACTGACTTTTATTTTTATTTTGTGGTTTATTAATATAAAGGCGAGGTTAATTACATAAATTGTCTCTGTTTTTGTGAAGGATTTATTTACTGTGTATCAATGGAAATAGCACATGAATTTGTTCTTTCCTATGGACTAAAACACGTTATTATGGATCCCTAAGGATGCTAATCAGTATGAAAATTGTGGTTGATGGAGATTAACATCTTCAGATCCAAATTAGGTGGAGGATGCAAGTGGTCGGCGGAGAAGTCCTAAGTTCTTACAAACTTGCCAGCTCGCTAGGGAGAACATGGTTAGAGATAAGCAAATATAGCTATATTTGTGGAGAGCTATACGAATCCGATCTAATTGGGTATGAGAATATTTAGTGACGAATCTAGGTTGAATTTAGGAGGGATATATTTCCGATCAGTTTTGAAATATCGATAAAGTTATAAGTAATATTCATGATAAATGAGGAAAAAGAGTAGTTGGTAATTTCTTAATCTTCATTTCAAATTAACTTCTATCCAGATTTTGGATCCGCTACTAATAATACTCATTATTTAATATAAACTCGTCCGATTATACAAATACATTTTTGGCTGCAAGACAGTGGAAGAGGAAAACAGCTGGCTCAAGAAGTTTGACCAAAAAACAAGAAGTTGGCCCCAAAAGAATACCGATACACAATGCCTATGTTTGACCCGGCTTTTAGACGTGTTTTTCGACTTCATTTTGACTACATTTTATTGTTTAGAATTCACAGTTTATATTATAAGTCTTTTATATTCATTTTACATCATCTCTCATATTAAAAAGCATTTTAATAGTTTTTTAGTCAAACACTTAACTGTTTTTTTTAAGTACTTCTCTAAAAACTCAAATGAGAAGCGGCTTCGGCAGAAGCTACAGTAAGATCAAACTGAGCAAATAGCTGGAAACTGATCTGAGTGAGGAGATAGGCTCGGATCCATTCCCCGCCACAGTTCTCCAGACCATTTTGGGCCGGCACAAATATTAGGCGGGCCTGAAGGCTCAAATTCGTTATGGACCAAACTGAAAAGAAGCCCACTTAGCCCATATCTTATATGACTTAAAAACGTCAAACAAGTCGCCGAATCCTGCGTCGGTCACTCGGTCTTGGAGCCGCCTTCCATTCATTGAGCTGGATTTTTGCCTTTAGGTACCAATCAATGATTTGGTAAGAAACCAACCACATATTATTATTGTTGTTTAAAACTCGCAACTACTGCCTCCTCTTTTGACAAAAAGCCCTTCGACTTTTGAGTTAACTAATGGGAAAAAAGCATGCACGTTAAGTAGCACACCACACTGCTTTAGTTGTTAACAATCATGCATGGAAAAAAAAGAATCAAAAGAGAGCCTTTAGTCCAAATTTTATATTACGTGGAGTCCCTACATCAATCCATCCATCCCGAAGTTTGGATTCCACAATCTCATCAAATTGGATGTTTTCTGTAATAATTGGACGCATCCAGTTAGCGTGTTTGGAAACATAATTCACTGTTCGTCATTCAGAACTTTTACCCCACAAAGGAGAAATAGAGAGAGATGAGAAGCTACGAGGCGCGAATCTGACCATCAAAATACAAGATATCGAATAATATTAATATTTTTTTGTTTTGATTTTTGAGAAGACGATACCAATTTTATAATGATCTTACAAAAATTTCAAATGAACAAACGATCCGTAGTAAATCTAAAAACCGATTAATTATTCAAATAGGGTTCGTACTTGTTTTACATGTGAGGGGGGAAGGGAAGTGATGGAGGAGTGGGAGAAAGCTCCAATTACCAAATATTATTATCTCCACCTAATTATTTGTTGTTTCCAAAACGGAACAGGAAAAGGAAAAATGATTAGAGAAGTGGGGGATGGGAGTTGTAATGTAGCGTAGGGTCACTTCATGGTAGGGATGGCAACCAAACCCGAACCAACGGGTACCCACCCGACCCAACCCGGTCAACGCGGGTAAAATCTGTGTTGACGGGTTTTGGGTCGGGTTTGGGTTTAAACCCGTTCACTATTCATCGGGTTGGGTTTGGGTTTAGGTAAACCCGACCCGTGGGTACCCGCCCACACATATAATTAATTTTCTCGGTATATTTAATATTTTAAACAACTAATCTTATTTATGTTTGTGGAGACATGTCTAATTTTTTCTTTCTAATTGTGTAGAATGAAGTTTGTGTTATCGAGTGGAGAATGAAGAAACTTAATTGAAAGGAAGAAGCCTTCAATTAATATGTTATTTATGGATAATTTATGATTTACTTCAATTTTCTTGAGTTTTCTAGATTGGTGTTAAACAATTTGTATAGTTAATTTGTGATTTGTTTGAATTTTCTAGAATGGTGTTTTAAATATGGATAATTTGTATTGAGAGATTGATATTTGACTTTAATTTTGATAGGAACATGTTATTGTAAATTTTTTACGACAAAAACCCGTGGGTACCCATGAACCCGCGGATACCCAGCGGGTTGGGTTGGGTTTGAGTTTTTCAAACCCAGTGGGTTTTACCCCGGGTTTTTTTCACGGATAAACCCATGGGTTTGGGTTTGGGTTTGGCAAAACCCGACCCAACCCGACCCATTGCCATCCCTACTTCATGGTTGTCATGCTGGCTAGAGTGCCACCGATTGTACCTGGTTTAACCGGTACCGGTCATAAAATCAGTGTGACACCACCAGTATGACTGGAATGATCGATATACGAATTTCTAAGTAAAATGATCTTATTTTAGTGAATTTATTTGTTAAAAATTATCTTATTATTTATTTTATGGGTATAAAAGTTAAATATTGATGTTATTTGTTGGATTCAAGTACAAATGTTTAGGTATTTACGTTAAATGTCATGTTTAAAAACGAGTATTTATAATTTTATTTGTAATATTGACCGGCATGAACGACACAAACCGGTATGTGCCACCGATCGAACCATTCCACTTACTAAACCGGCACGCTGTCGTAAACCGGTTTGACAACCTTGCTTCACTTTATCAGCAGCATTGCATAAAATTAACATAAGAGAACGTAACGGGATGGGGAATGGAGAAAGAAAAGAGAGATGGGCACAGTGGACAGTGAGAAAAGTGAATGGGCAAAATCCAGCTAGGGTTTGGCTCACAGTTTTCCCAACTGCTACACGTAGATGCCGTAAGCAGTATGAAGGGAAACCCAACCCACACGCTACCTCGCTGTTCTCCCCTATCGGCTGCTAGTAGTAGTTAGTAACCGGCAGAAAAGCCTAGATAAGTCCTGTTATTATACTCTTTCCTCACATTCGAGCCTCTTAAATCTTGATTTCGAGCATTCCAGTCCTTTCAATCGTTAAGGAAAAAGTGGAACGGATGGACAAACATTCCACAATCGATTGCATTTCGTCGAGAAATGGTGTCGTCGCGCCTGTCTTGTTGCTGCGCGTCCCTGACATAGACCTTCACTGACCGCTGCCACTTGGGCGCGCACCACTTTCAACCAGACACAAATCTATTCTCAAAATGTATCTTGAAAGACAGACGATAAGTTCTTAACGAATCTTGTAGAGCTACAAGTTCAAAACTAATTGTTCTAAAGTGACTGATCAAGTGAGGTGTTTTGTCATATCTAGCCAACAATGAAAGAGTGAGCAATTTCGTACTGTAATCCAAACCGTTGCATCGGCATATAGCAATTAAGAATGCGAGATGAAAAATCAAGCAAATTGATTTGTCATATCTCGTAAAAGGTTTGCGACGAACTTGGTAAAACAGTCAAATCTGAGTATTAAAATGCTAACTAAACTTGATTCATGGACTATTACAGCATATCTTTTCTTTTTCGAGGGGCGTTAAACAATTTACATTCCGGGAAGTAACTAACAGAGTCCGGGGAGAAGAAAGAAAAGAGTACAAACACAGAAGAGAAGAGGGAGAGGCCCCCTTTCACGTCATTCAAGGCCCGCGTTTCTCACTTCCCCGGCTACCTGTAACTGTAAGTGGCCCTCTCTCTCTCTCTTCTTCCCAACACGCATCCCTTTATAATTTGTTTTTCCCTCTCCCCCTTCCTCTGTTTCGGTTCCACAGCTTCTCCTTATGATGATCTGAGGTAAACAAAAACAGAAAATTCTTTCGCTTCTTTTTCTAGGGTTCGTTCGTTTACAATCCTCGAACCCTCTTTTAATCTGTATCTGTTGAGCTAGAGAAACAGTAAATGTTGCCTGTGCATTGTATTTGCTGGATTGGGTTCGTAGGATCGGGGTGATTGGATTGAAGAACTGGGGGAAAGTTCTGTGCTTTGTGTTCTTGCCTTCGTTCTTTTGTTTCATTGGGGTGGAAATCTTGTATACTCTGTTTGGATGGTAATAAACTGTTTGTGTGATTCAAATTTCATACTTTTTTGGCTTTCATTGTAAATGGAATGTGATTTTAGGACAAATTTGTGCTGCTACTGGATGTTTTTACTTGTAATTATGGTTTTGATTGGTTCAGTATCTAGTAGAGGGTTTGCGCCTTGCGGGTTCTAATTTTGTGGATATCTGTTTGTTGATTTGTTTCAGTGAAGAGGGCTAGTGCTCTTTTGCGCGTGTCCCATTCTCTTCTCCAAATCTCTTCCATCCTTCCTAATCCTGCTAACCGTCCCACAGCTTTGGGGGTGCTTTAACTCTATCTAAACCAGAGAAAGAAATGGAGGTCAAGCTATGGAACGATAAGCGTGAGCGAGAGATGTACGAGAACTTTGCCGAGCTCTATGCCATAATCAAGGCTACCGAGAAGCTGGAGAAGGCTTATGTTCGAGACATCATCAACTCATCTGATTATGAGACCGAGTGCCAGAAGCTCATTGCTCATTTCAAGACCTTAGCTTCTGCTCTGAAGGACACTGTCCCCAGCATCGAGCGGTTTGCTGACACGTACAAGATGGACTGCCCGGCTGCTATAAACCGCTTGGTGACTTCTGGGGTGCCTGCCACGGTTGAACACAGGGCTGCTGCTGCTGCCACCGGAACTACCTCGGCTGCAACTGTTGCGGAATGTGTCCAGAATTTCATCACGGCTATGGATTCTTTGAAGTTGAATATGGTGGCTGTGGACCAGGTGCATCCTCTATTGTCAGATCTCTCGGCTTCACTCAACAAGCTTAGCATTTTGCCCCCTGACTTTGAAGGGAAGACCAAGATGAGAGAGTGGATTTCGAGGCTGTCTAAGATGGGGGCTTCTGATGAGTTGACCGAGCAGCAGTCACGGCAACTGCACTTTGATCTCGAGTCTTCGTACAATTCGTTCATGGCAGCTTTACCTAGCTCTGGTACTTGAAAATTTGGTTTTCTCAGCTGAGCATAGAAACCCTATATGTACATTATTCACCATGATCTCGTCCGTGTCTCGTGCTTAGTATTTGTTCCCTTCTTTGGTGATGATGGGTTTGGAAGTCAGCCAGCCAGACTTTCAAACGGCGTAATATGTTTTGCAAATGGCTGTAGGCAAGCGTTGGTCGAGGGAAACAAAGTATGTTGTACCAGTTCTGAGTGATTCTTCATTGTTGTCATATTATTAATGCTTCATATGGGTTTGTTGCTAAATGTAATATCCTACTGTTCCAACATTCTTTCATATGTTGGTTTTTGGCTTTGTGAAGAGTTTTTCCTACTTCTCTATGTTGTATTGTTAGTCCAGTTTAAATGCGCAAAAAAGAGAGGCTTCCTTTTCGATCTGGTAATCTGGATAGCTTATGAACTGCATTCTGTGGCTGTTCATCTACAAAAATGCAGATAACAGTCTGTTTTCTTCGTGGGCAATCTGGCTTGCGGGAAGAGTGAACGAGGCCACAATTCCTCTGCAAGCTCAGAATGTACAGCAGCCGTTGGATGGAGCTGTCATGCGTTTGCAGAGTAAACGAGCCCGCTCCTTCGCCCTCTAAGCCGAGACATGAAGGAGTTGTTCCTTTGCTTGCCATCTTCGATGGGATCCAACATTGAAACTAATAAATGACATGAAAATTTTGTTGAATGTAATGTGGGGGAAGAGGATGTAATTTGCTGTTACAAAATGAGTTCACATAATGTTTTCAGGCCTTTTTTTCCCCCTGCACTTTTAACAGTTTCAACACAATCCAAGCCAACCTTGATGTCCTCGTTTTCTCCTTTTAAGCACTTAAAAGCAAGTGGTAAAATTGCCTCCATTCTCGAAGCCAAGAAGTAAAAAAGTAACAGGCTTTAGAAAGCTACACTTGATGGACGAGATGTTCATCTCTGTTTAAATCGATCCCCGCGCTTCACCTGCTGCTCTGTATGAGAGCTATGATAGATGGCACGAGGGGGAGCAGAAGCAGAATGATGAACACAATCCCCAGTATAATGGCGTAGCACGTCCACTTCCTGGAGCTCTTCTGATACTCCCTGGCCTCCTGGAGCTGCTCCGTCCCACGTCGGACGAACGAGCTAGCGTGCGCGACGTGGCTCTCGATGTCGTTGAGCTGGTGGCCCTGAGCCTCGACGAGAGCAGCCATGTCCAGGAAAACCTGATGCAGCTCGATCAGGTTCTTCTCGATCTCCTTCACCGCGTCGTTTCTCTCCTGGATCTCCGCTATGGTGTCGAGAATCTGGCCCCTCCCCTGCTCCTGAATCGCCTTCTGGAGGAAGCTCTCGCTCTCCCCGCTCGCGATCAAATCGTCGATCAGCTCCTCGCTCGCCTTCTCCCCCGTGATGGTGAAGTATCTCCTCTCCACGGTCTCCTTGTACTCTGCAGACATTTCGGCCCTCAGGTTCTGGAAATTGTCCATCAGGTCCTTCAGCTTCTTCCCCAACCCTCCGACCACAGAAGTCCTCGTTCGATCCGCCGATGAACCGGGCCCACAACCGGGGACGCTTCGAGCTGCGACATTCGACCTGTCCAGCGCTTCCAGCTTGCCCTTGATCAGCTTGACCCGCTTCAGGACCTGACCGACATCGGCGTCCATTTTGGCCCTCAGGGCCTTTACGGTCTTGGCATTGTGCACAGTCTTGCATTCCTCATTGGCCTCCTGCAGAGATTTGTGCAGCTTCTCCACTGTTTTCATGTCTTCCTTGACATTCTCGACGTCCTCGAAGAACTTGTCGAGGTTGCTGTTCTCCTTCCCGGCCTCCAGGTCGTCCATCCGAGTCTGTTCCCTCAGGTCGGTGTACTTCTTGAAGGAATTTGATAAAAGGTCATTCATGTTTGCTGGATTTTTTTTAGCAAATTCCTCCAAAATGAATAATGTTAATTGTGATTAATTAACAGTAATTGTCATCAAACTATCTTCCTCTTCAGGGTTGATGAGGAGGAAGGGATAGAGGTGACGCGAGAAGCAAGAAATTTGTGTTCTTGCGGAACAGAGATGGGGTTTTTCTCTTTTGGGGTTGAAAGGGAGGCCAGGGGAGGAAAGGAAGAAGGTAGAAGGAAGAGGGTTATTATGAGATTAATTATGTTTAGGAGGGCGGTAAAAAGAGGCTTTGGTAAAAATTTGACTCTCAAGTTTTTTAGTAAGGGGTTTATCTTCTTACATTTTCGTTTCCAACAATTTGGCAAAGGTAAAAAAAAAAAAAAATGAGAGGGTTAATTAGATTTGGGGTTTAGTTGACATGGTCTCTCCCCCTCTTTTCCTTTCCAAATTTCAGTATCTATTCTACAACCACAAAATCCTCTCAAGGTCCTGACTTTCAAACACGAACTTGTTTTTCTTACAAAAAAAACACATTTTTATTGTTGTTTTTTGTTCTTAATTTTCTTGAATGATAAACTGAGTTATCTCCATGCACTCAGCAACACCAAAAGGGTGGATTTGACCAGCTTCAAAGACTTATGTAAGAACTTTAATCATGGCAGAAGCTCATAAAAGAGTCGAATCATTACATTGATGTCAAGAAGTCCGAATTCGAGTAATTTAACTTTGATTACATCTCAAAGCAATGTCGAAGATTGATTCAATACGCTGGCATATTGTAGAACGCAATCCAATTTAAGGGTAATGCTTGTATTTGGTGAATCCCTCCAAAATTCAAGATTATAAGTCGTGCACACTATTGTGAGATTGCGTTGCCAATCTGTAAATAATTTCTTGGGCGACCAGTAAAGCTGCATGTCATCGCTTGTGAATGGATTAATGTGTGCTACTTATCGTACGTTACTTTTATCTTCAGGATTCAATTGATTGGGATCGAGTAGAAGATGATTTGCTGGCGATAGCTATTCACTATATTGAATTTAGTCGTCAATCACTCAATGACAAATCGAGAGATAGATGTGTCACCCTAAATACCAATGTTTAGAAGAATATATCTAGATCGTTATTCTTCAACAATTAAGGTAGGTGCTAGCAGTGATGAAGTCAAGATTTAGAGTGAAGAGTGACTGAAAATTACAATGTGTAATATCTTTTCACGATTGGAGGAGTGAGATTAATAGCCTCATCCGATCACTTTCTAGTGTTTTCTCAATATATGAATACACACTTTATAATCTTAAAGAAAAATATTGAGAGAGACTATATACCCTCCTATTATACATGTAGTTCATCCACTCGTGTGTAGTGTGTATGATCCTTGTCAATTTTTGTTCGCTAAGTAAATTAATAATAAATGTTTACGGTTTGTATTGGCAATTCGACTAATCTGATTTCTAAGTTATTATCTTTTTTTCTCTCTAACTTTGTGATTAAGGGATTTATTAGTTTACATGACATTCCGTATGGGAGAATGACTCAATTATCACTAGACAACATCTTCTTTGAATTGGGAAGCATAATTATAAAATAAGTAAATACGCTTTTGTTTATGGCTATGCTCTCCTAAAATGTACATTGTTTCATGAGTTTGAGAATATTAAAAAAAAAAAAAAAATGTGCAGTACATTACTAACCGGATTACCTTGTCATTCAACCGACTACCCTCCAAAGTAATTTTTAGCCAAAACGGCAAAACCCAAAAGTTTTGTTGGATCCCAAAAATATCTCTAAATAACAAAACCATGGTGACTTTGTCTTTTGGGACTTCTCCATTACTCCCCCCCCCCCCCCCCCCCCCCCCCCCCCCAAACCCCAATAATTTTCCTATGTGATTTGCCTGATTGGGTTATAGTTTCAAAGTAGACATTCAAGGCCATATATGGAGCTTGTAAAACAACACATGCCAATATACTTTTCAATATTTAACATGATTTGGATAGTTTCGCAATTACTCCATTATTATAAATCTAGTGTTTGAACTTGAACTTTTGTAATTTTTGTGTTTATGAAATTGAACACTTGAAAAATGTGCACCCAATTAATTGGGAGGAAGTGCGGGACCTGGAGCTGGAGCTGAGTAGGCAGTGGGATGCTGAGGAGATATACTGGCAGCAAAAATCCCGTGTTCGGTGGCTGAAAAGGGGTGATAAGAATTCCTCATACTTTCATACGGTCACTAGAACTCGACGTAAACGGAACTTTGTGTCTGGTCTGCGTAATGAGGAAGGGGATTGGGTCACGGATGAGAAAGGCAAAGCTGATATCGCCAGTCAATTCTATGAGAACCTATTCGCGTCGGAAAATACCGTGTTGAATATGAGGGATAGAATAGAGGGACTGCCGATTGCCAGGAGTGTTACTCAGGAGATGAATACAATGCTTACGGCTGTGGTCCTCCCCCAGGAGGTTCGGAACACAGTGTTTGCCATGGGATCCAAGCAGGCTCCCGGGTCTGATGGGTTCACTGGTAAGTTCTTTAAAACCTTCTGGAATATTGTTGGCCCCTCTGTAATTGATGCGGTTTGCTCGTTCTTCGAAAATGGTCGAATGCTCAGAAGCTTTAATCATACCTGGCTGACATTAATTCCTAAGGTGGACCAGGTGGAGAGTATGAAACAGTTGCGCCCTATCAGTTTATGTCAATTTGTGTACAAGATCATCACCAAGATTATGGCAGAGCGCCTTGCAGGCATCTTGCCTCGCATAGTCTCTGCCGGGCAGAATGCTTTCATTCGGGAGAGACAGATCCTTGAGAACATTCTGATTGGTCATGAACTTATGCACTATTTGAAGCTTAAGAATCGCGGGAAGAAAGGGTACATGGCTCTTAAGGTTGACATGGAAAAGGCCTATGATAGAGTCGAATGGCCATTTCTTCTTGCGATTTTGGAGAAGATGGGGTTTACTTCGGTTTGGTGCGAATGGATACATGAATGCCTCCGGTCTGCCTCCTTTTCGGTCCTCATGAATGGTTCCCCGTCGGGGTACTTCTCTCCGTCTCGAGGGCTCCGGCAAGGTGACCCTCTGTCCCCTCTGTTGTTTGTACTGTGCACGGAGGGCTTTGCTGCTTTAATCAATCAAGCGATAGATGCTGGCCGCTTACAAGGGGTGAAGGTGGCCCCTAGAGCCCCACGGATCTCTCATTTGTTCTTTGCCGATGACTCCTACTTATTCCTTAGGGGCTCTCTTCAGGAATGTGAAAACTTGATTACAGTCCTTAATGAGTATGAGGAATTAAGTGGGCAAAGAGTAAATCTGAGTAAATCGGCTGTTTGTTTTAGCAAAAACATTGGGCAAGATGATCAGGAGTTTTTAGCTGCAATCCTGGGGGTAGGGGCGGTTGGAGTTCAGGACAAGTATCTGGGGTTACCTACCTTGATTGCTCGCTCTAAAATGGAGACCTTCCGTTACCTGGAGGAGAAATTGCTTGCTAAGCTGCAAGGGTGGAAGCAGCGTACCCTATCGTGGGCTGCTAGGGAAACCTTGATTAAATCCGTTGCCCTAGCTTTGCCTTTGCATGTAATGTCTTGCTTTAAGCTGCCTCTATCCCTATGTCGGCTGTTGGATAAACATGTGGCTCGCTTTTGGTGGGGGGTAACGGAGGACCACTCGAGGATTCGTTGGATGTCTTGGAGGAATTTATGCAGGAGCAAGCATGATGGGGGGATGGGCTTCCGCCGATTTGAACATTTTAACCAAGCTTTATTGGCAAAAATAGGATGGCTTATCCTGAGTGAACCCCAGTCGCTTTTGGCCCAGGTCTACAAAGGGAAATACTTCCCCACGGGCACCTTTCTCCAGGCTATTGCTCGATCCCGGCCGTCGTGGGGTTGGTAGAGTATCCTTTTTGGAAGGCAGCTATTGGAGCAGGGGCTTCGTTGGCAAATTGGTAATGGGCGATCGGCTTCCCTCCTCTTCTCCAAGTGGATACCGCGCCTTCAGTAGGACCACCTGGTTTATAGTCCCCGGATTCTTCCAGAAGAGGGAGATCCGAGGGTGGCAGAGGTAATAAGGCAAGGGGAAGGGTGCTGGTGTGATGACAAGTTAGAACAGTGGTTTGATCCTCCTACTTGTCGGGCTATCAAGGCTATTCCGCTTCCTCGGGAGAATGTGGAGGACAAGCTCATTTGGCACGGTACTACTGAAGGGATTTTTTCGGTGAAATCTGCCTACCACCTAGCTGTGGAGCTCGATAGGAGGAATGGATGCTGGCGGTCGACTGTGAGTTGTATGGATAGGGCTAGCTGGATACGCTTGTGGGAGGCTGATATCCCCCCCAAGTTGAAGGTATTCCTGTGGCAAATCTTTCACCGAATCATCCCTACTACAGAGGCACTAATTGGAAAGAAAGTACCGGTGCTGGCTCGGTGCCCAGTCTGTTGGGAGGAATCAGAAACGGTAGAACAATTGTTCCTTGACTGCCCTGTGGCTAGAGCACTTTGGGACTTGGCGGGTTTAGAGTATCTGGGGCAGGGGTTGCCTCGCCATACTTTCCCCCTCTTTCTTAAGCGAATGCTTGCTCTAGTCCATCAGCCTGAGGTTCTCATGCTAGTGGTGGCGGTCCTATGGCGAATTTGGAAGTCAAGGAATTGGGTGGTTTTTGAGGGTAAGCAGTTTGGCTTTCCGGCCTTGATGCGTCAAATTCAACAGCAATGTGCGGAATGGAAGAGGTTGCCTGTGGACCCGGTTATTGTTAGCCCTGTCCCCTGTTGCCCTCCTGCTACTATGGGTGGGGGTCCGAGTGTTATCTGTTCATGGGATGGGGCTACCCGGGCAGGGTCCCACTCCGCAGGGGGTATGGTCCTGCATAGCCCTCAGAGAGAGGTTCTGCAGGTTCATGGGTTGCAGTTTCAGGATGCTGATGATCCGATGGTGGTGGAGCTTGTCTCCCTTCGGGAAGCGCTTTATTGGTGTGTTAATCATGGTCTGCAGGATGTCCGGTTTGAAGAGGATGCCAAGGTCATCATCGACAAGATAAATCGTGCTGATATCAGGGATAGTCGTTGTGGGGGTATCTTGGAAGAGGTGGTCCATTGTTTCGCTTCTAATGCGGGATTTACTGTGCGGTTTGTAGGTCGGAATAGCAATAGGGTAGCCCATTTGGTGGCTAGAAAGGCCCTTTCTTTGTCTCCGGCTACTTGTCGTTCCTTTGATTTCAAGGCCTGGCTGTTCTCCAGGGTGAAGCACTTGACAGAAATCCACCGACCTTGTTCAGAGACACAGTGTTCTCATCATTGTACTTGTAGTCACAGAACCACAATGAATAGCCCTCAGGGTCATACATGTCCCAGAAGCCTTTGATAGCCACCTCACGGAAGTTGGTCTTGGTGTTGGAGTAGAGCCTCTTCTAGTCATCCAAAATCATCTTACTTGGTGGCAGCAAATCAAGAGGGTTCTTTGCTTTAGGCTTTGGTGCCTCTTCTTCTGCCTCAACAGCTGCAGGCTTAGCAGACTCCTCCTTTTTTGCTTCTTTCTTTGGTGCCTCCTTGGGCTTTGCATTCTCCTTTTGTTGACCAGGTTTCTTGGCAGACTCAGCAGGAGGGAGAGAATCAGTTTGCTTGAAATTCGCAATTATCTTCTTAATATTTGGTTGACTGACGATGGTCCAAAACTATCTCTCAACACGTATAGGTTACATGCCACGACAATGTCAGCTAAAGTGATCGAGTCGCCAACCAAATAAGTCTTTGAGGCTAGATGAGTGTTCAATGCTTCGAAACCTCTCTTCAATAAAGCAATTGTAGCTTCCTCAACAACAGGGAAATAAGGAGTCCATCCCATTATAGCTTTAAAGTAACTAATCAGGTTGCCATCAATCTCCAGAGAAGTCAATCCATTGCTCAATGTGGCCATATTCAATTGCAGAAGACCCAAAGAGAGGGTTATCAGCCTTCAGCTTTGCAACATATCGAGCAATAACATTGCTCTAAAAAACAGCACCCTCAGGTGTCTCAAGGACTAGAAATTTTCCAATGGGGTTCATCTTGAGAAATTCAGGAGTCTTATTCGTGACACCCATCTCAAAATTCTCAGTGACAGAAATCTTCACACTAGAGTACTCTGCAACTATAATCGCCTTGTTTGCAATTTCTGTTACCTGAATACCCTACATACAGTTTCAAAGCCATTGTTTGCCTGCCGAAAAAAGTAGCCTCGCCTATCATTAACTAAATGGTCATAGGTAGTACCCATTATGTCATATAAAACTCACTGCTCAAGGTTAGGGTAGCACACGCCAAATGGATGTATACCCTTGCGACTGTCATAACCCTAAGAAGTCTAAAAGGCAACATCGATTGCTCTCTCTATACACATGAGATATTACAATATCCTAATCATAATTAAGAAGCATCCCAAGTTGATGGGCCAATAGGCCATGCAAATGGTCAGTCGCTTTGCTCTTCATTCTTTGTACCAAAGAAACCATAACAATAAAGGAGGGCTAGTAGCAAGATTGTTGGTGGAAACTTGGGAGGGTATTTTACATGGGATTCCCGCACAAGGTGGAAGCTAAGACGTGGGTAGCCATAAACCCTTATGAAGTTGATAATGCTACCAACAAATAACGTTTTTCAAATACAGGATGAAATTTAATTTTCTCCAATATCTCAACACTATCTTTGTTTTATGTGCAGTATATTTGTATTTTCAAGATCATGTAATTACCCATCATTCAAAAATTGACAATTGTATTGTATCTTCCAAAGCCTCTACAAGATAAAGTCAGCTTTTCACTCATTTTCTTTTTTTGTTGATACCAGAGCCAATCTACCTCTAATTATATCTCATAATCATTCTGCATGTCAAGTGTAAAGTATAGGGCATCAAATGCATGTTTAGGTTTTAGAAATTGGCATGACACTTGAAAAATAAGCAAAATAACAATCATTTAGAGGGAAACAAAACTAAAACAGCAAGCCGTGTATGTACCATGCGATATTTTTTCCGTGATGGGTGGGTATCATATGACATGAGTAAGTAGCAAATGAGGAAAAAGGAGTGGGCTTCTTTGCTAAGAAAAATAGAAAATGTTTGGACACATTTACTTTGGGCTCATTCGTGATGGGCTTGGAACAATGAAGAAAAGCGAGTGGGCTTCTTTGTTGATTAAGACCAGTTAATTCTTGCATTTCAGGCTTGGTTTGAGTGGGATTAAATATTCAGTGAAAGTACTTTTCGACTGCCGCACCATATTAATTGCCATTTTGTCTTCTTCTTCTTCTTCTACCTAATCTCATTATGTATTTCATTCAAATTCGACTTTCCCCACAGCTGGCTCCTCACTGTAACCCTTCAATTGCCTCGCCATAGATTCTCCATTGAAGGCTCCAGCAAGCTCCCAGCTGGCTGGTTGGTCCATCTCCATCTCCTGCCACTATCCAGAGCTTACGCAGTTTTAACTTTTACGCGTTCCCAAGAAATAGCACGAGTTATGGCCTGGCTGGAACTTAGTTGTGCTCCACTCCTTTCCCTTTACTCCCTCCCCTCTTCTTCCTTCTACTTCTGCAGAACAGAGCTCCTATATATACCGCAGCCCGCCATTCCAATTTCCTCCACAACCCTCTCCAAGATCCCCTTTTGGCCCTTTTAAGCTCTGCTCATTCCCACATCTTCGAGATTGTAACAGTAATTAACTACAATGGCGATTCCCTCGACACATTTCCTTCCTCACATCCTCATCCTCTGCACTCTGCTTCATTGGGGCTCCTCTGCCGCCAGAACCCTTAATCCCGCCGACCAATCCGCCGACGGTGGCGAAAATTCGGCGTTTCAGTACCACAACGGCGCTCTCCTCACCGGGAAAATCTCCGTCAATCTAATCTGGTACGGCAAATTCAAGCCCTCCCAGCGCGCCATCGTCTCCGATTTCGTCGCTTCCCTCTCCTCCCCTGCATCCAAGCAGCAGCCTACCGTCGGGAGCTGGTGGAAATCCACTGAGAAATACTACCACCTCATCAAATCCTCCAACAAACACTCTCTCTCGCTGTCTTTGAGCAACCAGATCCTCGACGAGGGTTACTCGATGGGGAAATCCCTCTCCTCCAAGCAAATCGTGCAATTGGCGTCGAAGGGCGCCCAATCCAACGCCGTCAACGTCGTCCTGACTTCCTCCGACGTCGCCGTGGAAGGGTTCTGCTCCAGCAAGTGCGGTACCCACGGATCTTCTTTGAGCACTGCCGCTGCTCGCAAAATCAATGGCGGTAAAAAGGTGTCGAAGTTTGCTTACATATGGGTCGGGAATTCGGAGAAGCAGTGTCCAGGGCAATGCGCGTGGCCGTTCCACCAGCCCATCTACGGCCCGCAGTCCCTTCCTCTGGTTTCCCCGAACAACGACGTCGGAATGGACGGGATCGTCATCAATCTGGCTAGTTTGTTGGCTGGAACCGCGACGAATCCGTTTGGGAATGGGTACTTCCAGGGACCTAAAGAGGCGCCATTGGAGGCTGCATCGGCTTGTACTGGTGTTTATGGAAAGGGAGCTTACCCTGGCTACGCTGGGGAGCTCTTGCTGGATTCCACCACTGGGGCGAGCTACAATGCCAATGGAGTGAACGGCAGGAAGTACTTGCTCCCTGCTCTGTTTGACCCTGCTTCCTCGGCTTGTTCTACTCTCGTCTGATTGTAATTGTATTAGCAAGTTTTGAGAGATTAATTCATTCTTTGATTCATTGTAAGAGATAAAGATCATGTATAATGATAACATATCACGAACGATTATAGAAAACATTTGTCGTCATTGTGGGGTGATGATCTGTGGCTCTGTACTCTGTAGTTTTCATGTTCCTATACTTCTTGCTCTTGGCTTCTTGCTGATATTATATACTGGGATGCAAGTCCTGGTGTAGAGCCAGTAGAGCATAAAGCTACTACCATAAAGAAAATAGCCAGAGGTGGGTCGAGGTGGGGTGAAAAACTGAAAATCATATATCCTTCGACGCCATTTTTATACGATGATATGATTTTTCTATGATTTGATTTCTGGGAAATTTTACAATGCTATATAGCATTGGTGCTATAGGTTTTTGCCATTATGGTATAACTTCAGCTTGTACCTTTTAACGTTATGGTATAACTTCAGCTTGTACCTATACTATTTTACAAATTCTTTTATGTTACAACTTGAACTTGTACCTTTATGTGATGGTACAACTTAAAGTTGTGAAGTTATACCATAACATAAGGGTACAAATTCCTTTATGGTACCACCCAAACTTATACATTTTACGTTATGGTATAACTTTAAGTTGTACATCAAAGCACCCATGCTTTATAGCATAGTAGAAGTGCTCTTGATTTCTTGGTCGTAGAAGAGGCTTTAAATTTCTTTGGTCGGTATTGACAGTAGTTTTTTCATCTCATCATAGTTGTTGTAAATGTTAGGAACCACACTATGATGAGATGAAAAAAACATGTTTTGTAAGCTAGTAGTTTCTTTGGTCGGTCTTGATAGTAATTTGGAACCACACTAGGAAAGACTTTAAAGATATACAACAGCTGAATTGAAGAATGCACAATGCCCCTTTTGATTGGCAGCTTCCAACGAGGTGAATCATTCACATTTCATTTTTCCCAATATCTAAATATTGTCTATTTTTTGTGTCAAAATTTGAACAGTGTGTTTGTTTGTATACAGTATTTGAATCAACTCCAATACAACATTGAATATTTTTTTTTGTACATATTGGCCGAACGTGTCATCCATCAGGATACCTATGAATAGAAATGCTAGTTTGGTTTTGATTCGGTTAACAAAATCGTTAAGTTGGAAAAATCGAAAAATGAAACGATTAACTCCAAAAATAGAAATCAGCACGTCAACCCTTTCATCGATTTTGGTTCGGTATGAACAAACTGAAAACAAATCAGTTTACCATCTAGTATGCAATTGAGAAGACAACTCAAACTCTCCTGTAAATGTAAAGGGAATTTCTGAGATTTCCATTAAACTGTATTGGTCTTTATACACAGAGCAACTAGCTATTACAACAAGAGGTTATTCCTACGGAAAACAGAGAATGAGAAAGCTGTAAATTAGCAAAAGAAAAAATTATGTTGTGGACATCTTTCACACTGAAATAGCGAAAGCTATTTCTGTTCCATTACGATCCCTCTGCAAAAAATCATTACGTAAAATAATTCACTCCTTTCTCATTTAATTAAAATTACTTTTTTTTTTCTTAGGGTCAAACTGAATTTTTAATTTCTCCTTTGACTTAGAATTACCACTTATGGGAGGGTAAAAAAGAAACTATAAGATATGAAAAATAATAAAACGTAGTAATGAGAGTAAAAATAATCTAAACGGAAAACCAGAAGAAAATGTAAGAGAAAAATGAAATTCCAGAAAGCCTAGTCTTAGTTTGTTAATATCCTTCCCAACTTCAAAAGGTCACGATATGATTTTGATTTTTTCCGATTTTATGGTTTGATCCAAAATCGCCATTGTTGCATTGCAAAATGGTTTGGCATCAAATCAAAATAGTTAACATTCTCACCCATTTAATTTCGGGTTGATCCAAAAAATCCCAACTGAAAACAAATGGACGCCCCTACTTTTATTACGAACGGACTGAAAGAAGCGAAATTATTGAATTGAAGAATGCATAACACTATTTTAGACTAACTGTTCTTAATGGAGTAAATATATCACATTTAATTTTCTCCAATATCTCAACATTTTTTTTTGTCTTTATACAATATTTGGTGGTTTGAGATTATCCACATAACTCTAACCAGATGACAACTATATTGAAACTTTTCAACCACTACAAGGTAAACCATAGTTCTATCAGGGATGTTTTCTGAATTTTCAAACTCAAGGTACTTCTATTTATATCTCATAGTCATTCCATATGTCAAGTCTAGAGTATTGATACTCTAATGCATTTTCCAAGTTTGAAGATTCACATGACACTAGAAAACTAGTAAATAATGATAATTGAAGAAAAGTTAAATTTTGCAAAGGGGAGTACGTATCTTGTCATATCCATATTGTGATGAGTGGGTGGGCATCACACAAGTTGCAATGTGAAGAAACCTGGTGGGCTTGGAATAGTGAAGCGAAAGGAGGGGGCCTTCCTTTTAACAAAAATATTCAGAGTCGTTTGGATGTGGAAATTTTAAAACGTTTGAAATTTGTCTGAATTTCCATGTTGTACAAAACCAAGGAATTGACTTGTGGAAATTGAAAAAAAATTCATGTTTGGATAGGGTTTAGTTTTGTGGGAATTGATGGTGTGGAATTTGGAAAAAGAAGTAAAAAAATGTGGTAATGTCAAATTACTAGGGGGAGGTGTAGTATTCTTAATTACCATGAATGTGGTAATTGAAGCCAATTTCCATACCATTTTTGCTCTCCCAAACATGAATTTTTAACCCAATTACTGCGTTATGTGGTAATTGGATCCAATTACTGCATTACATTTCCACATCCAAACGACCCTTCCCCTTTAGACCTTCCCTTCTGGTACATGAGCTTTATGAGTTGCCCTTCGTAGCTGAACAGAGATCAGTTAACAAGACAATCCGCCACCACTCTTCTAGTCTTCTTCCATTTAAGATGACCCTGTCCAGATCCGAATGCAGTTTTCAAGCTCGGACAATGGCGATCGTAGCAACAGGAGAATCTAACTTCCTTGACGCTGCTTTCTTGCTCGGCCCGATGATGCATTTAGCGATGGACCGCATGCAGGCAACCAAAGCTGAAGGATACAACGTCCACTGACTTGTACAATTTACATCCTCCTCAATGGAAGGTGGAGGTGAGCCGCTTCCTAACAACAGTCAAACCCCTACTTACGTAGCTTCAACCTCACTACCCAGCAAGAAAAAATTCAAGTAAAATCAAATCCTAGACTCTCTAAACAGCAGAAATTGTTGGCAAACAATCACGATAAGACCGTCGCGCGGCTTTCCTTCCTTCTTCACCATTCTCCCGATCCCCAGCCCCTTTATGTACAGACATTGGAAGAAGAATGCTGCTATACCGGATATGTTGGCCGAGCGGAGCAATCATGAAATTATTACAAGACTTCCATTCCAGGCTGCTGTTGGCGGATGGCGCCACCAGTCGAAGGGCTATCCGGTAGTAGCTGGGGCAGAAGAAGAAGCAGTAGGAGGAGCTTCTGTTCGTTTTGCTAGCCAGATGCTGTTGCCGAAGGAGCTACCGTCATCAGAAGTTCTGTCTGCTGCACTTCTTACTTCATTTACCAATGGTGTGTGACCAGTTGCCACGCGGTCGCTTCTGGATACAGGATCATCATCAGGAGGTGGCAATGTTACCTCTCGCTCGGGCTGCTGCTGTCGATGACCGTCAGTGTTCGCAGAGGCAGACAATGACGCCGCCTTCTGCTGCTGCTGCTTCACTGTGTAGGGCACTGAAAACTCTTCCTCCCGCTCCGGCTGGATGTTCAAGTCTATTATTTGACCTTTGAAAGGGGACCCGGTGGTGGTGGGATTTGGTTTTGTGGTCTGACCTGAAGCTGGAGAACCATCCTCATTATTATCAACATCATCATCCTTTATTGGCGACCGCTGCTGCTGCTGCGGCTGCATCTTCCGCGCAATGGCTTCAGCTGCCACTCTTTTCTCCTCCCTTTGCTGCCTCTTCTCCCACCGGTTCATCATCAGGGTTCTGAATCGGCGCTTCACTGTCTGGCAGACAGTACACATGCACGACTGCTTGTGCTTGGGCCCCTTGCCGCTTGGCGGCTGAATGCACACGATACACGTGCACCCAGGTCTGTGTCGAGGATGCTTTGTCGTTGCAGCCTGAGAAGAAGAAGCCTCTCCGCCGCCGCCTTCTCCTCCTAGAATGGCCAAATTTGCGAGCGTGTCGAGCCCTTCTTCTGAAGCTTCTTCCTTGTTGTTACCCGTGGTTTCTGATTTACCAGTCTTCATTTTTTTGAAAGCAGCTGCTCGGTATTCCAAACGCGGGCAATTGAGAGAAGGAAATTCCAAATCAAAACGGTTTGAAAGAGTGTATTGAAAACTTGACTATGTTGATATTATGTACCAAAAGGATTAGAAAAATTGTACCAGGAAGCGAGTCGAACAGAAAAATAGACTCTTGTAGTTATAACAACTAATCGAAGAAAAAAGGATAAGTTCGTTCAACTTCCTGTGTCTATATGAGCGGTGCACCTTGCATATGTAGAAAAATACGCATTTTTTGTTCCAAACAATATATACCTAGATCAGGGGGTGGCAGCAGATCTTTGAGCTGTTCTCTGCTCACTTCTTCATCTGCCAAGCATGATGATCTGAAAAGAGGATGTTTTTTCAAGCAGTGTCAGACTTTCGAACGATCCATAAGTTGCATTGTCAAAATCAAGTAATATGAGGCACAAGGTATATAAGAGAAGTAACCACGTTCAAGTATCACAGGCTTAACTACCAATAACCCACCAGAATGTGATTTAAGCCCCACTTTTCCTTAACAGCCTGTTTGGATAGCTTAAAAATCGAAGAAACATTTCCTGTTTCCTAACTCTTTTATCATTCTCATGTTTGAAATAAAGAAAATGGGTGAAATCAAATTCTAGGGGGGGACAAAATAGGGCATTTGCAAATGCTGGGATTTGGATGTTCTGACGATGACAGGTCATAGGTGGACTGCCCATCGCCTTCTTTCTCTCATTCTCCTTCTGTTTCAAAAAAGAACCACTTGCTTTTTGAAAATTGAGAAATGGAAATGATATTCATTTCCATTTGTTATCGCTCGATTGTTAAATGGGTGGTAAGAGCATGGATTACAGGCCAAAAAAAAAAAAACCTAGATGGCATCCTAAACTACATGACTTCTGTAGATTTAAGCAAAATGGAGAGCAACTGTTTACCTTTCTGGATCCCAGAAGTTACTTGAACATATCCATCTGGAGGGAAGAAGAGCGTTGGCAGGTAACTTTCGCCACTTTGAACAATCTTCACATTGAGCCCATTGTACCTTGTGACTGAAAAAGAAGACACAAACACACAATAAGTTCTACTGGTATCCAATGACAAAACAGAGGGTAGGTAACAGTCAGTTTTAAATATAGAGACGAGAAAACGACATCTCAACTGCAGAGACACACAGGGAAGGGTTTGGTACATTAAAGAAAGAAAACATATTTGAGGACAAAACCACAGGGTGCCACAAAAAGTATGTTCGTCATAAAGGGATTCAAGTAAACAAAATAAGCAATTTACCCAGCATTATCATTTGCTAGAAGTGTAGGCTTCCCAAGAACTGGTGCATCCTGTCGTAGCAAAATTGATATCTAAGATGCTGAGAACTCATGGACATAATACACATAAGCTTAAGCACAAAGTATTTGGGAATAGAGTCAGAAGCATATTGTAAATGCAAAAATGGAGCACATAAACCATTGGATGTTACGAACACAGAATGCAACTTATTCGACTCCAGTTGAGCAAGACAACGAATATTTTACCTCAAATTCCTCGAATTCGAATCCTTCAATTACCACAACACTAGGAATATTTTCCGGAGGAGGACGGAGAAGCCCCTGTGCTTCTTCCCATGTTATCTGCAATTCTATCATATCCTCACTTTCCAATCTTAATCGCTTAATCTTTGAACCCAATATTCTGTTCTTCCTCTTTTTCACCAAAGGTTTGGAATCAAGAACTTCTTTGGCTATGTAACCTGACTTGTCTACTTTAGAAGATGCTATATAACCTGAATAGTCAACTTTAGACCATGGACTCGGGTCTAACAGGTCAACCTGGTTGTATCAAGGCAAAAAAAAAAAAAAAAAAAAAAATATTGTGCTCAGGTTTATAAAAAAAACAAATGTTGGTTAAAAATAAATGCCTGAGTAGAAATTTATACGAACTTCTCCAATTCCAGAAGGGCCAGTTACGGGCTTGCTTGATTCATTATCCTACATACATAAGCAATAAAAGCATTAATTCGCCAATCAAAACCAGTGGATCATCATTGAGGTTGAAGTGGGGAGAGATAGAAATTAATGATAACAGCTACCAATACCTGATCAGATGACAGAGCAGATGAAGCTTTTCTGAATCCCATGACCAATTTCCCTTCAGGCTCTAACCGACTGAATGTCACTGAGGAACAGAGTCAATAAATATACAGTACTATCAATTATGGCAACAGAAATAATTCTGGAACTTAGATTCACATCACTCAATGTGTAAGTTTGAGGAGGCATGGTTTCCTCTTTTCCTCAACACTTGTTACACATACATATCCCAGATAACTTGCCAGAGTACTCCTGTTCAGATATACTCAATTTTCTGCTTACCCGTATCACCTGCTTGGAGTCCCATATTCTGTATGCAAGGAGTAACCCCCTCAAGAACATACATTCGACTATTGTTGTTGGGCCAAAAACGGAACTGAAATATCCATTCTTTGCCTTTAGCATCTTGAATCTTGAGAGGTAAACCATCTGCCTGAGAGATTGGTGGAAAATGAGCCTGAATCGACAACAATAATGCATATCAATGTATAATTAGAGGAAAAGAATTATTATGACTTTCACAACGAAGATAAAGGAGGGTTTCTAACCTCTGCGCATTTTTTTGGCAGCACCAGCCGTCCAATTCGTCCAGCATCACTAGGACTCAATTGTTTCTCAAACAAAGGAGTTATTATAGAATTTGAACTTAGATGGTTAAGGTTTCGATGTAAATTATTAAGATGATTGTCAAGTCCTAGGATTCAGCCAGACCCATCAGCATAACCCAGAAATCAATATTTTATGAAAATAAAAGCGAGGAACTGCGGACGCAAACTTCTTCCAGCATAAAAAAATAATAATCAGAGCTTATTTACATAATGGTATCAGTATGTATAAAGCATGAAGAACGCCCCAGCGATTAAAGGATACTTTACAGATATCTGTGCCAGCTCCTCATCAGTACACCTTGGTGAGTACCTTGGAAGTAACTGGCTTCTTCCACGGGCATCTGCCCGGGGTCTCCCTCGACTACGAGGTTCAACAGGTGAATCACTTACATTCTGAAAACTAACAGAAATCTGCTTTACAAGTGGTGAAGACGTCGCGCGTACAGTTGATCCAGAGCACCCAAAATTTCCATTAGCTTCATTTGTGGATGCATATGTTCCAACCATGCCAAATTTCAGGGTGGATAGATCTTCTCTTACACAAGAAGACTGTTGTTCCTCAACAGATGCACCTGCAGGCAGACATGAAAAAATAAAGAGAAAGAAAAATGCTTAGCAACCATAATTGATAGTTCCCTGTGCCACCAAGTCACTGTATTCAGGTGTCCCTTAGTACCTGCATTAGAATTCACAGGTTTGTCCCTTGAACTGAGCTTCAGATTTCCAATTGTTAATCTCTGAGCAAAATGATCAAATTTTCCTTTTTCTTGAGAAGTGGAAGATAGTCTCTCAGAGGCACTAACAACATCATACGGCATCCTAGGTTGCGCATCAGTCTGAGGAATAGAAGAATTGAACAAACTGGGTGCTTGTTTCCATGGCACAGGACCTGATCCAGCTAAATGGTTCCAGTTTCTAACTGAAAGGTCCTTCAGGCTGTCAGATACATATCCATGGTAAAACAAAGGTGCCCATGCGGTATTTGATGTCTGAAATGCAGAATTGAGAGCACACAATATTAGTGTTTTTCTCGAGTGTTCTTGCTGTACTAAATGATACACAAGATGCACAATGACATAAGAACCGTATTTCTCCAGCAGCATTTCGTAACATTAACCAAGACTAGAATTTCAAAATCATAAAACTTACAAATTACTATTAGCTTTGTCAATCCCCAAAAAGATAAATAAGTTTGGGTTCTGTCATTAACAAAAAAGGGAAGTCCAACAGATCCATATACTTACCAATACTACGTTCTTCTTTGCACAAGCCACACACTCAATCCCACCAGCATCCAACAACGTAAATGCACTAACAGAGACAATACATCCACAATGCACACGCTGCAATAGAGAAATTAACAACTGAGACAACTTACAGTAAGAGCAGAACAGCCTAGTAGAAAAGATCAATGCAATCAATCAAGCTACACTCAACTTACCTTCGCACAGGACTCACAATGCCTCCAGCCACTAGCACGTGGGTGAAAAATCTCACAAAATTTCCCTTCCTCGTAAGCCATCCTATGTCACCGCCAACAAAGTTAACATTGAAGTTAATTCATGAAAAGTTAAGGCCTCAGTCCTGCATAACAGCCCCAAAAAACTCGACAACCGAATGAATATCAAAGCTCACAATTAACACTCAACTATATGGCCAAAGAGTAAGTAAGTCCCACCAACTCAATGATCGACATATTTCCAAATTACATCCCTACCGTTAATTCTAAAACACTCCAATTCACCATGTCCAAGTTTTGGATGAAATTATCAGAACTTGAAAACTCTAAACGAGCTGGGTGCAGTTGCAATAGCCAGAGTTTCCATTCCCTACCCAGCATATCTAATCAGTCTCAGTAGTCAGTACTCAACAAACGTCAACCTCCAAGTCAAAGTCCGGAATGGAAGTTGCAAGAACTTATCTAATGGCCACGTACTATAGCATACACGTAAAACAAATCACAAATTTAGACCCTGGAATTCATCAAAGAGATTTCAGAGGAACAATGCTAGCACAGCCGTTTTTCTCTTCCATCTCGTATTAGACCAATCGAGAAATCAAAAACTAGCATGCATTCCACCGTACCAAGACGAAGCCAGATCAAATTTCCCCAAACCAAGCTCAATTTTCCGAGCTCCGGCAACCAGAACCAAACAAACAAGCAAAATGGACTGACTACGCAGAGAGAACAACAAAAATACAACCATTGCCACATCACGAAAACGAATGTGAGCCGTGAAATCACCAAACTCCAGCTGGAGTTCTCCGACTACATGAAATTCGCATACGAAACCAGAGAGAGAGAGTCCAAAGCCAAACAGCCAGCCGCTAAGTTCGAACTGAAAAGAAGGCAGGAGGTTAAAGAGACGCTTTGTAGTTATACTCACCCGCATCGATCGCATAGCTCGGCTAGCTCCCCCGAGCGCAGCCGCCAGCCTTTCTTGGACTTGCTCTCCGTACAGTCGGAATTGAAGCATTTGTTGAGAGCGGTAGAGGCCGCGGAGGGAGGAACGGCAGGAGGAAGACCGGGCGGCAGTGGCGGCGGGAGAGCCGGGGCCGGAGAGGGAGCAGTCATGATAGTGATTTTGCGTCAGGGGAGCTCTCTCGCCTCTCTCTCTCTCTGTATCCCGAGGCTCGGCGGAGAGTTACGCAGAGAACCAAACTATCGCATAGTAGAGAGAAAGTCCCCGAGGTTTCAAATCTTTCCGCTGTGGAGAAAACCGAGAGAGTAAAGAGAGAGGTAGAGATATAAATAATAAAAGTAATATAAAAATGGAGACAGCAAAAATTGGGAGCATCAGAAAGAAAGACGTCTCGCGGCCTGATATCTGTGTATACTTCATAATCCAGAAGGGTTCGAGTACTACGTGGCGAAAGGATACAGTCAAACAGTCTAAAAGGAGAAATTTGGGGTAAAACTTAAAAAGGGTGAAAATAGAGGATTGATAAATTTACCACAGGATTGAAAATAGAGGGTGAAAAAAATTACTGGAGGCTAAATCGCTAGACAATATTTAACTGTATAAAACGGTTGAATTACAGTTAGATTAAGCGGATATCTTTTGATCGAATGAGTAATTTGTATGTTCTAGTTTCTTAGTGTTATAAACGCGCTGCTACGGATCGGAAAATCGCCGGAATCGACAAAGTAAGAATACAAAAGCGAGAATCGAAAAACACAGACACACGATTTACGTGGTTCACTAACACGATGTGTGTTAGCTACGTCCACGGGCGAGAGAGAGTCAGTTTTACTATATCGAGGAGATTACAGATTACAGAGGAGTATGAGAAGTATTTATAGTACTTCTCCACGTGGGTCTAAACCTAATCCAATCTGGCAAAGAAAACGGTTACAGACCAGGCCCAGAACCCGGACCCCACTCGCTGACCGGGCAGCGAGACCCCCGATTACCAGTCGTAGCGGCTGATAATCCGATTCAAGTCACATCAACACTTAGCATTTGTTTTATTGGAGAGTCAAGTGGTTATTTGTGAAATAGTTATATGTGAACTCTTCTTTTGACCGAATGAGTAATTTGTATGTTCTCGTTGCTTAGCGTTTATTTTATTACAAAGTGGTTATTTGTGAAATAGTTACATGTGAACTCTTATTACAGTGGAGGGTTATCAATCATGGGGGATCATGGGGGAGGGAGCTTATAAGAGAGTGGGTTTCAACACCCATATTTGATTTGAAAGTGCCTCTAAGAATTATATGTAAATATAAACTATGCATAATATTCAAATCTTGCTTTATGATATAATTGCATCGCCCTAATCACTGAACTACACACCTTGTAAGAAGTATTTGTTTTTTTCTTTTAACTATTTTAACCGTTTACGTAAACAAATTGCAGTAAATACTCTTAATTTATCAATTTCTAGTTACTTTCGACTTCACCTCTCTAACCAAAGACAACTATCAAACCTTCACCTAGCCAACCGGAGAACATTTTTTCAGCTAATTTTTTTACTGATTTGTGAAAGGAAGAAGAGTTAAGTATCTTCATTTTATACTCAAACCAACGTTCATTTCATATTTATTCGAGTCTGAAACTCTTGAGATGATAGACAAATTGTCATTTGCTAATTAATTCGAGTACTTGTGCGTGTCCTCCCTGGAGACGAGCAATAATGGAGGGAGAAGACGGTCATTTTCACATCGCCGTCGTCCTTAGCGGGGACCGGCGGTGGACCTCACACCGTTTGACGAAAATGCCATAGGGCTACCGCCGACCGGCGTTGTTCCTTTGGCGGCTGGTTTTGGAAAGTGAAGGGCATTTTCGGGTTTACCGCATGGCCCCGCTCTTCAAAGTCATGCAATGTCACGTAACGCATATTTCCTTCCTTATCTATCACAATCCGCAGGCGTTTCGTGCGTTCATATGCATTAAACGGCTCAACTGCTTCCAGTCTTTTCTTATCTTATAAAAAAAATATAAATGTTTTTATTTTATTTCACCTCTATTGTTTCTGTTCATTTGGAATTACAATCTCAATCGATCAAGATTCAAACTAAGGAAAATCAGTAAACATAAAAGATTACATTCTGCATACAATAAACAGAGATTCTGTAGTATCGACGAATCTTGCCGATGCAAACTCTTTGTATAGCTAATTCTAGTATACATACATGAACTCAAACCTGAGTGAATGTCAGTAACATTCTGCAGAGAAATTAAACCATTGAAATGGACTGTACACCGCCTTTCCATCTGCCTATCTTTCTTTCAGCTTAGCCGTTTTGGGGGGTAAACGATGGTCTGGTTTGATGATGAATGGAGAAAATGAAGCTAGCTAGCTACATCGGAGAGAAGACGGTGGCTAAACCTTGGTTCACAGTTATCAGAAGCTTGTCGTAAGCCATAAGAGTCTCCTCCTCGCACTTGTATGTTCCACTTCCTCTGGCCAACACCTCGCCGTCCACATCTATGATCCCTCCGACATTCGGTTCCTTCACACGTTGGCCGGGTTCCAATATGAACGCTTTCACCTGTTGTTTTTTTAAGAGAAGAGAAGCGTGATTTGGAACAGGACATTCGCTCCTCGTTTAGTATTGGAATTCGTATGAATCGAGTTAGTGCTCTACAGAAATGGAAATAGGATAATGGGAGAATATGAACCGACCTTGAGGTACATGACGTGTGGTGATTTCACATGACCGCCGTTGCTTAGCTCTGTCATGAATGAGAGCAAGGCTAACCTTGGGCATTCCTTGATGAGCACCAAGTCCAGACACCCATCTGAGAACTGCAAATCAAGGAAAGGGGTTAACAGAGTTTATTTTTGTTATTGTGCAGATATAAGGAATTACGAATCAGCAGCAGATTCAGAAACACGAGTTCAAATAGGACTAAATAGAGTTTGACACAAAGAGATCATTGGACTAATTGTCTCAACAAAGCCCTAGCTGGACCAAGCGAATTGCAATAGAACAGTCACTCTGTCGAATGTGTGCCAAATGGCCTCACCGTCTAATCAAAATAGTCCAACGAGCACTCCACACGCACGCACCACCCGACAGTTGATACCCAACACTTCCCTACTCAGCGCAACCTGAATCCCAACTTGCAAGTGAACATACAAATGCGAGCTCCAGCCCTTTCTCGAATAGGAAAGGATAGAGTCGGGTGGAGTCAATATGCTCCAACACTGAGCTACGATTGACAGCAAAATACTAGAGAGTTGGGGAAGTAAGACCAACCTTTGCATCAGGAGCTGCCATGGTATTTTCACCGCCCCAAGCTACATTATGAAGCCAGACTGAAACAAATGGTCCACTAATTGTCCGCCATTCCTGGTTCATCAATTCGACATCAGGTCCATAGTAACCATAGGGATTGCTTTTCACGAGATGTTCCTTGCTGACATCGCAAGGCTCTCGAGCACCTGTAAGTCCACCTTTGTGATTGATTGGCTCCCCATATGCTTCAAACCCTGGTGCAGACACGAAAGAGATTTGCCCATCATATTGTCTTAAACCGAACAACCGTTGAAGAGCCTTCAAAAAAGAAGAAATATAAAACCAATGAATTAGAAACTATTCAAAAGAGCATTATTAACATTAGATTGGAACTCCCCAGCAGAAACTTTATAGATTGAGGAACAAAGTATAAAGAGAACAAGAAATAAGAGATCCGTACATAGAAGTCAATGCGAGAACTCCCCATCCATCTATATTTCTCAGACTCAATGTCGATATCTGCCACTAGACCTGAAACATAAGAGGACAAGGTCTGAATGAAACAAATGTACAGCTTGCTCTCAGCAATCATCAAAAGATTAATGAAATTTGTCGTCATGCAGGATCGGTAAGCATACCCCATGCCAGCATCAAAACACTGTAGTATTTGGTCTCTCCTTGCAAGACAGTGGCTACATCAAGTGAGCACCTATGACCTACAAGAAAGAAATGGATCAAATGGGGAAGAACTTTCAAATCTATGGTCTCACGACAAACTATATTAGGCAAGTTAATATGGTTATGTAAGAAATGCAAAAGTTCTCCTTATTAACCTCTTATTATTGCAAGAACAGCATTTTCTGGGCTGCACAGTTCACCAGCTGCATCCAGAAGAGATTTTACCATGCCATTACTTGTACCTGGATCAAGATAAAAAAAATTGTCAATTATAAAATAAAAATAGTCGAAATGATACAGTAGTCATTCTATGATCGATGGGTTGCCCATCTATTTATCAAAGAACCTTCTACCAAAGGAGGAAAAACATCTTCCAACTCTTATAATTGGGAGGCAGCTATTGATACCAACAGTTGAGAACAGCTAGTTTAAGTTCAACAACCATTATAATTGTCTGGCCGAGTCTGTTTGGGTAATTGCACAAACCCACATAATAATGTAGAAGTACTGTGACTCTGTGAGCACACCAATGGCTCATTAACATATGCAAGAGATTCAACAAAAATATGTAGGACAAAAAAGGAACCTGCAGGAACTATTCCAAGAGGCATCTTTATCGCATCCCGCCAGTCCTGCCTCTCCAGAAGACCATTCACCACCTACTAAACATTTCAGCATTGGTAAGGAGAAAATCGACATTAAGCAGCTACAACAAAAATGGAAAAGGCTAATACAGACACTAATAATAGCCCTTGATGTGTAAGAAGAAAGAGAAAAAATAACCTCCTGCATTAATGCAGAACTAAAAATAAAAACCAGCCCATTGAAATAAGCACTACATTTGGAAACTAATTCAGGATCAAACAAGGTCAAGGCCGAGAATTGCTTCGAAGATGCTAATCTTAGGACTGTCTTTCCAGATTGTAAGAAATATAGTTGATAATGCAATGTACAAGGCTCACAAATTATGCTAGTATATGATATCCAAGTTAAAGACTTTAACAAGAACAGCTAGAGAAACTACAAGTCTACGACAAAAGTTCTCGACTTTTTTACCCTAAAAAGAATCCCATCAGCTGCCAAAATCACAAGCCAACTAACCTCAACAAGGATACCATCTCCGCTGACACAAACAATGCCATCATATTTGGAAAGTTCCATGCTGCTTACAACTTCCTTAGCGTGGAGCCGGTGCATAGTTTCTGACAACCAAGAATCCAAGGTAAGAAACGGCACAGAACCAAAAAAAAAAAAACACCATCCATTAGAACAGAGAATGAACGTAGAAATGACCAGAAGTTCAGAAACCTTGCAATGTAATCTGGACACCAGCATCCTCGAGTAACGGCTTCACATGATCCAAATACACCTTGGGAGCAATCCTCTTCCCGCCATACGGGTTCACAAACACAAGCAGCCTCTTCGGTCGCCCTGCCACGAGGATTCGCCCAACCAAATTACAGAGGTAAAAATACACTAACTAGTCACTTTCTCGATTTGAAGAAACAAACTACTGGCACATTGAACGAATCAGTTTCTTAGTGAACTAAAGTAAGTAATCCAGGAGTAGCTCATCAAATATCAACACCAACCACAACAAGGAACTATAAGTATTATTCACATCTACATCCAGCAATACTTCTTTTCCCCTTTCCTTTAAATCAAATGACTAAAATTACTACTTCTGCACTGGAAAAAATTGAACTACCAGGGCAATTAACTTAATTCAACTCCATAATCATAATTAGAGTTCGTATTAACACCATACTCAGCAGCCACTTAACAGAAATTTCTTCCTCCGTTTTTCTTACTTAAATTAGACTGCTCTTATTAACTCCATATACAAAATTTTCAGCTCCGTGTGTTCAAACTTCAAAGACGAACTACTGTTGCATTCAACGAAGGTAGTTGCTTACCAAGGGAATCGAGGTGATCGCGGAGATGCATGCACCAGAGATTAAGCGAATCGCCATGGACGGGCTCGAACGCGAAATCCTTCCTAACCAGACCCGCTCCCCTGCTCCCGATACAGCTGCAGCACCCTCCTTCGCTGCGGACGACCGCCCTGACCACCACTTTGGTCCCTTCCACGACGAACCCGAGCACCTGCTTCTCCAGCACCAAGCACCGCGGCTCCTCGCCGTCCGTCCACCGGAGCTTCCCTTCGGAGGTGAGCGTCAGCTGGGTGGTGGCCGCTCCGTCGATTTTGACCAGGCCGGAGAATACGGCTTGCGGCGAGGATCCCTTTTCGTCCATGGCGGCGGGTGGGAATTGGGAATGCCCGGAACTGTCAGGGGGGAATTTCTTTATAGCTGGGATTCAAATTGGTGTGGCGTGAGGAGAAGATGGAACGGAATTCTGAGTTCTGGAAGTGCGGCGATGCCTTGGAATTGCAAGCAACGATGGGAGCTGGGTTGATGGACTTTTGTTAAGACTGCTGAATTCTTGTCGCTTTGCTAATTTCGCTGTATCAAGCATTCAAAGCTCGTTTCCCCCTTTGAATGTAGTTTTCTTTTCCCACGCGCGGGATGCCGTGAGGGGAGCGTTGTCGATATCCCCGGAGTACCGAATCTTCCTCCTTTCCTTTCCTTTAAAACGCTCCAATTGTGGGCATTTCAAATTAACTTGAATTAATAAAGAGAGGAAAATCTTACATATATATACTTGTGAGAAAGAAATCAAATCTAGATGAACAACATTTTGAAACATTTTTCTCCTAGTAATATGTATTCGAATATATTTTGGATTTTTTTTATTGTAGCTCAACTTCTAACAGATGTATCATGATTTTAGTTTGTAGCGAATTCAATGATCCCAGCAACAAATTCAATTATTAGGGGGAAAGTCCCTTCTCCTAGTAATATACTCGTTACTAATATCGTTACATTTATTTCCAGAATAACCTCATTTCTAAAACTGTGAAATATTCTTTTACTGTTACTTTGTTTCATATGAAATACAACCTTATTTATTGAAGAACAAACAACCAGAGTGGCGAATTTCTTTTGCAAATATTTTGAGATAACTGGAAACAATGAATGACTACATAATTGTATAAAATTGAATATTTTGAGTATTTCACTTTTCAGTTAGGAATGGTGTCCCTTTCAACAATATAGTCTTATGCTTTTATATATTGTAAGGCACCCCATCTGTCGTTTTATGGTTGGATTGACGTCTAATTTGAGTTATAGTAGTTTTAAGGATCGAATATTCGAATTAGGTAGTAATCTAATGTTGCATTTACAGTTTTACACTTCTTCCCTCCACTTACGTCAATTTTGACTGTGAAAATAAAATAAATAAATAATTACATCAACGGCAGACAATGGCTTGGACTTGCCCTCTTCCACAGACTTCATTAGACTGGCCTGCTGTGAAAATACTGCCACTGAACGGGCCGGAGTCTAAAGGCCCATAAAAAGGGCGGCCGAATTATTCTTTTAAAATCTAAAGTCCAAATATATTTTTACTTTTACTTTAAAATTTAAATGCATTGTAAAAAATAATAATTAATAGTTTAATACTGGTCGCTTTGCCTTCCCCAAATCACGAAAACACTCATTGTCTCCACTATCCACAATTTCAGAACACTATTCTTGCAACGATTGACCTACTAGAAGCACTCATCATTGTGCTAAGTGACGGATCCAGAAATTCTACGTAAGGTGTCCTCTTAAAAAATTAAATTAAATATTATAATTAAATTAAATAATTATTAAATTTGATAATATTTAACTAATAAAAATTTCATTTGTTTCCTCAAATGATAAAATGCATATATTGCTCAACAAATATCTCTCGACATAATCCTACTAGACAAGGATATCCAGTAATTGAGTTTAATCATTAGGTTTTGAAAAAAATTTGAGATAAGAATAATATTTTGGATTTTGCTATGGTGACATGCATGTCACCATGACATGGACTTTTCGGTCGACCTAATCCTAAAGGCGGTCGACCGAATTGACTAATTTGGGCAGCATGAGAAAGCATTGCGGTCGACCTAATCCTAAAGGCGATCGACCTCAATTCATAGCATAATTGATGAGTCCTTGTTATCATTATTTATGACTAGTTATGATGGTTTAAAGCGTAATTTAGATGAGCAAAAGAACCACACAAATCGACATACATAAGCAAAAAGACACGGGGCATAGGTTGACTTTCTTGTATTCGGTCGACCTCGTACCGGATTAGATCGACCTCGACACCAACACTTGATCTTCATTTTACGTCAAATGATTGGATAAATTGATAGAACACTTATCGTCTATCTGGTCGACCTCTTTCTTTATCTGGTCGACCATATTGTTAATGACTGCCATCAAGTGGTCGACCTATATACCTTTACGGTCGACCATGTTGTTTCTGACGCAAATGAAATGGCCGACCGAGGTTTATTCTGGTCAACCAAAAATAACAACTTAAACTAAGAACGGTCGACCGGGTGGTCTTTGAGGTCGACCGCAATGCTTTCTCGTGCTGTCCAAATTAGTCAATTCGGTCGACCGCCTTCAGGATTAGGTCGACCGAAAAGTCCATGTCACGGTGACATGCATGTCATAGTAGGCATACCCTAACATTTTACTATTATATTTGGATCTAAAACACAATAACAAATGCGTTGTAGCGTAATTGAAATATATTAACGAATAGTGACAGTGTCCCAAATTTAAATCACATAAACTACTACTTAAATATTATTTGTACCAATACGCAAACTACTACGGGAGATTGGATAATCATTTTCCCAAATTTTAAAGGTGTCTCACTACCACTTAAACATTTTTTTTCTCATACGCAAATTACTATCGTAGATTGAATAATCGTGTTTCCAAATTTTAGGGGTGTCCCGAGACACCCCTAACCATGCATGTATCCGCCAATGACCGTGCTTCTCGACACCCCTAACCATGCATGTATCCGCCAATGACCGTGCTTCTCGTTGAACCTCGTTGTAAGCCAGTTTGGTCGAACTCCCATCCAATCCACTCAGACGGTAAGTTGTCCTCTCTGTTGAGCAATAAACCAATCGTCGTCGCCTTCTTGGCATATCCTGGAAAAAAAAACCGTCATCATTTAGTCCGTAGTCGCCATTTGCCGAGCGATTGCACTATCACGCCTACCCTCTACAATTATTTTTTGTGATTGTTTTTCTTATCTTTGCCAATATTCATATGATTGAGTTTTTTTGTTTGTTTGCGATGTATTGGACAAAAAAATAAAACAATAGCCGTCATTTAGTCCGTAGTCGCCATTTGTCTAGTGATTGACTTATCACTTACCCTCTATCGTTATTTTTTTAGATTGTTTTCTTTATGTTTGCCAATATTTATATCGTGTGTTCTTCCTTTTTTTTTTTTAACGATATTGTTCGTCCGTTCCAGGCTCAAAGCTAGCATTTGCGATGGATTGCAGATGTTGTTGTTGCTGGAGGAATGGAGTTACATAACTTCTCTATGAGAACATCTCACATTACCATTAGACCACCTCTGGATGTTTTGTAAAAAACTAAAAATCGTTATAAACTTCAAAAATTTATAGTTAAGGGCCGTTTTGCTGGGCCAAACTGTAAAGCCCACGAAAGGTCCATCTCCCTTGTTCTTCCCCTAAAGCCCAAATATTAACAGGCGCGCTCTTAACCCGCCAAAACAAAACGGGAACGAGGTCATCGGAAATTGCCTTTTCCTCGGGCGGCAATGGCGGACGAACTCGAAGATGGAGGGCCACGTGCACCGGCGACCCGAGTCTCGCACATTAAGAAACGAGCGCTGAAGAACAAAGCTCTGGCCATATCTTTCAACGAGAAGGATCTCAGGTAACTGAATCCAATCCTTTTTCTCCTTTTGCACTGAACTAGGGGAGACCATTAATTTTGAACGTGGTTGAAAATCCATTGGTTTCGGTTCTATTCGCTAGGGACTACGTCACTGGGTTCCATAAGAGGAAGAAGAAGAGGCGAAAGGAAGCTCATAAGCAACAGGAGGAGGCGGCGCGACGAAAGCGCATCGAGCTGCGCCAGAAGGTATGTGTTTAGTAAACGAAAGACTGTCTAAATTTTATTTGTTTCACTGTTTCTAGGGTTTATAGAGTTGCTCGTCATTCTGTTGCTGTGACGTCGAGCTAGCTATGGGACAATGTAATTCGCATTCCGAAATGGAGTAATTTGATGGAGAATCGAGTTGCTAATTGCATTTTGACTAGGCTTGCGTCATTTCTGTTTAGTGCTTCCTAAGAAATACACTTCTCATCAGTCTGCAGCTATAACGTTTTTGGCTCTTTAGGAGCTTCTGAAACGGATGTAATATGGTTAAGTATGACATTGAGATATTGTGTTGAATCTTTGTAATTGCACTTGTGAAGCTTTTGTCTGAAATGAATTTCTAATGCTTAACAGTACCAGTTAAATATAAGTGTAATTCTATACCTGTTCCATTTTCTTGGATCCAGAGGAGGTTGGAAGATGTATTTTATATGGAAGAAGGAGCCCCACCAGCGGCTGAAGAGATTGAGGAGGATGACGAGGGTGGGGAAGAAAGTGAGCCTGTTGCTTCAGTTAGCGGTATGTCTCTTGGACCTGATGACTTTTCGGAACTTAATCGAGATTTATGTTCATTTGGATATTTTCTTTGTGGTATGCTTTTCAAGAGTGCTGATGATGCCATTGCCTTGCTGGGAGCTGTTTGGTTCTTGGGGTATTTGTAGTTTTGATTGATGATGAAGCTGTTATTAATCAAACAGAAAACATAAACAAGCATGCTGTTTGTTATGCCTAGATGTACATGAAAATAACAGAGTAATCATTTCATCTGCGTTCTTCGGGGTTTTATGCTTTGATTAGTATTCTATTGAATAACCATTTCGATTTGGTTGTCGGGCTTTCATGCTCAGATAATTCTTCTGTCGAGCAGCCATTATAAGTTGGGTTCCTAGGGTTCTTATGCTCAGATGAATCTTCAGCCAAGTGACCATTTTGATTGGGTTCATAGGGGTTTCATGCTCAGAAGAACCTTCAGTTATGTAACCATTTCGATGGGACGTTTGTAGGTCGAATGATTATAAATCTCTAGCCATCTGACGAAATGAGCTGCATTATAGTTATGGTCCAATTCCAATATTCACATTCAGTCTAATACTCCACTGTCTGAATTTGTGTTTCTCTCCTTTCTGGCAAAAGGGACAACGATGTATGACCATGGGGACTTGAAGGTAACGGTGACGACCAGTGAGATCTCCAGAGGAGATGACGACTCTGGAACAAAGGAGACAACGCCATCAACCATTCCCAGACCAATTATTGTTAAGAAGAAGAACCAGAAGCTACCTTTGAGTAAAAAACCATCATTCAAGAAATCCTCTAAACGCAAAACCCGAGCAAAGCCACAGAGCAAGAGGGATAAAAGGAAAGCAAAATTACCGAGCCACAAGTGATAAGTCTTCCCTCACATGCAGCCTCAAAAGGGCGGAGATGGCTTCTTCCTGGTATTGTTTTGACATGTTTACTGAAAAACTGATCTGGTAACTGAATAGTTGATTATGTAACCACCGTTGTGATCCACTTGTGTTGGGGGAATATTGATGTCTGTGTGCTCATGTGCTTTTAGCTTTCTGCTCCTCTGTTCTTTTGCCATGACCTTTTTCATTCTGTTGAACTAGCTAGTGGCTAGGCCTTTTTTTTATTTATCCGTTTGCTTTATATCTCGGTGAAGTAAAGAAAAAGTATGAGAGTATGAAATTGCAATTTCGTTCCTAGGTTTAAGAGGAATTCATAACCTGGTGCCTACATTTTTTTTTTTAATTTATGATCATGTTCATTAGTTACGTTTTTTGGGTTTGTATAGACAGTTGCTTCAAAGTCAGATAGCTTCTGAAAGAAATTATATGATTGGATCATTAACCTTGCCTGAGGCTAGGGGTGGGCAAACGGTTCGGGAAACCCGAATCGAACCGAACCGAAACTGAATTAAACCAACCGAAACCGAATTAATGCTATTCGGTTCGGAATTCGGAAGGAAAATATGGATAGTTCGAAAATTAGGGTTCTTTCAACCGAACCGAATTTCCGAATTTCTGACCGAAAAACCGAAATACTATAATTGCAAGCTCCAAATGGTGGATTTTTATGTTTGTAGTTGTTTTTTTACTTAAATATTTGAAATGTTTTATGACTTATGTGTTGAAAAGTTTGGTTTTATCATTGATGATGCATATAATTGATATTTATTGTTTATATTAGGGGTGAAAAATAATTTAAAAGTGAGAAAATACAAGTAGCTTCACAAATTCGATTTTCTGTGAAAAACCGAACCGAACCGAATTATAATTCGGTTTAAACCGACCGAACCGAATTATAATTCGTTTCGAATTCGGTTTGAGATTTGGGAGAATTCGGGGACCCGGTATTCATAATTTCGGTTCGGTCGAAACCGAACCGACCGAATGCCCACCCCTACCTGAGGCTGAGTACATTACTACCTTTATTGTATGGATGGTACATATCAAGCTTCTTTCAACCTTAACCAACTCGGCAATGTCTCAATGGGTCATTTATTTAATTCTTACTACATTTCTCGCTTAAGGATATTGAGATTTTGATGAAATTGTTGGGATATGGATTAATATGCTATAAACGGGCCCAAGCCCACCGTAAGGCGTCCTGGGCCCAAGCCCACTCAAGGAAGCCCAAACCTTATATAAGGGGGGCCCAACCCTCCAAACTAAAGATCCTCTCTTCTCTTCCCACACTCTTACCCTAAGGTCTCTCTCTCTAAACTCTCTCTCTCTCTACATACCATAAACCGCTTCCTATATCGTACTAACTTGGGCGTCAGAGCGTAGATCCCGGGGGCCGCTCCCGCCTCACAGGTTCTTTCACCCTAGTGCATTAATACAATACTGTACATTTTTTTAAAAAGTTACATGATTGAATCGCTATGTTGTTTATGATCAGTTTAAACTAATCTCACCTTCTTATAAATCATATATGTTACTTTCAACTATCATGATAAAAGAAAATTGGATCAACTAAGTGAAAAAGACGATGAGTAGATATGAGGAATTGAGAAAGAACACGAGAACATTATACGAGTAAAGCAATAGTGAACGAATCACTTGAAGTAGTTCATGAGTGGGAGTTAATGCCATGTGCAACATAAGAAGCTTCTCGATACCATTTGTCTAATTTATTGCCAGTATTCTAGCTCGATGATATTCATCTTCCAAACTCTGATGTGATATGGCATATTAATTTCAGTGTGATTACGTCCAACAGACTCCAATTTACATGTCATAAAAAAATGATGTATGAAATGTACCGAGGATCAGATTGTAACTTCTACCAAAGCACGAGGCTTTCATTGTCAATTTGCCACGGATTCCTTAAAAAGATGAATCAAAGATATTTCATTAGTCATTACACACAAAAATTGAAGACGGAAAAGGAGTAACGGAAGGCGGAAAATTCTTACTAGCAGTCAGATAAGTACGCACCTTTAGTGTCGTGGACGCAAACGGAGTTGACGAATCCACGGGCCGAAGACTCACGGAGAAACTCTTTTTCCCTTATCAGTTTCAAGCCCGTCGATTTGACTTACTTTGACTCCATCGGACGGTTCAGATCAGTCAGCCGCACCAGCCGCCGTCCGACAAAGCATTTTTTTTATTTATTAAATTAAATATCCACTTCACTGTTGCGCACTCCCAAATACAACAGCAAAGCGAGAGGAGGGGACAAAAGGTCACAGAAAACGAAAACTCAAGAACCCGAGCCGCGCTCTCGTCTCGTTCTTTTTTTTCCTTTCCCCTTTATCTTTTCTCCCGCTGCCGAGAAAATTCGCAGACGCTTCCCGGAAATTTCTCAGTAGCCAAACAACAAAAGCTGCAGCAGCAGGAAGCTCAGGAAGGAGGAGAGGGTGGAATTTCAATTTTCTACCGCCCAAGGTTGGTTTCCCGCTTTTGGTTTGCTTTGCTCTAACTTTTACGCTTTCGGGAGAGACAAAAAAGGCGTTTGTTGGTGCTTTGGAGGTTTCATTCGCTATATTTTTCCGGTAGTTTGGATCAAGGAATATTTGTGGTTGGTAGAAGGATAATATCGGTTTGTTAAATTTGGAATTGGTTTTTCCGCTGATTGGGGGGATTTTTTTTTTTTTTTTTTGATGTTTTCCCGATTCACTTTCTCAGCAGCCAAACACGCGACGGGGTAAAGGATGCAGCAACCCAGGTCGTATTTGGACAGGCCGAATGGCAAGCGAGGGCTCGAAACGAGCTCTGCGGACGAAGGTGGCCAGCCCGATAAGAAACGACCCGCTTTAGCCAGGTGGGTTTTGCTTGATTTAGGTTCCGTTTTTCTCCGTTTCATGTTCGTTTCCGTCGGAAATTCTGGTTGTTGCGTTCTTTTGTAACTGTTAAATGCGCTTTAGCCGGATAGGAATCTTGTCATGAGCTCAGAGTATCTTTAGCTTTGGATTGTGTTTTCATTATAGCAAAACTAAACTTCTCTGCACTTGTTTTTGTAGTGTGATCGTTGAGGCTCTTAAGGTGGATAGTCTGCAGAAGCTCTGCTCATCATTGGAGCCTATTCTTCGGAGAGTGGTAAGAAAATTTGACCGCTGTGGACGTTTTCTTTATTTTCATTGGAGTAGCACTCATAGATTTTTAGCAATCCTTGGAAGCCTGAGCTGTCTTCTTTGAGCTCTCTTGTCGCGAAAGGCGAATGGAGATGTCGGGTTGTTGTAACTGGCTGTTGTTTGGTGCCAAACAGGTCAGCGAAGAAGTCGAGCGTGCTTTAGCAAAATTAGGTCCTGCCAAACTTACTCCAAGGTAGCTAGCTTCTGCCCTCAGCTCTCTTTCTTAGTGTTGTAGCATCCGGCTGTATTCTGTTCTTAAGCTGTGAATGGTGCATGTTCAGTTGATCAATCTGGCCACTTAAAATTTGAAAGTCAGTTCTGTGATATTAACATGTTTCTAGACCGACTAGAAGTGTTCTGTTTGCTTGTTTCACCCGGTGCGCTTATATTCCTTGAGTCGCATGATTGATACTATTACAATCTTATGTGATGAGTTTCCCTGTGTCTCTGATGTGTTTTTTGAATGGCTTGGGGCAATGCAGGTCTTCTCCTAAATTCATCCAAGGGCCTGATGGCAGAAACTTGCAGCTGCATTTCAGGTCAAGATTGTCCCTTCCTCTGTTCACCGGTGGGAAAGTTGAGGGTGAACACGCCACTGCAATCCATGTTGTGTTGATCGACACAAACTCGGGCCATGTGGTTACATCAGGTCCGGAATCTTCGGTTAAATTGGAGGTTGTTGTTCTTGAAGGTGATTTCAATAATGAAGATGACGACACTTGGACTATTGAAGAGTTCGAGTCTCATGTGGTTAAAGAACGTGAAGGGAAAAGGCCGCTTCTTACGGGGGATCTACAGGTGATTCTAAAAGAAGGTGTAGGAACTCTTGGTGATCTGACTTTTACTGACAACTCGAGCTGGATTAGGAGCCGGAAATTCAGGCTCGGTCTGAAGGTTGCTTCAGGATGTTGTGAAGGCGTTCGAATTCGCGAAGCAAAGACAGATGCATTCACTGTCAAGGACCACAGAGGAGAACGTAAGCTCGTAACTTTTTACTTGTAAATGTGCTTGCCTTAGTATGCATTATTGTTGCTGTTGTTCATTCTGATAGATGCTAATCTAGTTTTTGCATAACTATACAGTATACAAGAAACACTACCCGCCTGCTCTGAATGATGAAGTTTGGCGATTGGAGAAGATTGGTAAAGATGGGTCATTTCATAAGAGATTGAACAAAAATGGAATATACACAGTGGAAGATTTCCTCCGTCTGGTGGTTAGGGACTCACAAAAATTGCGCAATGTGAGGAACTGCTTACTAGTTGGAACTATAATTCTGATTCATGCATGTATGACCATTAGGAATAATCCTATCAAGTTGATGTTGTAGATTCTTGGAAGTGGCATGTCCAATAAGATGTGGGATGTTCTGATAGAGCATGCCAAGACTTGTGTCCTCGGCGGAAAAGTTTATGTCTATTATCCTGAAGATGCACAGAATGTTGGTGTAGTTTTCAACAATATCTATGAGTTAAGTGGGTTGATTGCTGATGGACAGTTCCGTGCTGCTGACTCTCTTTCTGACAATCAGAAGGTAAAGTTCTTGAAATATAATTTCGCTTGTTCATTTTCCAAGTCACAGTTATGTGGTATCACGTGCATCCCTTCCAAGATCTCAACCTTCGGAACTGTTTGCTAATGCCTACTTATTCTCTTGGATATATAATCCCTAAAAAAGCAAAGCCTGAACTCAAGAGTTGATGATGATCTGATTTTGCAGGTCTATGTGGATGGCCTAGTCAAAAGCGCGTACGACAATTGGACACATGTAATTGAGTATGATGGAAAATCCTTCATGGATTTTAATTCAAACGAGAGCACAATTACGTCTCAAGGCGAAGTGGAAAACAGTCCTCAAGATCTTTTGGGATCATATAGCCATCAGCATGGATTACCAAGCCTACTGATTCCAGGCGCTCCACCACCCGAGCAGCCTCTTGCTACTGGCCCAACAATTGCAGGTACTTATTTAACTGTCAATAAACATCGTGAGCTATAGAGCATATATTCATGGTGGAAAATCCTGTCTCTACTCTCTAGTTATCCCCTTCAGTATGGTGGCAGATTAGCTTTTTTAGAGTGACAATAACCCGTTTATATTTATTTCTCTTTTGTCAGGATACAATAACGATATATCATCAAGATTCTCAAACCAATCACACAATGAGAACCTCAACACGCCATTTCTGTTCGATCCCAATCCGCAACAGCAGCCTCTACAGCAGCAACTATTGGTTGGGACGTCACATGAACAGCAGTATCCAAGAAGTGACAATTTGCTAGCTCTCGGTCCGCCTCAAACCTCCACGTCAGACTTCCATAACACCGGACTGTCAGCAAACCTCACCTCACACAGAGGAGTCGCCGTCGATGACTTCTTCACCGAAGAGGAGATTCGGTTGAGAAGCCATGAGATGCTTGAGAACGACGACATGCAGAACCTCCTCCGAATGTTCAACATGGGTGGAGGAGGTCAGGGTTTCAACGGATCCTTTGGTGGTGCTGAAGATGGATACCATCACCATCCTTACCTGTCGATGTCGACTCCATACGCCCCCAATCCATCTCCTAATTATGGCTTCACCGGCGATGACCAGTCTCGTTCCTCAGGCAAAGCTGTGGTCGGCTGGCTGAAGCTGAAAGCAGCTTTGAGATGGGGCATCTTTGTAAGGAAGAAAGCTGCTGAGCGGCGTGCTCAGCTTGTCGAACTAGATGATCCTTAGGGATGGGGGACAAATCTTGGTCTCACTCACTTCGGTTATCCTTCCTCATAGCGGTTAGTGTAAGGATGTCCTGGCGGCATTCTAAGTCGTCCAATCGAGAATCGGACCCAACTGCGATTCATGTGGAAAACGAATGCACCACAGCTACTTATTTTTTCACAGCCATTCGATTCTCGATCGAATGACTGAGGACATACGAGGATGATTCTTGTGCTTACTCTTCTGTGGGGAATAGCTGAATTTGGCCTGGTCTTTGTTTTGTCTGTACAGCAAGTAGAGCCTCTAAACCTGCGGCGATATAGTTGGAAAAATCAACTAAAATTGTGGAGAGCTATGTTGTTTCTCCAGCTGCAGTGAAAAGGGCCAGTGAAGTGTGCTTTTTGTATTTGGCTTTGGTTTCTTCAGCATTCCTTATAACAATGATTTCTCCCGTCCAGTAGCGTGATGTGGAATGCGAACTCTTTACTACTTTTTATTGATTTCTAATTTTGCTACGATTTTCTGGCCCTCTATTTTACTTTCTGCATTTATTGTTTTCGTTTATTTAGGATATTCGATTGCTTAATTGTTGTCTTATTAATTATTATTGTTTTATATATATTTTGGGAAGCTTATCCCGTTTAGGAGAAGGTTTCATAGGTTGTGCTTGTATTGTATGTATATATGCGTCAATAGCCAGATTATTTAGGAAAATCAACTAAAGAGTATTTTCTTTTTCCAGATCATAGTTATTCGTCAAGAGAATTTCCGGGCCGGCTAAGGATCGGAGGCAGCAGCCCCTTTGTGAGGTACGCCGGCCGGCGACAAACATTCTCCCTGCAAACTTCCCGTTGTGGTTGAATGTTTGTCGCCGTTCTGGCTACTCTCTCTTGGGAGGTTCTCTTTGCTGACCCTTTAACGAAGCTCAATGTTGTCAGTCTGCCATCTACTTGCCAGTCCACAGTCCGTATGTCTTGGTCGGGGGCTGGACTCTCACCGCAACGGGAAGTACATTCGGTCAAAAACGTGCTTTAAAATTTAAAAGCTTATACTGAGGAAAAATGCAGTCTGGATCGTTTACAGCTATACGCAGAATTCTGCAATTTGTACTCGGCTAACTATCAAACTACCTTCTGTCCCTACTGTCTACAACAATCAGACTTCTAACTTGTTATATTGCAGACCCCATTGGTTGTGATATTGATCTTACGCGAGGAACGAAATCAAAGAATAGATCGACTTGTAGAGACTCTCTATGTGGTTGTGTATGACAGGCGATCAATCTACATCTTTCCCAATAAAATTACCGAATTACAGTCCAAATCTAGACATGAGTTCTCCAATATGGCTAACTCAATCAAAGAATCGCGCTTTTCATTTACAATTGTAGTCAAAATATACTTTTTAAAGCTTGAATTACGTTTTTACGATTCTAGGCCACCAAAACGCTTCTAAATAGAATCACGATTTTGATGGCACTGATTGCAAATGTATTAAATCATGCATGCATGCACTCCAAGTATTTGCCTCTCTTTTTATGGATATAGTAAGTTTTGCATTTCGATCTTACACTTCTATGTTAAATAGTTTCAGGGGTGGTTGGACATAAGCCAAGTTGAATGTGCTTTCCCACCCCGAGAGGTTGAACGAGTGAATTGCAAGCCCTCTTGGGGGAGATTTTGCTACGCAGAGCGTGTTGCGCCTTTCTTAGACCGTTTGTTCTCGATTTGTCGTCCTAAACTGATTGTCATAGTTAAAACTAGTCGAGCCATTTGAATCTAATGATTGAGGAATCGATTGCTTCACCCCACCAGAAGCATTTAATTAGGTAGTTTGGGAATGAAAATTTGACCAAATCAATAAAGCGGAATGAAAATGGACAGCGTCGTTGCCGTGCGCGGTGCGGGACACAACTTTTCTTTGCTCATTTTCCACCTCGAGGATACGTGACAATTTGACATGGACAATACTAGTGGTGGGGTAATAAAACTTGGGATGACAAGGGGCTAGCTTGGAGGTATTTTATATTGGGGCACATTTTGATTGATCGATTTGCAGGGATTTGCTACACGGTGTTCATTTTACAGGGGTCGGTCGTTGAGTTTCGTATCGCGAATGGTGAAAATTAAGTTAAGAAATCAGCTTTTGCCGAAAACGCATAAAAAAGCTGTCCATATTGTGACAAGTAAACTATCCTATCATTGATTTGATTAACCAAAAATTGATAAGGTCTTTAATGATTTTTGTTTTATTGAATTTGCTTGATATGATTTTTCATGCTATTATTTGGTTTACCAAATCAAACCAAATTAACTGTCTTGGAATGAGTACATGACATTTATAAGTTGTGATTTGTAAGTAGGAATGGCAATGGAACGTGTTTCTGGCGGGCTGGTTTGCCTAACTATTCGGGCTGCAATCAAACTAATCTAATGGCAGAGGTGTTGCAACCTAGAAAAGCCCAACTCGGCCCAACCGTTTTATATGACCTGGCCCATGTAATATGCGGTCAACATCCAACCGCCCGGTTCTTGCGTTATTACCTTGCCGCGGCCTTCGCAGCCGGCCATAATCGCTCAACCGACTGAGGATTTCTGCGAGCAGAAGCTGATCCAAACCTCAGCTTTGTGGTTTTACGCCGTGATAGCGATCTATTCCTTTTCATCGTACGCCCGTCGAGAATTCGTTCGCCGATTTCCAGTTATCGTTGAACGATTTAGGTTGAAAAAACTTGGATTAAGTTTTGGTATGCAGAGGATGGTTAGGTCTTTGACAGATTTAGAAGAAGCAGAGAAATTTAGAAGCAGCGGAGAAGGAGAAGATGGGGAGGAAGACAGAATCTCCCAGCTTCCGGACTCAATCATCCACGCCATCCTTCATCAGCTGAATTCCCCCGAGGAAGCCGCCAGAACCAGCTCGATTTCCACAAGATGGCGCCGCCTATGGCACTCTTACCCTTTCGTGGATTTCAAGCTCTCCGGGGAGAATCAGAGTCAGTTCCCCAGCTTCGTTGCCTCCACTTGTAAGCGGCTGCTGGGGCTGCTGAATTCGGATTCGGATCACAGCACTACTAGTGGTTTTGCTGCTGTAGCCACAATGATTCAGGATTTCAATATCTCGGTCCATCTTGATTATCAGAACGACGACCTCGACCGGTTGCTCTTGCTGTTCACCACATCGCCTGCCTTGTCCCCGGCCAAGTTCGTGCTTCAGGGCCGCTGTAGTTTGCCAGTTATGAATTGGAGCCGCACAAAACACATCAGTCTCTTTGGTTGCGAACTCATCGCCCTCCCAACTGCTGCTTCTGTCTCTCTAGGCAGCCTCGAGTATCTGTGTCTCGTTCAAGTCAGTATCAGCGAACAACTTCTCGAAACTTTCCTGGCCAATGCTCCTCGCCTCGAGTCGCTGACAGTGTTCGACATTGATGGGATTGAAAAGCTGGAAGTGGTCTCTTCTCCTCGGTTACACGATCTGAATTTGGGCGACATTGTTTACAGTCCGGGGTGGATGGGCCATCCGAGGCAAGGCAGAATACGGAGGCTGAAGATTTCGACTCCAGACCTCAAGGTCTTGCAGATTCAGTCGGGCTTGGAGGAGCTCGAGATTGATGCTCCAAATCTGGTTAGTCTCTCCTGGAATGTTTACCCCGGCGAACCCTTAGCGAAGGTCAATGTTATCAACTTGGCATCCGATTGCCAGTCTACAGTTGAAGTGGAATATTTTGGTGAATTCAAGCCACAAAAGTTAAGGCTGTCCCTCTCCACCACGTTCGCTCAATTCCACCGCCTGGCCTTGTCTTTCGAGTTATTTCTGTCTACGTTGTCGGTAAGATACTCAAATTCACCGCAATGAATTCTATTCGCAATACTCCCAAGTTTTTTTTTTCTCTTCGATACTGTAAATCCATACGGCAGGTTGTACCAGAAAAATCAGTGCAATAGAATTTTTTATGGTTCAATTGTTGCGTATCGCTGCATAATACATGCACGGTGCACCTAGCAGTTTAGCCTCCAAGCGGTATAGCCTATATTTTGCATTTCTTCACCTTGATTAATGAATTCATTTTGATAGGTACCGTTGGACATAAGCCAAATTGAATGCTCTTTCCCACCTCGAAAGGTTGATCGAGTGGAATGTAGGAACCATACAGGGACTGTTTACGAGGCCGCAGCTCTTTCAGACCGTTTGTTTTGGGCTTGTCGTCCGAAATTTGTGGTGATAACAAACTGTCGGCGTACGTGTCTGATTGCTGAGGTACATACTCACCTATGTATCATTGTGTACATTAGTGCTCATCTCTTCTCACCTTGCAGTGATTTCCCCCCATTATACTAAACCCTTTTAATTACTTGGATTCGAATAGTACATGTGTCGGGAGTATCTGAAGCCGGCCTCTCCCGATAACGCGAATGCGGCTACGTTTTGGAGGCGTCATTTGAAAGAGATGAAGATAGAGAATGACGCTACTGGTGAGATGATGGAGATCTTCGAAGATATGATTTCTTCCATTACAAAGCAACAAAAAATTAGGTTTATGTTGACATGGTATGAAAACATAGTTTGTTAGATACGGAAAATAAGTATATGCAGAAGATGAATTCTCTTTTATCAATACTGTTGCATCTAAAATTGTTTTATTTCTAAATTAGAGCATGTTTCTTTCTCATTGGTCGTCTTTTAGCCTCCAATCCATCGAATTAAAGATTACCAATGACAATTTTTTTTTTTTTTGAGATATCACCATCTTCTCCTTTCTCATTATCTATGTCTTAACTCTAGCTGAAGTTTAAGAGTTAAGACCCTTTGCCTAGTCGTCTTTCCCCAAATGGCCAATAGGAACATATAATGATTAATGAATAAACTCAATGAAGACTTGATAAAATCCAATCAATGACGACTTTGATTAAGTTTCATTAGAATTTTCTCCAATCCAATTCTCATGATAAAAGAATTTCAATCACGAAGTTAAACCTACAAATCTACACTATGTAAAAATGCTTGGCACTAAGGACTGTTAACCATTATTTATATATTTAATTATTAACTACAAATATAATCAATTTTGTATAAAAAAAATACATGTACGGTACCGATTTCCACCCTATTGACATTGTTTACTAGTCCAGTTTATATAACTTTTGAAAACTTTTGAGTGAAAAGATACAGTTTTACTTATTAAGAAGCCTATACGGGTTAGAAAAAGGGGGTTTGTAGGGTTTAGAGTTCCGTGTCGGCTAAGGATCGGAGGCAGCAGCTTGAGTTAATTTAAGCCGGCCGACGACAAACATTCTTCCTCCAAGTTCCAGTTGTTTCAGCAGGAGAATTAATTAATGGTTAGGGCCGTGGGAGTGAGAGGATCAGGAAGCAGAGGAGGAGAAGGCGGCGAAGACAGAATCTCCCAACTTCCTGAAGAAATCATTCACTCCATCCTCAATCGCCTGAAATCTCCAGAGGAAGCTGCCGGAACCAGCGTGCTGTCGAGAAGATGGCTCCAACTCTGGCGACGCTACCCTTTCTTCGAGTTCAAGCACTCAAAATAAAAAACCGAGTTCCAAAGCTTCGTTGCCTCCAGTTCTAGGAAACTGTTGCCCTCGTCGGACCACAGTTGTTGTGCAACAATTCAGGTTTTCAGCATCTTACTTCGCGAGGATGATTTTCACAAGGAGGATCTCGATCGGTTGCTCTTGTTAATCGCAAATCGTAATGCCGATGGGTTATCTCCAGTCAAGTTCTCGCTTTATGTTTCGATGGCGAAACTCGCGCGTTCAATGCGCTCTGATTTCAAGGAAAACAAAAAACCCAAAGTCAGCAAAATCGTCAAATATCCGCCGCCGATATCGGCGTCGTTGATTTGATCGATTAAAGTAGAAACCAAGACGATCGCCAAATATCCGCCGCCGGTATCGGCGTCGTTGATTTGATCGATGCACCTTTGACCTCTAATCACACAACCGTTGCTCGGTTCACCACCTCTCCAAACTACGTTCGAACGAGGGTGTTCACGAGAAACGAGAAACCAAACCGGGAGTGTTCTAAGTTACGTTACCTCTACTCCTATGGAGGTTCCTCTGGAGAGCTCCGCAACTACGACTACAACTACTACGACTCTGCAAAGGAGGTCTTTGTCAGAGAAGTTCTACGAACTAGAGAGAAAAAGATAAATCTGCGTAGATGCAGTTTGTGATTTGATTTTGCCCTCTAGTCTCTCTCTCTCTTCTCAATCTTTATACTTCGCGCTTCTCCCCTTCGTGGTAACTGCCTTGGCGCCTTTGTCTCCCACGTCTTCATTCCTGTCAACCGTGCAGGTAACTTCCTCCTTGTTGCGTGATAATCACGTGCCCTCGAAACCGCTCTTGCTTTGCAGAAACTTGGCGAAACGACTCACCACCTTGTCCATGTAACGATGACGTTTCACCAATACCACGGCATCGCCTTTCACCAACCGATGCCGTTTTATGATCCAACTCAACTGCCCGACCCGGTTTAACCAACGACATTGTTAGTCCATCAAACAACGTCGTTCTATACTCTTGCGACGCCGTTAGGCTTGGCGGGCTGCCTTCGGCCGAACTCTTACCACTACCGCGATGTCGTTTTACTTTTCCGCGATGTCGTTCTTAGTTAAACAACACCGTTTCCTTGTCCCGCGGTGTCGTTTCTTCCTCTTACGGCATCGCTTTCAACTAAACGCCACCGTGCTAAAAAGTCATTAAAACATTAATTAATTCATCCGGCCATCACTAGCTATGGCCAACGACATCGCTAGCGCCACCAAAGCTCCGATTGTTTTTTCCTTTTTGCGACATTGTTTGTTATTTTAAACACTGTCGTTTGCTAATCCACGGTACCGTTGGGCTTATCGCGGTACCGTTTTTAATTTCGCGGCACCGTTTTAGCTCTCCGCGGTGCCGCTTCTCCCTATCCAACAAGGAGTAAAAAATAATAATAATTAATTAGAGTAAACAAAACTCATTCCCCAACACTCAACTAACGCGCGGCCCCTCTTTTGTTTTTTGGTGACCGGTGCCGCGGTACCGCTGAGCTTCCTTGCGGTACCGTTTTAATTTTCCATGCGGTACCGATTTTCTCCTTCCTACAAGGAATAAAGGTAATAATTAATTATAAAACTCCATTCTCCAACCCAACTACACGCGCAACCCTTTTTTTTTTTATTAAGCGGTGTCGTTTCCCATGCCGCGGTACCGCCGAGCTTCCTTGCGGTACCGTTTTAACTCTCCGCGACGCCGCTTAACTCCAAACGACATCGTTTTTAACCCGCGGTATCGAATTAAATGCCGAGACTAATTAATACGGCATTTAATTAATCTAAATTAATTTTAGGTGTAAACAATGTCATGCCATCGAGATCTTTACCCTGCTACAGTTTGCGGTTGGTTCCGAATTGGAGCCGCACAAAATCCATCACCCTCTGGGGTTGCGATCTCGCCTCTGCTTTCGGCGATCACGATAATCACAGTAATGGTTTGGCTTGTCTGGGCAGCCTCGAGCGCCTCACTCTGTCTAAAGTCAATCTCAGTGAACAACTTCTCCACGCGGGTTTCCTGGATAACGCTCCCCGCCTCGTGGAGTTGGAATTGTGGTCAGTTTATGGGATTGATAGACTGGAGGTGGTCTCTTCTCCTCGGCTCCAATCATTGCGATTGTGTGGCATCTATAGAAGCAAAAATGACTGCGAGAAAATGCGCTCGCTGAGGATTTCGTCTCCAAAGCTCGAGAAGTTGTGGATGCCGTCGGGGTTGGAGGAGCTTGAGATTGATGCTCCTGATCTCGTTAGTTTCTCCTGGACTGTTTATCCCAGTGACTCCTTCACGAAGGTTAATCTTCTCAATCTGTCATCTACTTGTCGATCCACAATTCGTGGGTTTTCGCTGGACAAGGAATTTTCACCACAGTGGTTGAGGATGTCCCTTTCCAGTACCGCATTCAATCAATTACAATGTCTGAACTTGGTTTTCAGCTATTGTATCTACTTTGCACGACGACAGGTAACGTACTATTAACTCCATATCAATCAAAACCAACTACCTATCCGTCTCTCTTTTTCTTTATGCATATAACATACAATAATAAGTTCTCACGTTTCTTCTCTTTGATAAAAAAAAAAAAAAAACTCAAGGTTTGGTTTGATTTAAGCCAAGTTGAATATGGTTCAGTGCCTCGAGCGATTGATGAAGTGAGATTTGAGGCAACTGCGATGTACCTTCCTAACATAGATCTAGCTGCGCGGTTTTTAGAGATTTTGTTTTCAATTTGTCATCCTAAATTCATGTCGATCAATGTTTACCAAGAGGAGGACCCTGACCAGCCACTTGTTCAGGTATGTGCACCACTGTTTGTTATTTCAGATCGATGTGAATATTGCCCATGATCATTCTTTACTAGTAATGAGTATATATTTTACTAAACGGTCTTCATTATTTGCATTTGATACAGTACATGTGTGATGAATATATGATGACGGGATCTCCTGACGGCGTGACTATTGTCGCATCTTGGAGGCGTCATTTGAAAGATATGAAGATAGAGGATGAAATTACTGGTGATATGATGGATATTTCCGAAGACCTGATTTCTTCCCTCGCCAATCGAAAGACTATTCATTTTATGCTCACGTGGTGTTAGCTTAGGTTACAAAACTTTTGAAAGCTGGCGATGGGGGTTATCGTTGGAGGAGTTTGAAATTGATGCTCCAACTTTGCTTAGGTCAACATTGTCAATTCGAAATCTCATTATCGATCTATAGTTCATGTAGTTTCTGGGTTCTCAATTCTCACCTCAATAGTTTAGGTTGTCCCTCTCTACTACATTCTCCAAATTCCGCAACAAGAACTTGGTTTTCAACTTGATTTTTCATTTCTTCTGTTCGATAAAATTGTTCGTTGAAAGGTGCCATATTAAGCCAACCTAAATGGGCTTTCCTACCTCCATCAATTGATTTAAGTGTGATATATATGATAATAAAAATGCTCATATTTTCTTTCATTGTTGTGTTTATGGTGCTAAACGCATGCTTTCTATTCGACACGTACAATACATGTGCAAGGAGTATATGATGACATTGACATACTACTCTAATAGGAGAATGGTATGAAGTACAAAATGATACTACTGTCGAGACTCGGGGAGATATAATATCCGAAAGATATAATTCCATCCAACTTTTGAAAGCTTTAAGAGTGAAAAAAAGAAGCTTTATGGATTATAGAAATTCTAGAGAGGACATAGTATTCCTTATTGGTTAGGGGTGCTAATACTTCATTTGTTAGCATAATACTAATAGTAATAGTATCTTAAACCAATGGAATCATCATATTTTGATAATGTTTTATATTTGAAGGGTTAAATACAATTAATATTGATTTTAAAGGGAGGGGCACGATTTTAATTTTAAAAATTAACTCTTATTCGCTCCACGTCTCGTTCTTAGCTAACGAGGGCGGATCTAGTGACAAAGGGGTGCTTAGTCACTTGACTAAACCCTTTCCAGCCCTTAGATTTGGACACAACAATCTGACGTTTAAAAAGCGGGAAGAGCTGTTTAATTAATGAAAGGGGTAGTTTGGGTATTATAAAAATTACAAAGTATACAAACCGGACTTACAAACAGTACAAACCATACAAACATACGAACAATACAAACTAGAGCGACAAAACATACAAACAATACGAAACATACGAACTATACAAACTAGGCCGACAAACATTACAAAACATACTAACAATACAAAATGTCACTACTTACAGTACAAAACAGTAAACTTGTATCATAAATCATTGAATACAAAGTATACAAATCAGAACATAAAGTACACAAACTAGACAAACAAACATTAGACATTACAAACATAATAAATAAAAACGAAAAACTAGAATGATAAACGATAAAAACCGAATTGATACAAAATCAAAGTATACTTACAAACATTACAAAATCGTCCGACAAACAAAACAAGCGTTGTCGGCGAAAAATCCACTCCGCCTCTGCCGGAAAATTCACCGATACCTCCCTCCCTCGTACAGGAGCTTGGTGGGATAACTCCATATATTCCCTCTCCCTAAAAAATGGACCGCCTGGAGAGGAAGGCGCAAAAGTAAAATTGCACCCGGTTCCTTGGCCGGCGGGAAGAGTTCGCCGGAGAAATCCAAGCGCCGGCGGAGGGGATGAAACATGCGGAAAAACAAAGGAATTTTTAAATATTAATAATTAAAAATAAAATAATCATGCAATTACTATATTACGCTTCATTAAATTGAATTAATTAAAGCCATTAAATTTTAATGAGCTTGAACGGAACGACTGAGATCGACTCAGACAAGTGATTAACGGACCCTCCTTAGTCACCTGATCTTAGCCCCTTAGCTAACGGCGACCACCAGAAAAATACAATTGGTAAAATACGGTACGAAAAAGTTACGTATAAAATACATACAGGTATTATACTTCGTCTCCAAGTTATAGTTACGTTTAATAGTACGTTAATAGTCATAAATATATAAAATTAATTATTTTAAAAATAAATAAATAATATTAAAGCTAAAATTTTAATTTATAAAATATGGATAATAAACGTGTTATACGGGTTTTATACGTGTTTAGTACGGGATACATCAAATGAACAGGAAAAAATGAAATGGCTTGACAATAATACGAATACGAAAGTTTTAAACGAATAAAATACGTACGGATACATATACATATATTAAACGGAGTATTTACTAACTAACCACCTCGAGAGTGAAACGCTTTATCAAAATCGTTAGGTATATTATTCTTATTCTTTAGTAATCCAGTTAATTAATTATTAATACTTATTGTTTTGGGAAAGAAGAAGCCTATTCGGGTTAGGAAAAGGATTTGTATGGTCTAGGGCTCTTTTGTAAGTTAAGTTAAGCCGATCGACGAAAACATTCTTCCTTTCCTCCAAGTTCCACTTGTTTCAGCAAGAGAATGGTTAAAGCTGTCAGAGGATCAGGAAGCAGAGGAGGAGAAGACGGCGAAGACAGAATCTCCCAACTTCCTGAAGAAATCATTCACTCCATCCTCAATCGCCTGAAATCTTCAGAGGAAGCTGCTAAGACCAGCGTGCTGTCGAGAAGATGGCTCCAACTGTGGCGACGTTACCCTTTCTTCCAGTTCAATCTCTCCAAATCAAAAAACAATTTCCACAGCTTCGTTGCCTCCAGTTCTAGGAAATTGCTGCCTTGGTCGTCTTCGGACTCGGGCCACAGCTGTTGTGCGACAATTCAGGATTTCAGAATCTCACTTCGCGAGTATGATGATGATTTTCCGGAGGAGGATCTCGACCGGTTGCTCTCGTTAATCGCAGATCATGCTAATGGATTATCTCCAGTTAAGTTTCTGCTTCATGTCCAGCAATTGAGATCTTATCCCAGCAGCTACAGTTTGCGGTGGGTTCCCAATTGGACCCGCACAAAATCCGTCTCCCTCAGTGGTTGCGATCTCACCTCTGTTACTGCGGCTGCTGCTGCTTTCGGCGATCAGGATAATCACAGTAATGGTTTGGCTTATCTGGGCAGCCTCGAGCGCCTCAGCCTGGTAAATGTCAATCTCAGTGAGCAGCTTCTCCACTGGTTTCTGGACAATGCTCCCCGCCTCATGTGGTTGAGTCTGCGGATAGTTTATGGGATTGATAAGCTGGAGGTGGTCTCTTCTCCACTGCTCCAATCATTGCAATTGTGTTGCATCAGTAGAAGCAAGAATCGCTCCGAGAGAATGCGCAGGCTGAGGATTTCGTCTCCAAAGCTCAAGAGGCTGTTGATGTGGTCGGGGTTGGAGGAGCTTGAGATTGATGCTCCTGATCTCGTTAGTCTCTTCTGGACAGTTTTTCCTGATGACCCCGTCACCAAGGTTAATCTCGTCAATTTGGCATCTACTTGCCGGTCCGAAATTCGCGTGTCTTCGCCGGCCATCAGCTGTTCACCACAGTGGTTGAGGGTGTCCCTCTCCGCCGCATTCAGTCAATTGCAACGTCTAAACTTGGTTTTCTACTTTTCTATTGACTTAGTACTGGAAAAGGTGTGGTTTGATTTAAGCCAAGCTGAATATGATTTCGCACCTCGAGCGATTGATCAAGTGAGATTTGTGGCAACTTGGTCGTACATTCTTAACAATGATGCAGCTGCGCGATTTTTGGAGCTTTTCTTTTCAATTTGCCATCCTGAATTCATGTCGATCAATGTTTGCCACGACGGCCATCAGCGGGTCGTTCAGGTATGTGCACCACTTTTGTTATTACTCTTATGGATGTGAATTTGCCCATAGTTCTTTCCTTGTAATGACTATAGATGTACTAAACGGTCTTCATTATTTACATTTGACGCAGTACATGTGCGATGAATATTTGATGACCGGATCTCCTGACGGCGTGAATATTGCCACATCTTGGAGGCATCATTTGACAGATATGAAGATAAAGGATGAAATTACTGGTGATGTGATGGAGATTTCCGAAGACACGATTTCTTCCCTCGCCAATCGAAAGACTGTTCGTTTTATGTTCACGTGGTGTTAGCTTAGGTTACAGAACTTTTGAAAGCTAACGATGGGGGTTGTCGTTGGAGGAGTTTGAAATTGATACTCCAGACCTTGCTTAGGTCAATATTGTCAATTCGAAATCTCAATGTCGGTCTATAGTTCATGTAGTTTTCTGGGTTCTCAGTTCTCACCACAATCATTTAGGTTGTCCCTCTCTACTACATTCTATAAATTTCGCATCAAGAACTTGGTTTTCAACTAGGGTTTTCATTTCTTCTAGGGGCGGGCATTGGTGCGATACGGGCCGCACCGCATCGTATTGATATAAACCACACCGTATACTATTCTAATAGCTGTGAAAGCTACTGAATTTTTGAGGTATCGTTCTATGAAGTATAGAATGATATTACTGTCGAGAGATGTGGAGATATAAGATCCAAAAGATATAATTTCATCCCTTGCAAAACAAGAGAAGGTTAGGTTCATTTTGACATGGTATATTATACCTAGGGCTGGCAATTCGGTTGCCGGTTAGCGGTTAGTCGCCGGTTATAACCGAAAACCGACAGAAACTGACTAACCGAAAACCGGCAAAAACCGACCTCGGTCGGTGTTCGGATGCCCATCAGAGGGCTCCGGCTAGCCGAATAATCGGGAATGATTAACCGCGACTAACCGGATAACCGACCCTCACCGAAAATCCCCTTCTCCCCATCCCAAAATTGCAGAAACCCTTCACCCCAAATCAAAAAACCTAATTCCAAATTTCCAATACCCTCCCCCATCCTCCCCGCTAGACCGCCTGGCACCTGCTCCCCCGCCGACAAATGCCATCAACGCGCGACCCTATCTCCACCACTCTGCCATCATCACCACCAACAATCATTGCCCCTCCAAACAAAATATTTTTTTAATACATGCATTGAATCAATACATAAAATGACAATACACAAATTAATTAAATATTGTTATAAAACTAATGGAAATGTAAGCAACTACAAGAGAGGATTGGAGGAGGAAAGACACAAAAGAAGTGAGGGGAATAGTCCTTCTTATTCATACACCTTTGTGATACAATAGTGTGCTCTATTTATAGGCACCCTTTGGTAACCACTACACCCTTACATCAATGCATATAAATTAGAGATAATAATATAGGAATGGGAGTTACATGTAACTCCCAAGTGAGCATCTAATGTGGTAGGCCATTGGTCATCCAAATATTAATATTTACATAATACTCCCCCTTGGATGACCACTATATTGCATTATTACGCTATCCCATGCTGCCTCATTAAAAACCTTACCAGGAAAACCCAGTGGGAAAAACCATGGTTAAGGGAAAAAGAGTGCAGCGCGTATATGCTCCCCCTCATGACCACATCAGCTCAAGTCTTTGAGTCGTCGAACTCCAATTTCACGAACAAGCTTTACAAAGATTGTCGTCGGGAGTGACTTGGTGAATAAATCTGCTAGATTCTCACTTGAACGAACTTTTTGAACAATTATTTCACCACTCTTTTGAAGATCATGAGTGAAAAAGAACTTGGGTGGAATATGTTTTGTTCTATCTCCTTTAATATATCCTTCCTTTAATTGAGCAATGCATGCTGCATTATCTTCATACATGATCGTCGGGACCATTTTTCCTAGAGATAGTCCACACGATTCTCTGATGTGTCGAATTATAGATCTTAACCAAACACATTCACGACTTGCCTCATGAATTGCTAGGATTTCAGCATGATTGGATGATGTGGCTGTTATAGTTTGTTTTGTGGATCGCCACGAAATAGCTGTACCACCACAAGTGAACAAATATCCTGTCTGAGATCTACCATTGTGGGGATCTGAGAGATATCCTGCATCTGCATATCCCACTAAATCCATCTTCGATGCACTCGAATAGAACAAGCCCATATCTGTCGTTCCTCGAAGGTAACGGAGTAAATGTTTAACTCCATTCCAATGTCTTTTAGTGGGAGAAGAGCTATATCTTGCCAATATATTCACAGCAAACGATATATCGGGTCGTGTGTGACTGGCTAGATACATTAATGCTCCTATTGCACTAAGATATGGCACTTCAGGGCCAAGCAGATCTTCATCACTTTCTCGAGGTCTAAATGGATCTCTTTTCACATCAAGTGATCTTACAACCATTGGATTACTCAACGGGTGTGATTTGTCCATATAAAATCGCTTAAGCACCTTTTCAACATATCCTTCTTGATGCACAAAAATACCATCCTTCAAATGTTCAATCTGTAATCCAAGACAAAACTTTGTTCTTCCTAAATCTTTCATTTCAAACTCTTTCTTCAAGCAATCAACTGCTTTTGGAAGCTCTTCGGGAGTTCCAATGATGTTTATGTCATCAACATAAACTGATATTATAACAAACTCACTACCCAATCTCTTTAGAAAAACACATGGACAAATAGGGTCATTCGTGTATCCTTCTTTCACCAAATATTCACTGAGACGATTGTACCACATTCGTCCAGATTGTTTCAATCCATACAAGGATTTGTTCAATTTGATAGAAAAATTTTCTCGAGAATGTGTTTTGTTCGCTTCTGGCAAAGTGAATCCTTCAGGGAGTTTCATATATATATCATTCTCAAGTGATCCATACAAATAGGCTGTCACAACATCCATTAGACGCAGATCTAGTCCTTCTCGAACTGCTAGACTAATCAAGTATCGAAACGTAGTTGCATCCACCACAGGGGAGTATGTCTCCTCATAATCAATGCCAGGTCTGTGTGAGAATCCTTGTGCGACAAGACGTGCTTTATATCTCACGACTTCACCCTTTTCATTTCTTTTCCGCACAAAAACCCATTTGTATCCCACTGGCTTTACGTTTTCTGGTGTAAGGACTACCGGTCCAAAAACCTTTCGCTTTGAAAGCGAGTTTAATTCTGCCTCAATGGCCTCTTTCCACTTTGGCCAATCATCTCTTGACTTGCATTCGTCAATAGATCTTGGTTCATGATCCTCATTTTCATTCATCACACTCAACGCTGCAGCGTAAGCAAAAACATCGTCGACGATTATTTTACTTCGGTTCCAACATTTTCCATCTAAGACATAATTGATTGAGATCTCTTCATTATCAAAACTTTCAGGTACCTGATGTTCTTCGGGAACTACAATCTTAGTTATGCTCGGGGACTTTTCTTGACCTTTCATATCCTCGATTTGACCAACTTGATTCATGGCTCCTTTTCTTTTTCGAGGATTTTTATCCTTGGAACCTACTGGTCTACCACGCTTCATTCGTGGTTTAGATTCATTTGCAATTTCAGATTGTCCAACAGGGACATCAACTTTCATTGGAGCATTTACAGCTGGTATGTGTGACTTTGTCACTCTCTTCTGGTCAGTAAAAGAATCCGGCAGTTGGTTTGCTAAACCTTGTAAATGAATTATCTTTTGAACTTCCAGTTCACATTGTCTAGTACGAGGATCAAGGTGAGATAATGATAATTCATTCCAACAAATATCTTTTCCCAGCTGTTTGCTCTCACCCCCTAATGTTGGAAAAACTGATTCGTCAAAATGACAATCAGCAAAACGAGCAGTGAATAAATCTCCCGTCAAGGGTTCTAAGTATTTTATGATTGACGGGGACTCATATCCAACATAAATTCCCAACCTCCTTTGAGGACCCATCTTAACACGCTGTGGTGGAGCAATAGGGATGTAGACGGCACACCCAAATATTTTTAGATGGGAAATATTAGGTTCCTGACCAAAAACCATTTGCAAGGGGGAAATTTCATGATAACTTGTTGGCCTTATGCGAATTAATGTTGCCGCATGCAATATAGCATGTCCCCAACAAGAAATTGGCAAGCTTGTTTTCATAAGCAATGGTCTTGCAATAAGTTGCAAACGCTTAATAAATGATTCTGCAAGGCCATTTTGTGTATGAACATGTGCTACAGGATGTTCAACATCAATGCCAGTGGACATACAATAGTCATTGAAAGTTTGTGAAGTAAATTCACCAGCATTATCTAGACGTATTTTCTTGATTGGAAAATCAGGAAAATGTGCTCGTAGTCGTATCAATTGGGCAAGTAATCTAGCAAACGCCAGGTTGCGAGTTGATAGTAAGCACACATGTGACCATCTAGTTGATGCATCAACTAAAACCATAAAATATCTAAATGGTCCACATGGTGGGTGAATTGGCCCGCATATATCACCCTGTATACGTTCTAAAAATGTGAGAGATTCACTCCTTACTTTCACAGGTGATGGCCGTATAATCAACTTGCCACGAGAACATGCAACACATGGTACATCTTTAAACTGATAAATTTTGTGACCTTTCAATGGATGTCCACATGTATTGGCAATGATTTTTCGCATCATAATCAATCCGGGATGGCCTAACCGGTCATGCCAAACTATAAAATTATCAAGATTTGTAAACTTCTGGTTTACCACTGCATGTGTTTCAATTGTACTAATAAACGTGTAGTACAACCCAGAAGAAATAGCAGGCAATTTCTCCAATATGTGTTTTTTATCGGAGACCATATTTGTTATCATAATATACTCTTTATTCTCTTCTTCCTTTGTCTCAATATGATATCCATTTCGGCGAATATCTTTGTAACTCAATAAATTTCTTTGAGACTTTGAAGAGTATAAGGCTTCATTGATATACAACTTGGTCCCTTCTGGTAACAATACACTAGCTCTTCCGGAGCCTTCAATTAGATTTGTACTTCCAGATATAGTACTAACATTTGCTTCTCGCATTTCAAGATGAGAAAAATATTTCTTATCCTTCAAGATTGTATGTGTCGATGCACTATCAATAAGACACACATCATGGTTTTTTATCTTGGTGCCAAGCATGGGAATATTCATTCTTCACAAAAGATAGAAAGTAAATCAATATAAGAAAATATCTCCAAACAAATATAAAAATAATAACATGATTATAATAGATGAAATTTAACCACATAAGGATTATAAAGAGAAATTATATTAAACTGACACATTAATAGGAAAAACACACTCAAGGAAAACGACAAAGAAAGTGAAATTTCAAATGGGAAACCCAAACTTTTCACTTGTGAACAAAGCGACAACAAAATAGAAATTTCAAATGGAAATGCTAAGTTTTTCACTTGCGAACATTCCCATCACCAATCAGGTGATCTATTTTTCCTTCAGGGTGGGCAAAGAAGTCGGACACATCTAGATGAGTAGCATCATTATAGTCTTTTCCTGAATCATCTTCCTCAAAAATACAATTGGTTTCTATCTTCTTCCCTTTCAATGATTCTTGGTAGAGGTTAACCAAGTGTTTTGGCGTACGACAGGTACGAGACCAATGACCTTTTCCACCACAACGGTAACACACATTTTCGACGTGTTTGTTACCATGAACACTTTGTTCCTTGCTTCTCCTACCATCATTTTTTCCACTTCTGGGGAAAAATGAGCTTTTGGAACTTTCACCACGACCATTACCACGACCAAGATCTCGGCCACGGCCACGACCTCGAGCATGAGCATGACCACGCCCACGTCCTCGTCCTCGTCCATGTCCACGTCCATGTATTTGCCCATAAGGATATTGGGTGAACGTCGCCACATTCGCTTCTGGGAATGGGGCGGCACCAGTAGGACGAGATTGGTGATTTTTCATTAGGAGCTCATTATTTTGTTCAGCAACAAGGAGACAAGAAATCAGCTCAGAATATTTCTTGAAACCTTTCTCACGGTATTGCTGCTGCAGGAGCACATTGGATGCATGAAAAGTGGAGAATGTTTTTTCCAACATATCTTCATCAGTAATATTTTCTCCACATAACAGTAGTTGTGAGGTTATTTTGAATAGCTCCGAATTATAATCACTCACAGATTTAAAATCTTGTAACCTCAAATGCATCCAATCATAACGAGCCTTAGGAAGAATCACAGTCTTTTGGTGGTCATACCGCTCCTTCAAATTAGTCCACAAAATAAGTGGATCTTTGACCGTAAGATACTCATTCTTCAATCCCTCGTGGAGGTGATGTCGAAGAAAGATCATTGCTTTAGCTTTGTCTTGATCTGATGCTTCATTGCCCTCTTTAATCGTGTCTCCAAGACCGTTGGCAGCTAAATGAATTTCAGCATCTAGCACCCATGATAGGTAATTCTTTCCAGTGACATCAAGAGCCACAAACTCAAGCTTTGAAAGGTTCGACATACTATCATAAAAAATATACACAAATTAAAGTCAAAATTCAATAAATAAATATAGATTACTATCAAGACAAACGACTTATGTGACCCATGATATATCAATTTGATATTTTTACAAATATATAAATAAATTCGAATTTCAAAATAATAAAAAAAATATTAAGAAGGAAATTATACCTTTGCATTCTCAAACAAAGATTTCATGTGTTGATTAATAAATGAAATTATGTAAATTGAAATAGGACAATAAAAGAAACAATTTGGGAGAATTGACATACCTTGAGCAGAACAATTGTGAATTTAACCTTTTCAAAAGGAAGAGTCTCGTGCTGATAACGTGTTATAAAACTAATGAAAATGTAAGCAACTACAAGAGAGGATTGGAGGAGGAAAGACACAAAAGAAGTGAGGGGAATAGTCCTTCTTATTCATACACCTTTGTGATACAATAGTGTGCTCTATTTATAGGCACCCTTTGGTAACCACTACACCCTTACATCAATGCATATAAATTAGAGATAATAATATAGGAATGAGAGTTACATGTAACTCCCAAGTGAGCATCTAATGTGGTAGGCCATTGGTCATCCAAATATTAATATTTACATAATAAATATATCTATTTGAATAATCTCAGTTTCCTGATTACATTAGTATGCGGCCCATTTAATGCAGGACCAGACTGGGAATTACCTCAGCAAGCCCAGCGTCATGGCCCAGCGCGGTAAAACCGGTAAATAAGTAAATAACCCTCTGGACGTCCGGACACAATCTTACGTTACGCCAGTACGCCGCCACCACCGGCGCGCAACCACACTGATCGCCGGACTGCGAGCACAAGAAGGAAGCGATTTCACCAATCGCTGGACGGCGTAGAGAAGACAAAGCTCCGTGACGCCTAAGTATCGAGGTAGCAGCCTCTCTTCAGTTGTGGTAGAACACGGATTACTGTTTCAGGTTTCTGATTGATTCTGTAATTCGGTAGGCGAATGGTTAGGGATTTGAAAGAATCAGGAGGAGGAGAAGAAGATGGCGAAGACAGAATCTCCGACCTTCCGGATCAAATCATTCACATCATCCTTAATCGTCTGAAATCTCCAGATGCAGCTGCGAGAACCAGCGTGCTGTCGAGAAGATGGTTCCAACTGTGGCGAGGTTACCCTTCCTTTGGGTTCCCGCCCTCCAAATCAGACGAGAGTCGGTTCCGCAGCTTCGTCGAATCCTGTTTTAGGAAGCTCCCGCCAACAAAGCCATCGGATTCTGACCACATCAGCGGTGGTTGCCGTGCAGGTGTAACGGCAATTCAGGATTTCAGTATCTCACTTCGTGAGGGTGATTTTGGGAAAGAGGACCTGGACCGGTTGCTCTTGTTTGTCACCAGTAATCCCAGTTTCTTATCTCCAGTTCACTTTGATCTTTGTATCAGGGACATCGAATGGAATCGCCGCTACAGTCTGCCTGTTTCGAATTGGAGTGGCATGAAATCTGTCAGCCTCAGTGGTTTCTATGTCACCCATGTTGTTACTGCTGATGATGCTTCTCTGGGCAGCCTTGAGTCGCTCTGTCTTGACAATGTCACTCTCAGCAATGAACTTCTCCACAGTTTACTGCGTAATGCTCCTCGACTCGTATCGTTGAGTATGCATCGAGTATTTGGGATTGATAAGCTGGAGGTAGTCTCTTCTCCTCTCCTGCAGCGTTTGTTTTTGAGTGATATATATACCATTGGAAAGAAAGATCGCATTGGCGAAATGAGGAGGCTAAGGATTTTGTCTCCAAGTCTCTTGAGCTTGTCGTTGTGCTCAGGGTTGAAGAAGCTTGATATTGATGCTCCTAACTTGGTCAGTCTCTCTTGGACTGTTTATTCTGGTGACCCATCTACGAGGGTCAATGTTATCAATTTGGCATCCAACTGCCGGTGTACAGTTCATGTGCAGTCATATGTGGGAATTGAACCGCAATGGTTGAGGCTGTTCCTCTCCACCAACTTCATTCGATTCCACCATCTGAGCTTGGTTTCCAACTTTCGGTTTCGGCCATCACGACAACAGGTAAGTAAGATGCTAACTTTGCTGCAATGAATTCACCATCAATGCAAATCAACTCTTCTGTCTTTGTAATCCAGGTAATAAGTTCTGCATTTCTTCACTTTGATCTTTTTTTTCTAAAAATGAAAGGTGCCGGTGGACTTAACCGACGACGACGACTATGCTTTCCTACCTCCAATGATCGATCAAGTGCAATATGAGCCCCTTTGGTGGGATATTCGTGACACAGAGAAGGCTGCAGCTTTTTTAAGTCATTTGTTCTGGGTCTGTCGTCCTAAGTTCATGTCGATAGCTAAATGGAGTGTCAGCTTGATTGCTGAGGTATGTACACAATTTGTTTATTATTACACATGTGAATGATCCTTCTTATTCCTTCCTCGTAATGATTCAGCTAAATGCACTTGTATTTGAAACAGTGCATGTGTCGCGAGTATTTGAAGATAGATGGTCCTAAGGATGTGACTAATCATGATGTGAATTCCCCTACTTCCTGGAGCCATGATCTGAAAGATATGAAGATAGAGAATGATACTACTGGTGAAATGATGGAGATCTCCGAAGATATGATTCCTTCCCTTGCGAAGCTAGAGAAGGTTAAGTTCATGCTGATATGGTTTTAATTTAAGTTTTACTTTTTTTTGGGTAGAAAGAGTGACGCAAATTGCGTCTATATCATATTAACTAAACGTTCATGGGATGTTCCCATTACATCATGACAAAGCCATTGAAATAAACCAGAATCTCTCACATTGAGATTGTGTCTACCAAAAGGGAAATCATGGCCGAGATTTGCCAAGTAGTCGGCTGCAAAATTGGTCTCTCTGTACCCGTGATCAATTTTAACCTCCCATTCAATGTCGAGGAGCTGTCTGAATTGGCGAGCAATACTGCCATGTCTGTGATCTTCATTCTCTCTGTTTCTTATGACCTCAATTGCTGTAGTGGAGTCCATCTTGAGGTGAACCTTTCGATAGCCCCTGTTCCAAGCAATCTTTAGTCCCTCAACAACACCTTTTACTTAAGTTTTGAAAGCTTTCATAAATGTCATGGTGGTGCAAGTTGTTCTTTGGAACATGTTGGTCGATATTAGACTCCATGGAGCTGGAGATGCAGCACTTAAAAGGGCTGAGTCATCTGGTCTTCTGATTTTTGTAAGAAGGCTAACTTTTGAGCCTAGTGCATTAATGGATTTGAATTTATTTGCGACGTTAAATATTTAGTTAACCGTTGGAGGATCGAGGCAGCAATTTTTTTGCTAACGACAAAAATCTCCCGAATTCCCGATGAAATCTTTCACACCATCTGTTATTGTTTAAATTTGTCTTAAACTAACAGGTTCCAATAACTGATATCGTGCTTGGACTTACTCGGAGTTACGATCACAGGAAACAAAAATTCAAGAGTCAATTCTTCCTGAAGAGTTTCAATTCAACATTTTACTTATTCCTAATTCGCCTTCTTACTACTAATGGCAAGACTAAACAAATGGATGTGCAGACTCCTGCTGCAACATATCTTCGAGCTTCCCCAAATCTGCATTCTTTCTTCCACTCACTAATTACTTTATTAATTATATTAATCACAATCATTTCTGTCTCAGACCAAAATCCCCGAAGCCGGCTTTTGTCAGTTTCGAGTAATTAACATCAAGAGAAAGGAAAGAAACCAATTTCAAACGCCACGGGAATTATCGATGGTGACGGCTTTTCAGTTCTCTCGTGCACTGCGCGCGGTGGGCCCCACCCGAACAAACAAACAGTTTCGACGACTCCCACCAGTTGGTTAAAATAAAACGCCCCATTTTCCCGTGCTTTCCACCTGAAGCAACAACTCGACAACAATGGAGGAAGTAGTAGTGGAAGACCTGTTCGACCGCCTTCCCGACTCCCTCATCTTCATCATCTTCAACAGCGTCTCCGACGTCAAGACCCTGATCCGCTGCCGATCCGTGTCGAAGCGGTTCAACTCGCTGGTCCCGGAGACCGAGTCGCTCTCCCTCCGCGTCGATCGAGTCATCTCCTCCTCCACGTTCTTCGACGACGACGACTCCTCCCCGTTCCTCGATTTCTTCAAGTCAATCGTGCAGTCCATCCAGGGCCTGCTCAATTTCGACCTCGGCGACGACGACGAGGAAACGGATGTTCAGAATTGCTACTCGCCGGGGCAGATACTGTCAGGATTCGAGCGAATCCGGCGGCTCGAAATCGAGCTCCCGTCGGGGGACCTGCAGATGGAGAAGGGCGTGCTGGTGAAATGGAGGGCGGAATTCGGGACCACGCTGAAGAATTGCGTGATCCTCGGGTTTCGGATTGGGAATTCGGATGAGGATTCGGATTCTGATTTGGATTTGGAGCAGGGGATGAAGACGGTGGTGGTGTGGACGATCAGCGCGCTGATCGCGGCGTCGGCGAGGCACTACCTGCTGCGGGACGTGGTGGCGGAGGGGATGGAGCGGTTGGTGTTGAAGGACGCGGAAGGGGAAGGGACGCTGGTGATGGAGGAGGACGGGCTGCGGGAATGGAGTAGGTCGGCGGCGGCGGAGGCGGAGGTGGAGGTCGGCGGCGGCGGAGATGGAGGTTGGGAGGGGAGGAGGACGGTTTTGCCGAGCGTGAGGATGAGGATGAGGCACCAGCGGAAGCTGCGGCTGGAGAGCGGCGCGTGGATTCAGAGCGCCACGCTGGTGGTTGTACGGCCTTCGTCGGGCGGCGGCAGCGATGACGTGGCGGTGGAGGAGGAGGAGAAGGGCGACGGCGAGATGGCGATGGCTGCTTATGGAGGTGGGGCCTACGAGGACGTTGTTGGAGCGCTGCTGAAGACAAGGAGCTATTCGCTTGAGATGAACTCGTTCTAGCCATTGCTTAATTAGCTAGAAGACGAAAAGAGATAACCAAATTTGGCTAATGACTCCATGTCTGTTGGTGGACGATGAACCAATTTTGTGTGGCTCAGTCGTCTTCCTCGTAATGGTTGTTTGGATAATTGGATCTTTGTTTGTGATGGATGTTGTTTACTGACGAAGAAGTGTGATTTCCATCTGTAAGTCGTTCAATGATCAGTTTATAGTTAATACATTTACATCTGTAACATTCCATCATATACTTGACTGATAAGATTTGTGATCGATGTTGTTTTCATTTTTAATCAGTAGCGTTCTTTATTCTGATGAAATATGTTGTTGACTTGACTCCATAAAAATAATTAGAAGATAGTGTGAACAAAAATTAAAATGTTTTTTTTCCCCGGAAATTCACAAAAAAAAAAATCTAAGCAAGTGTTTATGAAGCCCCTATAACCATCACAACCAAATTATAGAAGGATCAGTGTGTTTTGCGAACGAAAATGAGATGATAACAAACAGATTGTTCTTATAATGGGAAGTTGCCATGTTTTGGAGGCATCATTTGAAAGATGTGATGATGGGAAATGATACAAATTGTGAGATGATGATGGAGATTTCCAAAAGGCTTGATTCCATGCCTTGCAAACCAAGCAAAAGTTGGATTTCCGATGTTGCATTTATGGTGCGCGGTTGCGAGCTAAAATCCTTTAACGCTGAATTTATACACTTTGACCGGAATATATACACGTAGATTTAAGTTCAATTATCATAGCAGTTTCTGATAATCAAGGATTGAAATAACGTACCGGAGGTTGTACCGAAAAACTTAGCGGTATGGTATTTTAGGCTGAATCGTGGTTTAACCGTGGTTCAAGCATTACATACCGTCTACCAATTTTGCTTCCGATATGAGGTTTTTCTTGTCAAACCGACAGTAGGGCACGGTTTTTCAATCCTTGCTGATAACAAGTACACCTACGGTTAATGATCAGGCCCGGCCCATAGCTTAGTTTGTTTTTCATGGACCGAATTATGAAAGGATATTAACAAATGGTGGCCCATTTATTGGTGATCTTACATTGGATTTTTAACCCGGCAAAGCAAACCCAGCAGCCTCCGGCCCAGCTAGCAAAATGACCGTCAGATCCGGAAAAAAATTTGCACTTCCACTCCAGCCGCGCAACAGTCGACACTGATCGACTGACTGAGAGCAGAAGGAAGGAAGCGAATTCCAGTCGCCGGACGACGTAGATAGCTTCGGTACCGTCTAAGGATCGAGGCAGAAGCCCCGTTATTAAGGTACGCCGACGACGAGCTTTCTTCCTCCAAACTCCATTTGTGGTAGAAGTAGAACACGAATCAGTACTATTAGGTGTGTAGTAATCGATACTGTGTTCCGGCAGGAAAAATGGTTAGGGATTTGACAGAATTAGGACGAGGAGATGGCGAGGACAGAATCTCCCAAATTCCAGACGAAATCATTCACACCATCCTTTGTTGCCTGAACTCTCCAGAGGCAGCTGCCAAAACCAGCGTGCTGTCGAGGAGATGGCTCCACCTCTGGCGCTCTTTCCCTCACGTGGAGTTCCAGCTCTCGAAACAAAATCAGAGTCGGTTCCGCAGCTTCGTTGAGTCCACTTCTGCGAAGCTGCTGCGGCTGCTTTCTGATTCGGATCACAGCAATAGTGGTAGTAGTTGTGCAACAGTAGCAACAATTGAGGATTTCAGTATCTATGTTGATGATGATTTTCAGAAGGAGGACATCGACCGCTTGCTGTTGTTAATCAGCAATGGCAATGGCTTATCTCCAGTTATGTTTGTGCTTGGCTTCAAATCACATCCCGGCTATAGTTTGCTGGTTCCAAATTGGAGTCGCACAAAATTTGTCGCCCTCCGTGGTTGTGATCTCACCTCTGCTACTACTTTAGGTTTTCATGATAATCTTGGCAGCCTCGAGTTCCTCCGTCTCGATAATGTCAGTCTCAGTGAAGAGCTTCTCCACCGTATCTTGGCTAATTCTCCTTGCCTCGCGTCATTGAATTTGTATCGAATATTTGGGATTGATAGGCTGGAGGTTGTCTCTTCTCCTTGCCTTGGTTATTTGTATTTGGGTTACATTGATAGGGGTGGAAGGCGGGGAAGCGAATGTCCCCCCGAGGAAATGCGTAGACTAAGGGTTTCGTCTCCAAAGCTCAAGAAGATGAGTATCTGGCAGAGCTTGGAGGAGCTTGATATTGATGCTCCTAATTTGGTTAGTCTCTTCGTGGCTGTTAATCCTAGTTACCCCTTAATGAAAGTCAATGTTGTCAATTTGGCATCTGATTGCCAATCTACAGTATTTGTGGTTTCGTATGTGGATGAATTCACGCCACAATGGTTGAGGCTGTCCCTCTCCACCACATTCACTCAATTCCGCCACCTTATCTTGCGTTTCACCTCTTGTTTTTCCTTATCAGAACAACAGGTAAGATATTCTCTGCAACTTCGCATCAATCATGATCGATATGCATATAATAGTAGAACTTGCTGTGACAATCTATCCTCCCTTTTCATTTCTTTCACTTGGATATTCAAAATGAAAGGTTCCACATCTAAGCCAAGCTGAGTATGCTGCCCCACCTCCAAGGATTGATGAACTGCAATTTGGTCCAGTTCTGGAAAGGATTCGTGACATAGAAGAGGCAGCCGCTTTTGTAAATAGTCTGTTTTGGGCTTGTCTTCCTCAGTTCATGTCAATAGCCAAGGGAGAGGACAGTGCCCTGATTGCTGAGGTACGTTCTTGTACGAATGCTAATGTGTTCTTTACTTGTTATGATCATGTCAAAAACTCACTTAATTACTTGCATATGGAACAGTACATGTGCCGGGAGTATCTGAAGTTAAGCTCTCCTAGTGGCATGAATGAAGCTACTTCTTGGACTCGTCATTTGAAAGATATGAAGATAGAGAATGGTTCTACTGGTGAGGTGATGGAGATCTCGGAAGACGTGATTCCGTCCCTTCCCGAGCAAAAGAAAGTTAGGTTTATGCTGACATGGTGTTAGTTTAGGTTACACAACTTCTGGAAGCTTTGCTAAAATTGTAGATGATTCGCTGCAAGCCTCTCTGTGTCTGCAAGCCGTTCGAGAACATGTTAGTATTGAGAAGAGATGGGAATCCATGGAGCTGGAGAGTGCAGCAGTTGGAGAAGGATTGTTCAGATGCTATGTAGTTTTATTTTCATTTTTGAATTTGTTAGAAATCTGGCTTTTCGGTTTGATAGGATCATAGAAGCAGAAAGAAGTATATATGAAATGTATGGAGAAGAATCAAAGAACTATCCATAGGATTAAATATATTATCACTGAGGGTTTTCTTAAAACATCTTTAAATGGTCTACTACTAGGGAAAATGTAGAATTCCTCGCGATGGGAGTAATCCTTGCAACATTTTGGCTATAGAAAAGATAAACAACGAAGAGAATCTATTCAACATTCGGTCTCAAGAATGTCGTCTTCATCTCCTTCAAGGATGTAAACCAGCGCACGCTTTCTTGCAGCAAAAACACAAGCCACGCCCCTCGTAGCTGTTCCCCGTCAAAAATGAGAGAAACTTGCAAGTTGTTAAGAGGCCCTCCTCCAGTCGTAAAAAAAAAGGGCCACAATAGAAACTAATGATAAATGAACAGCAAAAACCGAAAGAAAAGCCTGAAGACATTACCACTGACTGCTAAAGGATTGATCACAGAATGAGGGATGTTGCGAACCTTTTCGTTCTCCGTTTGTATGCACACAGAAGAATCCTGCATTGTCACATTTGGCTTTAGAAGATAAAAGGGGGATAGAGAAAGGATCAATGGTCGTTCTTGTCACGGTACTATGTCATTTGAATAAAGTAGGATCGTTCTTGATACGACATAGTTCATCCTTTTCCAGTCCCAGATAAAATGTTCAGTCAAAATCTGTTTACTAATTTGGTCGATCCATGCTTCACAAGCATGTCCAAGATGACTCAGGTATGCTAAAAGTAGATGTCTTGTCCATCAATTCAACTCCTGAATCTCACATCTGCTCGGTGTTTCTACGGCGTCTAAGTTGTAAGGAAGTGGTTACTAAGCAAGAGTCGACCAAATTAGTAACTGATTCAGACAGAAATTTAACGGAGGGACTCATGCTAAAATCCGCTGTACAGGAACATACTTGTTTAGGGACTAATCCAAAGGAGAGCGCACTGGGATTAACCTGTAAGTGATGCATCTTCCATAGGCTTAGGTCATTCGATCGCGAAACTGGTACAAATGGGAGCTCATTAGCTTGCACGATCATGATACAGGCATCTCCCGAGGTTTCAGGGGTGTTTGTAGCCCCATTAAGTAGAAAAACAACTTGAGCATCCTGTTTTAAGAAATACTGGATTATGAACATGAAAATGAAATGAAACTAACCGATTAACTGTTTCACGGATGGTTCAGGGCTAAACCTTGTATAGCGACAGATCAGCACAGTTGTAACCTGCTGGCATAGACAGCAGGACAGCTTCCAATGTGGAATAACCCCTTTTAAGATTCCTCTGGTTATGCATAAAACCTCGTACTATGCCTATATAGTTTCCATCACTGGAAAGGGACTCACTGGGGACATCAAAGCATATGTAATCCATAGAGTTGTGTTATCATTTGCTTCAGAATCATCCAACAATAGGAAAAAAGAAACTTGGATAAACATTAGATCTAGAAAGTCAATTAATCACTTAGAAAACCAGAAGAATGCTTCAGTCCGCAAGTACCTCATAATATGATATTGACATGGGAATCATGGCAGATCTAGATAGTGGTAAAGATGGAAGAGGAAAGAGAGGCAGCAAATCCACTACATGTATCTTCCTTGAGATTGTGGTAAATGGCATCAGAAAAGCCTCCTTGAAACTAAAGTTTGTTCAAAGAGAGAAGTAATCAACAAGAAGTTCGTGAATTTCTAGAGCTATGTTCACATATTTCAACTAGATATCTATAACATGAATGCAAAAATAGATACCTAGACTCCATTTGTTGAAACTCTCTAGCTAATGTACGGCGAAGATATTCGGTGTCCGAAAATCCGCCGAACTGAACCGAGTCTTGGACTCTTTGCATTGTTTCCCTACATAAAAAGACAGAAAAGTTAACACATTTGCATCAGTGCAACTTAACAATGAATTTCAGCACTTTTGGCGTCAACCCAAGGGTATTGGTAAAACATGTGGAAAATGGAAATTTCTCTTTTATGCTTTGGTTTAAGAAATCAACTAGAAAGTAGTTTACACAGATCTCAAAAACACATTTCCCTGTCTCGGATTAACAGGAACCAGCTGATAAGGGAAAAACATAGTGGAAGCCCCTTATCACATTCTTCCTACATGGACAAAATAAGCAAAGGCAAAGTCATATAATCATGATCACCAAAAAAAAGTGAAACGAGGTGGAGCAATACATGGCCTTGGCATCTAATATAAATACCTCTTTCCAAATACAGAAATATCTAGCACTAAGCAATGCATGCCACGACCAGCTATTTTATCTGCTTCTGAAGCAGCAGCTGTACTTTCAATGAGGTCTCCAGAGAAAAAGACAATCAAGTGACAGAAGTCCTTTGATAGTGCAACCTGGAAACAGCAAGACGGCATACTCAGATTTCGAATCTAATTCATCAAACAGACTACATTTCTGAATGTAACCTGAGGGCATCAGCATACCTTGTATATGGAAGCATTAATAAGCTGCCGAGTTTCATCAGTGTTTGTTACAGGTACAGGAAATTTATGTACATTCTGCAAACATGTGTACAGATAGAAAAAAACATAAATAAAGTGATCATAAGTCAAAAACATATACTCGATCTGTCCTCTTAGCTACAATCATTTCCAAATTCGGTTTACTGCAGGACTAGATCTCATCCAACATATCTGATAGATAAGATGTCAGAAACCAAGATACAGTGAACAATGTACTTACAACTTTTCCTATCGGAAATATTCCAAATATACTAAAACAAATGCTCCCGTCTTTGTCTCCACTGCACAAAATATTAAAGCGTTGGTATGACGAATTGGAAAGTTGCCTGTATGAATCTTCATTATCATCCATGAAACTGGCATCACTCGTCACAACACCAGGCATCCGTGGAGCCCTTGGAGCAGGAGGAAAGAATCGGGGAGTACGATCTTCAAACACCAACGAGTTGCCAGTGTTGTTCTGAAACTCAGCTTGAAAAAAATAAATGGTATGAGAAGTAAGTTACCATGACCAGTGAATAGGAGAGTAAAGTCGTCAGAAATTCCACAAGCCCGAGCTAGCAAATAGAACTGAACTGAACTGACAAGAAAATGGCTCTAACCGGTTCACTCTCCTCTTCCCGGTTAAGACAGACGACAGGGGCAGTATGAGACTTCAAGCTTCTCAACAATTTCCCACTCTATTAAATAAACATGGCACACATGGATCAGAAAACCCGATTACAGCATTGTTGATACAAGGCAAAAAAGGAAATGATATACTTGCCTCTACATCATGCAACGAAATGGTTCCATCCTCAAGCCCAACAGCTATCGCTTTACCATCCGGGCGCCAACACAAAGACGTAATGGATTTGCCTGACCAAATTCCCAGAAACTCATCGAAAAGCATCAGCTAGCAGCACAGACATAAACTGATGGGCACGGAACATGAAAAGCTGCAAAAATGGCGATAGCAGGACAATCACCTGGTGAAATGGTCCATAGCCTCTGCCCAATTGAATCGATGGAGCGTGATTTTCGAGTCCTCCGTCACCATTGCCAATAGATCCTTCTCCGGGTTCCATTCCGCAATTTTCACCTACCGAGCAAGGAGTCAAGAACGAAATGAACCCCAGATACAGGCGCCGGAAACCAAATCGATTCGGCAGTGAAGGACATCAGAATAAGTGAAGAATGATGATTGGAAGAACCTGAGAAAGCGACGGGCTTGTCGAACTGAAGCTGGAACGGAACCACGTGCTCAGAATCATCCATTTCCATGGCTGAGCAGTAGGAGAAGGTCTTCTATGCGCGCGTAATTCAAAAATAAGATATATATGAAGAAAAATCAAGGTAGCCTTCTACTGAACTGCACTTGCTACTCCTTTGCTTCCATCACTTCCTGCTGTCTTCCAGAAGAGCAGAAAACCTTAAACCCTAGAAGCAGGAGAAACACCTTGAAAATATGATAATGGCGCGCTTTTCAGCGAGGTCGAGAAAATGAAAATATTGGGGGGAAAAAAAGACGCCGTTGCCGGGGATCGAACCCGGGTCACCCGCGTGACAGGCGGGAATACTCACCACTATACTACAACGACCAAGTTGTTCATTGAAAGCTACGAAATCTATTAATATGTTAAAACTGGACAGACGGGTATACTTAACATCAATGTAGAGAATTTTTTTTCCGTACATATCACATGATATCATCGGGGATAATATAAATTTCATCACTTGAAATAGTCTACATTACATGAATGGTCTTAGAGGTAATAGGTATGATGAAGATGTGAATGTATGTTAGTTCATCTCCAAAAGGATAGCGTGATACAATTATTATCTCATATAAAGTAACAAGTAGTCTAGTGAAAATGGACATTACTGAAGCACTCGTGAGTGGAGACAAGCGTCCAACAACTTTGGGTGACATGTGAATCATGGAGCAACACATGTCGGGGTTGGAGGCACTTCGCAGTGAGCTACTTGGCATCCTCGACAACACCTCAGTGAGACGACTCGGGTCGAGCTTGCTAGTGTGAACAACGAGATAGTGGAGCTCAGGGAGAGGTGAACCTCCTGAATAGGGTTATGGCTAACAGACCTATAGTGTCACAACCCGCCCCAAGTATGGGTGTTCTGAAACCTAGGACCTATGGAGAGTCAAGGAATGCGAGAGAGTTAGAGAACTTCCTATTGAATCTTGACCAATATTTCGAGGCATCCGACATTCAGAACGAGAATGCTATGGTACGTACCACTCCTTTATCTCGTTGATACCACTATGTTATGGTGGAGGGACATACGTCATGGAGACGTAGGAGGACTTCAAGAGGGAGATGGAAAAAATTTAGTTATGCCCTGAAAATGCAAAACTCTTTCACATACACTTGGTTCGCCTACAAGGGTGTCACAACCATGCAAACAATGCAACTACTGTGAAGAAGGCGCCATGATGAGGACATCGTGAATTACCCGAAAGGGTCTGAAGACTTGGTTAATCTTAGCTATCTATTTTGGAGGCGGAGCCTGTGTAAGGAGCACCTGACCCTAAATTGTATTCATCCATAAATATTGAAAGCAATAACATCTCTGGAGAGAGTTTCTCTATTCTTACGAGTTTTAACGAGTGCAAGTGAGGTAGGGGCGTGCAACAGTGTTGCTCATACCAGATTGAACTGGACCAAATCGATGTTTGGACCAAACGATACCGAACCGAACATAATGTGGTTTGGTCCTTGGTTCCATAAGTTTTATAAATATAAATTATTAGAAAAGGATCAAATTAAACTAACCGAACTCAATATAATATTAGTCTGATCCTTAATCCTAAAAGGCTAAAACGTCTTTCACTATTAGATCACCATTCTCGTAAGTTTGATCCAATCCGATTCGGTGCGGCACCAAAAGATTTAGTCAATAACAATTCTCAGTGCTCAAAATCATTCGCCCAATCTGGACGAGGAAACAAATGCGAGTAGCTTAATCCGGTAGTCTAGGTCATAACCAGTTTTAAAAGCCCAGCCCGCCCATTTGGGCCCATTGCCAATTTCTGCTGATAACGTGGTAGAATGTGATTCGGTTGATGGAGAATCATATGAACGGGCTCGTCCACTGAAAACAGTTTATTCTCTCCCTTCGACAATCTCGCCGAATATCCTCAATTCTACCTTTCTCAACTATCGACAGAGCTCTCTTTTCCTTCATCCGACTCTCTCCCTCGCCGGCCGGGAGTTAGTTGCCACAGTTCGAAGGAGAAAGCGGTGCAGCTTCGGAGAAACGCTATCCAGCATTCCAGATGGGGAAGGGATAAATTTGAAGTAGGCACTAGCATCATCTTTCTTATTGGCAATTTGCGTAGGGAGAATCTCGGAGCTGGCGAACTGCAGTATCTAGCATAAGCAGGGGAAGATTGATGGAGAAAGCGGAATCTTATTCTTCAAGCTGCTTTCTTCATTAATTCCGCTTTCATAAGGCATCCATTCGAGTTCTTTGCTTGTCGTGATTTTGGTTTGTGGTTGCTTCTTCTTGTTAGTATATAATCTGTTTGATGAAATGCCTGCAAGTTCTTTGTTAGTTGAGGTTCAGCAGTGAGGAGAACTTGGGATTGTGTCTTGTAGAACGGTTTTTGTTTCCTTTTGGTCCCTTTCTATGATTACAGGAATGTAATGGCCGAGAAGTAAGCAATAGTTGCAACTATGATAAGATCGAGTTCGACCCTGTAAAAAGAATGAAGTCTTACCAGAAGAGAGGGGGGGGGGGGGGGGGGGGGGGGGGGGGGGGGGGGGGGGGGGGGGGGGGGGGAATTCCTGGCAATACCCTATTCAAATCCATGTTTCTTGGTTTGGATTCTGAGTATATTGGGTCTTGTTGTTGCGCGTGGAAGCATGTGTTGACTTTCATTTACGATTCTTTTTAGATATCCAACAAGCTTTGTTTAAGGTATCGTTCTGATCCTTGAGATGTCAGTTGCAAGCAGCCTGAAGAAGTTGGTTTCAGGGGTGATTCTCGATCTGGATGGCACCCTTCTCAATACAGGTCAGCCTTTTCTATCTTGGGTCTGTTTATTTCTTACTTGCTATCAATTTGTTGTCTGTTTGTTTCCAGGTCGTGGAATGATTATGGTTGTAATTTCTTCACAGATGCCTTGGTTGGTGGGGTTATGAACGTTTTCTTGGTGAAGTATGGCAAACAATGGGATGGTAGAGAAGTTCATAAAATCCTTGGGAAGACGCATATAGAAGCATCTGCTGTTGTAGTACAAGAATATGGACTTCCTTGTTCAACAGAAGAATTTATGAGTGAAATCACTCCAATGTTCTCAGAACAGTAATTGACTTATGACTTGCTTGTGTGTATAAATTAGTTTAGAATCTTTGTTATTGCAGCATTTGAACTACTATTGCTAGTACTTCGCTAGAATCTTTCTTGCAATTCTGCAGATGGTGCAAGGTCAAAGCTCTTCCAGGTGCAAGTCGATTGATCAAACACCTGAGTGATCATAAAGTACCCATGGCCTTGGCTTCGAACTCGTCGAAGGCAAATATTGATGCTAAAATTAAGTTTCACCAAGGTAGTTTCTTTGTCATGTTGCAACAAGTCTCTGTGGGTTCACCTTCAGTAACGGCAGCCTCTAGTTTGTTTGAGTGTGTTAATTACCATTGTCATGTTTTACAATAGGTTGGAAGGAATCGTTCTCAGTGATTATTGGTGGTGATGAAGTAAGAGCCGGGAAGCCATCTCCTGATATGTATGATATCAGTTGTCAAAGTAGCTTTCTACTTATGCGGAACATGTTATCATCATATAGATCTAACCAATTGAACTAAAAATCCAGATTTTTGGAAGCAGCTAACAGGCTAAACATTGAACCTTCGCACTGCTTGGTGATTGAGGATTCTGTGTAAGTTATATTTATGCTTGAACCTCTGCTAAATCCCACTTTCCCTTGTCATTGAGTCTCTTCTCTAGTCATTAACATTTGGGAGGGATTGAACTGCAACAGGCCTGGTGTAACTGGTGGCAAGGCTGCTGGAATGCAAGTAGTTGCTGTACCCTCGATCCCCAAGCAATCTGATCTCTTCACAGCTGCAGACGATTTGATAAATTCTCTACTAGATTTGCATCCAGAAAAATGGGGTCTTCCACCTTTCGAAGATTGTAAGCTTTAGTCATCTATATTGCTTTGATTTTCAGATGAATGCGTGAAGCCTTTATGCTTGTCAGCTGTTATATGGAGTATGTGAATCATATGCTTGCAGGGATTGAGGGCACTTTGCCAATAGAACCATGGCATATTGGTGGCCCTGTAATTAAGGGATATGGCCGTGGCTCAAAGGTTCTTGGTATCCCCACAGGTACAGAGAGCTACTCATTTCGATAAAATGCATATATGATCCCCAAATACAGCCAGATAAAATGTCATCATTTGCTTCAGCTAATTTGTCCACGGAAGGATACTCGGATCTACTTTCACAATATCCCTCTGGGGTGTATTTTGGGTGGGCTGGATTGTCAACCAGAGGTATCTACAAAATGGCCATGAGCGTTGGTTGGAACCCATATTTCAACAACAATGAGAAGACAATTGTAATGAACGCATCCACTCATATTACAGGCTGGTCTCAACATTCCCTTTTTCCTCTGTTCTCCAATCTAATCCACATTTTGTTTCTGCAGGAGCCATGGCTGCTTCATGAGTTCAAAGATGATTTCTATGGCGAAGATTTGCGCCTTGTTATAGTTGGCTACATTCGACCAGAGGTACATTGTATATTTGGTTTTTACTCTATTTATGGATTCTGGCTCTCTGCCATATCCTCGTCTTGTACATTCTCTAAAACCGGTTGATTTTTTAATCAGGCTAATTTCTCCACTCTTGAGAGTTTAATTGCCAAGATTCACGAGGACGGTAGGGTTGCAGAGAAAGCACTCGATCTTCCACTGTATTCGAAGTACAAGGACGACCCATTCTTGAGGAGCTCTTCATTGTAGTCATTCATGGAGATGATTTTACTTGTACAATGAACTTGTGAAGATCTTATCTTATTAGTTTCTACTGATGCAATGCATGAAGTATCTGCAGAATTGCATTCTAAACTTTTTTTTTTTTTGAAGGGGCATTCTATCATTAAATTGTGAACCAGGCTCTAAAGTTAATTCAGGAAAAGTACGGAAATTTATGTTGTAGTAGACCAACCCATACTTGCATTGCATCACTGTCAGATTTTTACAAAGCATAGGCTGATATTGTTTGATCACACCCAAACCATATACAATTTCTGTTATTGAGTTGATATATTTGACATTATTTGTAAAAATATGCTACATCAACCCAATTACTGAGAATCACCCTACACGTAAAGCGCTGTTATAATCCTACTCGTATTGGTGTACATAATTTGGCCTGGTGAGCTTTATTATTCAGCCTGTGAATTCTCGACTTCTCAGTTCTCTGGCCTTCCTGAGTAATTATATATCAGTTAAGAGGGCATAAGCGTAAATCACTGGCTAGTTCTTTTAACAAACCGGGGCTTACTTACAACTCCCGCTATCTTTTTCGAGGCCCATCTTCCGAGGCCCAATCGAGACGCTGGGCCCACTGGTAAACCAAGTCAATATTCTGAAAATCCAGGTGACTGAGAAAAATTCTCGAAAATCTTGGTTTCTATACCTTTCTCGCGGGCACGGCCGACGGCAGGGACGCCGATACCGCGGGAACCGATGGAAGAAGAACGAGACGGCCAAAGCTGTTCTCCCGGCGGCGAAGAAGCTAGTGGAATCGTACAACAAAATGGAAACGATACAGTACTAGACGAGGCTCTTGAGACGGCGGCGGAGTTGAGCCCCAGCGAACACGATTGCACTTACTGGCCTTCGGTTAGGTTCGACGTTCCTCCACATAGAAACTACCATTTCTCTGCACAGTTCAGAGGTTCTCCTTGCTCCAACAACTTCCACAAAGGCGTCAAATGGTTAGTGACTCTCACAACCCCGCTCTCTCTCTCTCTCTCTCTCTCCCTCTCTCTCGCTCGTAGTTGTATTCTCTTCAACTGTGAAGAAGAAAGGATGCCTATTCACGATTTTGTCTGTTCTCTCGGTTTTCTGTAGGTCTCCGGACGGCTCGTGCTTTCTTTCAAGTTCAGAGGACAATAAGCTGCGGCTGTTTTCCCTGTAAGTTCTGGTGGAAATGTAGTTTTTAGGGTTTTCAGGTGAATTTATTTACTGCATGCTTTGGTTTAGTTACCAATAACGAGGTACATTTCCATGGTTAGACCAGATTATTACGATGGCTGTGACCCATCTGCCTATTCTGTAGCTCCTGGTACAGGTTCGTCGGTTTAACTGCAAATTCCCAGATGTTCTGTTTTGTTTCTTTACCTTCACGAATGAGCTTCTTCTTTTAACAACGAGGGGAATTTCATGCTTTGAACTTCAGATTCTTATGGTGCAAGCGTTGTTGTGGATGAGGGGGAACCCATTTACGATTTCTGTTGGTATCCCTATATGAGTTCTTCAGGTGTTTCTTTGTTCCCTACTTATTGAATCGAATGAGTGATTATGTGGCATGTCTGGTGTTTGATGTAACTGAGCTCTTCTTGTTTCAGACCCTGCTAGCTGTGTCTTTGCGACTACTACTCGTGATCATCCGATTCATCTATGGGATGCAACTTCTAGCACGGTACTTCTGTTGCTTGATTATGATGATTATGTCAACCCTCTAGGACTCTAGTTCCCTAATTGAATCGAATTGAATTTAGAGGGGCCTTCTGTTATCAGCAAGTAGCTGCGTTTTATTTCTCTCTAGTTCAGTTGGCATTAATATATTCTATTATCGATATTGCAGTTGCGTTGCACATACCGTGCCTATGATGCTGTGGATGAAATCACAGCTGCCATTTCAGTTGCTTTTAATCCTGATGGGACTAAGTAACCAAATGATTCCTTCCCAAGAGCAGTTCTTTGGATTTTCTTCATATGAAAATTTAATCTTTATGAGGAAATCTGATGATTAGTAGTTCCAGCTTGTGAATCAATGATGCTTACATAAATGTATGATGATCTTCTTTCTGAATTCTGATAGGATATTCGCTGGATATAACAAATGTATCAGAGTTTTTAATGTGCATCGGCCTGGTAGAGATTTTAAACAGTATTCAACCCTCAAAGGAAACAAGGACGGACAAACAGGTGCCTCCCAAATCAGAGCAGTAATGATTTCAGACTGGTGAGGCGTAAGACTCTGAACTTTGTTTGCTGCATATACAGGGATAATATCTGCCATTGCATTTTCGCCATCTCATACTGGGATGCTGGCCACTGGTTCATTCAGTCAGACCACTGCTATTTACAGAGAAGACAATATGGAACTGTTGTATCTACTTCATGGACAAGAAGGTGGAATTACACATGTAAGTCAGATTTTCTTTGTTGATACCCCAATTTGAACTATGGGATCGATAACAAGGCTATGTCCTTTCCTGTTAGGTGCAATTTTCAAAAGATGGAAACTATCTATACTCTGGAGGCCGGAAGGTAAACTAAGCTGCCTCCTTGTTTTAGCGTGTCTCTTTTCCTAGGTTTAGTAACTCATTTCGACTGTTTATCTGTGATCCTCTAATTCCTATGTCCACTTCATATCTACTTGTGGATGTTTTCCATGCTTGCTTGTTTTTGAGAATAGTGACTGATGTGCTAGTAAAATGGTTAATGTATTTGCATTGCATACTTTTGTACATAGTTATCATACTTGCTCATGTGCATATGCAGTTATTCTCAGTTTCTTGACAGCATTTTAAAAAAATTTCCTGTAGGACCCGTATATCATGTGCTGGGATGTAAGGAAGGCTGTTGAAGTTGTTTATAAGTAAGTAGCTATGAGAATGGCCTATGTTGTTCACATCGACTTGTCCACTCGAATACTTGGTACTTAGTTATCGGTCAGGACGATACTGTATTGGCTTTAGGATAATTATCTTCTATAAACTGCTCATTAGCTGTAATGCTATTTTGGTAAACTCTGTTATGTCAATGTGCATCGTGACATAACGGGTGAAATGTAACAGCGACCTACCCCGTTAAATGATACTCTACTAGCTTTAGGATAATTATCTTCTAAAAACAGCTCATTAGCTCTAATGCTATTATGGTAAACTCTGTTATGCCACTGTGTGTTGTGACATAACGGGTGAAATGTAACGGCAACCTACCCCGTTAAATGATTTTTGCCATTATATATACGGAGCATATTTCTCTTCCGGATTCAGGTTTCGTCTTGAATATCTGCTCTCATACTTGCTCTGTCGACAGGCTGTACCGGTCTGCGGCACAAACCAATCAGCGGATATATTTCGACGTTGAACCACATGGCAGACATCTTGCCACCGGTGGTGAGGTATCTGTTTGATTTTCTTGGCTATGCAATCACCTTCCAAATACCCTGTTTATGCTTTTTTACCCTAAAAGTGTGTTTTTGTCTAGGATGGTTTGGTTCACATCTATGATCTACAAACTGGGCAATGGATATCTGGTTTTCAGGCTGCCTCAGGTGTTCATAATTTCAAATTCATTGTATTCACTCTCTATAGAGATCTGATTTTTCCCCTTTTCATCTCTGACCTCCCTGTTCTATGCATTGCAGACACAGTAAACGGCTTCTCTTTCCATCCATTCCTGCCTATGGCCGTCTCTTCTTCTGGCCACCGAAGGTTTCAAGCCCCCGATGAAGAAGATAACAACTTCCACCTGAGCGGTATTCTTAATTCGATAAATGCTGTGTTTCACTGGGCTTTTGCCATATGAGATTTGAGTTTCTTATAATTTTTCCGTTGTTGTGCAGATAATGAAAACTGTGTATCAGTGTGGAGGTTCTCTTGTGACTCTTCAGCAGCAGAAACAGGGGACAACAATGAATCTTAAGATGCTTTGTACATTTGGCTGTTTAGTTTCTATGCCCTAATTTTAAAGTGGCAATTTGGTTGAAATTGGCTGAACTTCTGTGTTTGTATGAATTATTATTATTTCCTTTATTATGCCAGGTATCCAAAAGGGATTTTGCCACCTCAAATTTTCTTTAAGGTAAATAAAATTTGATTTTGTCGGAATTACTTTTTTACTTCATTCTTATTTTATTCCTTTAGTATTGGATTTCATTTTTTTAGTCATGCCAATCAATTGAGTGGGTTTCCTTGCAATTGAATGGGCTGTGAAAATTAAAAGGTTGCCTTCATAGAAAATGCATAAATATTTTCTTTTTTATTAAAAATTTGCTGAGATTTACTTACCAAAAATAAAAATGGAAAACATAAAATGGAGGATAGATATCAAATCATAAGGCAACAATATAAAACAAAATTTTCCGTTGATCGTATTTAACAATTGAATAAATGACAAAAATATAGAATATATGTTTAATAAAAATTTCCCATAAAAATTTAGGGACGGAAATTAATTAAATACATTGTCATAAAAAAAGATTCAATTATTCAATAGTTAATTGTGATTAACAGAATTTGTTTTATATTGTTCCCTTATAATTTTATTTTCCTCCATTTTTTGTTTTCCTAGTTTTGGTAGATAAATCCATGCCTTTATTAAAACAAAATATTCATATTTTTTTACAATTAGGAAAACTCTTAATTTCCATCGTCTCTTTGACTCTTTGTGCTTATTCTATAATTTTAGAACTTCCAAAAATAAAATAATATATAAGTTAACCATAATCTGGGCCCTAACAAAATACGATATCACTTCGGCTCGATTCAATGGTTTACCAAATAATTTAAAATCCATTCAACTTATCGCCAATTAAGGTCCACGAAAATGGACACTACTACCTAGCCGTGAGCCGGTAAAGGGTAAATTGGAGAAATCCAACCATAGGTAATTTTGCCTTTTTGGATATTTTATAAATTTATTCATTTATTTAAGGGGTAATTAACATAAAAGATGACAAACTTACTCATTTTCTACGAAACGATCACAAATTTTTTATTTTGCACATTTCAGTAATATACGTTTGAGAGAATAACGAAATGGTCATTCTCCATCCAAAAAACTATTAATTTTGTCCATTCAGCACACCACGTCACTTAAAATATTAATAAAATATTTAATGACCAAACCCAATTGAACCGGACAAACAAACTAACAACAAAACCCTAGTTCTATATTAGCCGATTGTTAGATCTTCCTTCCCAGAAAATGGCGACGGAGACAAAGAAGCTCAAACAATAGCTGAATCCAACAGGCTCAGCGCCCTCCCGGACGACATCCTTCGCGCCATCCTCATCGTCGCCAATCTCGACCTCAAAGCCACCGCCGAAACCTCCCTCTTGTCCCACCGCTGGCGCAACCTCTGCAAATCTACCCTCCGTGAGTTTCGCTTGGAGATTCTACGTCGTCCCAAGCGGAGCTCGCGAAGGGTGGACTTCCAGAGGTTGCGCCACCGATGGGACAAGAGGAAGGTTTGGGCGATGGCTTTGAGGTTGAGATCGGCGGCGATGAGGATGGTGCGGAGGATGTCGTCCGGGAGGGCGCTGAGCCTGTCGGGTTCAATTGTTGTTTGAGGTTCTTTGTCTCTGCTGCCATTTTTCTGGGGAGGATGATCTAACTGTCCGGTGGTATCGGATTAGGGTTTTTGCTTGGGCTGTCCGGTTCAATTGAGTTTGGTCATTAAATTTTTTTTATCAGTATTTTAAATGACGTGGCAGGCTGACTCGACGAAACTAACGATTTTTTTGAATGGAGATGGGCTGAATGACCATTTCGTTATTTTCTCATACATATATTACTGAAACGTGCAAAATGAAAGATTTGTGACCGTTTCGTAGAAAGTGAGTAGGTTTGTGACCTATTATGCTAATTACCCTTTATTCAAAATATTTTCTTTAAATTATCATTTTGGTGAAGTATTTATGAATGTGCCTTTTATTCCACATAACATAGAATGTGATTAAATACCCAAACCAAACAGCTCATGTAGACAAATAAAAATTTTGGTAACAAAATTTATAGTTTTGAGAAATAAATTAACCCAAGTTAAATTAGTTACCTATTTACATATTTTTCTCCTTCCTATTTAAACCAACATAATTTTTGATAAACACCACACAAACAAAACAATAAATAAAACAACTGTCATTTCTCACAATTTCACCATGAAAACGGCTCGCAAAAGCACGAGCGTTCCTAAGAGGTTCATCCCCGCCCCGCCGGCACCTGAAATGAATCTTCGCAAGCGAACTAGGGAACCGCCGGCCCCGCCTCCGGTCAAAGATGACGCCTCCGATGACCTGCCCCGGTTGCCGGACGACATCATCATCACGATACTCAGCCTTTTGGACATCAGGTTGTTGCCCCGGTTCGCCCTCCTAGCCAAGTCGTTTCGCGACTGCCCGAAGCTAGGTCAGCGGCTCGACTTCGGGCAACCCGTCTTCGAGCAACTGGCTCGCAAGGGGCTCTATGATTCGACCGTGAGTCGAATCATTGATGAGCACAAAGGGTCGAAGATCCGGTCGTTGAAGCTTCGGTTTGACCCAGACAATAATGAAGAACACTGGGCCATGGTTGCAGATTGGATCATTAAGGTGGCCCAGAAGGAGATCGAGGAGCTTGATTTTGACTTCTATCAGGGCAATCAGGTATCCGCGTGTCAAAACGGGTTGAGCAATTTACAAAAAAAAAGTATATAATATATAAAGCACTAAATGAAAAGGCTAATTAATTTAATTATTTATAGACTGATATATATATATATATATATATATATATATATTTTATGAAATATAATATGTAAGCAAATATATTGTATAAGTTTGATAAAGAAATCAATTACAAACAAACTAGACTTCAAATTTAGGAGTCGGATTTAAAAAATAAGATTGATGTAAAATCCTTGAATTTAAATGAAGTATTGGTGATGAATTTGGATTATTATCATTTTATATATAAAAAATTGTTTGGTGAAATTTTCTATATATTTCATGAGTTTTCAATTAAATTTATTACAAAAGAATTGACATAAAGAAAAATCTGAATATAAAACAACCATTATACATATGCAATTTTGATTAACTTTTTTAAAATTGCACCTAGGCGTTCTTGCTGTCGGACGATATCTTCAAAATTGAGACGCTGCAAATCCTTCGATTATCGTACTGCGACTTCGTTCTACCAGATTTGGAGACTAAATTTGCAGTCACGGGGTTACCGTGCCTTCGCATACTTTCTTTCAAGAAAATGAGCTTGCAGGACCTTACCGTCATCGAGGCTCTATTGGAATCTTGTCTCCAATTGGAGACTCTTGAGCTTCTATACTGCTGCTTCCCAACGTACTTCAGGATAGCTGCCGGGCATCTGAAAAAGTTCAAAGAGTGCAAACTCATAACATGTATGGAGATCATGGAGGTAACCATCGAAGCACCAAGCCTAACGACACTGCACTATTTTGGGCCAATGGTAATCTTCAAATACACGGATTTCGATAAGCTGACTGATTGCATTCTCGACTTCAAACCCCAAAGGTTCGGTGTTTTCCATTATGAATCATGGTCCCTTTTCGTTATAAAATAGTGTTTTTTTCTCCTTCATTTCGTTGTAGTTTTTTCGTGATTTATTAGGCCATCTCTGCCAATAGAGGCTTACAAGCTCGACAAACTGTTGTATGGCATGTCAAACATCGAGGTTCTGACCACCACAAGCAGGCTGTTAGAGGTGCCAAATATTTAAAAAATATGAATACAAATGATCTTTGTTAGAACTTGGTTGTTTAGAATTTAGTGTATATACTAACAAATTCATCGAACTTATATTTTCATTATACGCAGGGTTTGTGTTCGAGGAGATCTGATGGCGATAGTACGATCACAAACTTCTTTTGTTTGTCGAAGCTTAAAGAAATTCAGTTGTTTATGGAGGGATCCGGATATTGCAATCTCTTCACTATTGTGTCATTCCTTAGAAAGTGTCCTTCCATTGAGAAAATTTACATAGATTGTCGCGGATGGTTGAAGGTATGTTGATACTTTTTATTTTTCAAATTGGAATAGTAATACATGCACCCATTCGACCAATGTCCATTACAAAATAATAACAATACAATAATCAATAGATTGGATCCTCTCTTTTTTCGTGCAACCTATATAATGTTGAGACATTTTATGGGTTACATGTCATAGATTTTGAAACCCTTGCACCAACATTGTAGCCTAGACAAACAAATTAGGGTTAGAGTACTATTTTGGTTTTCACAAGTCAAGTTCATGATAAGACCATATATATTAGGAGAGTCCAGTTTAGACTATCTCGACGACAACAACTAACTTTCAATATCACTGTTCTGAGAAATCTCCAATAAACGAATCATATTAAATTAAACAGTTTTCCTATTAGATACTACAAATCATATTTACTCCAAGCATTCATATCACGATGCATCTTTCTGACAACGCGATTTTCTTTTTCGAATCGTGCCAGATGGAGAAGATGGCGATCAATAGTAACCGGCCAGGCGGCTACAAATGGGTGGTGCAGCAGCAGTGCCTCCTGGATCGGGTCCTGGGCCCGTGCTACCCGAACCTGAAAGAGGTCAAGCTGGCGGGGTTCAGGTTCGACCCCCATGAGATGCAGTTGTTGTACTACTTCGTTGAGACTGGGCTCAACCTGGAGACTGTAGCCATCTTCCTTCCTTCCCCCCGCATCTGCAGTGGACCGGTCGGTTTCCCGGACGAAACCACCCTGAACCACTACCTCCGACCCAGGATGGCCTCCCCCAATGCGAGGATTCGTGTCTTTCCGCATTTTCATGACAACCTACTCTACCCTCCCAGGCATGCCAGGAACTGGAACAACCAGTTTTAGTTGAGAAGGAGACAGGGGATCGGTTTAGTTCGGTCAGATTGAAGTTTTATCTAGTTCGATGAGATTAATAAAGAGTTTGCCTGTGTTTGGGCATACATTACAATCCTTCGTTTTCTTGTTTGGTTCGACAGAACCCATAATTTTTAGAGGCTCTGTTTGAAAATTTAAAAATCAACCAATTACTTGGCCATTTGGTTGGATTCCTGTGATCATTGTTTTATGCCTGCACACAACGAGACAGGGGTTTAGCCTACTTTGAAGTAACTGGTGTTAATGGACCAATAGACAATTTGGGCCTAACCAAAACTTTAAACCGTCTAGCTCCAACGAAAGCCCACGTAAAGAATGCCACCTCTCACAGTCACAGAACCCAGTTCTTTCGCGCGAAATTTCTAGCGCCAATCTCCAATCCCTAGTATGCTCTCCCTCCACCACGGCACCACCTATATAAACCTCCGCCTTCCTTCGTAATTCCTCTTTTTTTTTTTTGAACCAAATCATTCGCCTGCTTTCAGATCTTCCCTCAAGATGCCGTGGCTTAACCGAAATCCAGGATCCCGCCTCTCCTCCTCTCCGGCGCAAGTACGTCCAAAGCCCCGGAATCTGGCCGCCGGCAGCGTCTTCCTCTGCTCCGGCTGGATTCTGGATCCAGAGATTTATCCGATGTCAATTTATAAGGTACGCGGTTCCCCTTCCTTCGCCCCCTCAATTTTTGGGTTGATTGGAATCAATCTGATACATATGATTTGAATTCGAATTCTTAATTTGCGAGCTGCCATTAGAATTTTGCCGTCCATGGTCGACTCGGTTGTTTTCTCTTTGAGCCGTGGCCGTACTAATTAAGTCAGCTGATCCGTAAGTCGTTTTTTCTCTACCTATTTAACCCACCATTCAAAAAGGTGCCCTTAATTAATTAGAAATCTTCAACATGGAAAATTAACATAATCTACAAACATAATTTTTTCTGTTTGAACTTTGAAGTTTTTTAATATCTCAAGAATTTTATTAGCTATCGAGCTATAATTTTATGCGCATGTGCAATTTTTCCCCCTTTATAAGTTATTAATCGTTTGTGTTGGAGTGCGAAAATGGTATAAATTACTATATCACTTATTATGTTGTAGACATAGTTATTTTTGTGTTGAGTGCCTAACTAGCTATGTACAATTAGACACCGCCTAAACAAATTACAAACATTAGAAATTTAGAACAGAATCTTAATGTTCGTCTTACAAGTTACCCCTCGTATCACTTTAAAACCATCGTGTCATTGGGAACGACAATTGTTGTGTATACTTACTCAGGTTAGGAATCTCTGAAATTGTAGTTGCTCAAGAGATTCTGTTACTTAGAGGAAACTCGCAACGTAGTTGCTTTGGAACTATTATTATTCTGGTCAACAAATCAATGGCATGTTGGCCGTTGAAGCATTCAAACGGCGAGTGCCAGGACCTGGCCGTGTGGGAAATAGCTGTTGACGTGTAGTTGACTCACGGCTTCTGGATTGAGACGCGGGCTTGGTTGGTCTCCTCCTTCCTCCCACACGAAAAACCTGTGGCTGAATTCAATTCCCCCGATCCAACTAATCTAAACCCGCCGCCCTTGTAGGACATTTCTCAGTCACATGATAGAATAATCGGGTTCTGGGCTGGGCCCATTTTAGTTGAACAGACCCAACCACTTGTTTTATTTTATTTTATTTATATTTTTCCATGGGCTTGCCTCGGATTCTCTGGACACCCCGGTGGATCCGCCAACTAAAAAAACAAAAAAATAATAATTAAATACGTTATTCTTTAACGCATAAGGTCACCCGCGGCTGTCAGTTTATCAAAGCCCACTAAAAAGGCGGAGAAATCAAAGACGTGTTCGAGAAGGTGGCTGGCTCCGAGTAGCCGACTTGGACCGACCATATCAACCACGTCATCATACACGTCCGAGTCTCAACTCCTATGGCGACTCAGCTCCCGCCACGTGTCCCTCGACTCTCAAACGGCTAGTTTTTCTCCCGCCTGTCCGCCGATATTAATTCTTTTAAAAATTAACCGCCAAAGGATAAACTCCACCTCGAAGCACACAATCTTCTTTCGAGGAAAACTCCAGTATTTTCTCGGCCCAGCCCACCACTGGCCCAGATATTTTTGTTATTTAATTTAATTTAATTAATTGTTTCTGTTTATTTTACTCCCTTTTTCCTTCTCATTTCCCTCTTTCCTCATTTCAACTTCCCCTCTCTGGTATATAAACCCCACAAAACCTCCGGTCACTTTTAAAAGGAACCCGGAAAAGAGATTTAATCACTTACCATTTCCACTTCCGCTCAAGAAAATTTAGGGTTTCCCGAATCCTCCTATTGATTCAGTTCTCCCTTTCTTCGATTCTGCCACCCGTCAGATACTCATTCACAATCTAGTTGAAGGATCTGTTCGAGAAAGACAATAATGGCATTGGGAAGGAGATGCAGCTCGATGAACTGGTCGTCGTCCAGCTACTACGCCGCCTGCGGCGGCGGCGGCAAAGAGTGCCTTCCTTTCGAGTTCGCGAGGGTGAGGTCGTTTGGAAGGAAGAGGATAGTCATCTCGCAGAATCTGGAGTGCTGCTGGGATTCAGAGATGAGTCCTCGGACTCCACTGAAGAGGCTCTGCAGCGAGCCGCTTGACGCAGTGATGGCGGAGATGGACGAGCAGCAGCAGCCTGAGGAGAAGTCTGTTCTCGAGAGCTTGCCGCAGGACGTTCTGGTGCGTATTCTACCTGCTGATTGGCTCATTTTTAGCAACTCCTGGCCAGTGACTGGTTTTTAATTCGACGGTTTTTACTGAATTGAGCCGTTAATTTTTTTTTTTTTTTGTTTGCAGATTAAGGTGCTCTGTGGAGTGAACCACGAAGATCTGAAGCAGCTCCTTCTCGTCTCCAAACCAATCTCCGAAGCTGTAAGTGTTCGTTCTCCATTTCAGTCCATTCCCAATTTTCCTTCCAAAATCCCTAGTTCTCGCTTCAAATTTTTTTTTTTTTTTTTTTTGTAAAACTGAATCTCCTCTGTTTTTCCTCTCCTCCTCAACAGGCTCAGATTGCGAAGGAAACGCACTTTGCCTACAGCACACCGACGAAGGTCCGAGCGTTTCGATCTCCGACAATAGATTACCACAGTGAGGTCGACGAGATCGAAGCGCCTGGAGCTCCGTGCAGAGCAGCTCGCCGTTTCCCCAAGCCACGGCTGAGCGAGAAGGAGGTTTCTGACCTGTCGGCAGCACTCTTCTCAATCGATTCGCCGCCGAAGAGGAATAAGAAGAAGGGATTGTTCATGGATGTGGAGATATGAAACGGAAGAGATAGTAGTAATGTGTACATAATCACACTTCCAGTCTCTGTTTGTTTGTTTGTTGTAGATACAGAGGCAAAAAGGTAGAAGAAGAGAGAAAGGTAGAACACGAGATAGAAAGAACCCATAGCGAGAGAGAGAGAGAGAGGCCAGATGTGTGTGCAGATTCCTTCCTTCTTCAACGTTTCCAATTGAAGATTTGAGCGTCTCTGTATATGTTATTCGGCTTAGAAACAAACACTCTGTAATCTATTTACTTCGGGCAGCCTCTGCCCTTTTCTGCTTTGTGTTAAGTTCATAAAATTATGAGAAATCTGCTCTTTCGATTCTCTTACGAGCTACGTATAATTTGATTGAAACATTGAAGTGATGATGACTGAGTGAAATTGTTGTCTGTGGGTAGCTAGATACTGTAAATTCCATATCCTCTAATCTAAAACGGATAATTTGTGCCATATGTGATTGTTTTCTTTCAACAAAATTTGCGTTAGTTTCGTTTGATTAAGCATTAAGAAAGTGGGGCAGACGTATCCAAGCAAGAGGTGAGCTGTAAGACGGGTAATTATTTTTCGGATCCAATCGGGTTTCGGCGGAGGGGGATCAAGCCGTAACAGTCTAATTAAGGACAGTTCAGTTGTTCTCCCTTGCACGACGGGATCGGTGGTAGATTTCGGATGGAATGGAAGTTAATTCGACGACGCTGCGTTGAAACTTGGCAGGAAAGGTAAACGGGAGGCTTTGATTTATGCCATTTGATGATCAAGGCTCCTAAAATAGAATTGATAACTTGCTTATATCTTATTAATAATTTTGTTATCGAAGTCAAATTCGCTTTTGTTATTACGAGTATGCAACTTCAAATTATCGTACATAAAGCAAGTACGAACGACTAGTTAAAAGTGTAACTAGGGATGACAATTTTAACCTAATCCATTTTATCCAGCTTGTTTGATATGTATTGGGGCGAATATTAGGGAAGGGGAGTACATGAGTACACTACTCGACCTGACCTGACCAATCCCATTATCTACCCGCTTTTCCCTAAATTGCGTGTAGTTCGATTCAAATTACTTATGATTTTAAATTTATTACCTCATATTTTAGCTATATTGAAGTTGTAAATAGGTGAAAACATCAATTTCTCAAATAATTTGAATACATATATTATATCCTAGTTTGTTCATTGGTATTTTAATTAAAAATTAATATTTTTAATATTTTACTTTTAAATACATAATAAATTACCTAACCTGTCATGGATGAGTGACTATGGCAAATTATCTACTCGCCTTTTAACTCGATATTCGGATAATACGATAAAATTTTCATTTCTACCAGACTTAGCTCTAGATCTTGGCTTCTCTCATGGAGTGGATCCCTATAATGTGATGATCTGAATCAGATTGTCAAGGTCTCAGTCAGTCCAGGAGACTAATTATTAATCAATACTGTAATACATGAACCTTTGGAGCACATTCAAGGCCGCTAATTAAGTTTGGTAGGATATGGAAATTGGAAAGGACAAAGTAACGCGCAGTGGAGAGGAATGGAAAGGGATCCAATGAGAATAATCAGATTTTCACAAAGGGACGAAATGAGTTAATGGAAGAGAAAAAAATTTAAAAGGTGACAAAATGTCTCCTTGTCTGGTGACATATGCAAAGAACCCCTCTAAATTTTAATGATTTTACTAACTGCAGGAGGTGATTAACGCTAATCTTGGCTGGTGATTGAAAACTTGGGATTGGTCACGAGCTCACGTGAGTTTTATCTTTTTTTTTGAACAAGTGATATATTCATTCATTCCCAGCCTATGAATAGGCAGATCATACAGCAATCAGACCATTACAGCAAATCAGATATTACATTAAGCACTGAAAGCCAATCAGGATGTAGGATGTTCAGTCTGCAATTGCGAGCGACCCAATCAGCGTTCCTGTTGTTGCGGCGACTGGTGAAAGAACATTAATCCAGCATGAACACTGCAGAACGACTTTGATAGAAGAAAGTAAAGCATAGCAGCGCCAAGGCCATTTTGCAGGATCATCATTGAGAGCATCCACCAGTATCTTGCTGTCGGAGAGGACCGTAGAAGGGATAGTATCATCCGCTGCCAGACGACACGCTTCATACATCGCACATGCCTCAGCCTCGATCGGGGAAGAACAAATAACCTTCCTCGCCCTCCCGTCACAAATCTGTCCAATAGAGTTAGTAATAACAACTCCGATGGCCGCCTCTTGAGATTCGTAATCAAACGAACCGTCACAGTGAAGTCTCCTGTGATGTAGATTCGGCGGTGGACATGATTGCGACGAGATTATCCGGGGACGAGAAGAGGTTGAAGGACAAGTTACATAGTGCGGCTCATTCGCATCTCTAAATGCACAAATGGAGGTCATCGTCGGGGACAAGACAACACCTCTGAAAATAAAATCATTACGAGCCTTCCAGACATTCCAAAGGCAGAAGATCTTTTTCCGGATTGACTCAGGAGAGTCATTTTCTCTTAATGCAAAGATCCACTGAGAGAGATTTTCTGGGGGGATAAAATTGGGAACCACCTTTGTCCAAGTAGCCGCTGCGTGAGGACACCTAAACAAGCAGTGAATAGATGATTCCACTTCATCATCACACAACTGGCACCTTGTGTTAGGCAAGCAGTGCCGTCGGTGCAAGTTGAGCTTTGTAACACCCTACCCTATACGTTTTGCCTAATCATATTGTTTATACAATTGCAGCGGAATTAATCTCGGGCGTTACATTAATTATCAAAATTTACCTAAATAAAATTTCGACATGAATAACTCGCGTAATGGGCTAACAGTTCTTGCAACTTAACCTGCAAAATAATTCATCACAAACATATATACTCACAACCATATGCATTGGCTTTTCTTAGCCATAGTCACACTTTCCATACTTCCTAACTGCATACCATACTTATACATACCATAATCGTCACAACTTACACAGTTACACAACATATACACATATCATTAACTTTCCACACCTGTGGATATCTCACACTACATTCGAAGCTAGTATGCACATGAAAATGTTCTCAAAACATTTTTACAAAAAGGTGTGGATCACTGGCCAAAATCCCAAGTAGTAGTCCAAGCACAGAATAGTTGAAGACCATACCTCATCCTGGCTTCAACTCTAGCTCCTCTCCCACCTAACACTTATCTACTGCTGCTGCTGATGATCTGCTTAAACATAGCATAAGCAGAGAAGAAGAATAAAAGAGGGTCAGCTCATAGCTGAGTGAGATAATCATAGCATCGTGAGTTCATAACAGAGCATACCCCTATCATACATCTAACAATCAAACCAAAACACTAGGATCGGACCTCAGCCATCCTCATATCCCAATAGGCAAAAGACTCAACCACCTTGACTTATGCATATGCATCTTATCATGTTTTAATCATAGGCGCCTGGCTACTCCCATGCTAATAACTCTCCCGGGAAACATACCCCACATCCCGTCGGATGTAGTCATACATACCCCAACATCCCGTCGGATGTGGTCATACATACCCCACACCACTATGGGTGTAGTCATACCCCGACACCGCTCTGGGTGTGGTCATATCTCATAAGAATTCTTCAGTCACCACCACATGAGAGGTGTGACTATCATACATATCATAATAGAGTAATAGCATAGGGAGCCCTAATTACTACGTAATTGACCATGAGACCACAACATTCATATTTGGTATCCCTGTACATGATTCATATCTCATCTTGCTTAACCATAATTCATTACTTACACATGTACTTGACCTGACCATAATTGGCTCAACATAGGTAAATCAGGAGTCGTATAATTGCACTTCCTCGGGATAAACCCTCGTGCAAGTCATCCTCCTTAAAACATCATAATATCACCCTGGGAGGTTTATTCCCCCACTTATGGATCCAAATACAACCATAATATCACACCATGTCAAAACCCCTTATCGAACAACCATGAAGTCATATCAATAGTTAGCCACAAATGGCAACATGTATGCAATCATCCACATAAACAAGGTTCATATCAATTAGGGCAAGTCAATAATATCATACAACAGTCCAGGGTTTATCATATAGCACAAAAGTCCATACACCCCTAATCATGCCATTCTAGTTCACCTAGGTCAATTCTAAGCATTAATATAATTATCGTGATACGACAAACCCGGTATGCCGTGCTAATCCCTCACCAGTTCTGGTCGTTCAAACACCGGTTCTAGCCTCCCGTACTAAAACGTCAATTTCACGAACGAACCCCGAATTAAAATCCGAGACCGTCCTAATATCCCCTGCAGTATCCCCGTCAATATTAGTTCTAGGCTCCGGGTCAAATTCTCGATAAAAACACATCAAACCCTGGCCGGAGCTAAATTCAGCGGTTTGGACCCCGGCCTAAATAATAGCCGAAATTCAGGGATTAGAACTAGAGGATTGATTACCTCGCTGCAGGAAGCTCGTATATGAAATTTGGGCTCAATCCGGCTTCCGGATACTCCGAAACCCTAATTTGGCTTATCGGGAATTCAAGAAATTCCTGAACCAAAAACTCGTTTTAAAGCTCTCAATCGATAAATCACGATGAATAGATGAATTAGGCATTACTTACGGGATTTTTGGATCACTAGGGCTCAAGAATTTGAGCTTCGGAATTTCTCCCGAGCTCCCCTGTTCGCTACGCTCCGCTCGCTGTGCTCTCGGTTTCCTCTCGGTGGGGAAATGAAAATGTCGATGATGATAATTAAATGGAAGGGAGGGGATTAATATATATGCGGCCGCTATGCAATTTTATATATATATATATATATATAATTATAAATATAATTAATACGTATACTTATCCGATCGATCGATAATCCGATTTTCGCTGAAATAGTGTCGAAATGCTTGATTTTAAATCGCGAACTTTCTAGCGATCGAAATATGGGTTTTGCCGGAACGGGATGTTACAAGCTTAGTTGCCAAAGCATTCCTAACACACCGCCACATGAAGAAACGAATCTTAGGAGGGAGGTTGAGCGACCAAAGCCATTTCCAGCACTCATCTGAGGAAGGAACGTTGAGGTCCACTGAAGTCGGGCTTGATTGATTCCGTTCTTTAGCTTTCAGTCGTATCCCGTGGTAGGCAGAACGAACAGAGAAGGTGCCATCAGATGTAAGCTTCCATGCCCATTTGTCGGGACTTCCTTCTGGACCGATGTGAATCCTTGAAATAGCGGATGCCTCTTCGACCGTACAGTGACGATGTAAAAGGTTTAGGTTCCAACTTGTTCCATCTTTGTTCATCCAGTCTCGAACTCTTGATGGCGGGTCAACACGAGAAGAAATACGATGATGATGGAGAGAGTGGACCCAAGGATCTCCATGAAACCATGTCTCTTTTCCTGATCCAATGACCCTAATTGTGCCAATCTCCAATGCAGACTTGGCGTCACACAAACTCGCCCAAATCCATGAAGGAGAGCAGCCTTTGCGTGCCGACGAGAATGTCCCATTAGGAAAATAAAGACCTTTGAGCACCCTTGCCCATAACGAATTGGGTTCATTCAGGAGTCTCCATCCTTGTTTAGCAATAAGAGCTAAATTGAACATGTGAAAGTTCCGAAACCCAAGACCGCCTTCTGCTTTAGGATCCGTGAGCACTTCTCCTTTCCTCCAAGGAATAGATTTCTTTTTCATAGATCCCGACCAGAAAAATCTATGCAAAAGAGAATCCATCTTCTTCGTGAGGCAGGCAGGCAGAAGAAAGACACTCATAATGAAGGTCGGGATGGCTTGGATGACAGCTTTGAGAAGAGTCTCCTTTCCTCCATGAGAAAGCGTGAGACTCTTCCATGAGCTAGCTCTATTCTCCATTCTCTCAATGAGGAAGGAGAAAGTTTCCTTCCTCGACCTTCCCCAATCCGTTGGAACACCTAGATACTTGTCGTGTGAAATAGCCGACGGGAAATTCAGATGGGAGGTAATAATTTGTCTCAAGTCAGCCGAGGTATTCTTACTGAAGAACACTGAGGATTTCTCTAAGTTGACCTCTTGTCCTGTTAACGATTTGTACTCATTAATGATGTGCATAATTGCTTCCGCCTCCTCTCTTGATGCTTTGCCAAAAATCACGGTATCATCTGCAAACAAACAATTGGAGAGGCGAGGGCAATTAGGCTTCATTTTAAGACCATGAATAGAGTTACGAGATAAGCCTTTTTCAATCAAGATGGACAAAGCATTAGACATAAGAATAAAAAGGAACGGAGAGAGAGGATCTCCCTGACGAATGCCCCGTGAGGGGGAGAAGAACTCTGTTGGCCCGTCGTTGAGAAGAATCGAGAAGCGCACGGTTCGGATACACTCTCTCACCCATCCGCACCACGCCTCGTTGAATCCATATGCTTTTAGAAGTTCCTCGAGACAGTTCCAATCGACCAAGTCGTAGGCCTTCCGCATATCCATTTTTAACATCATATCGAACCTACTGCCAAGTCGTCATTTCTTGAAGTGGTGAAGAACCTCATGCACTATAACAATGTTATCCTGTATCAATCTGCCTCCCGTGAAAGCCGCTTGCATCTCCGACACCAGGGTAGGCATAAACGATTTGATCCTAGTTGACATGATCTTAGACACCACCTTATATTTGAAATTACAACAACTGATTGACCGGAATTGGCCAACTCTCTCCGGAGCTGTTGTCTTCGGAATCAGAGCGATATGGGTATCATTCCATCCCGGAGGAAGAGATGTCGTATCAAAGAAGGAGATAACCTCCCTGCAGAAATCATTCTCAATAGTATTCCAAAACTTCCGGAAGAACGCCCCTGAGAATCCATCAGGGCCTGGGGACTTATTTGGTCCTAATGAGAAGACAGCTTGCTTTATCTCCTCCCTCGTAACTTGCCTGCATAAAACATCATTCATATCATCTGTTACAAGGTGAGGGAAATCTTCAAGGAGATGGACATCGAGTCCTGTATCTTTTGCTGTGAACAAATCCCTATAGAACTCCTGAATATGAGAGGAAAGAAGGGCTGGCCGCTTGATCCAATTCCCATCCTCACCTTTCAAACCCAAAATCCTATTATGATGTTTCCTGTATACCGCTGAGTTATGAAAGAATTTTGTATTTCTGTCTCCTTCGGCAAGCCAATGAACTCTAGACCGTTGCCGCCACTTTCTTTCCTCCTCCTTCCATAGAGCATCTAGCTCATCCAACAAAATGGTTTCTTCTTCACAAACTCCTTCAGACCGAAACATCTGTGCAAGAGTCTCCAGCCTCTGTTTAATCTCCGCCTCCCTCTGATTCTGGGCTTCAATCATCCCTTTCGCCCACTGCTTGAGATCATCCGCACATCGCTTAAGTCGTTGATCATGATTCCCTTCAGCTGCCCATGCATTTAGAACCACCTGATCACATTCTTCCTTTCCCAGCCAACAATCGTCAAACCTGAAAGGTGGGCGGTTCCACGGAGCAGGAGAGTGGAATTCAAGCCTCAAGGCTCGATGATCAGATCCAACACTTCCTTCATGGAACAGAGTCCCTTCATCAAAAAATTCACGCCAAGCTGGGGTGCATAAGGCTCTATCCAGCCGGCCTTTGATCAATCGCACCCCTCGTCTATTGTTCGTCCATGTGAACTGTGGTCCTTTAAAGCCCATGTCCATGAGGTTGTTATTGAATATGAAGGATTTGAATGGTTCGACAGATTCTCTTCTCCGCGGGTTACCTCCACACTTCTCATAGTCAAATAACATAGCATTAAGATCCCCAATAACAACCCATGGTACACTTGAGTCACTCCTAAAACTAGATAAATGCTCCCAAAAGTCTCTCCTCTCACTAGAGATTGAGGGAGCATGTACAAACGTAATAAAAAAACCACACCCATAATTGACAAATACATCAAAGAAGTTCCGCCCACGATCCAAAATTTGGAGGGAGACTCCAGCTGCCCACCATAATGCTAATCCGCCTGCCGTTCCTACCGGTTCAACATATTCCCCAAACTGAAAGTTGTTGTTGATTCTTTGTTCTTCCATAGTTTCTCTAGTATTCTTAGTTTCCATTAGAAAAACCAGAGATGGGCGGAATTTCCTCACTATCCTTTTGAGATGGTTCTCTGTCCGGGGTTGCTCAATTCCCCGACAGTTCCAACTCAAACAACTCATTCAGCTCCTGGTGGCTTATAGCCGGCCACCGGCGCTTCAGAAGATACAAGATGTTGTTGCTGTTCAGGGAGTTCTTCTTCCCCTGCAAATTCTTCAGCTCCTCCTTTGCTGTTATGTATCTGGGATTTGCGACTTTTCACCTTGATTCTAGCATTGCGGTTGTTACTGGTTCCTCCTCCAGTAGTGAAATAAGGCCCCTCAAAATCCAAAGGCTGCCCATGCTTCCTCTTCTTTAGTTCAGCTTGTCCATCTTCATTTCTATAAAACGGGTCTGGCTTCTCCATTTCAGCAGGCTGTTTGTTGAGATCCATCTTGTAATTCAATTCCATAACCATTTGGGACACCTTTTGTTGAGTAGGCAGCCCAATGCTATTATGCAAGTCAATAAAGCTCTGGTGGGCTGGAGTAAAGTGGTCTGGAACGTGGGCTTGTTTCCCATGGGCCAATAAATCCCCAAAATATTGAGGCATCGGATGTGGAAAAAGGTGGGCCCATGCAGCTGCCTCCTCCATCTCCCTTGTGAGGTTTCTCGTAGCCGAAGAAGAAGTAGCCTCATGGAATCTTCCCGTTGGTGAGTACGGTGGAATAGTTCCATAGGTCTGCAGATTCTGACAAGCTGGAGGAGTCTGTATCCGTTGGTGAGTAGGCCCAAAGGTTGACCTGGGACTTGCATAGCCTGTAGGAAAAGGATGAGGTGTGAACCCCGGTGGGCCTCGATATGCGTGCTTCAGACCATCTTCTGTACCCTGAGTCGATGGTGTCGCCGGCGAGCCAACATCAATAGATCCCATTGCCGGAGAAGTTTGTCCTGGGATCCAGAGTTGATTCTGAATGAAACCGGGCGATCCCGTGCTTGATCCAGCATCTCCCGGCGACTGATGGATCACTCGTCCCCTCGGTGGCGGTAGTGGGTGGCTAGCCTTTGTGTCCGCCTTCATCCATGGGGTAAATCTCCCCTCCGGAGGTCCTGCAATACGAGCCTCCAAATCTGCTCTCCTTCTTGGGTAGTCTTGTTTGCAATGCCCATGCCTCCCGCAATAGTAGCACAACACATATAATTTTTCATACCTAAATCCCAGCCAATCTCTTACTCCCCCTGACGAGCAGTAAGATCCAGGTGGAAGCGGCCTCTTAAGATCAGTTTCGATAAAGACCCTGACGAATTCCATGTATCGATCTGGGTTTAGCCCCCTCATATCAATGTTGTGCACGGTTTTGAACATCGCCACCGCTGCTTCAATGTTGGGGATGGTCCTCTTATGATCTGGAATCCCATGGACTTGGATCCAGAAGTCAGCCAAACTGAAATCCATATTCTGGGGGCGAGTGTTCTGATCCCATTGCTTGAGTTGAAGCATATTTCCGGAAATCTGCCATGGTCTGCCTTCCCACGCTCGATCCATTTCCTCTTTCCGATTGAAGATGAAGATGAAAGTGTTGCGAGTCTTACCCACCTCTTGAATCTCCGGCTCACAGAACTGTGACCAGGCCCCATTGATCATTCCACGTGAGTTTTATCACACACAAAATTTTTACAGGCAAACCACCATTGAAAATAGCACCAATATTCCATCATATATATCCCCCATTTTTTTTTTGTCAAACCATGATTAAGATCCAAGATTAGTAGATTACAAATAACATATTTACTACTCAATCAAGAAATAAAGTCGGAATCCCTTTTGACAAACAGGGTGATAACAACAGAACACGGCGGGTCAGAAAATGAATCGTTATGTTCCTATTTCAACCAACAAACAGAACCATAGGATCAATACAATCATCGAGAAGCGAACAAATCCCCCACAGGGGAGAGCGCGAATTGTATATTACGACGATGACATTTCGGAAGACAATCACGAAGAGCTAAAGCTTTGAGAACGTAACCATCCTGAACCCCTTCATTACCTTTGAGCAGACGCAACAAGTATTGAACCCGAAGCCTCCAACAGCGCAAAAGCCGCAGTCCCCGAGTTCATCAATCTCGTAGCTTCGCCAAAAGAGGCAGAGCACCTTTTTTTTTTTTTTTGCCATTAGATACCTCTGAAAAAGGGGCAAACATAGTTCACAGATACAAAGCACATATCTACTACGCAACCAAGCAATATAGTCGAACCTCGCTAAGAGCTGAGGCGACAAACCCAAAGCATGTCTTGCTATCGAATGAGCAACTCTGCTCTACCAAGGCAGAGCACCTATTCGCCAAGCTTGGAAAAGGGATACTGATGCTGATCAAGGCCCAATAATTATACTTTTCTTGGCCCATGTTTTGGTGGATCTTTGCAAGTGAAGAAAGACACCTCGCTTGAACTGGTGGGCCGAACTGCTATGGGAGGTGAAGGAAGCCCGAGATTCAACTTTTCGTTTCTCGCGACAGGAAGGGAGAGATCATGCGGCCCATATGATGGCTTCTGTGCTTTGTAATTGGGCTAAGATAGGATTTCCTATCCAGTATCGGAGATCAGGTGGCCCATATTCTGCTGACGAGTGTAGTGGTGGTTCAGGATGGAAATGAGGCCCAAGGACCTTGGTTTAGCCACATTCGAGACTGCAAAGTGATGATGATGGTGTGTGATTGTGCGAACAAGCGTTACATTTTGCTTTCAATCTTGTTTGAGCATAATAAATCTTCTTACTCTCCCTCGAGAGTTATGGTAGTGATTGTGGCAACGAATTATGTCTATGTTTCTCTTCGAAACGGTAATCGGCATCAATGTGGTTTTTTTTATTATTCGAGAATAATTTGGCTAATTGCACCGAACCTAATAATTTATTGGGCTTGGTCCATAATTTGGTTGGATCTTAGAGTTGGAATGACATGGTGGACCAGACCCAAATTCAGTTGGGATTTTCAATTATCTTCAGTTATTTCCTCACTGGGAGGGGTTATGGTGGATACCAAGTTTTAGTATCTACGGTGGTTACTAGGGATAATAGGGGTATTTTGCATCCTATTATTATCAACTACCATTTTAATAATGCAATTAATTAGAGAGAGGAGAGATAATTACCAAAATTAAATATATAGAGTTTTAATCACAGTAGGAGTTTGTTATTCCAAAAATTACGACAGGAAAAGAATTCTGTAGTGGGCACACTGCCCTGGGGGGAAATGACAATGGTAGTTGAGGATTAGAGAGCCCATTGGAGCTAAATCCTCAACTATTCCTCAACTTTTTGGTTTTTCTTCCTCATCTATCTAATCCTCAACTAATAAATCAATGGGCTACCCTAAGAATTCTGCAGTGGGCACGCTGCCCTAGGTTTTACTTCCTCAACAAGGAGCTAAATCAGTTGCTATGGTAGTGATTAGTAATTGCAATGGTAGTTACCGCACTGTAGTTATCAGAGACTGTAACAGTAGTGTTTCGTTTGTGGTAATATGACCTACTGCAATGGTAGTTATTCATTGTTTCTTGCTCTTTGAAGCCCCACGATTTGGGTTCTTGATTCTTGCCATTACTAAAACCAAAAAATGGAAGGTAGCAACATTAACCAATGTTAGTGATGTATGGAAAGGTAAGCACTACTACTACTGGAACTGAACACTACCATACCACACAAACTACTACTGTTGCATAGAACACCACACTACTACTGGAACTGAACACTACCATTCCACACCAAACATCACAGGTATGCAGGTCACTACCAATGCTATTACATGATAATAAATTTCATTTTAGGTAGTTACAAAAATCTATTAATTACAATTCTCTCTCTTTCTCTCACTTTCGTAATCTCAAGCCAGATTCCCTTCCTTATTTTTCTTAATCAATCTGCAAAAAAAAAAAAAAAACAACACGAAATCACTACCAATCCATTAGACAATCACTACCACTTTGCAAAATATCAATACCATTGCAGAAGTAAATCTGTACCATTACACGAAAACTACCAATATAAACAATCTACCAATATAAATCTACACCATTTCACAAAAAAAAATCAATCCCATTGCAGAAGAAAAAACAAGAAACCAATACCAAAACATTAACAACTACCACTACAGCCTACACGAAACACTACCACTACCACTTATCAACAACTACCATTGCAGATTACAACAATACTATTACATGATAATCAATATGCGAAAAAAGAATACCAATGCAAAAAAACACTATCATTACGAAAAAAACACTACCAATGCAAAAAAGTAAATACTAATAAAAAACCAGACGTCGTCTTCTCTAGTCGAGTTCCCCAAACAAATCAACAGCCGCAGTTGGGAAACAAGAGGAACCGACAGCGGTTATATCAGCAGGAGAGAGCGACTCTCCAACGCAAGACGGGTTTCTCGATCTATTGGCGCTCGTCTCTACCTTGTTGCGGCGCTGAGGAGAAGCCATATTGACAATCGGGACGTTTGGGATTTTCCTAAACCGGAACAAAGGGAAATTTTCCTCTCGCCGCTGCACCGATCGAAAAAAAAGGGAAAACTTCAGGACCTGTCTCTGCATTTACTTGATTTGTTTGGTTCTACCTTTTGGTATATTATGGAATACACTAATCTGCCTATTAACTTTAATCTTTCTGGCCTGCGGGAGGATGATGGAGGCGGCCGGCGGGAAGGGAGGATGAGTGGGGTGAGCTGAAGGCGGCGGGAGGGTGAGGGAGGCGGACGGCGGGAGGTGGTAGGGTGGAGAGGGTAGAGGTAGGGTTGGAAAAGGTAGGTTATAAATATAGGTAATAATCTGGTGTGATAATATTTTGATTCCCAAACTATCCTTAATTTAATCTTGACCGTCATTTTAAAAAAAAAGGAAAAAATGGAGCTAATGAAGGGTTTAGATATAGATAGCCACAATGGTTACTAAAAAACTAGTATCCACCCTAACACATTCCCATTTGGTTCGATATATGGTTACACCGAAATCCAAAAAAATGACCTAAACCTCCAACCGAGACTGTTCCATTCATTCAACTTCCGGTTTTCATGAAACAAAAAGAGTAGTACAAACTCTCTCAGATGAGATTAAGCGCAGCCACCGATCATTCCGACAAGCCCCCAAACCTATCTTGATTAAGCACACTTCCATAGGATAAACTCCTATCACAATCCTATTCTTCTCAGGTGGGGATCGAGGGGGACGCAAGGATTACCAGTCAACCGACAACCTTCTCAATGATGAACCAAAGTTGCCAAAGACACCATTTTTTAGAATCTTAAGTTCCAATGACTCCAATAAACCCATTCTATCAAGTCTGGGTTATTCTCATCCTTGAAATTAAAGGCCCATTATTGAACTCACCTCCACATCCATTGTCAGTATGGGAGATGGTGCAGCAAGAACGTACCTACATTTGTTTGTATGAATGAATACAATACAGATACAGTTCTCCATACTTTCCATACTTGTTTCAGAGTTCAGTCTGATAAGAATAAGAGGAAGGCCATGTTCGAGTTCTGTCCTGGAAGTGGGGCAAGGAAAGAAGAGCAGTTTGGTGGAAGGTCCACAACTACTGCTGCTGCTGCTGCTGCTGGCCTTCTCTTCTCTCTGTTTTAGAGACTAGTCAAGGACTGACTGACACAAAAGCCTGCATCAGAAAGAAAAGGAGAGCAATTCTCTCTCTCTCGGGGTTTTCGCTTCCACTTTTTCAACGGTCAAATGAGTCTCGTTTATACCCCCAAACTTCAGCCAACGGCTATTAAATAATAGTCATTGTTGTCTTATTGAGTGTAGGAAAACGAGCTTTAACAACTTGCCAAGTGTTATAAATGATTATCCTCCATGATTTGGGAACAAACAAGATAATTTAGAAACATGAAAGGGGGGAGGCAAAGAAATTACGCCGTTTCTATTCTATATAGTAGGATGAGAATTTCGTTTTTAATTTTCTATCTGTTTTTTCTAAATTATATGTAATTTTACGTGTATAGTGCTTAGAATTTTACATTTAGGACCTCATATTTTTAGCTAAAATGAAGTTATAAATAGATGAGAATCTCAATTTATCGAATAGTTTTACTACAGTCATCATGTTATAGTTTGCTTCTTGATGTTTTAAATGAAAACGATGAACATTTTGTAATATTTTTCATTTAAATTGTATATCCATATGAATTATCCAATGTGAATCAGATCTCTCACGAATATGAATATGAGTAGCGAGATACCATCCCTACCTATCCTATTGTCATTCTTCTGTAACATTGCCTGGGAGGCACCTGCGTATGGCATACAAGATCCAATCTCTTCGAGATCGGATAGATACGGAGAATGAGAAGAGAGCTTTTTGCTTCTGTCGTCTTCTTCTTCTGCAATTTTGGTGCTCTTTTCATTCAGGAGGCACATGGAAATCTCCAGGTTGATTGGTGATGGCGAAGAGATGGCGGGTGGGATAATTGGGTTATGGACATCCTCTATAGCTTGGATTTTCATAGTAACAAACAAACAAACAAACCAGAGGGAAAAGAGAGGATGGGGAGGCTCAGGCAGAAGCAGCCAGTGGATCTTTGTCTCTATCTCAAGCTCCTTTTGCTTCTGTCGGAGTTGCTGCTTTGTTCAAGATCAATCTACCCATCCAACTGACTTGACTGTTTTTACAACAAAGAGAACCATGTTACCTTGTTCAGGCACGCTTAGGCGCTAGACAACATCAAAAAGATCTCGTCTAGGGGTTTCATAGTGAATTAGGTATCGGGAACACATCAACGGAGTAAGTCGACGCCTAGGTGTTTCCTAACCATAAGGGTCCCTGGTAAGGGGTACAAATTGCAAGCAGCCTACTTACCCTCGGGGAACCGCTGTGAAGAAGTCCGCGCTTAGAGAATGACAAAAAGCGGGAATCACTGGTCCGGTGGTGGCTACGAAACACGGTGTCGGGGGTTCGAATCCCTCCCCTCGCCCACAACTAGTCTCATTCCCACACTCCTTGGCCTTCTTGAATGACATCTATAGATCGAGTGCCAGTGATTTCGTATCCAGTCAGAATCTTGCCTAATTGGCCTAATACTTTAACCATTATTCGGCCTCAGCTGAACTAGTGTTCTGATTTTAAAAACCTAACATGATTCTCATCCGGAAGAATCGAAACACATCGAAATTGTGTCGTTTTTTGCCCGTGCCTTATTGCTACCGATTCGACTTATTAGTTGTTCGACCTCTCTTCTAAATCAATATGTTTCAAGAACTTTAAAATATGAGTATACAAACTAGCGAATTAGTTTTTTTTATATTGTTAAGTGTTAAGTGAGTTGTTAGTCAATTGAATTTAAATGTGAAAGTGTAGTAAATTGTTATTTTATCCATCATGTTATACAAATGGTTATTTTTGCTTCCAACTCCTAGACGATGAGCTAGGCATTAGTCGAGAGCTTAAAGCCTGTCTTACTTACGCCTATTACCATCTTGAACCTCGCTCGACTGCATAATGAAAGAATCTCATAGAACTTGATATTATGCTGAATAGTATGGTCTTTTTGTCTTTGATCTTATTCTAAGATAGAGGATGTTGTCTAGTTTGAGATGTTATGAACCTTTCTTTGCTGTGACCACAACCCCATATGTATGGGACATTTGATGGGGACGACTCTTTGTAAGAACAGAACATTGGATAAGCTCGCTGCTGAAATTTGATTGCCAAGCTACCACCCAGCAGGCGATTCAATACACACATTACATCTTCCCTAACCTAGACGGCAAGTAAAACATGAAACAGAAGAAGAAGAAAAACACGATCCCCTCCAAATCCATATCTTATACGGAAATCGGGGGCCACTCAAACAGGAAAAAATTAAACTACAGAACAACGACACTTCTCCCTCCTCCATGATTGGCAAAAACGAGAACACCCGGAGCCCGCCAATCCGGTGCTCTTCCTTTTGCTCCATCCATCATCCCCTGCAGCAGCTTTTTTTCTTCTTTCTTCTTGCCGGCCATCAATCAGAGCTTTAGAGCTGGCCGAATGAGTGAGCCAGGTAAGCCAGCGACCCCACGAGAGGCGCGTTCATGTAAGTCGACGGCTCCGACTGCTCGTAATCCGACCTCTGGTCCGGGAACCGGTCGCGGCTGTCCGGTCCTCCGACGACGGCACCCACTAAAACGTTCGGGTTCGGCGAACCGGAGTTCATGATGCCAAATCCCGCGGAGCACTCGATCTTCGCCGGATGGGCCGCCTTCGACGGCAGCGACGAACCCCTGTGGTGGATCCTCTGCGGGTACCTCGGCCCGTATCCGACCATGTACGACATCCGCAGCGGGTTGTCTCCCAGGATGTAGTCCACCTGCTTCTTGGCGAGCGATCGGAGCCTCTTCGGGGTGACGATCGTTCCGCCGCAGTTGACGAATTTGCGGGCGGAGGTGAGGTACTTGGCGTAGGCCAGGAGCAGGAAGGAAGTGGAGGTCACATACTGCATGTTGTCGTCGCTCATTTTGAAGAGCAGCCCACCTGCGTCAACAACGAACAAATCATTTAGTCCGAATACTGCTAAACCGTTAGGCATTTAATTTGTACATGTTGGACCGTATCATCTATTGCGCTAGCTAAATCACATTCCGACACCGCTGTGACCGAAATGTATGTGTATTTGAGGTCGAAATTGAGGCAGGGCAATGGGGGTTGTTAAACCTGGAGTGTACTGAGTGGAAGAGGAAGGCGCGCCGGGGATGAGGGAGCAGATGAAGTTATCTGCGTGGCCTTTGTAGTCATGGAGGGACTGAACTCTCTGGACGAGGAAAGCTTTGGAGAGCAAGATTCGGGCTCCGACGTGCTTGTTATCCCACCCAAATGTGTTGTCGAACTCCGCCGCGCCGAGAATCTGGCCGTTTACCTGGATGTAGTTCAGGTAGGTTGGGTTCTTGGTTGCCCTGTGTAACCATGCCGCTCCCCACAGAAGCTCGTCCTGAAGCTCGGTTCAGTTATGTTAATTAACCACCATTCTTTTACACTTGAGAAAGGAGAGAGAAGTAACTTTGAGGTCTAACCTGGTAGCCAGAGTACGAGCAGTAGAAAGGGCAGACGACGCTTTTGAGCCCATTGCTGTAAGGTCCTCTGTACTTGTCAGCAAATTGGAACACCTGTGAAAACCAGAAAACCCTTTGTGGGAATGGATTTTTTAGTGCAAATTAAATTACTACCATCTATGTATCTATAAATTGATGCTTACCCTGATTGCCCTCTTGAGCAGGACCTTGGAGTAATTAGGGTCGGATCTCCTGAAAACCAGAGACGCCGCGGCGAGAGCCGCCGCGGTTTCTCCGGCGACGTCGGAGCCAGGGGAGTTCTTGTCCACCTTGTACACGCTCCTCGGAGTGTCCATGTCCTCCGGCCTCTCCCAGCAAGCGTGGTCCTTCTTAGCATCTCCGACCTTGTGGGAGAGAGAAAAAATAAGATCCAAACTTCATGCTTAATTTTTTTTCCTTCGTTTGTTGAGGAGGGGGGAAAAAGAAGGGTAGTGCAGCAGACCTGGACAAAGATGGTGTCCGGATGAGATGTGGCTTTGAGGAGGTAATCAGTGCCCCAGCGAATGGCTTCTCTGGCGTTCTGCAGCTCGCCTTTCATCAATCCGCCGAATTCGAGCACGCTCCATGAAAGCATTGTGGTCGTGAACGCCATTGGGAAGCCGAACTTCACATTGTCCCCTGCGTCGTAGTACCCTCCAACCAGATCCACCTGCCAAAATTTGTTAGCAAAACGGTAAAATCAGAAACAGAGTAGGGTAAAAACAGAGCAGTTTTTCCTCATACATTCACGGCATTGCCCAAAGTCAGTTAGAGAGGACAGAAGAGTGAAATGAGGAGAAAGACAGCAACTTGTTTTTAGACCCATTCATGCCACAGCTCATGAGCAGCCAGAGAAAGCAAAGGGTGAAGAAAAGGGAAGAAAACAGAGCAATGTGTGCTCTGTTTTTGGACATACATTCATGGCGGAACCGTCAGTGAGGCCAGAGTCTCTCCTCCACGACATTCTCTGGTTAGGAGGGAGCTTCCCGGACCTCTGCCCTTCAAAAAACAGGATGGATTTGGTGAGGGCATCTCTGTAGTTGTGGCTGGCGGTGCGAGGGCGGCCGCGGTGATTGTGGGCGCCATGGGAGTTGGGAATGAGAGAAGCTGCGAAGGTTGTGAGGAGAAGCAGGATGAGAAGGATAGTGGAACGGGATGAAGAAATGGCCATGTTTTTGGGGGAGTTTGGTCTTCTTCTTTGTTTCTTTGGTCAAAGGGGGGGAATCTGAAGGGGGGGAACTACTGCTGAAAGCCTGCAACTGGTTATGCGGCAGTGAGGAAGAAGAGGGGGAGTGAACTGTGTGTATTTAAAGAAGAGGAAGAAAGGTGTAAAGGCCAGGGCTTTATGGGGTGAAGGGTGTAGTAGAAGAGCAATAATTAAGACCCACATTCCCTTGCCATGTTTTCTCTGACATCTTCTTATCTTTATACACTGTTCCAGTTGTTATAGTTTTATTATGAAATGATAAAAAGCGTTAAGTTTTGGCTTAAGGGGGTGTTTAGTGTGAATTAGCCAAAGCTGTTCTCCGTTTTTTCCCTCTTCCCGGCCGGCGGCTAGGCAAGTTAAGTGCCACCGGCGTTTGAAAGTTCCGTCACCTCCCCTTTCCCCGGGGGGATTTTAAGGGTAATGGGTTCGATTTGGCAGTGAAAGGGCGAGCAGATGGTAGAAAGCGACCAGGCGCAATGGGATCTTCTCAATTGTTGGGGGGTGGAAGATGTCAGATTGTGAAGGGCTGTAGAGAGCGACAAGGCGCAATGGCGCTCGGCGGTGATCCAGGTTTGTAAGGGTTTCTGCATTATCTCTGTAACCTAGCCTGAACGGATTAACTGTGTGTGTAAAAAATAGCCATCACAGTATGCTGCCCCATAGTGTGAGCCGAAAACTCTTGTTTCCGTGTGTTCTTCTGATCATCTGCTGCAACTTATTTGAGATTGATTCCCTGCAACTATTTGAGATGAATCACCGTGACCCTTTGGTGTAGCTAACGCAATCACTTATTTAGGCACTGATTACTCATTACACTTCTAATACCAGAATATGTTGTCTTCAGTATATAAGGCTTTTGGTAACTTATAATCATTCTTGCATAAATTCTGCCTAGACCAAAATATATTCATTTTTGCGAAGTCTTGAAACTTGACAGCATTCCTTGCTCAATGATGGGACTAGGCAAGGAACTACCACTACCACTTTTGGTGGAAACCCAGTGGAGAAATTGACCAACTGAGGAGAAAGCATGTTGACAACTGCCATTTTTGTTGTTGTCCAAGTTGTAACAAGTAACGAACTTTGCCCTCTCTTAGTCTCTTCCTCTATTGTCTTTTCTGAATGTCTTATGCATAGTCTAATACCTGAGTTACCTAAGTGTTGATGCTGTTTATGTCTCCTGCTTCCCCTGTGCTTTCAGATAAGACTCTTTCTGTGTAGTGTGTAATCCCTCCCTTTTCTCGGCTACTTTTTAACTAGACAACCATAATTTTCAGTAACTTTGTGCATGTTCTGAACATCAGTCATATGCAGAGCAACTGGAACGGTACTTGAATTCATCATTCATTGTCTTCTGCTTCCAATTAGCATTATATGTATGGCAATGAGAGCGATTGGGGAAAGATGATGAGCTACACCTGCAATACACCAGTATGTCTTGAGCTGTTTGAGCATTTATTTTCTTAGCTGAGCCTGAGCATATATGTTTGAGATACATGTACTCTCTCGCAGTTAGTTCTGGCTGTGTGATTAACGGAGAAGAACGTGAACTGATGCAAGACACTTTTCATGCCCTCGATGCTCGAGCAAGAGCTGAAAATCCAGAAAATGAACTGATGCAACAGAAACTTTAGAAGGCTCGTTGTTGTAGAACCCACCTCCACATTTCTAAGTCTAGTGTTCTGTTCACGTTTGTTTTGATCTGCGTATCTTTTTTTCAGAAAATGACCGGGAATCGTACCGAATGCGTGTCACAGGCGCTGATTGATTGTGAAAAAGCAAGTGCTGAAGCTGAAGCTCAAGTCCACTGGCTGAAGCTTAATGGAGGAATCGTAATGAATGCGAGTCACTTGTTTACTTTTCTCCTTGGAGCCCAAATTAGAAGCCCTAGCTTTGGGCTCTGGCTCACTAGCAATATCCGGTTTCTAAGTTCTAACAGTGGGTTGGGCCTCATCATGAGCCCAATCAGCCGTCGGTAAGCAAAATCCACATCATCGAAATAATGCAATCATCTCTCAAAACAAAAGAGTAATAAAAAGCACATGTACCTTATTATCTAACCAAATTTCCTGCATGAAGTATGAGCCATAGTATATACTACTCTATTTGCAAACATCCACAGCTAATCCAACTCGCTTGGTAGGCTTTGTCTCTGATTTCTCCATAGACTTGACTCACATCAAGAGAACGAAGAATTTGAGTCTTGAAGCTTTCTAATAATCAACAGACAATGAGACTCTACCTCTCTACATGGAGAAAATCATATCGTCGAACGATTTTTATTCCAAAATTCACACACATAAACTTCGGCCAAATCAACGATTCTTCTAGCTATAGCTAAAAGGAGTACAAGATTGGCTAAATCATAATGTGAGTTTGCAGAAGTACCATACCCTTTTGGATGGGATGAAAAGGGCAAAAAAAAGGCTTCTTTCTTAGGGTTTATTGTCCCTTAACTATATTCTTCTCTACTACATATGTTCCTTCCTGAACCGCCATAATACACTACATGTGATAAAAAGCATACGTAAAGCTCCATTACCCACTCCTTCGTTCCTTCCCACCACATAAAAAGAAAAGCATATCCTCCCCTAACTCTTCCTTTGTTCTGCAACTCTCTTTGTTGGTCTGCCACCACCATATCATAACTGGAACTTGGTTCCAAGCAACACACTTCACCTGTTCCAGAGCAAAAGATAGTGAAGGAATACGGCAAGAAGTGTGGATCTAGCTCCGTACTCTCATGTCACTCAGAGATCTTATCGAGTCTATCATTGTTTGTTAAGATGACAAAATCTTCACTGTTGTTACACTTATTCGCGATCAACATTGAGAAAGACTTACACAGCTTGACGCTAGTACCGCGCGACTCGAAGTACAATTGCTACGAGAGTGATTCTTCACTCCGACACACCTCGTTTGTAGCTTCATCATCGAATCCCCTTCGTCACGTTCTTACTACAATTAGATATCAAATGTGCGTCATTGAGCTCCCTCTTGTCTTGACTTTGATTCCAATCACGAGTTAGTCCTATTTTTTTTTCATGCAAGGTTCTGTATCTTTTTTTTTCTTTACCTCTGTTCATATTCAGCAGAAATCAATTTTGCCTGGCTCGTGCCAATCCCACTCCTAACTGGTGTCGATTTCATTTTAACATTAATATCGATTGTCTTTCGAATCCCGTTATTCATTTATTTGAGTTCTCACACACCCATACATCATTTCTTCCAATCCAAGTCATGACTTGGGTCGATTGCTACAATGAGACCATATAGAAGAGATTTAAGGTGGTTCCTTCCTATTTCCCTTTACTTCTTCAGCGGGCAAAAAAGATATAAAGGAAGAGAGAGTTTGCTTTCCCTAGCCCACAATGATGAATGATGAAAAGGAAGGAAAACTTTTTCCCCTTTCGAAGGAAGGGGACGGTGTCGTGTAGCCCTTTCTCTCCCTCTTTTCTGAGCACAGCCCACGTGCATGGTAAGAGACTATGTTCTGTGGCGGAAGAAGGAAATGAACTTTGTGTTCAACGCATTCCATGTCACCATTCATCCTTCCTTTCCCTTTGTAATCCCAAATTAGTGAGTCTTTTTGGGAGTTAGTTAGGCATGGTTTTGTATTATGGAGAGGTTCTTACTTCTAACACTATCTTCTTTCCTCCCCAAGATGATATGTTTTCCTTGCAAAGATAGACAACGATTTCCTAATAAGAGTAGTATGTTGGGAGGCTGAAGGTAAATCCTATTTTTACGACAACTCTAATAAGATGACGTGAATAGTTTGAGTCAACGAGTTACATTGATCGTTCTATGACTTGTTTCATAGTGTTTTTTATTACATTGCAATGCGAAACGAACCAAGGAGCATGATGTAGTACATGCAAAAGCTCTTCCCAGCTATATTGCATGCAGGTCACATGGTAATTTCGTGGAATGTTCTATGTAAGGAAGTGGTTAACTACTATACATAAGCCTCTTCCAACAACTCGAGTTATTGGGACCAGTTGGTTTATGACATGGTATTAGAACTGGTTTTTCCTTGAGGTCACGTGTTCAAGTCTCCCCCCCCCCCCCCCAATATTAACTGTTGTTTTCAAGCATATGGCACGGCGAGAATGAGCAAACTTCAAGCCCACGAGTCGGCTTTCGTTTGAGGGGGCGTGCAAAGAAGTGGTTAAGTACCATACATGGGCCTCTCCCAACAACTCGAGCTATTGGGACCAACTGGTTTATGACATTCTATGAGTGACTCATTTTGGCCAATATTTCTGAAACATCTCTTCTTCTTTTGTAATGTGGGATCGTAACATATATAGTAAGAGTTTTACAGATAAAGAAAAATCTTGTGAGCGGATGATTTTGTTATGCAACTCGTCAAATAAACGTCTTTGAATATATAGATTTTGGGCAATGAACGGAAGAACACATCATATCAACGCTCTTATCTGACCACTAGGTCGCTTATTTAGATTTATCTCTGCGTTATCCTTTTTTTATATGATGTATTGTTGCTAACAAACTTGTCTATATATCTAATGACTTGGCAAGCTATAATTTGCCATATGATTGTTTAGGTGACTTTGGTCACACCTTAGATAGACTAACACTAACCATAAAAGTGCCATTGTTGAAGTTGAAAAAGTGATGATTTGAGTGTGGATCTGTTCTTGTGTACATGTCTACCCTAGTTGTTTGTAACATGGTGCCCCATAGGTTGCAAATGATAAAAACCTGTTAAAGTTGAGGCTTTCCCTTCCTTGAAAATGTAGGATGTGAAAGGGAAGAAAAGATTAGAAAGGATGGCAGACCAATAATTCTACTATAGAGATGATTCCAACAGTGACACAACTTCACCACCCACCATTGGAAAAGTCTATCCATTATAACAATGGCCCATCACCAAACACCATTGGAATCGAGTATTCTTTCAGTTTTTAATGGTTACATTTGGATTTTGGCTGGATATATAAATCCTCTGTTTTTGAAATCCTCCTAGCAATTTATGAATTGGTTTGGATGTCTATTGTGGCCTTTGTGGGAATTTAGTTTAAGGTGATCATCAGGTAGGATACAACTCATTTCATCAAGTAAAGATAATTCGATAATGTTATGCATGTTGTCACGTGAAATCTCTAACAATGTATAGAATAAATTATATTTCTGTAAATTCTTTATTCCGAAATCAATGCATGAATTCTCTACAATCTGTCCACTTTGATAATGCAACACAATACTAAGCGGGCATTTAATAATTGTGCATGTTAAATTGATGTATTCTTAAAACACATGAATTATAAAATTTATATATTTGAAATAAAGAAGTGAAGTCAAACAATTGTTAAGGCAATTTCATATTTATACCCATCCTTTCACTTTTTTATTGGAATACAGAAAAGTATTTAGGGATAAAATTGCAGAGAAAAGGGGACAAACAAAAATCTGAAAGTCTATAATGAAATTGAATGACTTCAATTCTCACATGAGAAAAGTAAATACAAGTAAAATACATGGATCGTTGTCAATATAAATAAAACGATCGATGTGAAATATTCAAATTCAAATCATCTTTAGTAGCAAATCAAAATATACATACATATATTGTGTATAATTTTTAAAAAGATGATTGACCATACATGTATTGTCCAAATCATGGACAATTAATTATAGCCTCCCAAAGTTCTAAGCAAAAAATTATAGCGCCTCCAAACAACCCCTAAATCCTTAACAACATTGATTACTTTTCTTCTTATAGTTGAAGTACACGATTGTCGCCAAGGATTTTGCATGAATCTAATTAATATAGCTAAATTTTGTGAGGACCAATAATAGAATCGAAAATCAAGGTGATGAATGTCAGAATGTGTTTATTATAAGTACCTTGTATTAAGACCAAATGAACAGTTCATGTTTAAGAAACTTCTTCTCCACCTAGAATGAATCATTCAGATACACATACGGCTCCTGAATGCAACGAAGAGCCTCAACAGAAACTGAAACCCATGTTCTCTGAAAACATCTTTGCGGGGCTTTTCATGGCTTGGTTTATAGCCTGTTCGTTTGTTGTTGTGGATTGTGCAAATGTAGTTTCTGATGCAAATTTTGAGAAAAGTTCCCAAGGCAAATGTTATAAACGCGCTGCTATGTATCGGGAAATCGCCGAAATCGATAAAATAAGAATATGAAAGCGAGGATCGAAAAACACAGACACACAATTTACGTGGTTCACTAACACGATGTGCGTTAGCTAGTCTAGGGGCGAGAGAGAGCCAGTTTCACTATATCGAGGAGATTATATATTACAGAGGAGTATGAGAAGTATTTATAGTACTTCTCCATGTGGGTCTAAACCTAATCCAATTTGGCAAAGCAAACGGTTACAGACCAGGCGCAGAACCCGAACCCAAATAACAACGAGACCCCCGACTACAAGTCGTAGCGGCTGATAGTCCGATTCAAGTCACATCAACAGCAAAATTTAGCGGATAAACTAGAAAAAATTCAATTGGTCTACTATCATTGTTTGCTTCATTAATTGGAGAGAATGAACCAATCATTTCGAAAACGAAAAATTGCAGTCAAATGAGATTTGTTCCAAGGGGAATTCGTTGAATTTTATGAACCAGATTTGTATGAGATAAACATAGAGAATTTTTGGAGAGTCGGGTCAAATATAAATCTAAATTGTTGAATGTATATGAATGAACTAGGTTAGATTTAACTTTTTTTTTCTTTTTCCAGTCAAGTGATATGTCTGTATTTAACTAAGGTATCAAACAATCTTAAGTCTTAACCCAATCATAGAGATGGAACTGACATCTTCTGCTCATGGTTGGCCGGTTTGATGAGAATTGACTTGAGTATCAACCTTCATTGTAACAAAAATGTACTCATAAAACAAAAAGCAATAAGGAATTGATTTAAGCTCATACTTATATCCGAACATGAAAGCCCTAATTTATTCATGTTTGAAAAATACTCGAGTTATACATCGAATTTTGATTAGTTTTATTTTCCATGGCCATTTAACCACATAAATACTAATATACAAAGGGACTTACATACTCTCCTCACACGCCCACACTATTTATTAAATATCTCGTGCCCACTTCCACCTCCTCTGTTTCTCTCCTCCTTCTTTGCTTGCTTGCTCTGTTTTTCCTCCTCCGGCTTCACTTTCCCTTCAAGCAAATCAGCTTTGCCTTCACGCTTCGGATGGAACAATGGAGCAAAATGCAATCAACCCATGGGAACTGAAATCCCTTTCTCTACTCCTCACCACCATGTCGCCATCCAATTCTCCCTTCCCTCTCACCCCGGAATCCATCTCCCGCCTTTCCACCGATTACCCACTCTTCTCCTTCACAATTTCCCTCTGCGTGCTAATCATCCTCTACTTCCCTCGCGCCATCGGTTTCTGCCTCTCGCCGGTGATCGTCATCACAGCCCTCAGCCTGCTCTGCCTCCTCCGGCTCGGAACCGTCCAGAGAGCAGAGAAGAGCAGAGAAATCGAAGAAATCGTCGAACCCAGGAGCGAGATCGTAGAGAAAACTGATTCTTTAAAACCAACTGCGAAAAGGGATTTCGAGGTGTCTTTCGTCCAGTGGGACGTCGGAGCGCCATTGGAGGTTATCTACGAGGAAGGCGGAGAAGGAGACGACGGTGGCCCTCCGCCCAATTCGAATTTGGGTGATGGGAGAAATGGGGAGGAAGGGAATCAGGCGGGTTTGGAGAGGTACCCTTCTTTGTCAATGTATTACCCTGAAACCGACTCCGATTGCTCGTCGGACGGCGGCGGCGAGGGCTTTTTGACCACCGGAGGGTGGGATTTTGCGGCGGAAGGCGGAAGGTTCCAGTGGGAAGAGGAAGACAGAGAAGAGTTGTTGATCGAGATAGCTTTGGATCGCGGTACGAAAGGAAAGGGAAAGGGGAAGGATTTGGAATTGGATTTGGGTTTTGACTCGGATTTGAGTTTTCACGGCGAGGAAGAGAATCTGATTGAGATTGATATATCGCCGGGGAGACTCGACGATGTGTTTCACGGGGACGCGTGATTGAGATTTGATTATATAATTCGCCGGGGAAGCTCGACGATGTGTTTTCCGGTGAAGTTTGGGAGGCTGTTTTTCTTTTTTCCTTTTCTTTTTGCTTCTTTTTTGGTTTTGGTTCGGTGATGATTTTTAGGTTCATTAAATCCGGACTAATTATTAATTAACGGGTAATTAAGGGGCTCGAATTACTAGTGTGGATATATGGCTTGATGAAAAGACTTAAAACCAGATTTTGGACGTTTAGGGTTCTGGGTCAAACTTAGTAATACTCTAATAGGGTGTTAATGATGGAGTTGTGTTGTTTGATATTAAGATGGTTTGATCGCAAATCTAAATATTAATATGCATTGACTTTTATGAGTGTCAAATTATCTTTAATCATTTGGTTATGATAGGTTATTTTTCTCGGTCGAAGCCTGTTTACAACTTACAAATAGATTATAACGGTCATTTCACTAAAAATTAAGTTACATGTAAAGCAAAAATAATATCATTCAACATAAATAGTGTTCAAATCTATGGTTTTTCTCTATTTGACTATTTACTTTCTCGATGTACTTAACGGGAGAGAGTAATTACGGGAGAAACCCGACATTTCCTACTTTACTTATTCGACAAGACTAGTCCTAAAATTGTGATTGAGAAGTGACCAGCACAACAAACAAAGGGACCAATCTTTGAGCTTTTACATTTTAGCCCTCAACTGAAACTTTTTTTTGTATCCCTATCCAATATCAGAAAGCATATGGCGTCAATAACAAGCAACATGCAATTGTGTTTCTATGCATTTAAAGCGAGCTTACAAGTTACAACTAATTGTGTCTGAAATTAGGTCAGCCATCTGGTTTACACCAAAACATGTCGCTATCAAGCTACAATATTGTCCTCCTTGTATTTTCATAAATTTAAGAAAACCAATAATCATCTTACAAAGCAAAAGTTGAATTATTGCCCTTCATTGTTTACGAATAATATTCGGGGTTTTCATTCGGATTTCGGACTCCTATCATTTTTTTAATGGATTGAATATGTAAGGAGGCAAAGACAGATCATCGATGTGTATGAAAATTAACATATTGTTTATATTATTTTTTTCATCGCATGTCTATTTAAAGTCAAGAGAGAAAAGGTTAAAGAAAAAAAGGGAGACCGATTCTCGATATACACCAAAACTTAGAGGTTAATTTTGAAGCATAAGAATATTGTTGAAAATATATAAAAAGAGAAACTCATTTGGAAAATTTTGCGAGTTAGTCTTAAAGTTTTAATTCGACGTAACTATAGATCAAGAGATCGTCACGACTCTCTTTATTAAGTGCAAAATATGACAACCTCCTCTTTCAAAATTAACAAAGCACATTTATCTCCAAAACCAACCAATTTTTTTCCACTCATGCAAGAAGTCAATGAAGAAGCTGTATCAATTATTCAATTTCAACATTCAATTGATCATTTGGCTTGGCCTGCCTTCGTTTTCAGCTTCACCCTCTTCTTCTTCTGCCACATTCTTCCTCATATGTCAGTACAAATTCACAACCGCAGATTTTGTTAACTAGCTTCCACCCAGCAGAAAAAAGACAATCGGTTTTGGTTGGTTGGGGGAAGAACAGTTTGCCTTGGACTTGTCGCTGCTTCTGTCTACAACTACACACTCCCTGCTGGCTGAATCTTTTTTTCTTCTTGTCTTTAGTTTTTTGGACAGATTAAATATAAGGAAAACTTGCAGCAACAGCAATGAACCAAAGAGGGCAGTGGCATGACCATGAAGGCTGAAGCTAGCTAGCTAGCGCCATAAAGCCTCTTGTCAATGAGACGTGATGGATTGCTTCAGTTGTGACCTGTTGGGCATGTGACTCGGATCTTACCGCGCCAAAGAAACATCCCAATGGCGCTCACGCAAGAGTTAGGCACGCGAGCAAGAACAGCGCCCGGAGGCTGCGCCCAGACACCGAACGACGACGCTTTGGTCAGATGTTGACCTTGACTAAGAGACCATGAAAGCGGCGCCGCGTCACTCAAAGAGTAGTCACCATCATAGTTCTAGGTATAGTCATGGCTAAAGGTCTTTTCCTAAGTAGGGATGTGGCCTATGCTTCTGACATGTCAGTAGTCATGTCACCATGCCACCATGTAACTCACCCACCACCATGTAGCCTATAAATATGGCATTTACTCCGGTAGGTGAGGGGATCGGATTTTTCAGACTCTATCTCTACGAATTATCAACTTCTCTCTCTAAGATATCACCCTCTCAACTCCATTCATTCTCTCCTTAGTTCTTCCGTTCATAGCTGTTTCTTATTGCTTACTCTCCTTGACCCATCCTCTCGAGCCTCACTCCTACACCCAGTTAGGCTCAAACAATCCATTAATGGTGACCCGAAACAGTGGATTGCTTCGACGAGATGGACGATTATAGATCACGGTTGAGATGTTGCAAATTCATGAAGTGTAGGGTGGAAATCGAACGTTAGATATACGATGATTATTTGAATTTTGTTTTTTTTTTTGTCGAGTATTTTAGTTCGAGTTAAGAATATGATTCTGAGTTCGGGTTCCAAATTCGTTTGTGTGGGGGTGTGATGAGCGGAATTTGTGGAGATTGGTTCATGATTTAAACTTCATCATTGACGATCAATGATTAGTATATGCATGTAGCATTATTTTACTGGAAAATGTACTAACTTTTTTTTAAGAGCGGACCATATGTGGAAAGTGAGGAGCAGAGAAGGGATCTCGACCTTCTTGAAAAGCTTAGGGTCGAGTTTTAGTATGAGGGCAATGACTTGGTTCTTTATCCTACGATTCTGCTTGATCTTTTTTGAGTTCAGAGTTGCTTAGTGGATTTGCTCAATAGTTATGGACTTTGTGATGAAATATGCGCACACGATCGGAGTTTCTTGTCCAATACATTTATTAAGAAAAAAGCACAGGCATTACATTGTATGGTGAAATGTGACTGTCTGCTCATTTTTCAGAACGAGTCGGATGCTCAAAAGTTTTAATCATATATGGCTCACTCTGATCCCTAAAGTGGATAACGTAGAGCACATGAGGCAATTGCGGCCGATCAGCCTATGCCAATTCGCCTATAAAATTATAACCAAAATCATGTCCGAGAGGCTTGCTAAGATCCTCCCGGGTATCATATCTGAGGGGCAAAATGCCTTCATACGGGACAAGCAGATCATCGAGAATATTCTCCTTGGCCACGAGTTAATGCATTATTTAAAGATCAAAACACGAGGAAAGAAGGGATACATGGCTCTAAAGGTTGACATGGAAAAGGCCTATGATAGAGTCGAATGGTCCTTTTTGCTTGCTGTTATGAATAAAATGGGCTTTGACTCGGTTTGGCAAGGATGGATCCATGAATGTCTCCGTTCCTCGTCTTTCTCTGTGCTTATGAATGGCTCCCCAGCAGGGTACTTCTCACCATCTCGAGGTTTGCGTCAAGGAGATCCTTTATCCCCTCTATTGTTTGTGATATGTACAGAGGGGTTCGCAGCTCTCCTTCGTAAAGCAATTGATGAGGGGCGTCTGCAGGGTGTGAAGGTGGCGCCAAGAGCTCCCAGAATTTCCCACTTATTTTTTGCGGATGATTCGTACCTCTTTTTGAGAGGAACGCTCCAGGAGTGTGAGAATCTGATTGTGGTTTTAAATGAGTATGAGGAATTGAGCGGCCAACGTGTCAATTTGGATAAATCAGCAGTTTGTTTTAGCAAGAATGTTACTTTGCCTGATCAGGAATTTCTGGCTGCGGTTTTGGGGGTGGGGGCGGTGGGTGTACATGATAAATATTTGGGGTTACCCACCTTGTTTGCCCGGTCCAAGATGGCTACCTTCCGGTACTTGGAAGAAAAGCTCCTAGAACGCCTCAAAGGTTGGAAGCAGCGGACTTTGTCTTGGGCTGCGAAGGAAACTTTAATCAAGTCCATTGCTATGGCGTTGCCTTTGCATGTAATGTCTTGCTTCAAACTTCCGGTGTCTCTATGTCGTATCTTGGATAAGCATGTGGCAAGATTTTGGTGGGGGGTGACGGAGGATAATTTGAAGATTCGTTGGGTTTCCTGGCGTAACATGTGCCGGAGTAAACATGAAGGGGGTTTGGGGTTTCGACGATTCGAACAATTTAATCAGGCTCTGCTAGCCAAAATTGGTTGGCAAATCATGACTGATCCGCAGTCCCTTCTTGCCCAGGTCTACAAAGGAAAATACTTCCCAACTGGGACCTTTCTTACCGCTACGGCCCGCTCTCGGCCTTCTTGGGGATGGCAGAGCATCCTCTTTGGCCGCCAGTTGTTGGCCAAGGGTCTGCGCTGGCAAATTGGGAACGGTCAGACGGCCTCCGTGCTTAACTCCAATTGGATCCCTCCCTACCAATTTGACCCCATCCAGGCTAATCCGGTAGTGCTACCGGAGGGTGGGGATCCAAAGGTGGCGGAACTAATTCGGACCGGGGAGGGACGCTGGTGTGACAGTAAAATTAGCCACTGGTTTGATCCCCCTACGTGTAAAGCCATAAAAGCTATACCCCTTCCACGGAGGAATATTGAGGATAAGCTCATCTGGCATGCGACGGTGGATGGGATGTTCACGGTCAAATCGGCTTATCATCTCGCAGTCACATTAGACAGGAGGAGGGAAGGATGGAGGTCTACTGTGAGCTGGATGGATAAGGACAGCTGGATTCGTATCTGGGAGGCAGATATCCCCCCAAAACTAAAAGTGTTTGTTTGGCAGATCCTTTCTCGAGTTCTCCCTACTACGGAGGCACTCTTAGAGCGAAAGGTTCAGGTACATCCCCGTTGCCCGGTGTGCTGGGAAAGTTCCGAAACTCTTGAGCATCTGTTTCTCTACTGTCCGGTTGCTCGGGCCCTTTGGGATTGCTCGGGCTTGGACTACCTGGGGGAGGCGTTGCCGCGCCAGACGTTTCCTTTGTTTCTTAAGAAGCTCTTGGCTTTGATTAATCAACCCACGGTGTTTATGGCGGTGGTTGCCATTCTTTGGAGGATTTGGCGGTCTCGGAATTGGGTGGTGTTCGAAGGGAAACAATTTGGAATCCCAGTGCTAATGCGCCAATTTGTCCAGCAGTTTGAGGAATGGGTTCGGTTGCCTAAAGAGACGGTGGCGCGGCCAATCCAGTCGGATCCGGGACAGCAGCCCCTGGTTGGCCCTCCCCGTATGGTCTGTAGGTGGGATGGAGCTACGAAGGCTGGGTCCCATTCTGCAGGGGGTGTGGTCCTGTTCCACCCGTTTGGGGAGATCGCGATGGTCAGGGGGTATCATTTCCCGGGCATAGACAACCCCCAGGTGGTGGAGCTCCTTGCGCTCAGGGAGGCTGTGGGCTGGTGTGTTGAGCTAGGCTTCACGGACATTGTGTTTGAGGGGGATGCCAAAGTTATCATCGAGAAGATCAATAGAGGCGACCAGAGTGATAGTCGGATGGGTGCTGTTCTAGCAGAGCTATTGCAATATTTTCGCATCCATTCGGGGTTTAGTATTCGGTTCATAGGTCGGCGTAGTAATAGGGTAGCCCATATGGTGGCTAGGAAAGCCCTTTCTTTGTACCCTACCATGAGCCGTTTCTTTGATTTCCAGACCTGGCTGCTTTCCAGGGTGTAACTTTTATTGAATCTATATATGATTATCTTTTGTAAAAAAAAAAAAAAGAAGGTGAAATGTGACTAATGAAATTTGACTTTAAACAATAGTTTGTTTTATAAAGTTCAAGTGATTTCTCTTCAAAAAAAAAATAAAATAAATAAAGTTCAAGTGATTCAACTCCTAATAACCAACAATTTGATGTGATTGAACTCATTGCATGACTCTTGTTTGTAGGACTCGTGTGCATTTGCTCCCTCTGAGTCTTCACAATCACAATGACTATCTCATGCTTTACCATTGAATTATATATGATTCGGTTGATATTGGTAACCTGTTTTAGTTGCAAATGAAGGCATGTCGATCTTCGTATGGTTATAGAATAACTCGATCAGGACTTATTTCAAAAACAACACGAGCAACTTAATTGGACTGGGATTCAGTTGTACTTGGATTAAAAAAATATGTAGAAATTATCCCAAAAAATCCAATGTATTGGAGAAATGGTAGTCCCCCATATTATATATATATTAGATGAGAAAAATACAACATAGGATAATTGTGATTGAAAAGAAAGCATCTGAGTTGTGAAAAATAACTTATATATGATACACGAATATAGCATGACTTAAGTTTAGATGAATGATTTATGCATGATATGAGGATATAACAAGCCAGTATCATATACTAAGGGCAATGTTTGCTATTGTCGGAAAATATTGAGCGTAAGTTCATATCTAAGTTTGCTTTCATGAGATATTGGGGAAAATCAAACTTTTAGTTCATAAAATGTTAAACCGAGTGTAACTGAAAAAGATAAACGTGAGGGCATTCAACTTGTTTTCAATGTCGTAGGCATACATAAACTTAATTTTTTATGGGTATGTTCATAAACTTTAGCACTCATAAGTTGGGATCATGCACCCATATGTACTAAGTGACTATTGTGTTAGATTATTGGTCATGCTTCCAAACTTGTAATGATGAATTTGTTAAGAACCCAAAGTATGATAATTGATCTCGTAATGACCAAAAAGTTTATTGACCTCTAAACAAAGTGTAGTGGCCATTTATTTTAATCAATACAAAGCCAAGGCAAACCCAAACGATCAAAATACCCCTAGCATCTGCCAAACACTCCATAGAGGAATAAACCTAAACCCCTTATCCTCCTCATCTCCCCCTAATCTCCGTTAATCGCCATGGCCGGCCTCCATTACAACTTCTTCCTCAGCGATTTCTTCTACTCTTGCCCTAAGTCCGTCACCGTAGCCGAGCCGCAAACGTTAGCCAGACATCGTCCCTCCAGTTAAAGCGACCCGACAGAGCAGTTACCACAGCAGGTTACCCTGCCAACCTCATCATCCACACCAACGACAACAAGTCCACCACTGCCATAGAGTATAAGAAGGAGAAGTACAATCACCTTGATGGGTAGCTGATAATAACCACCACCACAATCCTCAAATCCATAGTAATCGTGATCTGCACTAATTTGATCCTCTTCTTAATTAACTAATATAGTAATATGGTATGACTTAGATTTAGATGAATGATTTATGCATGATATGAGAGTATAACAAGCCAATATCATATACTAAGGGCAATGTTTGCTATTGTCAGAAAACATTGAGCGTAAGTTCATATATAAGTTTGCTTTCATGAGACATTGGGAAAACCAAACTATTAGTTCATAAAATGTTAAACCGGCTATAACTGAAAAAGAGAAACGAGAAGTCATTCAACTTGTTTTCAATGTCGTAGGCATACTAAACTTAATTTTTTTATGGTTATGTTTATAAACTATATCACTCATGAGTTGGGATCATGAACCCAAAATGTTATAAGCTATAACATATGTCGATAAACAATTTGTAATCTCTTGTTAGTGTCTATAAGTGGCAGCATACAGGCCACATTTTTAGAATTTTGTTAAACATATGCGCGAAATTGCACTACCGTTTAACAAATATAGTAGTTCGAGCGATTTATTTGTAATCGAATATACAATTCCTATGTTACGAATGAGTTTCAGAAACGTTCTTATCTTAAAAGAAGAAATATTCAAAATCGAAGTCCTTAATCATCAAAACTTCACCCATCATCACTCCTTTTCCTTTTTTTTTTCTTCTTCTCAAAACGGGCAAGTCGGCGAGACGAATATAAGGCAGACAAAAACCTGGCCTGACATTCAAATCTCAACTTCAGGATTTCCATGTAAGATTATTGCAAGAAACAGATTTTAAAAAAACCCTCCTGGTAAGATTCCAATTGATGCCATATACCCACACCACTTCATCTAATCTCCTCCAATTGCCATTTCTTTCATTGACGCTCTGATCATACATATGACCACTTCCACTCCATTCCCAACCCACCTCGAAATCGCCATGGTTGGGCTGTTGGGGGAATTACTTGTTTTGTTCCATTGGCACATGAGAGCGACTTAGCATATGATTGGGATTCGACATCTCAGTATCCATGTATCGTTTTCTCAGGGATGATATTTTTATTCGATTGGAGCAGCCGTCAACACGACTGATGAACTAAATAATAGAGCTCCAACAACATTTGACCCTTGAATTGTCCTACCATTACGATTTATTACTGAACCTAGACGTTTCTCAGCAGAGTTACTAGCATTTTGAGGTGACTTTCCAGCTGCAACGTGCTGGTTCCAAATAGTGATGTTGCTTTCTTCCCCACTCGAACCATGCATGCACCATAAAGGTCCATCGGGTTTCTTTTATGTACTGTTTGGTTTGCCCTCTTCTGTTTGTGGCGTCTAAAGAAGAAGAACATAGATATTTATGTTTGGGCAAAAGAGGATGGATCTTCATTTTCACATTTGTATTAGGTACAAATACAATAGATTATGACTAATTCAGGTCAAGTTAAGTGAAACCACTGAATTGAGATGTTCTATCATGTATCAATGCAAATTTCCGTTGGTATGGTTACGATTGAATTTGGGTTTGTCTGGTTGAGTTCTTAAGAGGAAGTAGCGATTTTTGAAAAAATAATGTAGAATTCGAAGTGTGTTTGATTAGAGAAGTTACAAGTATTTGTTTTATTTTGTGTGGGTAAAACGCTGAAGCTTAATAGAATGAGTGAACATTTTTAAAAATAATTTACTTCTTGATTTTTTCCCTTCTAAAAAATTATTTTTAAAAAATAAGGAACGACCTAAAATATATAAGTTGGGAAATGAGCTTACACATAATATTAACCAAACCCTCCGAAATACATATGCCAAACATTTCAAATGATGAACAAAACCTTCTGAAATACATAATATTAACCAAATGTCAACTCCCTGTTATCAGTTTCGTTAGTAATGGTGTTTTGACAACATGAGGTCGAGTTGGAAGAGACACATGGCAGTTAACATTTCAAAATTTTAATATTTTACTTAAGAATTACTAATGGCAACAGACAAATAACTAATAATTTTATGTGTTACAAAAGATTTGCAATACAAAAGGTTTGGCTAATAAGTTTAATATTTGACAGTTTTGATTAATAAATTCTATTTACTCCCGTAGTTATTGTAAATTGTTTTATATAATGACAAAAAAAAAGTGCTTAAAAATTTGTTGAGAAAATAATAAAGTAGAATTAAAAATACATTAAATGTAAACTAAAGCCCAAGCCCAGCGTTCAGCCCAAAGTCGAAAGCTATCGTAATAAGAAGGTTCACTTGATCCATCTGGAATCTTGCTTCATGAGGCCCAAAATGTGGATCCAGTCTAACCAGCGGAGTTGGGCGGTAAATCACACAAATTCCCTTTCCCGTACTTTCCCCCATCGTCCCGCCGGCGCCGATTCTCTCCAAGATCAGTTAATCCAGACGTCTTCCCGGCGAGCTTTGAGTCGTCGTCGAGAAACTGGCCAGTATAGGCTGGGAGTCTAGGGCTTCCTCTTGATTTTCCTGCCGCCAGCGGCTACCGTCTTCTTCGTCTTTCTGCATTTCTAGGGTTTTAGTTCTGCGGGAAAAGCTTGAAGTTATCTCTCGATCATGGAGGTTTGGACCAGATATCCAATTGCCAGTGCAAATACTATTCAACTCCCAGGTACTGGGTCTTACATTTGATTTTTCTATGCCTATCTGACTCAGTCTGAATTTCTCAAGCTAATTCCCATAAGGGAACATTTCGATTCCTCTCGGACTGCATTGCCGGAGCTGAGAGTTTTCAATTCAACTGCCTGGTGTTCCTGTGTTCGTATGGTTCCATGACCGTGAATAGCTTGTGAATAAGTATCTTAAATTTAGCTTTTCTTTTTCATTTGATGATGCAGCTGATGAGGTTGTTCGGACTTCTAGACAGCAGCGATTAGCTCTTCCAGGAGATCCCAAATGCATAATATGTGGCCGCTATGGCGAGTAGATCTGCAATAAACCAACAACGACATGTGTAGCTTGGACTGCAAGCAAATGCTACTCGTGCATTGCCAAGGCCCGGAGCTCTGCTGCCATCGATAATATACCTGGAAAGGATGGGTGCTTCTATATCTCTGATGGAAGATCAGAATCTTCAGTCTTTATCAGCTTATCAGACTGAATTGCTGAGGAAGAAACTCGGCATTTTATGTTAGGGAAAATTTGGCTCCACCTGCAATTTTACCATTCTCTTGCTGCAATCTCCATTTTTGAAGCTCTTGATCAACGTAGAATCAGCAGGGTTCGATTTGCCTACCCCGGTCAAGAATCAAGATGCAGGTGATTCCATTGCTTTTAATGGGAAGAGTCCTCTCGTTTCTGCTGACCCTGGGTCAGGGAAAACCGTTTCCTTTCTGATTCCGGTCATCTCCCGTTGTGCAGCATTTCGCCTTGGACAGAATGCTAATAACAGTGAGAAGAAGCCATTGGCAATCGTACTAAAACTGGCTAGAGAGCTCTGCATACAAGTGGACGATCAAGCCATGTTACTTGGCTAAGATTTGCCATTCAAGACTGCTCTCGTTGTCGGTGGTGATCCCCGTATCCGGACAAATCCACCACCTTCATCATGGTATCAAGCTGATCGTAGCTACTCCAGGGAGGCTGATTGATCTCCTAGAGCACGAGATCAAGTTAGTTGATTTCACGATGTTTGTGGTTGATGAAGTGGATTGCATATGCTATAGAAGGGGTTTCAAGACCAGGTCATGCAGATTTTCCTCAGTCTGGCTCAACTGCAGGTTTTGATGTACTCAGCTACGATCTCTGATTCAGTCGAAAAGCTGGCCAGCTCGATTGATAAAGACATTGTTTCGATCTCCATTGGCAAGCCTAGTATGGCAGTGAAACAGGTGGCCATCTAGGTCGAGACCAAGCAGAAGAAGCAGAAGCTTTTCGATGTCCTATAAAGCAAGCAGCATTTCAACCCACCAGCTGCGTGATCTACCTGGGGTCTAGACTAGGGGTTGATCTTCTTTCCAGTGCCATTTCAGTGAGTACCGGGTTCCATGGTGAGAAGTCGATGATGGAGAGGAAAGAAGTGATGAGGGAATTCTTGATGGGTGAAGCTCCGGTGATCGTATCCACTGGAGTTCTGGGTCGAGGAGTTGATCTGTCGGGTGTCAGGCAGGTTATAGTGTTTGACATGACGAATTCCATCAAGGAATGTGTTTATATGATCTGCAGGGCTTCTCGGATGGGGGTGGAAGGCAAAGCGATCAATCGATCTTGTTCGTCAATGAAGTGAGCAAGACATTGTTCCCGGAGTTTGTCGAGGTACTCAAGTCTTCCGGAGCTGCTGTACCTCGCGACCTTGCCATTTCCCGGTATAGATCGAAACCCTTTCCTTCTCGCAAGGGTTGGAAGAAAAGGAGGCTTGGCTCGTAAGTCGGCATTTGTTTATGTAACCTGCCGGCGGCTTCCAGCCTGTCCGCAATGGCAATGCACCCTAGCAGCCTCCGCCCTTCTAGACGTCAGCAAGTGTCGCTAGTGTAACGTCCTCTGTCCACTTCCAAAACAACAGTTTGTTATTGCTAGCGTGATTGGATTGAGTGTATATACCCAATTCCTATTGAGCAACAACTAGGCCAAATTGATATTCTATCTGGAAAAAGAAAAGGTTGACAAATCTTCAGTTTGACACTACCGAATCTGACGGTTCATTTCAGTCCTTTTTTCATGCAGTCCAGGCTAGCCCAGCCCATCTAGCGGCAAAGAAACGCCAGCTACAGGCCCACTATCCCGAAAAAAGCAAGCCGGTGGCCACGTGTCAAGCATCTACGTGGGCAAGTGGAAAGGCGGGAAAGAATCTTCTTCGTACCACGTGGCCTCATACACTTGCCCATCAAGGCAACAAAAAAGAGAAAAGAAAGAACGGCTGGAATTTGGAAACCTCCAGATCAACAACGCTCATTTGCTCTCACCCCGTACGGACTCACACGTTCCGCATTTCGTGCATCGCTCCTTTTTCCCTCTCGCTCTCTCTCTCTCTCTTTCCAATTCTTCTGGGGAAGTTTTCTCTCTGTTCTGAATCTTCCTTTATTCTATCCCTCCAACCATCACAGTTTCTCATTTCATCAGACGACGTTTGAATCCAGAAACTCTCTATCCCTCTCTCTCTCTTTCACTACTCGCTTCGGGGAACTGTTGAATCGGCGGCGAGAAACAGAGACGACGGGGTATCCTCCGGAGAATTTGAAAGATGAAAGCGATCAAGCTGTTCGAGAGAGCTTCTCGAACGTATAGTGACAGCTCGTCGTTCTCCAAGCTGCTTGTGGTCTTCACCGTCAGGTACGGTTCTCTGTTTTCTCCGTTGCTATTCTGCTAGTTTCTCATCGTTCCCTTCGGTTGCGTACAGTGTTTTGGAAGGTTGATTGATAGCGTGAATCGTTTTTGGTTACTCGGTTTGCTGTGAATCCTATGCGCTACTGAACTGAATTGAGTACGCTTGTGGATTTTGGTTTCGATTTGAACGGTTTGGCGTGAATCTGAGGCACTACTGAGCTTGTGTAGGTTTGTTTTGGCAATCTGAGCTTCTTCTCATGGCGGATTTTCTCATGCTTGGCGATGCGTATATGTAGATCTGATTTTGAATTATTTGGAGAAAATCAGTCTCCTAGTGGATCTGTTCCTTCTCTCTGCTATCTTAGTTGCGTTTCTTTGAAATTACTTTGAACGTATGTGGAGAAACGAGGATTAGATCGAAAATTTTCTTACATCCCGATCCGTTTCTTTCCATCGATGCTAGTTCTGAGAGTCCGTATCCTGTAGTATTAGTGTTTAGCTGGCTGTTCCAAGCTTACGCGTTTGTTTTGGATTGTTCGCGGCGGAATTTGTTTGTAGTGGTGGAGGCCTTTTGGCTTATGCGGACGCGAACTCGACGAATCCGATTGCTCCACCTGAGATCAAGAAGAAGCGCGTTGTTGTTCTCGGAACCGGATGGGCAGGGACGAGCTTCCTGAAGCAATTGGACAATCCTTCCTACGACGTTCAAGTGATTTCGCCACGGAATTACTTCGCATTCACTCCTCTGTTGCCGAGTGTCACTGTTGGTACAGTGGAGCCACGCAGCATCGTGGAGCCAATTCGTAACATCGTCAAGAAGGTTTCCACTCTCTAAACTGACTATTTCGTTTGAAGTAATGGTGTCTGTGGACTGTGAACCTGTGTCTCACGCTCATAGCTCGGTGTTTGATTTTCTCCTTCTGCAGAAGAATGTTGACGTCCATTACTGGGAAGCTGAGTGTTTCAAGATCGATTCCCAGAGTAAGAAGGTTCACTGCCGTTCCAACCAGAACATCGATGGGAAAGGGAAGGAAGAATTTGTGGTGGATTATGACTACCTTGTCATAGCAATGGGTGCCCGTCCCAACACATTCAATACTCCTGGTGTCGTCGAACATTGCAATTTTCTCAAGGTGATTTACTCGGTTTGTAGACTAATATAGATGGGTTTCTTTTTTTGTTTGTAGTTTTGTGTTTAACGGTAGATGGATTGTTTGTTGCATGTCAGGAAGTTGAAGATGCTCAAAAGATCCGTAGATCTGTTATCGATGCTTTTGAGAAGGCAAGCTTGCCTAGTTTGAGCGATGAAGAGAGGCAGAAGATGTTGCATTTTGTGGTGGTTGGTGGTGGGCCCACAGGGGTGGAGTTTGCTGCAGAACTCCATGATTTTGTGAAAGAGGATCTGGTCAAGTTGTACCCTGCAGCTGGGAAGTATGTCAAGATAACACTGCTTGAGGCAGCGGATCATATTCTAACCATGTAAGGGAATCTTCTGTGCTTATGTTATCATGTCTGGTGCACACAAATGGAATCCTGCATCTACCTTATTCAGTGGTTTCCACTTTATTCAAATAATACTTTGCATGATTGATTGGTATTTTAACTAGAAAGTTAGGGAAGGTTGAGACTTATTCCGGCTTTCTTAATGATTTGTGAACAGAAAGAACAATGGATGTTACTGTCTGCTGACACTTTGAAAACTTGCTGTTGAAACGTTTCATGTGTCATCATCTCATGCTTGCCAATTCTTCATTGCAGGTTTGACAAACGAATTACAGAATTTGCTGAAGACAAGTTCAAAAGAGATGGCATAGATGTGAAACTAGGGTCAATGGTTATCAAAGTTTCTGACAAGGAAATCTCCACGAAAGCCAGGGTTAATGGGCAAGTTGCTACTATGCCTTACGGAATGGTGGTCTGGTCGACTGGAATTGGAACTGATCCAGTTGTAAAGGATTTTATGAAGCAAGTTGGCCAGGTTAGCCATTTTCTCACTCTCACTGACTAGTCCCTTGGCCTTTCTTTGCCTTCATTTTACTTTCCAGTTTACCCATAGCCACATAGCATAGCATCTATGTTAATCTTTTCATTGTCAACAGGAAACCAGGCGTGTTTTAGCAACTGATGAATGGCTGCGAGTTGAGGGAACTGATAGCATTTATGCCCTTGGTGACTGTGCTACAATTAACCAGCGAAGAGTCATGGTATTGTCTTCAATTTCCTTTTCCATTGTTATCCAAGACCCTGATTATGAACTGTGGATCAATAACCCTAATTATGAACTATTGATCAACGTTGGCCTTCCCTTAATAATGATGTGCTTATCATTTTCACAAGTAATTGTTTGGTGCTTGAAAGCTCTTTGATGCTAACTTATGGGATAAATGGATGCTCTCTCCCTTTCTCTTTTCTTTTCTCTCTTCCTTTTTCCAGTCACGGTTAATATATTCACAAATGCAGTCCTGCTCTTCTGATTTCTTTTTGTGAGCTCCTGACAAGGTTCTAATCTGGAATAGGTTAATGGAAGCTAAAACCCAAGATTGTCCCATTAGTTTACAAATCTAAAGTTTCAATCATTCCTGGGCAACTTGTGCTAATTTCACCAATGCAATTTAGGCCACAGTTTGGAACTAAATTTCATGTACTTTGCCAAGTTGATCGATTTGGCTATTGCTTTTAATTGCCTTTCGCTCCACTGTTGCTTGCAGGAAGACATTGACTCAATATTCAAGAAGGCAGACAAGGACAACTCTGGTAAACTCACGGTGAAGGAACTTCAAGAAGTGGTCGACGACATATGTGAAAGGTACCCTCAAGTGGATCTCTACCTGAAGACAAAGAAACTCCGCAACATTGCGGATCTTCTCAAGGACGATTCGAAAAGCTCGGTCGAAATCAGCATCGAAGAGCTCAAAACAGCGCTGAATGAAGTTGACGCCCAGGTCAAGAACCTCCCAGCAACAGCTCAGGTACGTACAGTTACCTCCCCATCCAGTTCATATTTTGCCCAAACCGAATTGGCCCAATATCCGATTCCAAACACTGCACTTTTGGTCGGTTTAACTGGACTTTGATTTTCGCTTTGCTTTCAGGTTGCAGCTCAGCAGGGTGCCTACCTTGCGAAATGCTTCAACCGGATGGAAGAAGCTGAGAAGAATCCTGAAGGACCACTCAGGTTCAGAGGAGAAGGCCGCCATCGTTTCCGTCCCTTCAGGTTCCCCTCCCTTTCTCTCTAAATCAAACTGTACAAGAGACCCCAACTATTCCCAAACAAACCGTTTTGCTGGAAGGATAACACGATCGTTGCTTGCGTTGTCCTGCTTCAGGTACAAGCATTTCGGGCAATTTGCTCCATTGGGAGGGGAACAAACGGCAGCTCAGCTTCCAGGCGACTGGGTGTCAATCGGCCACAGCACTCAGTGGCTCTGGTACTCCGTCTATGCAAGGTAAAACGAAGCTTTCTCCGTTAGCTCTACCATCTCCGGCGGGACTCAGCATTCAGGAATTCTCACCCCGCCGCCGTTTTTCCTTCTCTCTCTATATTTTACAGCAAGCTGGTGAGCTGGCGCACCAGATCTCTGGTGGTGACAGACTGGGTGAAGCGGTTCATCTTCGGAAGGGACTCCAGCTCCATTTGAGCCTCCGTTCCCACTTTATCAAGCCACCACAAGAAGAAAGTTTTGCACTCGTTAGTCGTTTTATATGTTGCTGTTTGGTTCCACGCTGGACGATATTGCTTTTTAGGAAATAATTCCGCGCTCTGTTTTTTTTGTTTCACGATGAGGGGGAAACGGAGGATTCGTCGCTGTTCAGTCGAAGATCTAATCCATTTGTGGATAGTCGGCTGATGTCGAGACAAATTTCTTTTTATCGGAATGGTTCAGGAGGGTTAAGGCTAAAATTGCCTGTGGGAATTTTGAGGCTTTTTTGTGTGGTAAGATAACACCGAGGGATTGAAAAGCCCTTCTTGAAACATTAGTCTCCATCCTTTGTTCATTCTTTCCCTCTATAGTTGTTTTCATTAAAATAGGAAGAGCAGGCTTCATGTCATACACACGCTCTAAAACAGAAAATGACCTGAGGCAAAAGTTGGATATTGTAGTAGGTGGCAATCCTCCACACTATGGTTAATTGACCTAGTTGAATACCGGCGCAGGATTGATCTAGTAGTGTCTCAGGCAGGAATCTGCTATCAATAAGAAATTGTGGACATACTCGTAATTGGAAAGGTTTTTGTAGTTGGGGTTGCACGAAAAAAGTTGAGATTGATTGAGGGACTGCGGGTTTATATCAAGAGGCTAGTTATGATATCATAGTATAGTATATGACATGATGTTTATTGTTAGATTTGGATTATTTAACCTATTGTAATAACTAAGATAAAAGAATATATGGAATAACTACATGAATTCCAATAGTAGGTAAGAAGTGGGGGGAACCAATGCATGGAAAATGTGATCATTTGTGATGTTAAAAATCTTGTAAACAAAAGAAAAACCGTTAACTAGTGTTGCTTGTATGCATGTATCACGCCAACATCGGCACAAGATAACTGTGACTCCAAACATGATACCAGCATGGTGAGAAATGAAATGACTCATCTCCAATAAATGAATGTAGTATGTGTTCAAGTTAGTTTGTTTTATGTTTTCGGCATGAGGTGATAATATATATGATAAGCAAATGCTAGCAATAGCATCCAGTTGTATGTTGTTATAGATCATGTAGTGCGAACAAATATTTATGAAAGTTGAAATAAAAATGAAGTTGCGTTGTCGATCTTATGAGATGTTGGAGAATATCAAATTATTACTCCTATAAAAGTTAAAAATGAACATCATCACTAATGGAAAGAGTTTGCGGTGGCTTTTGTTATTTGTTAAGAATAGGTTGTTTTTTAAAAAACTATAAGCATGGATCCAAGAATGAAAGGCTTGCCTATTCTTAGCATTAGCATACTATTCATGTTAATAGCAGAACAATAGTTACCTTTCTTATCACGGGAAAGGTATTCAACACTTTCTTTTATCTTCACGTTCTATAAATTGTCTTATACTGTTAACACGGAATCCAACGAATGTATTAATAGGCTAGTTTAGCCGAATAACTAGTCCTAACTAGCATCAAGTCCGTAGGTACAAGTAGATTACCTCTCATGGAAGCAATTTGTTGAATCATACAAGAATAAAACCAAGCATTACTGATCAATGAAGTTGAGCTCCCTAATCTCCGACATTCATCCTTCTGCAGATCCATTGCAAGAGCAAAATGTTGGACCGAGATGGATCAATGGATGGATGGGAATATCGGCACCAAAAGTTTGGATATGTTAGACTAACTCTAACGCATACATGCAAATTTAGCTTCCCACGCAAGCTCTCAAATATTCGTGTTTAGCTTTCCAAAAGAAATATTATCGTGTTCAATAAATCATACTTATTAGCATTCTAAATTGTAGTTTTTGCTTTATCTTTTTTTATTATAGTTCATTACTACTTTAGATTCAACTTTCAAGATGATGGGATACATACTTGACTTCCAGCTTTCTATCACATATTCAGCAGTCAGATCCCTACAAAGGGCTCCTTTAAATAGATCTACATGAGAGCGTATCTCCCATTTGGTTTTGGAGCACCCACACTTGTCCTTTACATTGCGGTGCCCTTTAGTTGCATGTTCAATGATGGCAAGACCCCTATTTGTTGGTTTTCCATCATCCAATAGATACCAAATCAAATGAAAGCCTGATATTCTCAATTGCTCACAATAGCATACTAGAGTAGAGGGTATGAACGAAGTAGCTAGAACCAAGTGAAAGGAACGTGAAAACAAATTCTTTGATATAATCTTTTCAACTCCGAGACAAAACAAAAATTCTAAAAATTAGTTAATTACTATGATCAATCTCTCTTTTTAAATTTAAACAAACAATCCCCCTCAACCTCACACACAAAATCAAAAATTTAAGGAAAAATCAAAATAATAAAAGTGTGGACCTGTCATTGGGAGGAGCTAGACGCAGAGTGGGCGGCTGCGCCGCACGCATGCGGGATAGGTTCAATGATGATCGCTCATAATCTCTAAAACAAACACTCCAAAACTGAATACATCAAGTTTCCCCAAAAATTTACCTTGCATTGCATATTTCGAAACTATATATATCCTTTGTGAAAATAGGAAAGTCCATGCCCAAATTTCCTTTATTCACATTGATTAAGAAAATAAAAATTATTTTTTGAATTCGTTCGGACTTTACACTCACTAAGTTTGGACGATTCTACTCATACTCCCTTGAGTCTCATCCATATCAAACAACCTAGCCATTTTGAAATGTAAAGCTTTGAGGATCATCTCATCGTCTAACAAAATGTTGTTGACTTTTTAGATCTCGATGGGTAATCATATTCCTCAGCCAAGAGTCTTCATGAATCATGAAGATAAATCATCTCTCATGTTATGCCTGTGATAATTTTGTATTGTCTCTCCCAAAAAGAATTGTGAAACCGTACCAGATGTTTTACCACAAAAAAATAAAAAATAATGGTAGACAATATTGTGATTTAAACGTTACTCAATCGTTGAAAACCTTCTATCAATTTAGACTCGAGTATGAGGTTTTTCCGTATTTGACAATCACTCCTCTCCTCTCCTCTCTTCAATTCATCCATCCTGGGCCTGATCCGTTAGGTCTTTATTAAGAACGTTGACAGGCTTCACTGAATCCGGCCCGTTCGGGTCACAAAACCCTAGTCATCCCCTCCCTGCCCCTATAAAATTCCGCAGCCTGGCGGAATAGCGATTCCTAGCTCAGATCATCTTTCGTCGGCGTTAGTGGAAGGTATTAGGCAACTTCTCCGTCCAGAGAAAGAAAAATGTCGTCGGACAAGACGGCACAAGCAGTTACAATCCGTACCCGCAAGTTCATGACCAACAGGCTTCTTTCGAGGAAGCAGTTCGTCATCGATGTGTTGCATCCAGGGAAGGCTAACGTTTCCAAGGTATGCTAGCCTTTTCCGCAGTGCAATTCGCCATCGTTGCTCTCTTGCGTCTCATCTTTTCGTGATTTCACTGAATCGTTCGTTCTTTGTTGTTTGTTAAAATCGCTAAGGCTGAGCTGAAGGAGAAACTTGCAAGCTTGTACGAAGTGAAGGATCCGAACACGATATTCGTGTTCAAATTCCGTACTCATTTCGGTGGTGGGAAATCGACTGGGTTTGGGCTGATCTATGACTCTGTGGACAACGCCAAGAAGTACGAGCCGAAGTACAGGCTGATTAGGGTTAGTGCTTTCTCCTTTCCCTGATAATTAGGCAGAACGATTTGCTTCTTCGCATGATGCCTTTTTTGTTTGAATGACATTCGATTTCATTGAATCTATTGAGGAAAGGAAGCAGTTTAATATTTACATTGTGCGAATGGATTCGTACAAGGTTTATCTTATTCTCTGTTTATGGTAATAGGTAGGTTTGGAAGTTGAGTCATCTTTGATTGTTAAGTTAAAGTTACGGGTTAGGCGAATCTGATTATACATCCAGCAGTGGATGGCATTGGCAGTTCATATTGTTGCTGTCTAGGGTTATTGGTTTTGTTGAGGCTCAGTTGACGCTGTAGTTGGCATACCTCTACATGATATGTCTTTGCCCCTTGAAGATCTTCAGGTTTTCTTTGATGCTGTTTAAGCTTTTGTCAGCAATGAGGCCTGCCTTGCCTTGCTGTACCTATTTCAGTCGGGTAGTTCTTTTCTTGTTTTTGGTAAATGGCAACATGCTATGGTATGCTTGAGGCAGAATTTCAGCGTGCTTCTTTGCTTTCAAATAGGGTAATGTGTCCAGTGAGTGCCATGATTTGGTTATGCTTCAGTTGGGCAATCTAATATGCGTTCTCCTAGTTTGTGTTTGAAAGTGTCTACGGCTTTAGTTTGATCTTGGTATGGTTACTGAATCGAGTTGTTTTGGTGTACAATCACAGAATGGACTGGCTACTAAGGTTGAGAAATCTAGGAAGCAGATGAAGGAGCGAAAGAACAGAGCTAAGAAGATCCGTGGTGTGAAGAAGGTAGGCGTGAAACCCAGTAATTCCTCCCTCTTAGACTCTGTGTTCTACAGCTACATCTTCATTTGAATTTCATGATCATTGACATTTGAGATCGAACCTGTTGTTGTGCCTATCTGCAGACCAAGGCAGGAGATGCGGCCAAGGGAGGCAAGAAGAAGTGAGTTCAACATGCCAACGGTCAAGCTTTTGTACTAGTAGTTGTAGTGTCGGGCAACTTTTCCTTTTATCAAATGTCACTTTAGCCATTGAAGAACTTTTACAGTGTGTTTGCAAAATTGTTGAGGTATATTTCCGAGTTCAGTGTCTTTGATGAATCTGCTTGCTCCATGCTGCTTGACATGTTTGTGGGTTGTTAAAGTGTTGTGGATGCATTGTAGCTTATGAAAGGCTATGAGCTATTGAATCAACCCAAAACCAAAATGCATATGCTCGTAGCTAATAGTTTCTGCAAGAATCCCTCTCCGTCGTCGATACCTGTTGCCTGTGCATCCCGACGCTCAAACATTGTAGCCTAGCCGAACTATATATTCAAAAATAGGGTTCATAAGTTAAAACCTAATATGGCAGATTGCTGTATTATGATGCTGCTCAACACGACGATAACCAACTTGGTAAAAACCCAGAAATTTTAATGCTCTACTTACGACGATGGTAAACGCTATCTGCACTAAGGTTGCATAAAAATGAATATACCTCTTTACTTTCAAGCCAAAGAAGAAATGAAGAACTTGATCACTCCTCTAACTCACTAACAATAATCTATAGCCAATCTTCCTTAACAATAATTACTTGTTCGATCTCCTAACAGACGACTTGGATTTCTTCATTCTAGCAGCAGCAGTAGTCATACCGTCGCCATCACCATCACCTCCACCTACAACCGAGCTCGTCCATGTGTACCCGCTCGGTATGCTGAATGGATCGATCGCAGCCTGAGGAGCACTCGACGACTTAGCCTGCTGCTGGTGCTGCTTGCTATTGCTAGACTGGACGTCACTGTTTCGTCGCAGCCACGTCGACGAGGACCACCTCGATGCTGCGCTGGAGTACTGAGACTCCTCTTGTTTCTTCTCGTCGCCATCCCCCAACACGTTCGGACTCGACAATGGCGTGTAGAATCTGTCCACCGGAGGCAGCTCGACGAACTTTGTGAACGTGATCACCACTTTCACCGTCGGAACCACCGGAATCGCCACCTGCAATGGCCAAAATCGAGTCATGAACACTTGTTCTGTTACTTTATTTGGACCACCCGCGTGAAATTTGAATGTTATGTTATTTATTGCGCAATGAATTGGTTTTCTTTTAGGAAGGAAAAAAAGTTTAATAAAGAAAAAGCAACGGTCCACGGGGGTCCCACCAGTAAATCCCGTGATGGTACTGCGCAGTAAAAAACAGTGTTTATTTACTTTACCAATTTTCACTTTTACAGGACTCACCTTCACCGGGAAGGTCCCCGCCGGAAATTTGGCCGTCAGCAATTCCCTCATCCGCCGTACCGCCTTCACCTTGTTAGCCAAAATGTCGAGCAACGGAAGCAGCTCCTCCGTCTTCAACGGGAACTGCTCCGTCAGCCAAACAGACGGCCGCAAGCTCTTCACGTACTCTTTCTCCTTCGTCTGCGGCGTTGGTGTCGGCGGCGCAGCCGCCGCAGCCGCCACCCGATTCCTCGCCGCGGAATACGCCGAAGATGTTGACGGGATTATGTCAACAGATTTTCTCCCGACCATGACCAATTCCCTTTCGTCCCGCGTGAAACTGCTGTGCCTGCTGCCGCTGTACTTTTCCTCTCTAACGAAGCTGCTGTGCCGCCTCTGGTCCTTGTTATCCGCCGGGAAATTCGGGAGCTCGGCGACGAAGAAACCGTCGTCGTCTTCGTCGAGCTCCAAGGGCAAGACCTGTTCGCAGCCGGCCAATTCGGTGTCCGAATTGACGAATTTCCTCGATCGGAAGCTGAATGAGACGTTGTGAAGCTCGTAGACTCTGGCTCTCCACTCGCCGATCGATTCGCTCTTCTCCTGCCTCCGCCAGTTCGTCCGGCCGACCAATTCGGCTTTCGTCACGTCCATCCCCGGCCGGTACACGCTCGTCTGGGAGCAGAACCCGGCGATGTCCGATTCGGAGAGAGGAGCTCCGGCGGATTCGAACGCGTCGTGTATTTTCCTCTCATCGCGATTGAGGACGAGGAGGGAGCCAGGGGGGACGGCGGCGGCGCCGCCGTCCCCGAGGAAGAGGAAGCTCTGATCGGCGCGCTGGATCTTCAACCCGTCGAATCCGGCCAACGAGGTGTCCGCGCGGAGGTTGCCGTCGCGCTTCCAGATCTTGTAGGTATCCGAAGGCGCGATTCGTCCGACGAAGGGGATGACGGAGCTCTCGAAGTGGAAGGAGATCTCCATGTAGAAATCGCGCATGCGGCGGAGCGCCGCCACCAGGCGGGGGAGCCGGCGGCGCCATTTCGCCCAGGCGGAGCGGTGGTGGAGCTGGAGCAGAGTGGAGGAGATCTCCGGGAGCCGGCGGCAGAGCGACTCCTGCAGCGGGTTCCACCCGGCCGAATTCTGGAGCGATACGTCGGCACCAGCCGCGGCCAGCGTGCGTGCCGCGAACGCGTCGTTGAGGCGGACGGCGAGGTGGAGCGGCGTCTCTCGAAACGGGACGTCGCGGCGGTCGACGACCGCCGCGATTTTGTCGGCGATCAGCTCTTGGGAGAGGGAATCGGATTCCGTCTGGACCAAGGAAGGTTCGGGGAGGCGCGGGAGGGAGGCGATGAGGCGGGAGAGTGTTGTGTGGTCGCGGAGGGCGACGGCGTGGTGGATGGCGCTGTGGGAGTAGTCGGAAGGGTTGATCGCCGGCGGCGATGATGACTTGGACATTTTTGTTTTTTTTAATGAGAGAGAGCGGACAAAGGAAAAGGGTTTTGGCCTTGTCTGTAGGAAATGAGTTGGGTGAGGGATTTGTACTTTGTAGAGTAGGGGAAGATAGGTTTCCTTTTCGTGACATTTGGGGGTTGAAATGGAAGGAAATGAAAAGTGTGGTGATGCGAAGGGGATATGTGAAAAGATTGGGGAGGTGGTGGGGTTGGAGAATTGGAGATGGTACTTTTATTGGGAGGCACGCAATCTTTGGCATTCGGCTGTCTCCTACTTTGGACTTTCACTTTATTACTTTGAAAGGGTGAGTGATCCTTTGTTTGCAAATTGCAACCCAACCTTGCTCTCTTTAATCCAATCTTTTTGTCTTGCTTAGTTGCCCCTAATCATACTAGTAGTCCTACTATTTGTTTGGAATTTGTTCTCTTTTTTATTAGGTTCACACACTAAAGGTAGGTGGAGCCAACAAATTTTAGTAACTAACTAAGTGATTTTGATCGATAAATTGATTGAGTTGTAGTTGATAATTAAAATAGAGAAGATACACATAGTTCAGAATTATCTGTCATAGCAATCTCATAACTAAGAGGTCATTATGCAGGGTACAACCGAAGCAGCGAGTAGGACGGTCATTATACAAGAGTCAACCAAGAATATAGTTGAGGTGGATATTGATTGTTGCAAAAAACATAATTCATATAGGATGAGTTTCAAAACTCATATTGGTACTCTCTTGGTACACGATGCCACCGCAAACCCTATCATGAGAGTAGTGAGATATGTATGTATTAATGGGTAGGAATGGATACTCAATGATTAGAATAAAGTTCGACACAACGGGACTCGAACCACTGCACATTCAATGTTACATCAAATGAAACTTTTTCTGTTAATATAAATAAAGCCTCATCGATTGAGCTATTTTGCGATTGAGTTACAGAATAATACTTTAATATACAGTGTTTCATGCATCATCGATCTATCTTTAATAATTTCCCAAGTTTGTTTAGTAATTGAACCTATCCAAGAGGGAAACAAAGAGAGCTGGACATGGAGGGGGTGTTTTGGTTAAACCAGACCATTAGTCCATTGGGATTTGAATTGCAATCTATTAGTATTATCATTCCTGTCTATGTTCATCAGTCATCATTAGTATTAAATATTCCTATTAATCTGCTTTTTATGGGCCGACCATTTCATGTACGGCCGATCGCGCCCAGGAATTTGGGCCCTAATTTATATATATAATCACCCATTCAACTTCAACAAGTTAAAGCCTAAAGACTCACTAATCATTTCCTATGTATAAAGAGACAAAAACAAATCCCACCATTTATAAAAGAAACATAAAACGACAAGACTGGGAATATAAAACGCAGTGAATTCCCTGACCGGCCATTGGCGCGCTCTCTCTTCCTCTCTAGCTTTTTGGGTCAGTTGAGGAGAATGCTTTTGCAGGGAAACAAGATACGCATCGAAGAACGGGCGAAGAAGGAGAAGAATATATTTTGGCAGTGCCCTACCAATTCAACACAGCAGAAACTGGAACGAAACCAGCCAGAAAAAGAAAAAGGGGAAGAAAGGAGAAGAGGGCAGAGAGTCGATCAAAGACGGTGGTGGGAGAGGGAGGAGACAGTGCAGAGAGGAGAAAAGGACAGGCTGTAGCTTTTTTTTTCCCCCCTTCTCCCCATTCCTTTTTTTGACTTGAAACCTTTTTTTTTACAAGAAAGAAAAAACTTGAATTCGGATAATGCGCGAATATGGTTAAATACGATATGTTTATAGTTCTTAATATAAAATCCAAACACGACTGATATACATGAATTTATACTTTTTGTTTCTTTAAATGGTCATTCATTCTCTCATAATATTCGCATTCTTGATAAAAATACAATTTTCTAGCGAATTCGGGAATTTTTGTATTAGTTTTCTTAAGATTGGTGACTTGCACTTGCAGTTGTATAATGTGATCATACTCACAGTAACACGTTATATGAGATAATGTAAAAAAAGTATTATCTTTGGATATGCATGAATACCCGAAAGCTGAACAAATATGTGTATGAATCTTATTTATAACTGAAACCTTACTGAATATGAATGTAGGTAAAATTAGAACAAATTAAAACAGTGCAATGAATATCCATTATTTGTCTCACCAAAAATAAAAAATCCAGAAACTGCCCACCACCATTCGAATGAACAAAGGCATTGTTAGAGTGTCGGAGATAACCTTCGAATTAGGGTTGAATACTTTTAGGCAATTGCATTTGATTGTTTTCATAAACAAAATTGACACATGGTTTTAAGGACATGGACGATAAACAGTACCGTCCTTATTCACTCTTATCGGACACTGAGATTGACATTTGTTCACTAAACCACAACTACAGGAGATCAACTCCTTAGGATCTAAGCTACATAGAGAAAGGGAAGATTTGATGCATAAGCAGACAAGTGGTGAAAATGAAATGAGCGAGTGTGATTGTGAAGAAGAAACTATTTGGTGATTTATTGGTATGAATCAAAGCAATTGCTCTGCAAATGCATTGCACAAAGAAAAAGATTAGAAAGAGAAGGAAGACTAAATTTTGAGCAACAACTTTTTTGTGCCTATAACTATATATTTTATATTATGATAGTACATACAAACTATATTTGTCACTAACATATTCATAGAGCTTTGACATTCGATTCGTGCGATATGTGGCCTTGACTCGTTTTCATTTATTATGAATGTGCACGAAAGAACTACGGTTCGTTAGGATTTCGAATTGAATTAGGAATTGAGATAGAGAACAACGGAATTGGGTATTTAGGGATTTAGAAGGAGAAATTGGGGATCGAGGAGAAGAATTGGCCTACGGGTTTAGAGGTAGGTGACGAAATTGAGAGAAGAGAGATACTTTGCTAATACTTTTCTAATTAATTTTGTAAACCCAAAGTACATATATAGAAAATAAACTGAAAAAACCTAATATTAAACCCTAAACTATTCGGCACCACTCGGCCATCAATCCTAACAAAATCCCTAACTCAAAATGATAGTAATAATAATCTCATTAAGGCATATTCCTAACCGTGTGTGACTTTAAGGTTCATCCTAAGTTCAAAACCATATTAAGGCTAAAGTTAACCATATAATGATAACCAATTTTGTAGTCATATTGTATACCCGTTCCACGATAAAAGGAAGAAAAACCTCTCACTTGTTCTTTTTCTTAGTTGTGTTCACTTGAATATTCCATCGAATTAATAGTTTTTGGTTTTCTCCGGTATCTCACGAAACTAAAATATTCACGTCTTATCAAAACCCAAATATTCTTACATTCAAGAATCCATAACAATAGTGAACCTTGCATTTCTGTTGTTGATATTGTGCTTATTATACTCACAAAGCATTCAAACATATTAATTCCGCCTCATACTACATTTGTGCATTAGAGATATATCATTTTTTTCATAACATAAATACTTTATTTTGAATCACGATTATCCGATGTTATTTTATTTTTCTTACATGCGGTATACATACACATAAACATGGAAATCACCATCTCTCAAGTCCATTGAATCTCGTGCAAGTCATTTATGCATTTTCTTTAATCCAATTAGCACGATTGGTCCAAAGGTCCAGGTCTGGCAAAGTTTCTGCATCATGTTACGAGACTAGGAATGCGCCTCAAAGTATCAATCTTACCTTCGTATTAATACCAAGTGGTTACTACCAAATCCATCTTCAGCATTTCCCTCTATAACCTTCTTCATAGTGTATGTGAGACCGATGCGAAATAGATCAAAGTTCGCAGTTTAATAAGAGTGCAGTCAGACCATCCAGAATGGAGCGCGAAAGCATACGACGACGGGCCAGAGCTAAAATTGGTGCTCGTTCGCCATGCTTCTCAAACAGGCACTCGGTAATATGCACGAGCAAACGAGAATGAGGAATAAAATCACAAGCTATTGGCCAACGCTTCATACATAAGCTGCAGATTGCCTCAACAAAATTATATATACATGAGCAACAAGAAAGAAGAGACCTATATGAACACTACATTCCAGAATCACTTGAACCAGGTCACTACCTACCCTTCCAAAAGTATACTAATCATTTCAATTCCAAGCTGGATGGTGGTTATAGCTTCACTACTTCTACAACAACTCAGGGGCAAAAGGCGGGTTAGTACTAAGTACCTCGGGAGTAAAAGCACACGCAGACGCAGGTAAGGTTGTTGCTTGCTAGAGTTGCATACCAACGACAAACCCAGACAAATCCTTTCGTGTTAAGGCAACCCGTCTCTGAGCTTCACGGAGCTCAGCAACAGCTCGACTATATGAACAAAGAGGGCAATGAAAGCTTCCTTCTCCTCCTCCTTCCTCTACATTAAAACCCAGGCAGCTTTTATGAAGCATCATTGGGCAACCAGCAGTTGCACAAACCAACACCGCCCCGATTTGGTGACACTTCACACACAGATTTAGGTCTGTGGGACCTGCAATTCCTGGAGCCGGTAGCAGCTGGTGATTCTCTAGGAAATCGTTCACCTTCCTCTTCCGATTAAGACGCTCATTTCGCTTATCTTTTTCAGTCTCCATATGGGATGGTTGCTGATGATTCTGCACTTGATTAGTGTGAGCACCGGGATCAGAAGGCGAACCAACTTGACGAGGCATCTGAATTGGCTTCTTATGAGCTGATTTTAATAGCTTAGCATTGTTTATGTCACCACTTACCAAAGGATGATGATGCCCTACTGCAGGACCAAGTGGTTGCTGACGGTTTTGGATATCCCCATCGTTAGATGGAGCAGCCTTATCAGAATTCTTCATGGAAATGAAACCAATTCGATTCTTCTCAATTGTGCCGTACCCACCTGACTTCAGCTGCTCAGGGTTCTTATCACTTTTCTTTGAAGGGCGCTCTATCCCAGTAGAACCAGATGGCTGCTTACTGTTGTTGGCACTATTAACAGCACGAGCATCAGAAGTCTTGACAGAAATTGAAGAAACAGTAAGATGCTGAATTGGCCTATCACGGTTCCCATCACCATTTACCAAAGGGTGCTCTAACGCAGCAGCAGATGGCTGCTTACCGTTCTGGACGTCACCATTAGAAAGAGGATTATTAGAACTCCTGGTCGAAAGGGAGCCATCGTGATTCTCCTCAACCAGAGTGTAATTTCCACCCGACTTGACCTGCTGATGGTTCTTAACACCATTCTGCAAAGGACGGTCTCCCCCATCACTAGATGGCTGTTTATCATTAGCACGAGCAGCAGAACTCTTCACATACGTTGAAGAACCACTGTGACTAGTCTCAATCGGCTTATTTCCACCCGACTTCACCAGTTCATTGCGGTTCCCATCACAGTTCACCAATGGATTCTCTACCACTGCGCCAGATGATTGCTTACTATTCGGAACATCCTCACTTGAACTAGCATTGTAATTCTTCATCAGATGATTGCTTACTATTCGGAACCATTCAGAACCCTCAATATGGACAGAACCATCACGGTCATCATCTCGTACTGATTTCTTTCCATCCAATTTTACCCGTCCATCACGATTCGCAAAGCTGGTTCCTGCAGAATGTACTGTCTCGGCAGCTGTTGATTGTTGAAGATCATTCTGCACTTCCACACCGGCATTGGCACCAGAAATGTCAACAAGGACAACATCATCTTCTATTGAATCACTCCCCTGTGACTTATCGCCTGCTTCATCGGTGGACAGCCGTTGATTGATCTGAGCACCAGAACATTCCATAGGAAGAACAGAATCAGACTCCATCGAGTCAGGAACCACCCCACACCACCTCTTCGAGTACTCGTCTGAAATGAAGCCTCCCAGTATTTTCTCTTTAAGCTGATCGTTCACAAACCCAAACACAAAACACCCTAATCAATACCGAGCATTACAAACTACAAACTAGTAGAGAAAGAAAGAATTTTCCGAGAACAAAACTGAAAGCGAGTAAAAAGTCGAATCAGTCACCAGCTCCAAGGTACACTTGGCGGGAAGTGGAGACTGGAGCATTTCCTCGGCGCTTTTCCTCACAACATCCGGAACTGACTCGACCAGTTCTGTGAACCAAGCCCAAAAAAAAAACCCCCAAGAGAATAAAGCCGTCAAAGATTGAATTTCCCCTCGCTCAATCGAACCCATTCGTCGGAATAAGAAGCAGATATCGCCAATGAAAAGTTGATTTGTGTACCTTCAAGAAGCTGCCGATCGAACTCTTTTACACTAGGGAGGTACTCGATGACCCAACGCCACACCTCCGCCGCTTCGGGTATGTCTTCCGCCATTATCAGTTTGAAACTGAGAAACAGTCCGTTCGGTATGTTCGCAGACGAACTCGACTGTAGCAGATGGGTATAGTGAAGGGCGTCAAGAAAAATCAAAGGAAATTGCAGTGTTTGAGTGGGCAGCAACAAAAGCGTCGCCGGAAAGAGTGACTAACCTCAACCGGAGGCGCGAGTCGCCGCCTGGTGGCGGACGGTGGCGGTTTGGAATTAGGTTTCCCCCTGCCTTGCCGGTGTTTGAAAGGAAATTTGCGCAGAGATAGTGTCACAATTTTAAAATGAATCCATTTTAAATACATTTTTTTCTGGCCATATTGGGCCGTCAAGTTACAGTGAGGATAAATGGGTCGAGTGAGCCCACATTTGGAGCAGGGAGGAGAAAAGACCCTGCGTTAGCTGAGGCCTAATTAGTGAGCCCAAGCCCAAATGTTAGCAGAAGATTTTCTGGTGGATGAGCTTTTTTTTTCCCTTTTTCTTATTTCCATGAATTTGTTGGATGAACTTATACACGACTTAATTTAAATATGATAAAATATTTCTTACGCTTATAATAATTCTATATTTTGTAAGATTGTGAACTTTCATTTTAAAGGATAAAGGTAAGAGATTATTTTCAAGAGAATATAATAAAAAAAGTTAAATTTGAATATTAAACTCTATCAAATGAGTTCAATACTTTGATTATTTGGAATATGAAATTTGTTGGTTATCTACAATTACGTTCCAACATAATAACATGGGAAGTTAGATATTGTGGTTGAACCATATCTTTTCCCAAGTTCGTCTCAATCTCAATAAGAATTAGTCTAATGGGATACACATAATTCAATCATAAGAAATATTTAATTGTCAAGTATCATAATGAAGCTCATCTAGTGGCCCCTTTCCATCAATAAACATTTTCACTTCAATCAAGGCATATGCTTCCTAATCCTAAATATTCTCTTCCTACCCTCTAAACCATTTTATTATTATTATTATTATTATTATTATTATTATTATTTATTATTATTATAGAGATCAATGGAATCAAATTAATAAACAAAGAACAAAGGAATAAAATAGAGAGGACCTAATGGTTGCTTTGAAACAAGGCATTGTGTGAGTTGGCATGTCTCCTTTCCCCTTCCTCATTTCATGTCCACCACTCTTGTTTTCCAATCTAGACAACACACTTCATATTTCTTCCAACTCCTCTCCAAATCTCCCTCCCCTCTCTCTCTCTCTCAAAAGAAGCAAAGCAGAGATGAACGACGAAGCACCAAGCTGGGCGGACCAGTGGGGCACCGGCGGGATCGGGGCGATGGACGGCCACCAGAACACCGCCGCCGACCAGGATGCCACCGCGGAGAAGTCGGGATCCAAGAACGGCGGAGGTCTGTTCAGTAAGATCAAGACAAGTGGCATCAAATGGTTCAAACCCAAATCCAGCAAGAAGACCTCGAGTACTTCAACTTCGACCTCGGCCTCTGCCTCTGCCTCTGTCTGAAGCTGGAGATGAAGCAGAAAGATTGAAGCTTTTCATGTGTTAGTGTAACAACCCAATATTCCTTCATTTCTTCTCCTTCTTCCTTCTAATGTTTCCTATTCGTTTGTTGTACAAATCCTCTTCTTGGAGGAAGTTATCTTTGAAACTTCGTTTCTCTTCTCATGTTCGATTTACTTTGCTGGTTATGTGAGTCTCTGAAGTTTGGAATAGAAACAAAGCTGTTGATTCCTAATCGATGGATTTGTCACTAAGTGTGTATAATTAGCTGAACACTTTACTGAGCTTTAATTTGGCCAACAGCGGTTGCAATGCCAACAAACAAAATCGGAAGAGAACCGATGTAGCTTACCAAACACTACCAACTAAGATCTGCTGCAAATTCTCTCTTTTGGCGGCAGTGGTTTCAGTTTTCACAGCAGAGAGAAAGAGAGAGGAGAGCAAGATCAAATCCAATGCGAAGAGAAAAGGACTGAACAGAGACTAATAAACTAAATCGAATTCCAATTACACATACTGAAAGCAATTCTACAGCCCAACTTATGGCAGAAATCCGAATCCAGTAGTAGGATGGAACGTTTAGGTCAAGTCTGAAAGCATTAAACTTTACAAATCCAGAGCTGGCAATTTACATCTTTTCCAAAGGGGAGCTTTTCTTCATCATGTCATGAACAAGAAGAGACATTGCCTTGAGTCTCCATCTTAGTGAAGAAGTCCGAAGGTGTTCTCTCCACTGTAAGTCATGTAAAGAAAGCCGTCTTCGTCCTTGTTCTCCTCATAGATTGCAGACATCATTGCAGCTGTTTTGTACACATGATCAGATCAGAGAGATTCAGTTACTGAAATTAGCGGGTATCATCTTTGTAATCAGGAACAACTTATAAACTTTACCAACCTGTGGGTGGCAATGTGTTCTTGACAAAGACGAATATGGCCTTTTCAGCACTGAGCTTAATCCTCTTTCGGACAACATACACAAACTGTCCAACTGTTAAATCTGCTGGGACAAGGTACCTGATTTGCCCAATACACAGGCAGTAAGATTATGATCCATCCCCCAACACGATAGAGCTGAACCAACCAAAAATACGATACAAAAGCCAGAGGCCATTTGCTTCCTCACTCAACATGAACATCATATTTTTCCTGATATGCAACGCATTAAACAACATGCTTAAACTTAACCAATAGCATAAGAAACTCATAGCTAAAATCGAATACATTACTAACAGCCAAATAACACATTGGATATAGCTACAGGTGCATTGACAGTAAGCATATGTTGACAATCAACTTACTTCTTCTTATCAATGTCGGGGACATCACTCCTTTCAGCCTTTTCGACAATAACCTGGATCCAGAAAGGCGCTTATAAGCAAACAGACAATTGCACAATGATAAGGCAAGGAAACAGAAGAGGCAAAGTGAGAAGATAACACTCACAGGAATTCTATCAGGGTATTTCTCCCTGATGCGAGAAGCTTCAGCTTGGCGCCTCTCTAAGAACACAGTCACAAAGCAAATTAGAAACCAGGGAAAGATGCAACACTTGGTATCACTGCATCACAGGTCGAATCTAAACTCAGCAGCTTATCTTTCTGCTTATCCAATTACAATCCAACATAAGTGACACAGCAAGATGATGGCGATAAGCATGAAACAGAGAGAGCCAAGTACTCTGATACGCTAAACAAACACAAAAACTTCCATTCTCCCCTACAAAGAACTATACGCGGCTCCAACAATTCAGTGACAAGACTCGATATTCCTCAACTTAAACAAGAACCCATAGCAGAGAATACATCAAAGATATCATCTTTCACAAGCCTCCTTGCTCAGTTCGAAACCCTAAGGAACCCAACTAAAATCAACGCGTAAAAGAAAAAAGAGAAGACGATCGAAGAAAACGAAACGAACCCAGAGGATGCTCGAGCTTGAAAGAGCTTTTGGCCATGATGATACGGGAATTACGATCGCGAGGACCTGCAATTTTCAAACATCGAAACATTAGAGGATCACTCAACCGCACCAAAAGCTGAACCCGTCTTCAAGCAATCACCCGCCAGCGCGAAAAAGAAAGATTCACAGAAATAGAAAGAACGAAAGTAAGAAGCAAAAGGAAAGCAGCAGCATAGATGAACATACCAAACACGAAAGCGCGGTGGTTGATCGGCGAGAGACGAAAGATAGTCGAGAGAGAGAGGGCTTTGGGGGGAGAGAGAGAGAGAGAGAGAGAGAGAGATTGGACGGAAGTAGAAGCAACAAAGGGAGAGACGGGAAGAAGAAGGAAAAAGGGCGTCGGAAATCAAGGAGAGAATTATTGAAGAGTTGGCTTGTTGCGGTTTTGCGGAGGATTTTATATTTTTTATTAATTTTAATGATAAAAAAAAACTATATCTTGGGTTGGGTTAGAGTTTGAGTTGGGCTGGAACACCGATGAAAAGCCCACTCAATCTTATCCTTTTCTCAATCGTATTATTTTTTTTATAATTTTTCTAAATCGTATTGTTAGTTTGAGTTCATGGTGAAATTTGTCTTCTATTATGAATTTTATCAAAAATGAATTATGTATTTATGTGTCACGTTAAAGTTGTATATATATATGCATATACTTATAATAAGCAACCAACCTAGCTAGCACATTTTGCTCAAATCAATGACTTTCGCCATACGTCTTCATAAAAATAATATGGTATAACGTAAATTACAAACTAGATAATGAATCAATCTGTTCACTAGAACATTTTGTTTGGATATATAATTTTAGAGAAACAACTGTATGAGGGTTTTGCATCTTACGATTTAAGTGGTAAAGCATATCTCCTCACTAAAGAAGAGAGATAGTGAGAGATACGATGCCAAGTGATGTAGGATGAAATAACATATTTATTAAATTGCACAAAATATGTATTCATGGTTGGTTCCGATGAAGAATTCGGAAATTTCGGTTGGATGATGGTATCAAAGAAATTTAAACGACCACAAACATGCATAGCATTATAAGCAACCATCCTAGCCAACACATTTTTTCTCTCAAATCAATGACTTTCGCCATACATTTTTCCAAAATACGTTATGGTATATCATGAATTACGAACTAGAAAATGAATTGATCTGTCAAAATCATTGCTTGATAGAGTTAATCATCTGTGAATAATAGGCTCAGGACGAATTCATGATCTATAGCCTTCGAAATCCATGGCAAATGGTCTTTTTAAAAAATGGCCCAAAAATTATGAAAAATGCCATTCTAATAGAATTTACCCAAATTAGCGATTAGTAGACTTCATCATAGGTGGATAATAGCCTCAGGGCGACTTCGTGATTTGTAGTCTTCAAAATCCAAGTAAAATGTACTTTCAAATAAATCATCAAAAATCGGTGATAGTACCCGTTTGGAATCTGCCAAAAATGGATCTGGAAAAAATCTTTCCAAATCGTTGCTTAATAGACTTAAGCATCGTTGAAGAATAGCATTAGGTCGAATCCATGATCTATAGCCTTCAAATTCAAGAAAAATGGTTTTTTGAAAAAATTGCCAAAATTTACGAAAATGCCCTCCGCATAAAATTCGACCAAATCGAGATTAGTAGACTTCATCATCTGTGGAGAATAACCTCATGCCAAATCTGTGATTTGTATCCTTCAAAATTCAAGTAAAATGTCATTTCGAAAATTGCACGAAATCGGTAATGGCGCCCCTTTGAAATCTGCCAAAAATAGAACCGAAATTGTTTTGTCCAAATCGTTGCTTAATATACTTAATCATTGGTGAAAATGGACTAAGGTTGAATCCGTGATCTATAGCCTCCAAAACCCAACGAAAATGGTCTTTTGAAAATTCACCCAAAATTATGAGAATACCCTCCTCGTAAAATTTTCCCAGATCAGCGATTGGTAGACTTCATCATCGGTGGAGAATAGCCTTCGACCGAAACCGTGATTTGTAGCCTTCAAAATCTAAGTAAAATGTCTTTTCGAAAAATCACTCAAAATCGGTGATAAAAAATGGAACCTAGAAAAATCTGTCCAAATTGTTGCTTAATAGACTTCATTATCGGTGAAGAACTGAATAGCCGTAGGGTGAATCCGTGATTTATAGCCTTCAAAATCCAAGAAAATGGCCTTTTGAAAACATCGCCCAAAACTTACGAAAATGCCATCCGCATTAAATTCGCCCAAATCAACTATTAGTAGATTTCAACATCAGTGAAGAATAGCCTGAAGCTGAATCCGTGATCTATAGGCTTCAAAATCCAAGTAAAATGTCCTTTTGAAAAAATCGTCCGAAATCGGTAATGGTACCCCTTTGGAATCTGCCAAAAAATGGACCCAGAAAAAATCTGTCCAAATCTTTTCTTAATAGCCTTAATCATCGATGAAAAATAACCTCAGACCGAATCTGTGATCAATAGCCTTCAAAATCCAAGAAAAATGACATTAATGAAAAAATTGCCCCAAATTTACAAAAATGCATTCCACATAAAATCCACCAAAATAAACGATTAGTTGACTTCATCATCGATAGTATTATACTCAGGCTAAATCGGTGATTGTATGAAAGAATTTTAAACCACCACAAACACCATGCATAGCGTTATAAGCAACAATCCTAGCCATCAGTAAAATGTTTGATTTGGATCTTACTTTGAGATAACATTCACCCTATTCGAGCCTATGAGAAGGGGATGGAGAAGAGGAAAAGGCAAAGTAAGTAATAATTAATGACTATTGGAGTAGAGGAGTTGTTTGATGTTTAATGGTCCTTTGTTGGCACAAACATGGCAATCATTAATACCCATAAATAATCAACTCCATTTATTAGTAACCCTACACACAACCCCTTAATGTCTCCCTTTCATCCACATAACCTACCAGAAAGAAAGAGGGGAATCAAAGTTGGATTGTTGGCTTGTCGGCAACAACAACAAGGTCAATTAACTCGATAACTTCTTTCGAAGACATAAGAACCATTTCTCACCTAAAAAATCTCGTACTTATTTGAAAATGGAGGCAAATTAATCTTAACCACATAATGGATCTACGTAAGTGACTAACTTAACTAGCTAAAACACATTCTACCCAAACTAGTAATCTTCGCCATATACATTATTTCGAACGATGACACGATGTATTGTGAATCTCGAACGAGGAAACAAACTGATCAGTTCATCGAGCATCCTTGCAATTAGAGTCTCTAGAGACTACCCCTTGTCCTTTTGTCTTTGGTATGAGAATGGGTTTAAGTGGGGAGCTAGCTAGGTAAGGTAGGTAGGCGCTGCAAATGGAGAGAGGTCAGTCAATTACAAGTAAAATCTTATGGGAAGAATAGTACTAATCTAATCATCATATATAGGCTTAGTTTAGCATGTTAGGGATAGTAGAAACTAGAAAGTAGCTAAAAAACAGAGGTCTTGTGCTTAGGGCTATGGCAAATGGGGGAGAGGGGAGACCCAATTCATTAGGCTTTGGCTTCTTGCCTTTGTCAACACAAAAACCTAAACTAATGAAAACGGCAGACTGTTTATTAGTTGACTTTGGTTTCAATGATAATAAACAACCCATAAGCTTATGTTTCTTCTCCCATTTGGATCTTCCCTAGCTAATTTCTAATTAGCATTTTTGGGAATTCCATGAGTTTGACCTTTCCTTTAGAAAAAAAACTCCAAATACCCACATCCATACATATACAATACAAAACAATGAAAGAGGAAAAAGTCAGCCGGTTATTATATCATTGAAATTTTGTTCATTTTAATTTCAAACAATCAACCATCATTTCGATTTTAGTTTCAGACTTCACCAAAAGTTTCACGTAAACAAGTTTCCATTTTAAAATTTTAGGTTATGTTTCTCCGAAAAAGCCAACTTCACCACTTTCGGGATTAATTTTTTTTAGATTAATTGGTTTTGGTGATAGTTAAATTGATGCATTGTGAACAATGCTTGCAATTAAGAAAATTGGTGGCGAACGAGGCCGTGGTCCAGTGGTCGTTCCCATAGCTATCAGCCTAGAGTCCCCACAGGTTCCTGTAAAAAAATTAAGAAAATTGAGTGTATTGTAGTTTACGTTATTTAGTTTTGGTGACAGTTATTGTCTTATATATTTTCTTAGAGAAATGCCAATTTTACCCTATGCTTTTCATGTAAAAAAAACACATAAATTGTTAGGGGTATAGCTGGGATAAAAAAAACCCAACAGTCTCTTCTCAACAATTTTAACAGTCTCAAATTTTAGCAGAGATATTAATATCATTCATTTTGAGTGATATTTTCCATCACATCTACAAAACAACAATTAAAAGAAAACTTAAAAAATGATACATTATGAACAAACACACATTGTAAGTCGGTAACAATCTCCTATAAACTACCACTAAAACCAATATTGTCAAAAGCGAACTGAACTATGACCCGGTAATCTAAAACCAAACCGAAATGAAAGTGAAAGAAACCCATGGAGAACTTTCATCAGCTGCATTCCTTCACCTCGACACACAGCTATCTGTCTTCCAACCACCACATCAACAAGCATTAATAAGATCTCTCTCCATTGGGGACAGCAAAAAGGAACCGCAGATGGTTTCAGAGAGAAATTGAAGTCACACAGAGAGAGAAACGTTACAGAGAGAGAGAGAGAGAGAGAGAGAGAGAGAGAGTTCTGACCACAGTAATAACGCACGATCTGAAGTGAGGTTGCAGGCTCCGACTCCGGTGGTTGGTTTTCGGAAAGAAAGTGTGTGTGAGTGTATTAAATGATCGGCGTAACGTGAACAGACGGGAAAACCCTACCGGCTGTCACTTCCAAAATCCCTCGCGCCCATGCCCTTTGCTCTTCTGCACAAGAAGGGGAACATATATCCCTCGAGTCATTAATTTCAATGGCTGGCATGCCCTTCACTTCAGCAAATTGAATGCAACACCACATCTATGGTGCTTTTTACCTTGGTGACAAAGTACACCCCTTTCAATACTCTGTTTCGGATGGTAGAAATAAGAAAATGTGTAGGTCAGGGACCACTTGTGTGTCCGAAGAAGTCGTTTGATAGAATACGCGTATTGTTAGAATATGTTCGTTAATAGATCGATAGCAGAACCAACTTGGTATGGGGTTACGAGTAAGAATGACTCGAGGTGAGTTGATCGAGATTTTGTATGCTCTCGAACTTGCTTGGGAGTTAAGTTGTATATATAAGGTTCGTCCATATGTAGATTCTTCGTTGTGTGTACTTCATTTGTTGCTTTTGTTTGTGACCATTTCCATCCTTGTTTTTGTATTGGTTGCTTCAGTCTAACAATTACGGATTCTTAGGGGTCGTTTGGTTTTGGTGATAGTTAAATCGATGTATTGTCATCAATGCATGCATAATAATATACATGTATATAAGAAAATTGGTGTATTGTAGTTTACATCGTTTGGTTTCTGTGATAGTTATTGTAGTATTTAAATAAATTATATCACTTTTGGGTGAAAATGTCACTTTTACCCTTTGTTTTTAATATAAAAAAGCAACACACATAAAAAGGTAGGGACATATTTGGAAGAAGAAGAAAACACAACAATCTCCATCAAACAATCTCAACGAAAACTTGAGATTTAACTATCACTCATTTTGAGTGATAGTTTGTGTCAAATCAAGCAAACAATGCATGTATTGTTTGCGCAGAAAATTAAAAAAAAAACGATGCATAGTGGACATTACATGCATTGTAACTATCCCAACCAAACTATCACCAAAACCAAACGACCCCTTAGTGTCATGCTTCTTGGTTTCAGCTCAAAGGTACGAGTATTCGACTTTCTTATCTCCAAGACTAATTATCTAATTTCGATTTCACATTATTGATAGTTTTGATGTCCAGCTCTAATACCCGATTACCATACCAGTGTTTTGAACTATTAACACTCCAATGAAGATTTCAATGCATCAGGGTGGTAATTCACATTCATTTTCCTAATTGGAAAATAGTAACAACCAAATTCAAACGATAAAAACAATAGATTTTGTCAGATATCAAAGAGTCCCTGTTTACCAAATCAGCTTTTAATCAACCCTTCTGTTTCCCGTTTGGGTTGGTGACAAATTCAATGCTTCCAGCCGGCCCTTTTCTCCTTCCTTCCTTTATTACCTCTCTATTTATAGCCTTTCCACCAGAATCTCCAAATGCTCCATCCATCATCGATCCCCTTCTTCTTCTTCTTCTTCTTCTCAACAACAACTCACTTCATCACCATCTCTGCCATTGCCATATGCTCTGAGAGCCCTTCGTCTTCCCCCCTGTGGTAATGTATGTTCCTTACTTTGCAAGCATTAAGAGTTCACCAGTGTAAGAACGAGATATTGGTCCGGTTCAATCAGAAAGCCAATCTCCCCTCAGTAATGGGGGATTGCTATTCGATTGAGCCGCGTCAATATCCCATTCGTTCGATCTTCCCTCCTTGTTGGGGATCCACACTGGCTCTAGCACTAGCTCATCATCATCATAATTTCTCATATGCCATAATGCTTGGATGTGGTATGTGTTCTTTCTTTCATTAAAACAAAAATTTGCAGCATGGTTTCTACTCATGTAAATGTGCAGCTGCTGCATGGCTTACACAGAATGTAGATGAAGGTTTTCTACGTAGGAATTCTGTGCATGTACTACATGAAACATGAGTGCAGGGTTCAAAACTAAATGGGTACAGTAAGGTTTATTAATGGAGCCAGAGGCAGCAAAATCGCAGCAGCCATATGAAGATTCTACCATTATTGTCACAATTGTCATGGTTAGTAGAGAAGCCTAGAACTTGGCTTTCCAAACCATTCAAAGAATCATATGTAACATTCTCTCCCATTCTCTTTGCTCATGGTCCAAGTGGGTCTCAGCCAAAAAGGAGAAGACAGCACCCCTGTAGTTTCTCTTCTCCCTCTTCTCTTTTTCCCTCTGTGTGTGTGTTAAAGTATAAATTTCTATGCTCTTGATTGCTGTTAAGGAAACTACAGGGTTTCTCTCTACAATGTGCAAAAAAAGAAGAGAAGCAGTAATGGCACACCTCATAACGATGCAGCCAGACCTTGCTTGCTCCATAAGGCGATTTCGTCTTCCCCACACCGCTTGTGAACCTCTGCCATCCTCTCCACTGACTTGCATATCCCGCTGCACTTCCAGTCGAACGATACTGCACACGTCGATCCCAGACGAGCCCTCATCTCGCAATCTGGCGGAGTGCCACAGCAGAGTCTCCTCTCATCCACGTGCTCCACATCCAGACCAAGGACCCAGGAGCCTAAGGAGACATCTTCGTTGGCGAATTTGTGCAGCACTTGCCTAGGAAAATGTCCAATGCCAATGTTGCTTCATTAGGCCATGTCAAGATTTAACATTTCGGGCCATTATATCAGAATTGAAGATAAGGTTTTTGGATGGGAACTTACTGGTTGACTGATATGTAGGTGGCCAAATCGTTTGAGATGGCATAGAGTTGACCTGTGGCATGGCGGAAGTACTTGTTCCCTACCTCTCCAAACTTCCAGTACTCTGGTTCATGGTATTTGACTCCTCTGTGTTTATAAGGTAAAAGGGTAAGCACAACATGCTGCTATATATCCTGATCTGAATACGAATCTTGGAAGACCTTTACTTTTTGGCAAGCACAGGACCAGACTTCATGCAACCAATGTATACTCTCGGCTTCTTTATGTGTTGTTCTAATATTGATCCAAGAGTAGCTGCAACACAAAGAGTTTCCAATGATCGGGAATGAAAAGAAGGATCTCAAGTTTACACAAAAGAACTGAACGCGTACAAGAAAGAGTATGCTCCATAATAGCAAAATATGTTAAAGCGTATTAGTTGAGCAAATACAATCAAATGCATCAAAATTCCCAAAGAAAAACATCTGTTTTGATTGATGGCAAGTAAACCCTCTCAGACACACCATCATAACCACCACCACTTGAAGCAATTGATTCTGCAATTATGCCAGTACTATGTAAAGCTCTCAGCTTTCTAGATTCCAGACTTCTAGTATATGATTTGGGAACACAGACTGTATGAAATGAACGAAAAAGAAACAGAAAACATATGCTCACCTATATTCACATGAACATCATCATCCACTTTGACATAGAAATCTGCATCCCACAAAGCAACTGCTGTGCTAAAATAAGTCTTAGTCTTGGCAGACAATTCCAAGTATCCCTCTACATGATCCTACACATAAAATCCAAGACCAGATTAAGCACCATTTTTAAAGATGATTGGCATTAGCACTCAATCAAACAACAAAATGATTAAGAAGATTTGAGACAAATGGGAATCTCTACCAGCCTCAAGAAATCTCCATGCATCTCCTCCTCTGCATCAATTGCCTTATCAAGAATGCCACTAGCCGTCGAACTACGCCAAAAATGAGGAAACAATTAACAACCATTGTCATTCATTTCAATCTGATGAACTCGTTTTATGAAAGATGCATACTTGGGTAAGAAGTAAGGAAGATCTCTCACCTGTGCCCTATAACAAAACGGATCACGATACCCTTCTCCTTCTCCAACTTCTTCCTCTTTTCACCTTGTGGCATCCAAGTTGAACGAACCGAATCTCTTCTTTTCCTGCTGCTAAAAGCTGTGTTGATTCCTATAACCATAGTGTACTTTCTCCTTGCTGCAACAGTCCCATTCCCCATAGTTTTCTGCTTTGCCTTAGCTGCTGCTAATTTCGCCTCTAGAATGGAAATCTTGCTATCTAAACTTCTGCAACAAAATGAAAATTTTCCCTTCAGTGAATATCACCCAGAAATACTGAATCTGTCATTCATTAGTTTGACGAAATCATCCCAAAAAAGGGTCTTACTGGACAGTGTGCTGGGTCTTGGAAACTTGTAAAGAACTGTGGTTTGATTTATGGGTAGCAAATTTCTGCTAAAAAATATAATTAGAAAATATGATCAAGGAGAGTTCCAAGCAGCCACTATCTACTGGTAAAATCTGCATAGCTCAATTCATCTCAAGGTCACTGGACAAAAAACCACACTTACAAGCTTTGGATTACAAGCATCCACTACTAAATTCTTTGTTGCTTCAGGCACCATCCACACCCTAATACAAAAAGAAAAACATTTCAGTTAGCCTTTCAATTCAAGTCCTAAAGCAATTATTGTCCTTCTCATGTACTAATCAAAGCAATGTAATGGAGTATTTTATGAGGGATGATCAATCCATTCCAACCACTCAAGTTTGCTTTGAGATGAATTGATTCTCGACATGTTATACTGAGGCTTCTATCGACGAATATCTCCCAACCACTCAAATTATTGAGACGAACTGATCCTTGTTACAAAGTTATGAACTTCTCATCATTGTAACGAACTGGTTCTTCACCAACTATATGCTCTTCAACCCACTGGAATTATTGGGATGAACTACAAAACCCTTCCTCAACTAGATCAAAGTTCGAAACTTTCAAAGGACTGGAGCAAATGGGCACAAGAGCAATTCTGCCATCTCCATTGAAGTTAAATCAAAATGCATAGAGTGAAACCAAAAGAGTTTTAGTCAAGTCACCTATTCGTGAAGAGCATCCCGGCAAAGAAGCTGCCAAAGCAGAGAAACGCCGCCCATTTCCTTGAATACAAGAGCTTCTTCGCACACAGCTCTCCAGCTCCCGCTCTAGTCTTCACCGACATTCCTTCTCTCTTCACCTACTGTTGACCCGGAAAGGAGTCAACCCAGAAAAGGGAAGAGAAGAAAGCTAAAATGGGTCTTCCTGAGAACTTGGTAATTTCATTTACAGCAGCAGAACAACCGAAGAAGAAGACGGAATCTCCCCCTCTCTTTCTCTCTGTGGAGAAAAGTAAAGAGAGAGAGGGAGATTAAGTGGAACAAAATGGAGAAACAGTGAAAAGACCCTCTCACCCACTTTTTTTCAAGCTTCCCTAAAACCGTCGTTTCATTTTTCAGTTCCAGACTGTGCAAATATAACCTTCATACATTTTACATACCTGAAACTGTAGCCAGGAAGCGGCAGTTTCTACTTGTTCGACCGAACAAGAAAACAGGAAATGGGGAGGCATAAACAAGACGAACAAGAATATAAAAACGGCACGGTAATGTCATAAAATCCAACTGGGACGCCTAATTAGGAATCTATTCATTGTTACGTGACGCCTAATTAGGGGCACATTAGCGACTGTTACAAAGACGAAACCCGTCTGCTCCCCTGCATTCAATTTATTGTTTTATGTTATTAATATGATGGCGTTGAAGTTTATATGAATGAATGGGACATAGCTTCTCGGAATAAACGGGTAAAATGTCGAGGAAATGGACTTCGATTGTTTATGTACAAAAGGTTTAATTAAATTCATTAGCAGTTTTGCCAGCAAGTCACTTAATGAAATCCCAATGAATGAAATGCGTACACCTATGATCCTAACCTAACCTTTACCCGTTTATGAATTTTCATTGACAATATTATATAATGAAAGAGGAGAGCAAAAAAACTAATAAGGAGTTCATCGTATTTCGATGGTTCATTTGTGATTACCATCTTGTTGTTGTTGACACTATTAATTGTCTCAATCGTATACAATTCAAAATACCTGCTACGAGATAGATTTATAAAAATGACATCAATGTCGATACATGTAGTTGTGCTAGAAACTATATTAGGAAAGTGAAAAAGGACATAAGATGGACACTTGTTAGCTAAATTACACGTTTATTACTCAAATTTCATAAATGTTTCCATTCGAATTTTTTTTTTATTCTCACTAACTTTGCGATTCATTTCACGGATTATCAGTCTCAGTCAGACTTCATTAACGTCGTTAGATTTTTTATGGCGTAACAAACAAGAGTGCTGAATGGGCTTACAGAAAGGATTGGTCACTCAAGTTGACCGCCTAGCAAGGTTGTCAACCCGCGGGTCGACCCGTGGGTTGACCCACTTTGACCCTAACCCGGTGAGAAAAACGGGCCGCACGCACCCGCCAGGTCGACCGGCACAAGGTACCGGGTTGGAGATCAAATTGTGTCATTTTTTTCTTTATTTTGTGAAATGCGCCTATATTCCGATTTTTCTTTTCGCCTAACTCAATCTTTGGAATCCTTAGTTGAACATTTGAATAATAATGTTATATAAGTTTGTGTGAATTTTCACTATATGTTGAATCTAAGTACAAAATGTTATTTTGGTGTAATATTATATGTTATAACTTATATGTTAGATGAGATTTGATATAATTTATCAGGATAAGTACAATATAATGACGCTTTCCATATTTCCGGGCTAAACCGGGTTAAAACGGGTGACCCATTAACCCTTGACCCACTAGGTCAACCGGGTCCGGGTCAACCCGCGGGTTGACAACCTTGCCGCCTAGTCAACATCAAATACCCAAACCAATTGACCAAACCCATAATTTTGGATTTTTTTTTTTATTGAGAAAAAGCTTTTACTACTATACCGGTGGAACCCTTTTCTGTCTTGCTCGTCAATTCTTATGGTCATCATAAATCCCAACTTTGGACTTACCTTCAAAAAAAATCCTAAAATTGGGCTCAATTAAGATACAATAGGATATTGGGCCTTCCTTTGCTTTCGCATGTCCTGTAAAGGGAAATGTTAAAGAGGAGCTGTAAATTGGTTCTCTGATGTCATTCCCTGGATGGAAGACAAGCCCATGTCAGTTGAGAAAGCATAATATACAAGGCCAGAAAAGCCCACAACAGGATAATGGGCTTGTTGCCCAAATTATCCTTAATGGAGCAAGTCCACAACTTTTTTTTTTTCCAATTGATCACTCTGGAAAAGAGGAAACTGAACCGATCCAAGATTACAATAAACCTATCTACTGTTGAACCACGAAACATAGTCAAACCCCTTTAGATAGCGGGGCGACAGAGACAGAGCACGACGGGCCACAGAATGAGCCACCCTGTTCCTATTGCGACCAACGAACACCACCTTAGCATCACCAAGATCAACAAGAAGCAACATAATTTCCTAAAGAAGAGCCCCAATCCTGGCGTACGATGTGTCTTTGTTACAGCACTTGTCAATAATTACTTTAGCATTCCCTCCAATGATCACATTCCGGAGTTGGCGACTCAAGCATTCATTCAAGCAATCACGTAAAGCTAAAGCTTCAAGCACGTAGGGATCCCCAATGCCGACATACTGATGGGCCTTAGCCATGCGTAAATCACCCGAATCATCCATCAAAACAAAGGCAACAACCCCTGCAGAATCGGATTTAGTTGCCGCATCAAACATAGCACAACTACCCTACAAATTCCTTTCCCAACCAGGAAACAGAATTAAAGTGAGAGCAACTCTAAAGCTTATCTATATCTTACTCCTCAAGCAGATAAGGATGTCTTCAAGTCTATGGAATGTAGATATAGAGTGCCAAACTCTTCTCTTTCCTTTTTTTTTTCTTTTCTTGGGACATGCATGAAGTCAATGGCAGCCAGCCGTGGTACTTCCCAGTTTGTTTGATCCCAGTCGAATATCCAGTGGACAAAACCTTCCTGAAAAGAGGGGGCAAAGCCCTAGAAAAAAAAAAAAGAGCCAACCAATCAGACTATGCCAATAATGTAATATAAGTCTCTGAAAGAATGGCTTATCCATTTCCAGTACAACTCACTCACGAAAGAGGCAGCAGCAGCAAGCAGCAATGGCGTTATGTATATTATTACAGTAAGCAGGCAAAACGACAAAGGAAAAAACCGCAGTGCTTTTTGTTTTTGTTTATCGTTTTGGGACAGCTGGGGAAATATGGGACACACACAGGAAACAGAGGAAGAGGTTTCACTCTTGCTCTCTTTGTTGTTGTGGCGATTGGGAAAGGAGGGATCGCTGTCACCATAAAGCAAAGAGAAGGGGGAGGGTTTAGGATTAGGGTTAGTTTGGGTGAGTCCAAATTTGGTAAACAATTGTAATTAGGGAAAAGGGTTGGATTAGCTTAGGTCTTGGATTAGTGGGACGACCACTAATATTAACAAATTTGCAATTCACAATCATCATCCGTTAGTTGTTAAAAAAAATTGTAGTATTTGTGGTGGTGTAATGTATCACAAACTTCATTATTGTATCTATGTCGATTCTGCATTAAACCGCTGCTAGTTTTATTGGTTTGTTCGTTTTACAACTCTTGCTAATTAAAATGATACAAACTTCAACAAGAAACGCGCGCCACCAAGTGCATGATCTGCAATTCTGCATCTCTTGCGACTTGCGAGAATTAGTAGCATTCCAATTATGCATTCCCGTAAATACGAAACCGTTCCGGAGCAACATCATAGGCCTATTTATCCAATAATCCGACCCTTGTGTATGTCGGATCGATTTGTCAATCACACTCGAGGCCATCCTATGAACATGTCTCAGTTCTCATAGTTCTAGCCACATTCAAATACAAATTGATTTGATTCATTGCATGCAAAACTAAGAAAACCAAGAAAAATGCTTTACATAGTCGATTTACTTTGCATTATTTGTGGACGTTAAACCTGATAATTTTATGAATCATAGAAGTTTACTCACTTTGAAATTCTCAATGATAAATGCATGATGTAATACTTACATAGTGATTATGGTTTTCTTTTGTTTACCTTTCAATGCATCTCGACCATAAGATTGATTATACCAAGTGGGAGAAAATAACTTCCCTTTAAATCTAGTTTTCAGGATGAGCAAAGCTAGAAAACCACAACCAAGTGACAGAAACATTAGAGTATTGTTTACTACAATACTTAAGAAATGCTAATCTGATTGACACTAATCTGATAGATAATCACTCAATGGAGACATCATTGGCCTATCTCACACGCCAGCAGATCCACATAATTACACCAACCACAAACCACACAACAAACAACATAATTTAAAAAAGCAAATGATCCTCTTTTGTTTTCTTACACTTATTATCCATCCTCCTGTCATTAGTCACTTCAATGAACCCAAATAATCACTTCTACCCATGGATTGGATTAGGGTGTGTTTTGCGGTTACTGGAGAATTAAATGTTACGATTTTAAGTTTTGTTCGGTAGGGTGTTCAAACGGTGTGGTTATCGTGGTAACCATTTTAACCAGTAGTATTTGGCTAATTTGGTTTGGTTAATTTCGATAATTGGTTTGGTTTGGTTTAAAAATTTAGCTTGTTTGGTTTGGTTTCAGGCACTCCTAACCAATCAAACCAAATTAATCAGTTAAGTAATTTTTCATATATCTAATATATATTGTATATACATACTTAATACTTTGCATAACCACTCAAAAGTCAAATGTAAGATAATTATATTTGTTACATGTATTTACGTTAAGGGTTAACTACAATTATGTGGATTGTTATGTGTTGTTCATTATATAAATTGCGAATTGATGCACTAACTGAAAATTTTTCTCACTTAAATGATAATGTGGTGTTATATTGGTTATTTTGGTTCACCAATTAACCAAACCGAATAAACTTTAGTTTGGTTAATTTGGTTGTTGTATTAGTTTGGACGGTTTGGTTATGATATTGTATTCAATGGTTAATAGAATTTAGACTTATTTGATTTGGTTATTACCATGGTAACTATTTGAACACCCCTAAATTGTTCGGTTCACTATATTCATTCGAATAATCCTTCTTTTCAATAAACCCAATAATCACTTCTTACCCATGGTTTGGATTAGGGTTGGAATCCGGTTCGGTTTCAATTAAACTGAACTAAATTGTTTGGCTACTCGAACCCGAATTAAATCCATGACAACGACCATACTCGAATTCGTTGGGTTTTGTGATTAACCGAGAACCGATTGTTGCGGTTAACCTAGGTCAATTGAACATCCTATTGGTCATCCTTTCCAGTTAGGGTTAACGAATGGACCGAGTGACGATAAACTTGGAATTCTATAATTTTACAAACGTAAATTTTTTGTTTTTCGATTCGATTTAAGACTATACCGAACACCGAAAGATGACCCAAAACCATAACCAAAACAGTTCTAGCCTTCCATTTGAACATAAATCCGATACTCATTTCACTTATCCAAACGACCTTCCGATGCCAGGCTACCAGACAAAATCTCAGGGGCTCTGCTCCCCAGCTTCATAAACAACCCAAAAAGAAAAAAACAGAGCCAGCTTCCCCTGAATCACCCCTACACAAGTCCTTCTTCTTCTCCTACTAATAGCAAACCTACTAATCACCAATTAGCAACAATAATTGGGCAGGAAATTAAGAAGATAAAACAGAGCAAGGTTACAAAATACCCACCGGGGCCACCCCTCCCTAATTGTGGGGCGATCAACCTAAGCTAAAAACCACATAATTAAGAACCCCTTAATTAATAATTAATGATGATAATAATGCAACTCTGAGTTTCACTCCAGGAAACCGGTTTTGGTCAGGATAGCATTCCTCACTTTGCTGAGATCTCTGCCTTTCAGAGTCCTCCCAATCCCTTCGCAGACAGAGAACGAGGAAATCTGCGACCTCGCCAGCTTCTTCGCCAGCCATTCATGCGGCGGCACCACGTCATCATCGTCGTCGTCGTCGTCATCGTAGTGGGCATCGTCGTTGTTCTGGTAATCGTCGTAGTACCCGCCATTGTTCGCGCCGTAGATCTTCGACCAGTCGGGGATGTTCATCGGAGCAGACGAACGGTGAGCCATCACAGGAGTTGAGTTCCCTTCGCTGGATATTTCGGACGGGATGGCTCGAGGAGCTGTGGTGCCTCTTCTGGTGGCAGAGGAGGAAACAGAGGATTTCCTGTTTTGCTTGGAAGCAGCAGAGGTGGGTTCACTCTGTTTTGCGAAGGACCAGACCTCTGCTTCTTCAAAATCCCCATTTCTCCGGCTGTACCAATCCGCCATCGAAAACCCTGATGAAAACAGAGCCGTGGTGTTAAGCAGAGGGAAAGAAATCAACGAGGAAGATGAAAGATTCGAACTTTAATCAGGAATTTCTCACCTTTTGAGACTTGGTTGTGAAAAACAGAGCACAACTGTAACAGTGAAAACTCCAATTGCCCAATTCAAAACAGAGCAGAAGACAGGGTGGAAGAGAGGGGAAATGAAGGTGCTGAGTGAGTTTGTGGGTGAAGAGGGCGATGATAAATAAAGGGGGATTTGGGTAGCAACAGCAGCCAGGGAGAAGGGAAGGGAATACTTCCAAAGAAGGTTGCAGCTTTCAAGAATAGTACTACTCTGCTGCGACTGGCAAAAAAACAGAGCACAGCGGGAGAGGGGAAAAAAGACAAGGGAGGAGGAGTTGGTTTCCGAGACTGGGTTTTTTAAATATGGCTGAATCGATGGCAGGAACCCTGATATGGAAAAAACAGATGGCTGGGCTGGCTGGCTGTGTACTGCGAAATGATGAGACGGGGGAAAGAGAAGTTGGAGGAGAAAGAAGAAAGCTTTTTTATCCTTCTTTTCCTTCTTTTGGGTTGTGGTAGTATTTATACACCCCTAGTATTATGAAAGTTTTGACAATTTGCATCATGTGGTTTTGATTCTTAACAAACAAGTTCATGCGCTACAAGTTAGTAGAAGTTTATCCAATGTAAGAAACTTGATGGATAGTTACCATATAGATGACAAGTTGGATGCAGGTGATCAGTATTGGATCAAGTAAAGTGCAATAATAGAGTATGTTTGAAGAAGTATTATCTCCCAAGCCAAGTTAGCTCCACCATTCCCGTTTTGATAATGGATCCATAAGCAGAGCTTGATATTGAAAACCTTGCCGAAGCAGGCCAAAGTCTTCTCTCAGAGCGCCTCCCTTGACAGCCAACTCCTGAGATCTGTAGGCAAAATCATTAATATCATCAATGATTCGACATTTGTGCGATTTGACCATGCAGATCAAACTTTGTTTACTCCGCCTAACATGGAGTGCATGCTCGATGATGGGTTTGTGTAACGGTCTAGGAACTATTATGGAACATAATATCATTCATGTACTTTCATCTAGCCTAACATTAAGTCCAATTGTTTTGGATCGATAATCTAGCATTTACCTGAGAAATAGAGGCGATGGTTTAACAATAGAGATTGAAAGAAAAATGAAACTTTAGCACACAAAACATATACATTAGGAAGAAGATACTTCTAACAACGAATTTAGACGAGATTTTAGGTACTCAATGTGGCTAAACAACATGGTATGTGGACTTGTTTGTTAAAGTCATAGTATATAGGGATGTTTTTGTTATAACATTTCACCTTGTATATTTTCCTTTTCTTTTGCTTTCTTTTTGGGGTTATAGTTATGGCTGTGATGTGTAGAATCTCTGTTGCCACCGTTTGTACCATTATTGGCATCGGCTTTCTTTTCCACCTTTCTTCATTTTCTTCTTCTTCTTTTTGTTGGCTGGAAATGAATAGTGTGGGTGTACGTGGAAGGATTTGAGAGGGGGTGGTGGATTTTTAATGACAGAAAATCCAAATCGCCCACGGAAACCCATATAACAATTGAGAGAAGAGCATAAAGAAGAGAGGGCCAGAGCTTTTGGGTGGCTACGAGGAAGGAAGGAGGGAGGCCTTAATTGTCATCTCATTGCAGCTTTGTGGAAAGATCGAAATTAATGGTGAGAAGATAAGGTAGGAGAGGGTTTTGTAGAGGTAGGGGAAAGGAGGGTTTGTTGAAATGGGGTCTCATTAATTATGGGGATTAGAGTAATATAACGAGATAACGATTATTATTGTTGTTTATTTTGATGATCGTTCAAATGTTGTGATGAGGATGTAGTTATGTGTGGCTATCTGAATTGATTTTGTATCGGTATGCATTGTCTTAGGTATGTTATGTTTGGCTTGCGATGTTCTTGTTTGATACTTTGAATCACGAGAGAAGTGAGAGCTAGTGATGTATTGGGGGAATTCATCTCTTATTCTTAAATGATAAAAGACGATTTAGAAAAAAAAAACAAGAACAAGAAGAGCAAATAGAGAAATTGGTAAGATAGGAAAGCCAAGAGAAGGGTTGAACGTTGTGAGAGAACCGATAACAAATGCAGGACGAGGTGGCGGAGAGAAGCAACGCGCAAGAGGGGTTTGTTGGTTTATGAAGTGAATCTTGGAGTTTATGGCCGATTCTGATATCAAGTAAGACATCATTAACTATGCAAAGAACCATATTAGTATGTCGATTCAACACAACCTAACGATATAAAGCAGTTTTGTTGTACAAAAACGAGAAGTTTGATGACCGCTAGTACATCATTTGAAGGCTTGGTGACTACTTCATTCCACTCAATAAAGTTTAATCACCATTGATGATTCCAGCCCTCAAATTCCATCCATTTTTACCAATTTCCATGATGGGGAATTGCACAAACTAAATGGTCCTACTCTCCCACATCTCACTTTGTTTAACTTCAATAATAATCCCATTGAAATACACAAAACCCAGATAGATAAACCCATATCTTTGTTTTAACTTTCAAACAAGTGATTGATGACAATTGACAACTTTGGGATGCTTTCCCAAAAGAATAATTAAGATCATCATCATGCAACATATAATAATGGGATTGGGGTTCGTATTTTGGCTAAATGACTGTGGAAAGGGAGGCAGTGGAGAGGGAAAAGAGACGACGGTGGTGGTGGTGGTGCTGATTGGGCAATGTGGAAGAAGCTGATTGGTTGGACCAAGTCCCAGTCCTCTCACACATTTCAGTATAAACCTTATCCCTTTGCCTTTGTTCGTTTCTCCCAAACGCCAAAAACAAAAACGAAAAAAAATGGAAGAAATGGTTCGTTCGTTCATCTCAGTTTGGCAGAGCAGAAAGGGTGAGTCAGTCTCAGTGATAAGCTTGGGAGGTAGCAGCAGGAGTGACCTTGAGTTATGATGTCAAAGGCTTCTGAACGTCAAAGCTTGGAGTTTGGTAGGATTTGGACGACAATTTGGACCAGACTTAGCTTGTTGTTTACCTTGTTCCGTTTCGATCCTGTTTCGTTTCGTCTATGAGTCCGATAAAGTTGAACATATACGAACTGTTCTTTCTTCATCACATTCAGTTCGTTTGCATTTTCTCGTCATACTAAACGTATTAAGATGCACATATGATAGTTTCAAATAAACTAAACATACTCAGTAGCTCACTCGAAACGAGTCGATTCAGTCGGTAATCATTCTATCATCCGTCTACTCGAGTTTACAACATACTCAACTTTTTTCATGTGATGACCGAATTATGTTCCACGATTGAGCCGTCGACCTGTATCTCATTATGAATCCAGAGACGAACGACTCGACCTAATTAGCACCCAATTACGAGATACGCATGCGAGAATTGAGAAATCTGTTGTTGTTGTTGTTGTTGTTGTTGTTGTTGTTCCATCTGGATAAACGTTCTTGGATAGACTTCTTAAGTTAAACCACATACCTAACATCCATAATTGAAACTCAATCCACATGCCTAACATCCATAATTGAAACCATAATAATTTAAATTAATCCAAGTATACCTAGATGGCAAAAACAAAACCCAAATGAATCAAAGAAGTGGGTAGATATGGGTTTTTCTTTTTGGGGGAAGTTATGGTTGTCAATTGTTGCCAAATTAAACCAGGCTTGTGGGGGGCAATTATGGGCAGTAGTAGTAGTAGTAGTAGGAAAGTGGGTTGGGATGTCTTCTCATATCAAATCAGTAGTAACTCTGTTGGATAATGACCCAACAGGTCAACTCCTTTTCTTCTTTTATATAGATGGTTCCTTTTTTATTTTGTTTTCTAAATATTTTTAAGAAAAATACAGCTATTATTGTCTATCAAGCACTAGGAAACATGTAATCCTATCCTAACCAGGAGTAGTGTTATTAATGCTCTGTTCTGACTCTGTTTTCCCCTCTCATTGAATTAGCACAGAGTCTCCTTACCATCTTCTCCACTCCTCTCCTCTGCCATGGGAACAGAAAACCATTGGCTGGAGAACTGTTTGTTCCTTCAATGGTTTGTGTACGAGTAATTGAATGGAAGGAAAAGGCTCATTCTGTACATATCAGTCTCCAACCAATTGGTCAAGTTGTTGGTTGGATTGGAGTCGGACAGAAACTCCTATAGAATTGGATCGGAAATATGAAGAAATGTGTGAAAGACAATATGTAAACAGAAAATATTTTGTATTTTGGTTGTTTAGGATTTCGTACGACTCTACTTTGAGAATGGAAATCAAAGCCTAATGATACATTCGTCCAGTCAGATTTTATCCGACTTGGAAGCAGTGTTTCTGTCCACCCTGTAGCTGGAACTTGGAAGAAGTACAGGTTTAGCAGGTTTGAAATTTCTTTACACACGTTCCTCAAACTAAAACTCGCTAGCTTAGTTGCTCGAACTTAGTAGATGAATCTTTTGGCTGAAATATCACAGGTAGGTGCTTCTATTGTCAATAACGCATCGACACGATGTCAAAAATCCATTTCCACTTTTCTGGTGGCCAGACAATGAATCTTGTCCTTCACACACCCAGCTCAAAATGAATACCCCCGTTCTATTAAGCTTGAAGTTCGTATAGTCCTCCAACACGATCAATGATTGATAATCATGATTCGAACATGAAATTTCTCGGTCAATAAGAATGTTAGAACTATATAAAAATCTTATTCGTCCAAATACAATAATTAATTGGTCATGGTGGTGGTTACAAATTGAAAGAAATTACCTTGATTGTTTTATACTATTTTACTGTTGGGTAACCTACTGTTTTACTTAAATTGGGCTAGTGGTCTGCATCAACATTGAACCCTAGAATTTAATAAAATTAAAACTGGTGATGCAATAATCATGACATGACAGGGTCCATAGATAATTTGGAGTTAATTCTTTGTGGGGAACAACCAACCTTGCTTTGCTTCCTTTTTTTCTAAACTGGAGCTTTCAAAGGTCCTAATTAGTAATTAAACATAACAAAAAATAATAATACTAATACATATTTAATTTTTTTGGGTGGGGCTTGATCTAACAATTTACTACTACAAGTGGGGTTTTTCTGTTTTTTCCCATTTCTAGTTCTGTTTCAACATTTATAATCACCAAAAAATGGGCTTAATTGCCCCTCTTTTAATGATCCAGTAAAATAAAAGTTGTTGGTGGGCTCCAGTTGAAGGCCCCCACTCCAAAGCCCATTAAATTGCTTGAGTGCGATTCTTTACTTATTCTGGACCAACTGATTAAAGTCGGTATTAATCTTTTATCAGAGCCAAGAAACACAAAGGGAAATTATAAAAAAAAATGTTGGAAACAAGAAGAAAAATTCAATGAAAATTGAATAAAAACTGTGGCTGCTGGGATTCGAGCCCAGGTCTTCACGGCCACAACGTGAAATTCTTACCACTAAACTACAGCCACTTTTTTGTTTGATAGCTCTTCAATAATATTATATAATCACTAAGTTGTGAAATTGTGTTGACAATACAAAGTACAATAGAGGTGTCGTAACAAAAATACGTTAAAAAAAGGTTACCATACATGATAAGATATAGTAGATATGTCATTATATATGGTTTAACTAATATGATTGGTCGTATACCATACGACATTACAGTCATTGATGTTACTTATCGACTATACTTTTAACACTAAGCTTACCATGCAATTATCATGACCAAAAGATCATTGGGATACATAAAATGAGATATTGAATGGAAATCCAGTGTCAGATGAGCAAAGTACACCATGACGCTTTGAAAATTCGAGTACAAATCATGATTACCTATTGAAGTAACACACCAACATAGATGAAGAGAAATAGAGTGTATCAGGCAACATGTACTTCAAACAAAACTTGATGATGAGAATAAGGTTAATTTGACCATTGAAGTTTTCATTATTAGGTCACCGCGCGATACGCAGACATTCTTTGCTCATTTTGTTAAAGATAAAAAAAATCCAACAATTTTTGTTCACATTCCAGTGTTACAACCTCATAACCGACTTCAGATGTTCGCACATAATCAAAATGACATTTGAATTTAATCTAATAAAGGTTTCTTCATATCAAGATCATTTCCACCTCACCAAACCATACCATAGTGAACAAAATCATATGAGTCTCCAGTCTAATTATGATCCTCATATTTCATCCGATCCAATGTTGCATCAAATTTAACTCCAAAATCGAAAGTCAGACCATACCATTTCTCACCATTGGAGTGATTTTACATCATCATAGAAGATTTACACGAACTTTTTCTATGCCATTATCATGACCAAGAGATTGACATTGCCCCCATTGGAAACAACTTTCCCATGTAACGATCATGGTCAAGTCAAGCTCAAGGTGGTCATGGAATCTGAGTAGGAAGACGAGCTTACGACCATTCCATTCCCAACCCATAACATCAAATCAAAATCCACAAATCCACCTCTACCGTCCAAAAGAACTAAAAGCAGAAAACTCAAAGCAAAAAAAAGTGAATCCACTTGGATCATATCATGATAACCAGCAGCAACAACTCATGTTCACCGCTGGGATTGGCTGATTGATTTTTTAATCCTTCCCCACTAATCACTTATCAACCTCACATAGTTGGCAGAGTCAGGAAACTATCAACTTCACAAGAAAAAGATCAGTCGAGCAACTTGTGCGGCAAGGCAACAAGTTGCCATCTTTTCCCTTCCTCCCTGTAGCTTTCAACTAAAAGCATTATTCGGGGCCCTGGAGGGATAATTTCATGTGCAGAATTGCAGATGAGCAGGTGGTTGAATAACATACCGATAGATAAACTAAACTCTGTACAGACCTAGGCTTACTTGACTGGTTTTTTTCACTTCCGGGCAGAGTGGTAAAGCTCCATGTAGTCCAGAGCTGGCTTGTTCCACGACCAGTCTTGCTCCATCACGGTTTTACATAGTGAGTTAAACCAGTCCCGACCATCGTACCAAGCAGAAATCGCTCTGAACGTTGTTGAACATCAAAACACATGGATTGGGTTAGATGCATGGGATATGGTGAAAATGTGGTATGAACACTATGATTCTCACCTGTTTAGGGCATAGTCAACCCCAGAAGCATCAGCTCCTTCAAAGCTGAAACCATTTGGTTCGACCCCTTGTGCTCGTGCTCTTTCTTTATCATGGTCGACATCAAACACCGTGTCGTAGAGGCCTCCGGTCTTTCGGACAACAGGTATTGAACCGTATCTCATGGCTGTGAGCTGTGTTAGCCCACATGGCTCGAATATAGATGGAACTAAGATGAAATCCGATCCAGCATAGATCTAAAGAGAGAAGAGAGGGCAATCAAAATGCATGGTTTTAGCATTTGGTGATTCAATAGGGTTTTCATCAGTGCATTACCAAGTGTGAGAGCGGTTCATCATAGGTCAAACAAAGGCGAGCACGGTCACCATGGGTCGAATGCAGTTGATTGGCGAGATTTACAAAATCGTTCTGTATCCGTGGATCTGGAGCTGACCCAAGTAACACAACCTGTCCATTTCGGTCTAAGGTGCGCCAAATGGCATGTTTGATGAGATGGATACCTTTCTGCTGTGTTAAACGGGTAATGATACCGACTAGAGGGAGATCAGTCTTTTTCAGACCAAGCCTCTCTTGCAGAGCTTCCTTCGCTGCTCTTTTGCCTTCAACGACATTCTCAGAAGTGTAATGTACCTGGAGAATAAATGAACATCCATTAGAAAATGTCCGACAATCCAAGAATGCATAGGTTTGAGCAGTCAGTAAGTTTCCATCTTAATAACTGATGTATAAGCAGGAAACTAGCAACATCATAATAAGTATAATACTTGAGCGACTTACAGGAAGGAACTGATCATTGTAGGGGTCCCATATATCTGGGTCTATTCCATTCAGTATACCGTGGAACTTGTATAGATGAGGAGCAATTGCACCGTTCCCTGCAACCTCCTTTGCATAAGTAGGGGATACCTACTCACGTTTCCAATAATAATGTCAAAGCACAGAAGACCATAAGCACTGTATTTTACAGAAGTCAACCACATGGAGGACTTTAACGACTGAAAACTACAATTGATCAAGTACATGTGCCAATATTAACTATCCAGGAGATGCATCACAGACAGACATAGCAAATGCTGCTACAGCAAGTGAAAACTTCTATCTTTGTCATGTCTTCTTGTTCGCCTGCTCATAATTTGCATGTATTGGTGTTTCTAATGTCTTGAAACAGTTCTTCATACATATTGAAAATGGCTATCAGATAATTACAGCAGGGAGAACATTCAGGAGCTTTGGGTTGTTAATGAGAATGATGATGCTAGGTTTACGCTGAGTTGTCAGGGAAAAACAAACTCAGGAATCAACTTACCGTTGTCATTCTCATTGATCAAGAAATGAGCTTGAAATTTGTTCTCTTAAGGCTCAATAGTGAATAAGTAAAAAGAGGTCCAATTTAATAAAGATGGCTGCAGTAACTCACAGTTGTAGCCTTGTCAGAGAAGGCCATTGCTTTGCTAATGTTTTGCGCCCCAAATTCAAGGTTGTGAATAGTGAATACAATGCGAGCTTTGCTGAGACCATAGTTCACATAATGGTCCTTGAACAACCATGCGACTGGAGCACTAGACCAATCATGACAGTGGATAATATCCTGCACATAAAAATACCGTATCATGCATAATGCATATGATCAAGAGATGATTACACAAATTACACAAAATGGTGCAAGTTAACAGATCTTACAGGATGATATCCAGTTTGATGCAAGAACTCAAGAGCTGCATGGCAAAAGAAACCAAATCTCTCTCCATCATTCCGGCAGCCATATATACAACCTGCCCAAAACATACTGTGGAGGAACAAAAGTGAGAGAGAAGATAATAAGCAGCAGTATATGACCGACCACTTGGAGACAACAATTTGTGGCACAGAATAGGCAGAATTATTTTACCCATTCTGAGGCTCCAAAAAGTAGACAGACAGACCTTCCACTTTCCCGAGCCAGACTTTTATTTCAGTGCCTCCCCATGAATAGCTTCGGTTGTACTGAAGGTCTTCAACCTTTGTCCCGAAAAACACATGTGTTCCATAAAGTTAAACTCATCAGAGATATCCAAGAAGCCTAATGCTATTCTGTCTAAATCATACAGAAAAATGCTTCAATTTTTTCATATAAATGTAACATGTAAGAGACAGCTTAGTGAACAAATGCTAGATTTCAATTGTTGGAGTTTGCTCTATCCATTAAGAATCAAGTCCAAACTAAGTACTAGACGAACATAAATCTGGATAATAAAGCAAATGAAGCTTACATGATTAAATTTCAAGCAGTCATACTTTGGGAGAATGATGTTCACATTGTGGTTTAACTCTTGAACAGCACGAGACAGACTAGTCAGTACATCACCAAGCCCTCCAACCTGTAATAGTAATAATCTATTCAACATAGATATAAAGAGGTACCTTAATTGAAGCGTTGCAATAACCGCATTAGCAACATTAACATATTAAAGTTACCTTTGCAATAGGAGCCATTTCAACGGCAATATGCACAATATTCAAAGGCGACTCCTTTGCAATTCCTCCAATTACAGGGATATGGTAATCCATGCCATCTCTGTTGTCAAATATTCCACCATCTTCCTTCTCTGAGAACACAAAATCCATCATGTATGCATCCAGTGGAACCTTCACTGCAACCCAAAAACACAGGGAACTTGTATCAACATAAGGAACTGCAATTAGCCCTCTCTAGAGAGCTTGACAAACAAAGATGACTACCAAATAGTTCCACAGTTCAGCAACATTCATTAGACACAAGATGTAGTACCAGTGGTTTTGACATGAAAACCATCTTCAGCAGGCAACATTTTCTGAGGTGGCAATGGCCCCTTGCGGTGAGTCCAGCGATTAAACGAACCTCTGAACCAAACTTCGGATTTACCATTTAGTACCGTGTTTGCAGGATTGTAAAAAATCGTGACGGTACTTCCAGCCTGAACATCAACTGGTTCAGTATAAAATACGTGCTTCTGAGAAAGGAGAAACTTCTTCAGAGTCCTTTCCTTCATTTCAGCTTTCATGCGTCGTGTTTTCTCAGCCTACAGGAAAAAGAGTAGAACACAAGTAAACCATGTGAATGAGAAAGAGAACTCAACTAAAACTAAAATGATGTCGAACTTATAACCTTGACACGTAGAGCTTCCTCTCTTAACCTCCTATCTTCCTGTAGCTTCTCGTATATCTTGTCCTCTTCCTCTACCCAATACAAGTCTTCAGGAATACTGTTCGGGAGAATAGCATGGAAATCTTGGGAACGGTTATTATCATACACAGCAGCACTTTGTGGTGGACCATCAGCAAAGACCCAGTCTAAGACAAGGGCTCCTTCAGGAACAACAACTGCGGAAGACACATTTTCTGAGTGAAACTAATGTCACAAACTTTATTGTTGTAGTAAATCATTAACTGCCGGCAACTTTGTTTGAATGGGGACCTCCTAAACTTGACAAGAGCAATCTGAGTGATGCAAATTGGAATCGTAAATTACAAGAAGTAAAAGACCTACCATTAGCATACCACCAGTCACCATCCTTTCCCTTAAACTGCACAAGCTTTTGAGCAATGGCTAATCCATCACTCCAGTTGTTATGGCCACCGTGTATCCAGAGGTCCTTGGAATGAGCAAGTGGACCCGATCTTTTGTTATAGTACAATCTTACAAGACCCTCTCCTTGAAACTCTCTGGACTCCACGAACCAGACGTTCTCAACTGCTTTTGCAGCCTTTTCCATAGTTTTTCGCAACGCAGCACGCCTCTTTTCAACTTCTGCCTTTGCCTGAGCTCTATCAGCTTCCTTTGCAACCTTCTCTGCTTCTATTCGCCGCTCTTCTTCAGCCTGTCTATCCCTCTCGGCTTTCTCCTCAGCAAGTCTCTCTAGCTCCCTCCGTTTTTCCTCAAGCAAAAAATCCTCAAATTCAAACTCATTCATCCCACCTTCCACTGGCACACAGAAATCCTTTTGGTTGTTATTTTCATACACATCGTTTCCATTATAGAATACAAAGTCTATCTTATACGCTTGTTTAGGAACACGAATGCGACAAGACCACCAATCCTTTCCCAGATCGGTTTTACTCAACTTTGCAGTAAAAGACTTCCATTTCCAGTCATTAAAAGCTCCCATGACTAAAACATCAGGCTGATTAACCAGAGTTGATAATCTCTTGTTTAGGAATACCTCCACTTCTTGATCAGGTTTGGCCACCTGTGGATAAACAAACATTTTGACCCCCTCCGATAAACTCTTCTCAGCAAGCTTATCAACCTCTTGCCTTCTTGAGTTCTCTTTGCTTTCCAGTTTCAATGCAAGGAAAGCCTCTTCCTTTGCCGAGACACTCATGTTACCATTCTCCTCTTCTACAGTAGTCTCGTTGCTCTGGATGCTACCAACACTTCCATTTTCCACTACTGGACTTGTCTCATCAACAGTCAACTCTCTGCTGGCTTTGGATTCATCCTGCACTGTCTCAACTTCCTTCTTTGGTGCTTGTTTTTTCGGAATGCGTGTGGCTGCAGGTGTCTTTGGCACGAATCCCTTCGGTGCAGGGGTTTTCGGTCTCCCATTAGACAACTTCCTGGGTCTTTTTTTAGAAAAGTCTGCATATAAGTTCAGCCCAAGGACTTCCTAATATAACATTCTGAATTTCAACAAACAAAAGTTTTAACCGAACAGCATTATTATGAAAAGAGTAACTCACCTGCACTGGAAGTAATTTCCAAGGAGATCCCAGATGTTGATGATGGATACTCATTGCACCAAGCTGCAAGCTGAAATCAAATTCAATACATGCAATCGAATGTAATGCTCTAAACTGGGGAGGCAAATTCATTTAGCATTATACAAGAGCAATCATATGAAACAGATTTATAACTATAGGCTTTAGAAGCTTCCATGTCTGAAATTGATGTTCAAGTGTAGGAAAAGGGAAAGCAAACCCCTACCATTTCAGAATCAAAAAGGGAGGAAATGAAAGGCAAAGGGCCCCAAATGAGAAAAGGGCAATAACAAAAAGTAACCCTAAACAGCAAAAGATGCGGAGAAAAGGACTCTTACACTAACGAAATGAGTGGCTGTTCCATGAGGCAAAGACCCAGAAGAAAAAGGTTTGATCTTGAAACGGGTTTTATCGCGAAACAGAGCTCTGCATGAGGTGAATGGGCCCTGCACTTGCATACCCACTTCCATGGCGGAAGCCGACGCTGGCCTTCACTCTGAAGAAGAGACGAGAGAAGATGTGATTCTGCTTATGCTTCTTCTGCTGAATTTCCCAATCTTCTACTCAGGATAAGCAACAAGAACTTTCAATCAAGCTTCGATCTTTCTCTCCTTCACTCGATGAGTGCATTTCATAAGAACTCGAGCTTTCTGTCCCCCCACGAAAATTCCTCAACGTGTATCTGGGAAATCATTAAACAAAACAAACCCTGAAAACAACATTACTATTCTTACTGTCCAGAGAAACTACTGGTTTTCTTCGTTATCCCTGGCTACAAAGGCGTATGACGGGTCAGATATTTGAGAAATTATTTTTAGCTCCTCCGATTAAGATGGGCCGTCGGAAATTTTAGTTTCAAAGAAGATTTTGTGTTTCTTTTTTTGGACGGTGGAAATGAGTTTTTGATTGACGTCTTTCCCGAATGTCTCTGCTGGGATGTAGCAATTAGATTGATTGACTTCTTTTCCTTTTCTGCAGATTAAGAAAAATGCAAGTCATGGGTGAAGAAACCTTTCAATATGGTGCTGAAATAGGTGGAACTCAAATCTAACGGATTTTGATAGATAATACTGATTTATCATTTCTAACAATGAAGATGGACAAATCATACTTTCTGATAGGAAATTGAAATGAAAGTTTGAAAGCTCGAAATTTAGGAATTTTGTCAATTAAAATATTAGGGTTTTTTTATACTGAAAAGTTGAAACAATGATCATTCAATTCTTTCATCAGTATGACCTTATAATCTATTAGTTAGTTGATTATAGAATTGGATAAGATAAACTCGAGTTGTATTACTGCCCACGACCATGTACCATGCAACCTATCACCAATTTATGACTATGATGAAATCAACTAGAAGATTATGACGTCTATATATGAACAATGAAAATAGATTGATAAAGATGATATCTTTTTACTTTTTATGGGGAAATCTTGCAATTATTCCAATTAAATGTGTCTTGATTTCATTGTACAATTACTAAGACACGATTCATCTCGTTGAACAAAATTCAAGCGAGAAACTTTGATGTCATGTGTTTGTGACACAAAACTACATTAAACTATGCCTACTCTTACGATGGTTTGACGAGAGCTTCAAAAGCTACAACTATGACTACTTGTAGGGAGAAGATCGGGGGCATAGTTGTAAACCAATGTTTCTTGAAGCGCTTGTTGGGCATCCGTAATAATAGAGTAATTTGATGTACTTCTTGTGTCAATACTCTATAAAAGACCCTAAACAGCCTCGTTTCAAGTTTTTTCAAAGGGGCTTGAACCTCGCCTTAGCAATCATTGTCCAAAAGAAATCAAGTCACTAAGTTTTCTATGTTAGAACACATCTTCATTGGCATGAAATCAAACATCACTTTCTCAAAACTAAATTGACAATAAGTTCGATAGTACGTCCAAAAGGTTAAATAAGTTACAAGAACGAGCGGTCATAGCTTGGAAGCATGAGCTACATCCAAAGTTGCAACTTGCAAGTAACACTTTCACCTCCGCAATGATAACTAAGAGAATCGGAAAAAAAGAGACAACAACTCTCACGAGGTTGATTAACTCATACACCCATTAAAAAGTTCACATGTGATAGTAATGACAATGGGGTAGTATCTTACCCATATGTGCCTCGCGAGTCAGATCAAACAATACACATGTAGGTAAGGGACATAGAAGGTCGATGCATTGTCATGTGTTATTTGAAAAAGATACGTAAATTTTGTTAACTATTTTAAAAGAAAACAAAGCAAAAGCGCTTTATAAATGACAATGATAATAAATTGAATACTTGAGACTAAATAGTTAAAAGATGGAGCCTTGTACTTCTCCTAATTTCGTTTGGTGAATATACGATAAGAAAACATATAGAAAATGGATAAATACAAGTAAATATGAATCAAATCAAGATTAAAAAAGTCGAGAATGAGATAAGACATAACGATGTACAATAGATGTAATACCCATACTAGTAATACTTACTACATTGTCTAATACTCATTCTAAATCGGGATCTATTGAATTGACTGATCAGTTCAAAATTGTCATCCTATGAAATGATAGAATGAGTGAATCGTGTGAAATTGGTTGGGTTTGGCGGGTCCAACCGTCTACCAACCACTACTCAAACCCTCGCGAATAAGCAGAACCAATAGGAACACTCCGCGCCTAACCACCCAAAATCATAAATCAGGTCCATCAAGAAAATTAAACTTTGGCCATTCTGCATAATTGCATTGACACTCATTTAGTTACACAGTCTCGCAAATTACACCACAAAAATATATAAAAAAGCAAATTAGAAGAACAAGCGAGCGCAGTAAAAAAAGGTAAAGAGTAACCGAATTTCCCTCCCCTTCCCCCTTTTTTTTTACCCTACAAATACAACAGATTAACAAAGTAGAGCTTTGCTTATTTCTTTCTTTCCCCTCCGTTTTCCCAATTACACAAGAGCATCGGCTCCGGCAACAATCTCCAGAATCTCACCGGTGATCTTCGCCTGCCTCCGCCGATTGTAAACATTCGACAGCGTCTTCTTCAGCTCCGAAGCATTATCCGTCGCGTTGCTCATCGCGCTCATCCTCGCGGCGAGCTCACTCGCCAGCGATTCCTGCAGCGCCTTCAGAATCTGGCTGTTCAGATACAGGGGAAGCAGAGCATCCAAGATCTGCACCGGATCCTGCTCGAATTGCAAAATCGGGGAGAAATCGGGTGTCGCCGTCCTCACGATGTCCCTCTCCACCGTCAATTTCCCTTCTTTAGTCGTCAGCCGGAAGAACTCATCCTCCGCGGCATCAACGCAGACTCCATTGATGTCGCAGATCTCTCCCTTGGGGGAAAGCGGGAGCAGGGTGTGAATCACAGGGTCCGATTTCACCAAGGAGACGAATTTTGTGTACAGAAGCTCGACCTTGTCGACTTCCTCACTCACGAAGAGGGAGAAAACGTCGTCGGCGATCGCCTGAGCTTCTTTCGCCGTCGGCAAGTTGGTCCCTTCCAAGAACCGATCCACGGGGATGTAGGGACGGCGGGAGAAGTAAGTATTCCCCTTTTTACCCACGCTGATGAGTGTAAACTCAATCCCCAGAGCCTTCAAATCCTTCATCCGGTTCTCTGCTTTTTTAAGAATCTGGTTGTTGAACCCGCCGCAGAGCCCTCTGTCTCCGGTGACGACGACGAGGGCGACTTTCTTCACGGGCCGGACTTTGGTCAGCGGGGCGTCGACGTCTTCGGTCTGGAGCTGCTCGTTGATGTTGTAGAGGACCTCGACGAGGGTCTCGGAGAAGGGGCGGCCGTTGACGACGGCCTCCTGGGCGCGGCGGACTTTGGCGGCGGCGACGAGCTTCATGGCCTCAGTGATCTTCTGGGTGTTCTTGACAGATTCGATTCGGGTTCGGAGCTCGCGGAGGTTGCACTGAACAGGGGAAACAGAGGTGGTTCTGGAGGTGGAAGAAGGGGAAGAATTGGGAGATGGGATTTGGAACGGTGAGACGGAGGAGCGGAAGGAGAGTGGTGAAGCGTCGGAGAGGGAGGTTTTTGAGGAGGCCCACATTGTCAGATTGGAGCAGGCCATGGCTAGAGCTGATGAGGAAGAAGAAGAAGAGCAGAGAGAGGGAGATAGAAACAGAGTGATGGTGGAAGGGCAATGGAGGATGTTGGAGGGCTCTGATTCTTTTGTTCGTTCGGCGAGAGAGTTATCTGAGAGTGTGAGGATGGAAGAGGAGAAAGGGAAATGAGTGGAGGGAAAGGGAGATGAGAGGTTTGAGAGGATGAGGTTTTGGGATAAGGATTTTGACTGTTGGGGAGATTGCGCTTCTCTCTCCCTCTCTCTCTTGCTTGGCAATTGGCATATGCTCTTTTCTTTTCTGATTTCTTCTAATTCTGCTTGTGTGGTGGCGCCAAAAGTTTAAAAAAGGAAGAAGAAATCAATGTGTCATATTATCCAAGTATGAATCGGATTGGTATTGGTTAAATTAATGACTAAACTGATAAACTTCATAATGAGATTATTGTGACTCTATTGTGATTTGTACACGACTGTTAAGTCTTATTGATTTAATCTTCTGTTATCGGTTCAATAGCATAATGATCACTAACAAGGCAATTGCTCGATTTCGATCATTCTATTCATCTCATTTCATACACAAAAGTTGCGAGTTTTAACTTAACAGACGATAGTAACTCAACCATTTTTCCATTCAAAATCTCCTTTGATTTTTACCTTCCAATAAAAAGCTATGGCACAAAGACAAGACTGTAATATTTAGTTTATTTACACAAGAATTCATTCACAGAAAGGACCATCGGAGGCAAACTCTCTCCCTGTACCTTCAGAAGAAAGCTACCTCAATTCTCAAACCAAGAAGACGATCTTGCCTGTAACCAGACTCGTTAGTACCGTAAGAAGAAGAAGCAAGTTAATATGGTCATCATTCTTTACCTCAGACTACTCTCAGGAAAACTTTCTTGGTCTGTGATCTCCGAGTTCAAGTTCGTACTACCTCGAGTAGCACGGCCCCTTGATTTCTTCGCCGTTGATGAAGCAAGAGGACCGAGGCTGAGTTGTTGCGCCATGTCAGTAACATCCTGCTGACCAGAAGGCCCGCTTTCTACCTGATGTCCTGGAGCAGCATCGTCATGCTCGTTTGGTGCTCCAGAGTCTAAGCTTAACCAAGTGTTGCTTTTTTTATCCTTCCCCAGCATCGTCAGACTTAGCTTCTTCAACAAAGGACTGCTGCTGCTGTCTATTTCTGGGGCAGAAGAGTTCCCATGGGTTTGGTTACAAGTATGTTTGCCGTTAGTTGAAACGACTTCCTGGGTTGAAACTTTGAGGTTTCCCGTCTGTTGATACGTGAAAAGACAAAAGAAGAGAAGATCAAAATCGAATCTGAAATTAGTGCATTATTTGTATCAGACTTGGAGTGAAGTAACTGCGATCGGAAATGCAAACGTGGATGATTCTTTATATAACTAGAGCAAGGCTAAAACAAGAAAATGCAAAGCATCATGGTTGCAAAAATGGTTCTACTTCTACAGATAACTAACTAACTAACTACAACATGTGAAGACAAGTTTTCATTTAGAGGTGAACATCAACGATGACAAAACCTCATTCCAGTTTGATTGAATTAATGTGCATCTCAAAACTCAACTAGGACAAGTCGCCCGCCTAGACTACTCAATGCCTAAACATGTTCACCTTCTTGTTTGGGTTGCTGAATGTTACAATTCATGCAATGTACAACGATAGGAATGGATACTTGACATTCCATTGTTTGGATGCAACTTTTGTAAGGTGGAAAGTGGGTGATGAAATTTAAACAAAAGGCAAAAGTTCATTTTACCATTCTCATCTATTTAACAGACTTAAAACAACAAGGAGCAATCATGGAACCAAATGATGAATTGTGAAAGTCCTACCATCCCCCATGAAATTAAGATTCCACCTCCACTTAGAAAGTAGATTACATTGGCCGGACATCCATTCTCTTTATAAGAGCAAAGAGAAAAAGGAAGTTCCCCACTTTCCGACGGAATTTATAACCCAAATTCCATCAACCAAACCACCCCCTAGTCATTCAGATGCTAAAACAACAGAAGAAAATCATCTATAGCAAAAACTTCCATTAAGTGAATTGGAGTGCAAGTAAAATGCAGTTAGAAAATCTACAGAACCGTTGGAGGTCTAACCACCAAAAACTAGAATTCAGAATTAATCAAGCATTTCTGCAATAAGTAGAGAAAGAAAGCACACCTCATCTTGCCGATCACCAATCGATTTACAGCCAGAACCTTCTTCCCCTTCAGAATCAGCCATCTCCTCACACTCAAACTCTACATTCTCTTCAAATTCTTCATCAGAGTCACTCAGCTCTTCCTGTTCCATCACAATCTCTTGCAGGGACTGACAACCCATATCTTCAATATATGAACGACCTTTACTGCTTGTTGATGAGTCAGCATTGTTGCTTTCCAGCCTAGATGAATCAGTAGCCCCAGACACACGGCTGTCCTTGGCCATAGGTCTCTTTATGGCACCTTTGGCCGAAGTGGATTGCTTAACTGAACCACCAACATCTCTGGTTACCCTGTTCTTCTTGTTTCTAGATGCAGAACTCAAATGAATCTCGAGGTCCAGTTCATGACCTTTCTCAATTGGGCCAATGGCATTAGATTGGTAGATGTTTAATACAGGCATAACTAAGTTACTATTTCCGTCATCAGCTTGCTGCAGAAGAGGATGGAAATCGATGCCGCCTGATGCTGATGAACTACATTCCTCTGTTCGAATGGATTTAGCAGAAAAATCACCAACATGGCGAGGATTATGAAAGAGGCTGAGATTCAGATGTGGAGGATTCCCAGAAAAGAAACTGAACGAACTAGAAGAGCCAGCAGTAGTAGACTTTGACGGGTTATAAAGAAAGCCCTCAGCTTCAGAAGACTTGAACAGTAAAGGATGCATCTGAAGATCCGAATCATTAACTCTTTCATCCTCGAGAAGTTGAGGCGCTGAATCATCTTTTCCAGAACCAGGCTTGGTACTGGAAACCCTAGAAATTGCTCCGGAGTGGTTGCTCCTGAAAGCTGATTCAGATAATACACGAACAGAAGGTGGAAGATTCACGGTGGGGAGTTCAGGTGCTAATTTAACCAAACGTGTACCTATCTTCTTACGAGTTCTGTAAGGCCACAAACTCATTGTTGGCTTGGGGATATCTGCTGATGTCATTCCATGAACTGGTTCTTGGTTTAGTTGATTAGTAGTAGTAGTAGGGGAATGTGCAGACCGACTGAAAGGAGACGTGGTACCAGGTTGTTGATGGTTGTATATATTATTGTGTGGAGATTCACCAGGAACTACTGAGACATTCAGTTGCTTCCCGGTCCGAATAGCTTGTCTTAATGAATCTGCCGGCAGGCATTTTCCCATTAGGTTTGCAGGCAATGGAGGATATGAAGAAACCGGTGGCCAGTCTGCCAAGAATGCCCGATGAACATACGCTTCAGTTTGATTATCGACAAAATTATCCCTAACCTTTTGTGAGTTGTTGCGATAAAGCTGATTGTCCTGCAGTGAGTCAAAGATTGTAACACAACCAATGGAAGCCGGACATCAACATAGTTAGTAAAATATGGTATGAGTACGTTAAGGTATTAGTACTTACGGAGATTAATACGTCATTGTAAGCTAACAGTACATTTACAAGTTTGGCATTACTAATTAAATATTAGAAATTTATAATTACAAAAATGAGAATAAATTTAAATATTCTGAACCTATCAATCAAATTCCTTAAAATACGAGTATTAAACATCTTATACGTGTTTAATACGTCAAGCACAAAAAAATGGGGGAAAAGAGACGGCTCTACAACAGTACGGGAACAAGAGTTTTAAACACATTTAGTACGTATCCAGGTACTATTAGAGTATAAAATGGATTTTTTACTAACTATGATCATCAATCCAACTATCACTCCGACACCATTTGATTTGAACTAGCTGGCACCTCTAGTTGCTCAAATTACCAGTGATCTTTCTAACTTATACCTTTAGATTTTTTTCCCATAAAAAAAATTTACCTTCAGAATTTTTTTTGGGTGGAAAAGCCTAATTTTGATCTGGAACTCCTACATTTTAAATTTTACCCCTTTCCCTTCTCTGCAGCTCTAAAGCTTGTGGGGCCATTCCAGTCATTTCACATGATTCACGGATACTACTAAAATCTACTCTAAAAACGTCAACATACTTCCACTTCTACTATTTGCTTCTGTTGACAACTTCTCCACAAGCCTCCTATCAGTTGAATGGAATGGAAGCCAAGATTGTTAAAATTATTGCAATTATTATGTCCATTATCACATAGAGAATACATGAAAGCAAGGCAATCGAAAAGACACTAGTCGTCAATCGAAAAGGGTTTAGAGACCAAACATAAGATATGAAGCAGCCGGGAAGAAAGAAAAGCCTACCTCCTTATCCAATGTCGTTTTCTGATTCAGCAAATCTGCAGCTTTGCTCCTCCTATAAAATGCATATTTTTTTCGTCTCTCTTTTTGAGCAGCATCCTGTTTATACGACTTCTGAGTACCGAGGGCAAGCCGCCATTGCCGTGGTAATAAAGAAGGATCTCTATGAGGGACAACGAATTTCCATATTGACATCCAGTCCATTTTGTACACTCGCAGTGCCTGAAGGTAGAGGTACTATTCAAAATTAGTCAGGGAATAAATAGAAAAAATCGGCATCAAAAGGGCCCTGACCCACAATTACCTCTTGGATACGTTCGATTTCTTCAGCCCTTAGAGGAGAGGCTTTCATTCTACGAACTGCCTGCATAAAAGGAGCATGAAAGATCAACAAAACTTCAACTGCAAAGTATAATTTTGGAGTTCAATTAATGAGTCTCAAGTGAGTCACGCACTGACAAATTGTAACCAAAAGACCATACCTTTATGGGATTTTCTGGTGCCTTGGATGAACACCGATTTTTCTGCCGGACATATATCTGTCAGAAAAGTGGGAAGTCAGGTAGCATCCACATAAACAATAATGCTAGTGTGTCTCAGATAATAACAAGAGCTTAAAGAAAGCAGTAAAAACAGTGCATCCTAGATGATAGCAAGAGTTTGATTTAAGTAGCATTTGATTTCTGAACAGGACACTGAACCTTAGTCCAGGAGCTTGAAGAAAGCAGTAAAAAACAGTGCATCCTAGAAAACCAAAGTTAACAAGAGGACGTTTCCGTAGAATGTTCAGATGTAGATACCTGGTGCTTGGATTTGCAAGGAAGGAAACGCTGCTGAATCACCTCCCAATCTGTATTAAATTCCATCATTCCCAATGCCAACAATCTGCACCAAAATCCCCGAGAAGAGAATTGAATCCTAATAAGGACATTATGTAAGCAGTAATAACATGCCACTTCATAACACAAGAAAAAGAAGCTGCTACTCACTCATCCTCTGCATCAGTAAAAAGGATCCTATTTGATAAAGATGTAGGTGGTGGCTTGTAAGGGAACAATGCTGGATTGAAAAATGGAAAAAATCTCTGCGCCAACTTGCTAACATCTCTAGGGACCAAAGCTATCGACTGCTTTTTGGCACGTTCCACAATCGATGCAGCCAATGTCTTCTTAGGCAATTCCTGCCCAGGTGTCAATGGTGCTGCTGGGTCACCATTTGCCTCCAATGGTGATGGAAGATAAGGAAGTTGGAAAAGTGGTTCCTTTTCATATTGTCCATCAAAACTAGATTCAACACAGCGTCTTTGATACTCCTTGGCAGCTAGCAGATAAACAGGAAAATTACACAGATAAGCATCATGTAAATAATTGCCAAAAGCAGAAGAACAAGCAAAAAAGATTTGATACAAACCATTACAAGTATCTTCAATAAACTTTCCAACTAAATGTAGCGGAGCAACATCCAGAATCGACACCACTTGTCCCCTAACGCAAGGCACCCAGAAAGATTCAGCAGTTTGTGCAGAATTTATCAGCTCATCTGTCACTGAAGGGCGCATGTAACGAGGATTGAAGCAAATGTCAGGAAAGGGTAAACTTCTCCATACCCCAACCTCACTGCATTTGTGCAGAATCTCTGAAATGAAACCCTGAATCTGAGTAACAATATGCTTCCTGGAAGAATCGAAGAAACATAGACAAAACACTTGGATAAGCAGCTGCAGATGCTCGTGTATCAAACAGTGCAGTTGGCCTATCTGCTGTGGAGTAAATCCATTGATCAGTGGATTCTCGGAAGGTTGATGCACTGCAGCCGCTTCAAGTGCCAACACTTTGCCACATGAACTAGGAAATGTGGCCACCCCACCATTCGGTAGGCTCGGTAGAAGAGGCCGCAATGGCCTCTTCGTCTGTTCCAAGAGCTTCTTATTCTTTTTCTTATTCCGAGCACTTCTATTCTGCCTTGTCTTAATTTTCCTATCCTTATCTCTTGCACTATCATCTACATCACTCTCCAGCAGCTCTTCAAGCTCTATCTCAAAGTCTGCATCGTTCTCATCATCGCCAATTTCTTCAGCTAGTGCCGGCTGCTCATCTCCGTCCCCGGAGTGTAACACGGCCGCAAGAAACTTCCTGTACTCTTCTTCATCATCCACGTTCTGTAAATCATCCTCGTCATCCGTTCCCTGGAGAAAATTCTCCAGTTCGTCAAGTGTGAAACTCGCCAGCGAATAACGTGCCCTAGTCCGCTTGCAGATCGCGTCCTCATCGTCGAAATCTCCACTTAACTCATCCTGTTGAGAACTCGGCCTCTTCCTCCCAAATTGGCTCTTCTCGCCTTCCTCGGGGGAACCTGATGTCTGCATCACAACCTCTTCGCCGTGCTCGGAATCTCCGACGGGGAAGTTCTGAACCTCACCAGTTGGTTTTGGGGAAGAAGCATCGTCTAAAGCTTCGACATCGGAGCTCAAACTCGAAGAAGCCTCAGGGGATGGCGTCCCCTTTAAGAACGGATTGAAATCCAAGTCATCTTCTTCCTCTTCCTCTTCTTCCCCGCTGATATCTTCGTTCTCATTATTACCAGTCTCTCCCGCCATCGGAGGACTCTCCTCCGGTTGATCAGTCTCCGTCATGAGATAAAACGATTCAAGAGACCAACGAATAAATCCTCGTCACTTCTCATCGACATCGGCAAATCGAACAACCTACGACGAATTCAAAAGCAGGTGAATGATGATAACCTATTTACCACATTTGGCGGCGTCGAAGCTCTGGAACCCTAGAAACCTCTGAGAGCACGTAGGAACTGGAAGTTTCAGAAGGAAGGAAAAGCAGTACAGTGATAAGAAGGGAGAATCAACTATCAGGGAAGCAGCGCAGCCGGATTCGACGGTGGCGGATTGGGTGGCGGCAAAGATTTTAGGGATTTTTTCAGGCGAGATGACGACGCTGATCAGGTTGTTTGCGGAAGTTACAAACCGGAGCTCAACCAAGATCGACCGTCGGCAAAATTACATTGAAACGACAAGCCGTTTTAATCCACGCGGGAAAAGGGCTGGGCCGTTATTTTCTTTCCCTCCAGCCCAACTCATTACCATGTGCCTTAAGCCCATATAATGGCCCAATTCAAAAATCCTGTCCATTCCATTCTTCCTTTTCTTCCCGCGAGGGTTTTTGACTTCTGATTTCTGAAAACCCCCTTCACTTTACTTGCCGAGTTCTTCAGTTCTGAATTAAACGGAAGATGGAGTTCGAGAAGAGAAAGGCAGCGACTTTATCTATTTTCGGCTCATCGGAATCCGACAAATCGCCGAAGGGTTCAATAGACGCGCCGATAATCCCCCTCCTCGACGCTATCAACGCCCACCCATCTTACTACACAACCAGCTCATGCTCCGGCCGAATCTCCATTCTCTCACAGCCGAAACCTTCCGCCGCCACCACCGCCAAGAAAAAGGCGGGTGGTGGGTCATGGCTGTTTATCACCCACGAACCGGCCGACCCAGCAACGGTCATCTCCCTCCTCTTCCCGCCAGAGCCGATGCCAATTCCGCCGCCGTCGCCGCCGCCAGAGCTAGTTCTCCGATTTGAGCCGCTAATCATCGCCGTGGAGTGCAAAGACGTTGTTTCGGCGCAGGTCCTTGTTTCGTTGGCTATATCGTGCGGGTTCAGGGAGTCTGGGATTACTAGTGCTAGTAAGAAGAGGGTGATTGTTGGGATTCGGTGTTCGATTCGAATGGAGGTTCCCTTGGGTGACAGTGATAACGTTTTGGTGTCTAGGGATTATGTGAAGTTTTTGATTGGTGTGGCGAATCAGAAGATGGAAGCTAATTGGAAGAGAACTCAAGGGTTTTTTGCTGCATTGAAGGAGAATGGGTTTTTGGGAGGGTATGTTGAAGCTGAAAATGGTGAGCTTGGTTTGGAAGAAGATAAGCAAGGTGGAGCTTCCGATGATATGGGAAGGATTTCTTCTGATAGCCGTACTGGTAATTAAGCTTGAGAGCTTCCGTTCCCTCTACTGATTTCTTTTTATTTTTTGGTAGTAACCTCTACTGATTTCTGACTGCATAGTCTTAGCTTCTAATTTCATTCAGAATCAACGTATTGCAGTGCAGGAATCCTTTCCATTTAACAGCAAAAGTTTGAGTCTTTGAATCGCTTGGCAGGGGTTCCGGATCACAACCTAAAGGTCACCCAGTTCCCAATTGTTGGAGAATCTATGGAGAAGCTTTTCCTTTGGGGGCACACTAGCTGCACATTGGCTAATCTTGTCCATAGTTCTGTTCTGGTGTTTGGTGGTTTTGGCGGGAAGGGAAGACATGCTAGAAGAAACGACTCATTGCTTCTTGATCCTTCGAGTGGAGCATTGACAACGGTCGATGTTGAGTTTGGACCCTCTCCTCGATTGGGACACACAGCTTCGGTGGTGGGTGACTTGGTTTTCATCGTTGGAGGAAGGACTGATCCTTTGAACATTCTGAACGAAGTTTGGGTTCTTGACGTGCCAGGAAAGCAGTGGAGGCTAATCGAATGTAGTGACAGCAGCTCTTTCCCTCCAAGGTTGGCATGAACAATCGTTCTTCATTTTCATTGTTAATCTTCTTTGTAATGCCTGTGTTTACCTGCTAGACCCAACCCTGCTGTACTCTTGTTTGTCCCCTTTTTCTCGGCTAGACTCAAATTTAAAGCTTTATCCTTGTGCAGGCATCGACATGCAGCTGCAGTTGTTGGTTCAAACATATACGTATTCGGCGGCCTGAACAATGATTTGATCTTTTCATCGCTCCATGTCTTTAACACTACAAACCTCCAATGGAAAGAGTTAGTAGTCAATGGCGACCAACCATGTCCACGTCATTCTCACTCAATGGTGGCACATGCGTCTAACCTATTAATGTTCGGAGGACACAATGGGGATCAAGCCCTCGGAGATCTCTACAGTCTCGATATCAATACTTACACTTGGAGAAAAGAGAAGACATCCGGAAGATCTCCAAGTGCAAGATTCTCTCACTCGATGTTTGTCTGTAAGAGGTTCATTGGAATAATAGGAGGCTGCCCCGTGAACCAGCATTTTCAAGACCTGGCATTGTTGGACCTCAAGACTCATGCATGGACTCACGTGAGACTTGATTGCATTGGCAAAGAGTTGCTCGTACGAAGCACGAGCAGCATTGTAGAAGATCAACTCTTTATGATTGGTGGTGGAGCAGCTTGTTATGCATTCGGGACAAAGTTCAGCGAGCCCTTGAAAATCGACTTGCTTCCACTTTTGGAGAAAAAGCTTGAATCTGGAAACAGTGATGATGTCGATTGTCAACGACAGTGGGTGTTGCAGCTTGAGAAGAAGTACGCGAAACAGGGGAAGGACATACTGAAGAGATTTGGGTGGTTAGATATTAGGAGAAAGGTTTATTCGTTGGATGATGGACTTCACATTTGTTTCCCAATCACTGAAGAATTTTCTGCCATGTTCTCAGATGGAGACAGATCTCAGTTGAATGAGGTTTCTTGTTCTGCAGCTATCAGTCTGCTGAAGGAATTTGATGGTAGTAAAGTGGAGGACAAGGTTATTGAGGTCAGAAAGGTTGCGAAATCTCCATTGCAGGTAATGAAGGAAGCCGTAGCAGGATTAATTGAGGAGAAAAGCCTGTCTCAAGAATTGCTAGATGAGCTTCCAGTTAGGTTAGTATGTTTACACCTGAACAAAACTTTTGTGGTTAGTGCCGTCTTGATATCGAGTGGCTACTTGATAGCTGTAATCTACTTTCAGGTGGGAGCGGCTTGGGGATATCGTTGTACTTCCTGTTACTTCCTTCAAAGACCCAGCATGGGATTCAATCAGACATGAGCTTTGGCCAATTATTGCTACATCACTTAGTGCCCGTCGCCTTGCACGCCAAGTTAGTAATTTATGTTAGTTTTTTGAAGTACATTGTGTTGTTTACTTACTGCTTGTCGCCTTGCACGCCAAGTTAGTAATTTATGTTAGCTTTTTGAAGTACATTGTGTTGTGTACTTACTTTAGGCTATTTGAAGATGGTTTGTCATGGTCTAATATCGGTGTGCTTCTGGTTTGATGATATTTTCTAGGGTAGGGTGGCTTCAACTGGAACAAGAGACAGCACATTGGAGTTGTTGGTGGGAGACAATGGCTGGGTCGATCATCGAGAGAACGGAATCACATACTCTTTTGATGCAACAAAGTGCATGTTCTCTTGGGGTAATCTTTCTGAAAAGCTGCGTATGGGTGGAATGAACTGTGAAAATGAAGTTGTGGTTGATTTGTTTGCTGGGATTGGATATTTTGTGTTGCCATTCCTGCTCAGGTAATCCCCCTTGTAAATTTGCTCAATGAGTTTGTAGATGAATGAATGAAAGAAGCACCATCTAGGCTCGAATATTGCTGCTTTTCCCTAGTTTAATTCATGTCGAGTCCTTAACCATATAGGGTCTGAGGATTCAATAGAATAGTCGGAGTCCAGCGGCCAAAATGGAACTTCATTCTAGATGGATCGTTGTACTCTTTATCTACTTTCCTAATGATGTGTGGTTCGGTGACTTGTTTTTGCTGCTTTAGGGCCAAAGCAAAGCAGGTTTATGCCTGTGAATGGAATCCCAACGCCATCGAGGCACTCAAAAGGAATCTCGAGCTTAACTCTGTCTCCAATCGATGTGTTGTCCTCGAAGGAGATAATCGGCTTACAGCACCCACAGTAGTATTCTTACCCTTTCCTTTCCCCACTTCTTCCTCTAGATGTTTAGCTGTTGATCACTATACCGCTGCATTTGGTTCATAACTTTTGCCTAATTCATACTTCTACTGCTTAACAGGAAATAGCTGATCGAGTTTGCCTTGGTCTCATTCCAACAAGCGAAGGCAGCTGGCTGACTGCAATCAAGGCATTGAAGTACATTTCTCCCTCCAATGCTCTTATCAATCTTTCTGCTTCCAAGTTGTGACCTCCTTCGGACTAACGAGCTTAAAATTTGCAGAAGGGAAGGTGGCGTTATGCACGTTCATGGGAACGTGAAGGACTCGGAAGAGGCAGCATGGACCCAACACCTCGTAACGTCGTTGGATAACATTGCTAGATCAGAAGGTAACCTGATCGACTGAAACAGCAAAAAAACTCTACTTAACAAGGGCGCTAAAAATTCTCCCTACTTACTGAGCATAGCTGTGTGTCTGCAGGTCGGGTTTGGGAAGTGGTAGCAGAACATGTAGAGAGGGTAAAATGGTATGCTCCTCATATTCGCCATGTTGTTGTAGACGTCAGGTGCCGACCTATTCCTGGATAGAGCCATTCCTCTCGTTCCTGGTTTGGTTTGTCGGGAACGAACTCCTTGTGGGCCGGGCTGCAGGGAGATATTCTTTTTGGTACCGGGTTGATTGCTTGGTCGGAGTTCTGGGCCTAACTTGGCCCAATTTGAGGTTTGGGCTTTGGTTTTTGAGTGCTGGTTTATGGCTTAATGGTTGATTTGTACTGCGGAATGAGTCCTAACTCCTAAGTACTAACTAATCCACCAACTCTAGGTTAGTAATTAGCCGAAATGGCAGATTTTCAAAGCAGGACTTAGAGTCGGATTAATGAATAATGATCTATCTTGTTCTTCCTGACGTTATACCTATAACCTTTAATACACATTTGGCTAACTCATGGAATCGGGCAACTACGATACAGTGCCTTTCTTCTTGAGCAATTGGCGATGATGAAATCTTAGTCGTGGTGGTTCGGTTACAGTGCTAATAGAGATGAGTAATATAACCTATCAACTGTTGATTCCTCGTAATCTTAGTCATAGGATCGATGCAGGTCGATACAATAGTGACTCATAAGTGCACTATTAAGCTCTCTATTAAGGTGGAGAATTCTAGGAGCATCTCTATGCTACTAATCTTCCATACACGCTATATGTGCACCCGTCATATTGTCACTTTGTTGGCGCCATGTCATCTGCCACATGTGACAGTACTCACCGGAGTATTTTGCATGGTAACCAAATTCTGTTTGATTCCAAAGATAAGGATGGGCGACAAAACCAAAATCTTTTCACATGGTCCATGTGTGGAGTAGGGTGACGGATGCCAAGTGTTCGACTTATGTCTTCCCTCCTTGAGCTATCTTTCTTTCCCATCTTTGTTTGTTTAAGCAGTGGGGGGGAGTGAAACCAGGACAATGAACATTGATGAGAGTGGACATGGGAGTGAATGCAGAGCGTTGAAATTTGTCATCACCTCGAACTCAGTGACTCAGCACTGCACTGCACCTCCTTACTATAAACCCACTTGATAGATTGTTTAATGAAGGTAATTAATCGATAATCAGGGACGCTTTAATAACAATAATGGAGTCTCTTTTGTCCTACACAAGTCTTAATCTTAGCGTCTCTTTCTGTTAAACAGTTGCTGACGTTATAAACATAATGATGATCAGTCACTCTGAAAACCACACTCAGAATTGGGTTTCCCCCCCTTCTGACAAGGCTTTATGATACAGTAATCAGAGTAAAGCTAATGATCTTGTTTGGCCAATAATGGCGAGTAATAAAGTACACAGACAGTGAAAACTCTCCAATTTACAAACCTACCCCTTCTTCTGGTTTCATTATTAAAGCAAGCAACCCCCTTCTTGGTATCAATTGTCAACAACCCACCATTTCCACAAACAAACAAACAAACAAAATGACGAACAGAGCTCTCCTCTGTTTCTTCTTCACTCTCACTCTGCTCACCATCTCAGCTACTGCTTCTGATTCTGCAGAACCCACAAATGGAGAAGAAGAAAAGGCCCTGACAGGGCTAGCCATGGACTTCTACAAGGACACGTGTCCTCAAGCTGAGGATATCATCAAAGCTCAAGTCAAGCTCCTCTACAAGAGGCACAAGAACACTGCCTTCTCCTGGCTGAGGAACATCTTCCATGACTGTGCTGTCGAGGTACAATTAATTAACAATTTGTTGTTGTCATCCTTAAAATCGTCGTACCAAGACAAATCAAACCGGCGAGACTAACAGGTTTTTGTTCGTTGTCGAAGTCGTGTGATGCTTCTCTGCTTCTGGATTCGACGAGGAGAAGCCTGTCGGAGAAGGAGACGGATCGAAGCTTCGGGCTGAGGAATTTCAGGTACCTGGACACCATTAAGGAAGCTGTGGAGAGGGAATGCCCTGGTGTTGTTTCTTGTTCAGACATTCTCGTTCTTTCAGCCAGAGATGGCATAGTTGCGGTTAGTACCACCTTTCTTTCCCCCTAGTAGTTCTGTTTCCATTGAAAGCATCAAAAACTTGATCAACCCTCGAAATCTTGCATGTTGGCTACTCTTATTCTAAACTTTAGCAACACCATTCGTTCAAAAAACTCTGTTCCAGTGACACATTGGCTAGAGACCCTAAATTGTTCTACTGACCATTTATATGAACTTTGTGTCATGACCATGAAGCTATGAGTTGATGAAGGTATGGTAAATTTGATGGGATTTTTGTTTTCAGTTAGGAGGGCCACATATTCCACTGAAAACAGGGAGAAGAGATGGAAGGAAGAGCAGAGCAGATCTTCTTGAACAGTACCTCCCTGATCACAACGAGAGCATCTCTGTTGTCCTCGACAGGTTTGCCGCCATGGGCATCGACACACCTGGAGTGGTCTCCTTGCTAGGTAAAAGCTAACATCCACAACCACAAAGTCATTCATATAGCTGTTAATACGCGTTATAAAATTCATTGTTGAACATCTGCCAACAATTTGAGTCATTACGACCAACTGAATATCAGAGCCTTCTGTTACGGATTAAGAAGAGAGTAACAAGTTAAACTCTGTTTTTTTTTTGGGGGGGACAGGTTCTCACAGCGTGGGAAGAACACACTGCATGAAGCTGGTCCACCGCCTGTACCCGGAAGTCGACCCGGCCCTGAACCCGGACCACGTCCCACACATGCTGAAGAAGTGCCCCGACCCGATCCCCGACCCGAAGGCGGTCCAGTACGTGCGAAATGACCGGGGTACCCCTATGATCCTGGACAACAACTACTACAGGAACATCCTCGACAACAAGGGTTTGCTGATTGTGGATCACCAGCTTGCCACCGACAAGAGGACCAAGCCTTATGTGAAGAAGATGGCGAAGAGCCAGGACTATTTCTTCAAGCACTTCTCCAGGGCGATTACCATCCTCTCTGAGAACAACCCGTTGACCGGGGAGAAGGGTGAGATCAGGAAGCAGTGCAATGTCGTCAACAAGCTCCATTGATGGGTTTGGAAGCTTGGTAAAATGGCTTGAAGTGGGAAAATAAGGGGGAGGGTTTCTCTTGATGGTGTTTGCCTTGTAAAATGGGTAGTAAGCTTGGTGCTAGTTAAGGTGGGAGAAGTTATGTGTTTGTAAGTTTTCTTTTAACTTGAGTTACTTGAACTTTTTCCTCTTTAAAATCTGAGTTATTTGGTGTGTATGAGATGGTGTAAGTGTCTATCAAGAATCTGTTGGTCAAGTAATCTTCTGTGTTGTTGGAAGAGCTCAAGTATTGATGATCTTATGTGTCTTTTTGATATATACTCGAAACTAAAACCAATCTAAGAGTTTGAAGTTTGTACAAAACAAACCATATCTTCTACTTAAATAAACGGTTAGTATTCACCAAATGAAAATTCGAATATGAAATTTATTGATCAAAACATTGATACCATATAAAGAATCAATTGATTCCACTTAACTCGAATTATTGGTACATATATAAGATACAATGCTTTTACCATAGAAAGTGATTCCAATAACTAGAGCTCTTGGTACAAATCTGGATATGATTCTTCTTGGTCCATGACTGAACAAGCTACCACAACTAAGAAATTAAATTTAAGGGTCCCATTCTCAAAGCATGAAACAAGATATAGTTTCAGATATTTTGTTCAAAATGTTAAAGGCAGCAGCCTCTAAGGGACCCTCCCTCCATTGCAGTTGCAGAGATGAACAAAAAACGACATTAATAAAGGAACAAAGCTCCCACCAGTAAGAAAGGAAAGCCAGGAAAAGAGGATAAGATTCCCCTCCCTGATTTCTGTTTTGTTCCATTTGATTTTGAGTGAAAAACAAATGATAGAATTTATTAAATCTCAAGACTTTTGTTTGCACTAAAGTGCAAAAGCACTTGGGGACAGAGCTTGAAACAGAGAGGCATGTCGTCGACTTGTGGTGGACCAAAACCCTGATACCGATGGGTGCATGTGTTTTGTTAAAGTCATCAATTGGTCTTTCACTAATGCGAATTTTGTTCCTCGTTGATAGAGTATAACACGTATTAGTTGTGTTCAGTGATCGAATCGATATTTCGTTTTATGTTCGAGTAGCATCATAATCACTGTTTTTCGCCATCGCAAAACCTCGTCGACAGGACATTACCCTCCTCGACCGGCTTACTTGTGGCTTGCCGTTGCTTGTTTCGTCTCTGTAGTAGTGCTACCAGAAGAGCCCATTTGACCTTCTCCTTCCACCGGGGCAGTGGCAGCAGAAGTACTATTCATCCCTGCGGCGGTCGAGATCATCGAGCTTGCTGTGGCTGCGGCGGCTGGATCGGCGTAACAAGGCGGCGGATTCATGGAGGAGACGAAGTTGGGAGGAGGTGGGAAGAAAGGGATGGCGTTAAGGAGCCATAGGAAATGCGTTACCACCAGGCGCTGCTGCTGCTGCGGGTGACCAATAGTACATCATTGGCGGGAAAGGATATGGGCTAATGGGCCTCCGTTTTGGGCCAGTTTGAAGTGCGATGATTGGGGCGCTGGGTATGGTCGTTTGGGCTGGGCTTTGATTGGAGTCAGGAACGTGGGAATGGGCTTTGGTAGAAGAAGGAGGAGGCTTTCTTGCTGAGTTTGGTGGTTTCTTCCCGGCCTTGTGTTTCTTCTTGTTAGTTGTTGTTTGCCTGGGTAATTCTGAATCTGGATTGGTTTGCTGAAAAGAGAGGAAACAAGAACGGGGAAAGTTACAGTTTACGCTCATGGAAGACATATATAGTAAAAAAAAAAAAAAGAGTTAAAAAGAACTGTAATTCAAGTGAAGAGGAAGGTAACATCATGTTTTGTAAAAAAAAAGTCCTATTGTATTTCAATTTTTGAATATGAATGTCAAGTCTTACGTTTTCGTTGACCACTGAATTTAGAAGGAATAGTTCCTCTCCCTGTGCGTCCTCATTTGTTCTGCAGTTAGTAAGATCGAGATTCAAAGCAGGAAGAGTGAACATAAAGTTGGGAGTTGGTTGCATTGACATTGTCTTGGGTTACCTATAGTATTTCCATAGCAAATCTAGGGTTTCTCTTTGAACCAAATGATGAGGAAAACCAGCCATGAACAACATTGTCACCCCAAGTGCCTTGAAGAAGAAGCTACCACTTCTTATATGGGCTAGGTTTGCCATCCGACAAATCAAAGAACCGAGGGACTTCAGCTTGCTTCTCCCCATCCGCTGCCTCGCGTATCTAAAATCCAAGATGAAGCAAATCATAACATGACACTAAAATAACGACTTATCGTAGAATTTGTTTGTGTGGAATATAAACTAAAAAGGTTTAAAATCCACCTTAATTAATTTATTATCCATTAAGGTCATTTCTACAATGACAGGAGATCACTATGACTCGTCTTAGTTATCTATCTACAATGACTTTTTATCCTATTTTTCATAACTCACCAATTGGTTCAACTGATAACTCGTATCGACATGATCAATATGATCGGTCACCCACATCGACTCGACCAGACCTTGTTTTATTCCTTCTAGCTTAAAAACTGAGAAGGAAGAAATTTTTTACTCGTTCTGTGGGAGGTTCCTCGTTCTTCCACCATACTTGATGCACAAGAACAAACAATTTGGGCAGCTCTTATCATAAGGACGCATTGTCTTCTCCTCTTCAAGTATCTCAACCGGACACAACGTTGGATTCTCCCCATTGGGATAGAATATCTTCCTCTGACCAGTCCCTGGATTCTCGTATACCACATGTTCCTAATTCAAAACAACAAATCCATTTGTTAAACCATCATTAAAAGTTAATTACTTCCACTGATCCATTCTCATTCAGCTTAACAAATTGCAGTAAGTTTAGCCACTAATTACCTCTATCTCCTCCCCTTTCTTAACAATCCTGAAATGGGCGAAATCGAGCTCGAGCATTTCGTCGCATCCGTTTCGTATTCCGAGAAACACAAAGACCAAGATCTTCCTTATCGTGTGACACTCTGCATTTTTCACCAGCAGGGATTCCGATTCGAGTACTCTCCTCACTTCTTTCGGACAGAAAGCGAGCTTTCTTGATTCTTGAGATTTATTGGCGCGTACTGCAAG